AGGGGTTTCTGTTCAGATGATGTCAAGGATGCGACATGTTCATTTCTGGTGTTCTTCTAGGGTTTTCGAGAAGATAAGGATGTCGTCCATGTAAACGATCATCCATCCTTCGGCAATTTCTTTCTGGAAGGTCTGGTTCATATAGGCTTGGAATGTTGCTGGGGAGTTGCATAAGCCAAAGAACATGACTTTCGGTTCGAAGAGTCTGAAAGAGGTAGTGAATGCTGCTTTCCAGCAATCATTAGGGTGGATCAGGATATTATTGTATCCAGATCGGACGTCCATCTTGGTGAAATACTTGGCATCTCTTAGCTTGGCAATAAGAGGGGGAATCAGAGGAAGGGGATAGGCATTCTTTATTGTCTGCTCATTGATGTAACAATAGTCTTGGCAAGGTCATAGAGATCCATCTTTCTTTCCTACGAAGAAGAATCCGCTGGCTTGCAGAGATTTCGAAGGTTGGATAAAATCTTTAATGATGTGCTCATCAAGAAAAGCTTTCATGGCATCAGTTTCTTTCGGAGATAAGGGATAGGTTTTCGCAGATTTCGGAATATATCCCGGTTTGGTTTCAATTCTATGATCAACACCTGGTCAAGATGGAGGAAGTTTGTTTAAGCTGTCTTTGGCAAAAACATCAGTGAAGTCGTGAAGATAGTCAGGGATGAGTTCTTCAAAAGTCTTCTTTTTCTTTTCTTGGGCATCTTTGAGAGCGAATTCTTGAGCTTTATTGCTAGTTTTCAAGTATTCTTCATCTTCTTCAGTCTTTCATGCATAGATCCAGGAGTTTCTTAAAGGAGATAGAGCTGCGGCTCATCGGATCTTGGAGGCAGAAGTGCCATCACAAGTGAGGGGTGTGTCGAAGGAAAGGTTTTCGAAAAGGGTAATAGAAGAGCTGTCTTTGGCATATTCAATTAAAACTTCATCGTCATTGATGGGATAAGTGACAGGGCCATCAACTTTTCGAAGGAAGGTTGGTTTGGTGGGAATGTCACAAACATCGTCCTTGGTGTCATATTGGGGTAGTGGATCTTCATCAGGATCTGGCCAAAGGGGTGGAAGTGGTTCCTCTTCTTTCTTCTTTTCTTTTTGTCGTTCAAGAGTTCTTTTCCCGTTTACAGGAAGTGGAGCATAGGCAGGCTTAAATTTCTCCGGGTCTTCTTCTTCCTTGATTGTGACTTTTCTGCGTGGTGCAGGGGAGAAGCCCCATTTCTTCTTGAATACTTCTTCCAACCAAAGTGACCTGGGGGTAGAAGGAAGTTGAAGGGTATCTTTGGCCCAGTCGATGTCAGGGTTCATGGTGGAAAGCCAGGGTTTCCCAAGGAGGATCATATCATTGTCACTCATGTTCATGACATTGAATTTTCCAATCATGAGTCAATCATCAATTTTGATTGCAAGGTGACAATAATGAGTGATGGGGTCCTTGGAGATCTTTCCATCGGTGGTTCAGATAGAGAAGGGAGTTTCAAAACAATGTGTCTTGATTCTATGTTTTCTTACAAACATCCAATGGATGAATGTGGCAGCTGCACCACAGTTGACAACAGTGGTGGTTTGCAATGATTTATTGGGGTGTATGGAGGAAAAGATGGTCGCCAGGACCCTTAATTCTTTAGTTTTTCCTACATTGTGTGTGATACATACATCGATACAAGGAGTGGCTAACATTGCAGTAGGCTCCTGGTTCAAAAATCCATTCTTTGGGTGTTGAGATCTTCATCATCATCAAGATCTTCAATCTTGCTGGTGTCTTCTTCTTTAGGCGCTGTACACCTTACCGTTTGCTTTCCTTTATAGTTATTCTTTCTGGCATCTCTGTTTTGGGGGTGGAATTCTTGATTGTTAGATCTGTGACCAACCTTTCCACAGGAAAAGCATTTTCCTTGCTTCATATACTCTCTTTTATCATTCTCAGAGAGGTGATCAACATCCATGGCATTAGGATCATTGTTTCTAGGGGTGAAATGTGGGGTGGATCAGCGATTGTTGAATCATGTGTTCCTGTTATTGTTCTGGGGTCGGTGGGCAAGGAGAAGCTGATAGGAGTTCTCGATGGATATCACTTTCTTGACTATTCCATCAAGGGTGTCAGGGATCTCTCCGGAGTTGCAGAGTTTCATGATGAGTGGCTGTTTAAGGTCTTGGAGGAAGTAATCTTTCTGAGCATTGAAGCTGTAGATCTCAGCTCAGTTACAGAGCTGTCGGAATGTGGCTATGTACTCGCTTAAGTCATTGCCTTGTTTAAGGGCATGGAGTTTGTGAAGCACAGTACCAGCTGAGTCAATTGGGTTAAAAGTTTCTTCAAATTGGGAGATGAATTTGTCCCAAGTTCCATATCCATTCTTTTCTCCATGAGTGGATGTGGGATCAAGTTGCTGGGCATGTTCAATGAAATCTTCCATCCATGCTGCAGCTGTGCCTTCTTTCATAAAAGAAAGGGCGAAGGCAATCTTTCTGGTGTCGGTGTCATATATTTCATTGTTTGTGTCTAGATAAAGGGTGACAAGATGAAGGAACCTAGAGGTTCCATCTTGGTTTCCATCAAAGTCGGGTGGAGTGCAGATCTTTCTTTCAATTGGTTTGGGCATGTTGTCGTCAGTATCAGAGTCAGAGTCTGTGTCTGTATCTGGTTTAGGAGTTGGGAATCTGGGTGGTGCTACCGGTTCAATGGGCAGAGCATCAGGGATTTCTTCATCTCTGTCTTCTACAGGTGCTGGTGCACTTGTTTCAAAATGAGAAACGATAGTGCAGTGTGTAGTGGAAGAGGGGCCTGGGACAGCAAGAGTAGAGAGGACAGGAGTGCAGGGAGTGTCAAAGGATCCTCATGACGAAGAGGTTCGTCTAGGAGAGTTGGGTGGATAGGGACTATATGGGATCCCGGATCATTCAGAGAAAGCCTTCTTGCTTTTCTTGGAGGGTGCCACTTTGGCAATCAATCAGTTTCATGGGTTTAAAGAGTAAAGCCCTACAGATGGAGGGGTTCAAAGGAAACTTGAATCTTTTGTTATGAACTTGGATAGAGCATTGTTCCAATAAAGGAATCAGGATCAGGGTCGATCAAGGACTAAGCCTTATCGAGTCAATGCCTCCCTCAGGAGCGATCACTTAGACTCCCACAGGATCTAAGGTTCAAATGGGACAATGGCTAGCCTCCTTCCCAAGGAGCTAGAGTTCGAGTATCAAGGAGAACCGAGTAGATTCAAGTTAGAGAAAACACAAGCAGTAACTAAGGCTTTATATATGTAAGGGAATTGTGCACAGACCAAGCTGGGTGAAGGATAACTACTACTAGGAAAGGAAGGTTCATGGGAAGACAAGGTATGAGTCAAAGATAAGGGAGACCATGAGGAAACAGTACAGTGAAATGGAAGCATTAGAAGTACAGCCATAAGGTGTCTGCAGTGATGATGAGAAAAAGAGTGGGGCACTGTAACATTTACTGCTACTTTTACTATGCCCATCATCCTATTCATGCCACTGCTGTGTTTGTCATTAAACTGACCTTTGACTAGTGATTTATTTATTCTCTCAGCTTTCTCACTATGACTCACTGGATGCTGACCTGCTTGACTCTGCATTCATCACTCCAAACAGCTGATGTTCCCATGATGATCATTGAACATGTACAGTTTACTGACTTCCATTCTGTTCATTAGAGAATACCATGCACCTGGCACCCGCGAGCATGCCCTGGCAGATATTCAGATGAACACATGAGCAGCACCTCCATATTCACCATTCGCAGGTTGTGAGTGTGTTGATTGTCCTTCGAGCTCGAGCATTGCTGATCAACATTGTTTCCCATGGTCCACAGGTTCAATCGTCCTTCAAGTGCAAGCATTGCTTATCAACATTGTTCCCTGTCATTTGCAGCTTGTGAGTGGAACAATTGTATTTCAAGCTCGAACGTTGCTGATTGATGTTATTCCCCACTGTTTGCAGCATATCTCCTTCAATCAAGCTTGAGCCATGCTTGTTTCATTCGCAGTGTGTGGTATTAATGGTACATTGCATCTGAATAGACAATCACTCAATTGCACAAATGCTAATCTTAACACGCATAGATTCCTACACAAGGCCCTCACTTTCACTCCTGCCCTTTGTCATCCAATGCCTTCACTCAACACCACCACTTCTACTCCCACCCTTCACAACCCAACACCTTCTGCACCCAACGCCACCACCTCGATCTCCATGTTACAACTCTCTCCCTTCTTTCAGTTCCCCTTTTGGCTCTCCTTCGAGCTCTTTGCCTCGATGCACTTTCCTCTTGCAATCTTCATGCATGAGCAGCACTACAATATTGCTAAGGTTCTTTAGTTTTTGATTAAAAACTAACAAATCACTCACATCATCTTGGGGTGCCATTAGCACTAGTCTGATCATAGGTCAGTGTGTTGGGAGTTCATGTAGTTGACAGAACTTTCCTTTTCGGCTTCAAGTGCTTGATCTTTGATTATTTCCAATTTATTTTTAACTTGCAATTTATATATATATTTGAGCCAGTTTTAAGCCCTGAATTGACTTAACGGTAGTTAATTGAGTCGAGTTGGACAGTATATTATGTAAACCAAAGTCACGTGTGAGTTCAGTTATGCACGGTTTTAGCCGCGGCTAAAACCGGCAATAAGCCGGAGCCACGGCAACACTAACCCAAAGTAGACTCACCTACCAGCAAATCCTCAATAGGTTGACTTCACGCCGCATGGAAAATGCAGCGCGGGACGCAGCTGATGCCCAGTAAGAACTGGTCATGACGGGAGAGGACCGTAAGTGTCGGGAGGTGTTGATGAAATGAAAATACCAGACGCGCACATTCCGCTTACAAAGTGGGACAACCAGCACATTTTCGAAGTGCTGCTGTAAGATCTCTCGCGCTCTCGTGTGTTTTTTTCCGCATATGCACATCAGAATCACCTTAGAGCATATAGTTAAACTGCTTGGGTGCTGTATCATAATATGCTAGGATAGTTTCAAATATGATTTCATGGGGTATTGCACACTTCACACTAGGGTCTCGGAATATGCTCAGATAACATAAAATATGATCATATTGTTAGGTATTACACTGGGAGCGCCCATACAGATTGAAACTGCAGGTAATTGAAACATAAAACAGACGCGAAAACACATCGAAAGCAGGTGCGGGAACGTCGCAAGCAAGTGCGGGAACATCGCAAGCAGGTGCGGGAATGTCGAAAGCAGGTGCAGGCACATCGAAAGCAGGTGCGGGAACGTCGAAAGCAGGTGCGGGAACGTCGAAAGGAGGTACGAGATCGAAAGGAGGTGCGGGAACGTCGAGTGTCTACTAGTGCATTGCTCCATCGCAAACATTCTTCACCCAAGTGTTGCTGGCAACCTGCGCACATCAGAACAGGAACTAACTTTTGGAGACGTTACTCACTAGCGCAGATGCCTCGTCATCATAATTCTGATATAAGACAGTGAGTGCACAATATGCACGACGGTGATGCAATGACTTCGTACCTTGCGCTGTTCTGCAGTGAGATCCACGTAATACAAACAAAACTCTTCTGTTGTCCCGTCGGTTTTGATTTGCTTGAGCCAGCGAAGAGCACACAGATTGCTTCAAAATTTGTAAGTACTAGTTAGATTGGTGTGAGAGGGACCATCTGATAGTACATACCGTCCGTTTCTAGTTGGGCTTGGACGCATCTTCTTGCTAGTTTTACTGGTGCCCTTGCCGCTTGCGAAGTCGTCGGCCTTGCCTTTTTTACCCTTCGAATCAGCGCTGTCATTTGCTAGAGGAGCCTTGAGAGGAGGATCGATGGAGGATGGGAGTGGTGGGATCAGTGTGCCGACAGCAGCTAGCGCAAGCGTAGAACTGTTGAAAGTGACATCATTAGCCATTGACGAAAAGAGACAACAAACTTACAGTGAATTAGTCATTATAATTTTAATTGGCTGCGGTGCGATAGGATTAGGCTTAGGCGCTAGTGTGATACTAGAATTAGGTACCGGTGCAATAGGATCAGGCGTTGGTGGAGGAATATTCTCCTTCTCCGCTACAATAAACTCCGGAGAAGCAGGTGGTATAGCTGGTAGCTGCCGAGAATTGGGATTGTTGGGCAGTAATATCGGAGACAAACGAATTGTTGGAGACGGCGCTCGAGAAGGGGTGGTAGGGTGAGACCTGGATAGCAGTAGCATGGACTCGGCAGCTAACGAGTTAGGCATAGTAGGCGATGGTGCCAAGAGAGAGTCTGGCGTCGAAGGCAGGATATTCACGGTAGGGTCGACTACAAAAAATACTAGTTAATACAATATCATATTAAATTAAAGACGCACCTTTTAGTTTTTTGTCGGGGACTTCAGACTTGAGAGCGTTCTTCAATTGTTTACGCTTCTTGCCCCCGCTACTCTCGTCCTCGTCATTGTCGTCATCGTCGACGAGTTTCTTCTTCCAGTCTCCGTCATCATCAACGTGGTTTCTTCGCCACGCAGAATACGACGTGCTCATGAGATAGTCGAGCTTCCAACCGTCGTCAGCGAACTTGAACAATTTGCCTTGCAGTCGCAGTTGCTTTACCCCACGTCTTCGGAGCAAGTTTGCGTCTGACGAGCTCCGCCCAAGCACCACGAAGAAGTTTCCGGATAGACTTGACTATCGGGTCGGTAAGTGGATCACCGTTCTCATCCTCGAGATACGGCACTTTCCCGCGGTCAGCTCGACGGCCGTCGGGAGAATCCAGCCATCCTAAGAAGTCGTCATTGGTCCAAAACCGAATCTTCGGATGGGTGACGCGAGTTGGCCGGTTAGCAGTAGCTGGAACTGAGGAAATGAGGGTACAGTCAAGGTCGAGCGAGTCCGTTTGATGCAGCCGAACAGCGCTTGAAAGTTGTTGAAACATCGATCTGAAATATGATTATATCAAAATTAATTAAATCAATGGAGATGCAGAGCAGGAAAATACGTACTTGAGCGTGTCGCGTTCGCTAGTCAATTTCACGATTTGAAGTTCTAATGTTTTGCAGTGTTCGAGCAAATACTGGTTACTATGCTGTGCAGGCTGCATATATGCGCGCTGAAAATACATTTATGAGCACCAAAACAAAGTATATCGGAGTACTTACTTGTTGCGGGAACCATTGAAGGTGTGGTGTCATTGAATCGGTGAAGGGGTCCTCTGGTAATGGCATGGGAAGATCGGGAGATAGGGGGCCCGGGGAAGGCGTGTATCCTCTGGCTCCCCAGTATGGATTCTGCAAATTATGAGGGTGTGCAGCATGAAGTAAAGACCATACTTGTAGTACAAAAACTCAATGATACGATGCTGGTGCGATGCGATACGATATTGGTGCGATGCGATGCAATGTTGGTGCGATGCGATGCAATGTTGGTGCGATGCGATGTGATGTTGGCGCGATGCGATACGATGTTTTGCAATGCGATACGACGTCGTTTTGCAAAACGCAACGAAACTTCTCATGATTCAGCAGATTCCGTCATAGTACAAATAAGGTAACTAACTTCTCAGCAGCTGTGATCCCCTCCGGTCACAACCAGTTTTTACTGGGGCTGATGCACGAACATTTTTCAGAGGGAATCTCGACCATCCAGATGCACATGGTGCCTTCCAGTACCTTAAACGCGGTCAAACGCACGTCCTCAGCAAGGACGATGCCATCGCGAAGAAATGGAAGGAGCTGCTCGACAACGACCCAGCCATTGCAACACGTTTTGCACAAATGCCCTCCGTCTCGCCAGTCTGATGTCGTTTTTCTCGTCTCACAAGTAATGTATCTATTCTCGTCCTCATCACTCTATACCTTACAAACCCAGGCTCATTATTACTAGTACCATACCATCCAGCAGTCCCAGAGCTTTTTGGCCCTTTGAACGAGTTTATATTGCATATTCTACCCTACTCACACTGACTGCTTAGTAGCTCCATATTACCTTGCTCACTGATCAAAACCGTCCTTCTTTGGCGCCCTCCATCTTGCTCATTCAGATGAGGCGGTCCTTGTTGAAATACTCCTTGACCGTGGTGTTCTCGGCTCGCTCGAATCGTGAAGCAGTCCTCCTTAAAGTCCTCCTTGACCGTGGTGTTCTCAGCTCGTTTGAATCGTAAGGCGGTCCTCCTTGAAATACTCCTTGGCCGTGGTGTTCTCGGCTCGTTCGAATCGTGAGGTGGTCCTCCTTGAAGTCTTCCTTGACCGTGGTATTCTCGGCTCGTTCAAGGCAGAAGCAGTCGTCGTCGTCTCTGTTCGCAGTACCACCTCACATAATCATCTGTTTCTGAGGGCAGGAGTATGTCAGGAGAGTCAGATAGTACTATAGCCACTCACAGTGCAAGTCCAAGAGCTGAAATCGAGACAGAATGCGTCGTTCGAGACGAATAGACGAACATGAACGCAAGTTCAAGTCCAGGAGCAGGAATAGAGACAGAACAGAGCACATTATGAACGACCGAGTGTGAACGCGGGTTCCTGCAGGCTAGCAGTCATATGTAAGTCTGTAAATTCACAATCGATCGATAACGCTCGATCACTTCAGATCTTGTCCTCCACCGCCGCGTCTCGAAAACGGACGACCAAGACAAGGACAAGGGCATCTGCGAGAGAGATGATGACAGGAAGGGTGGTCATACAGTGAGTGGAATTCGCTCGTTATGTATTCTCTCCACTGATCAAGATGGTCAATTGTGCCTATTATGTAATTTTTGGGCGAATGGGAGGACGAACGGTCAAAGGAAGCTGGCCTTGAGACCGTGCGCCATCATGCGCCGACAAGATTGATTACCGACGGCGTCTATAAGTGCTTGTGACCGGCATTTTGAGGATGTCCACTTGGCAAGACGGAAGAATCAGGAGGAGATTTGGGTGTTAGAAGATGCGACGGCAACGCATCATGCCAGGATGGAGTGGAGGGAAGCGGAAGCAGAATGTGGAAACAAACCAATCGGGAATTGCTGAGCCAAAAAGATTGATGATGGATGGTGACATGATGCGGATTAAATGGATTGCGTGATGCGAGAATTCTGGAGTTGTACATTGAAGGACCGCCCTTCTCGGAAAAGTAAGTGAACAACAGATCATTCGAACACCCATTAATATCACAGACGTCCAATCCAAACTAGAGCTTAGCGTATGGTATCAAAAAAGGACAGTTCGAAACATAGCCGAGGAAGGCCACATCGATGAGAGTTACAATATTCAGAGGTGCGCGAGAAATAATCGTAGGGGACGAGGAAATCGTAGACTAATGACGACCATCCTGGTATTCAGGGGACAGACAACCAATGAAAAGCCAGAAGCGAGTCCAGAGTCCAGCCTGTCTGAATATTACATCAGGGTGCGAGGGTATTGAGCTTGCAGCTGCGGTATTAGCGCCAACAGCAGGTGTAGTAGATGAATTGGAGACAGCTGGCTGTGGTTGCAAAGATGGCTGGTTCCGAGTTGCTGTGCCGGATTGCTGCGTGGTATTGGGCTTGGGAGGCTGTGAGCTGCTTGCAGTAGGGTTCTTCCAGGGTAATAATAGTCTTTTCCGTTTCTCCCTTGCACAAGCATTTCTCTACGTGACATTAGGTGGAATTAAGCTGAGAAGAGAAATAACATACACGTTTGCCCTGCGCATACGGGACCTCGACAACTGTGGGGCTGCGCCCTTGCAACTCGGTGCCTTCACTACTTTGTCCGTGCGGTCTCAAAAGGTTTCGAGCCCAGTCGAGTGGAGAAGACGGTGGTGTATCATGGGTATCAGAGGGGCTGCGGTGGAACAAGCGGGCAAGAAACGTGCCGCCTGGATGTGCTGAGGAGTGGGGACGGCTTGGTGCTGAGGACTGAAACCGCGGAGGTCAGGATAATACTCAAAGTGATAATGATGGCGTACATGAGAACGATCTGGTGGGACTCCAGCAAAGAAACCTTGGTGGGTGGGTGTTCAACGATAGCGAGATAGGCAGGCTTAGACATGGCGATCATCGGCGAAGAGAAATGAGGGATAGTAAAGCTTTGGAGATGTATACCCATGTCCAGTGGCCTCGAGCTACAAAATATCATAATGTTAATTACGAACTGCAAAATATACCTAGGTGAGAAGTTGAAAATTGCATGCGATGGTGCGCCCATCCATTCGCCGAGATCTCTAGCATTAACGAGCGAGACACCACAGGCAACGATGCGAGTCTCAATCTCCGTTTGCGCAGAAACATAGCGGGTCCTGGATATCACCACTTCGTACGTCGGACCGACTTCTCCACCCACAAGTTGGATTTCATCAGCAATCAATAGACCGATGTTCTGCACATTCTTGCGCTGTCGCCATCTTCGAGACAGGATATCCCACTAGAAATATCGGTTTAGTGAGAGATTTGCAACGTGATTAATGGAACTAACCTGGGATGGGGTGCAAACAACAACATCCCTCTTCTCAAGAAGTCGAAGGTCAGCGCTGGTGTCTCCTGTGAGGCTTACTATCTCTTTGCCGCCTTGCAGGCCGCTGAACTTCCGACGCCACTCTGCAACACGTTGGTCGACCATCTCCTGGTAGGGCTCAATACAGACCGCCCTGGGCTGCTCGCGTTTGCTCCAAAGGCGAAGTAGAGTAAATTCGGCACATATAGTCTTGCCGCTTCCAGTAGGCGCGCCAATAAAGACATTCTCATCAGATGTGTAGAGAGCCTGGAAGACCTGCGTCTGGATCTTGTTGAATGTTTGAATGATGGACGAGTAGATGCTCTCGAATTCCTTGTTGTGTAAGGCAGATAGCGGGAGTGGCTGGAGTTCGAGAAGAGGAGTGGGAGGTGGGAACTTTTCTGGGAGAATCAAGTGTTTGAAGGATATGGGTAGTCGGGTCTCGGCGTGCAACCATCGGTCGGAGACAACAGATATGTAGTAGTTTGGGGGGACGGGCTCAAACATCGGAACCGTGATGGTGACGTTATGTTCATCCTCTGCATAACGTTGGCGCAAGACAAATGAGTCATGGAAAAGAATAATCTCTCCATCGACGTCTTCAACCATGATGAGGAATGTCTCAGCTGTTCCGTGGGTCTTCTCGTCCCATCGGAAGTCAGGAACAATAGACAAGTCGATACGAAGAAGGGAGCGGGTGATGGGCTGCACTTGCGCTTGCAGCTGCAGCTTGGGGAAGCTGTGCATCAAGCGATGCACGAGCCTTCCGGCGTTTGGAATGCCAATAAGCTCACCAATTTCAGGAGGGTCGAGATCAAAGTAGCGATACCATGGCTGATGAAGAATATCTTAGCACGTGCCTTGCTTGAATTGGTGTAAACTTACGAATTGTTTGCCCTCCGCTCTTCGGATGGCCTCCTGTGGAACACCCTTGAATTGGCGAAGCGGTGTCATGGAGCCCCACCTGAAGACCAAACAATCAGTTGATAATTAACGACTGTATCAAAAGCCACCAACATTCGTCGCTCAACCATCTTACATAGGTCGAGACATGCACGCGCTGGTACTGCCCATCCTCGCTTCAGGCAAATCTCAAACATAGCACGAAGAATACTGTAAGATGTGTGAGCTTAGGTAAACTAACTTAAAACAGCACATACCAGCCGGCAGATTACTGAACAAAGACCATATCGGCCACGAGAGCAAAACCTAATTATCCGATCAGCACAATATGGTAGACGGTTGAGTTGTCACCTGCCGTCAAGTTTAAGCTGCGATATATATGCTTGTAGAAGGACGTTGATCTTCGCTGCGGGTTCATCGACGCCTTCCTTCACTGAAATAGGCACACGTTCTAACAATTTACCAAGCTCAAGCTTCTCCTCTTGACGTACCTACAAAAATGAATATGAATGTTGAGACTCGCATTAAGGACAAAAAATGTGTGACATACCGGCAGAAGTTTGAACTCGTTCGAGAGCGCAAACACCCGGAACAATTCCAATGTCGACATGGTTGGTCTCAGATGCTGGTTGTATGTAGCCATCGAGTTGTACGTAACATAGTAGTGAGACGCAATGCGACCAAGCTCGGTGCTCTGGAAACGACCAGATGCACGTTCGTACTTGATGAGATGACATTTCTCCAGCAGAACAGCGACAGAATGGGCAATGTCAGCGCGTTTCTGGATAAGACCATTGTCGTCCTCCTGGTAATCGACGCCAACACAATAGAGTCCTGGGGACTTCAGCATGCGAACATAGCTGTGGGAAACGTCAGTACTTTTACTGCTGTGAGAAAAAGTGAGCTTACAGATAAGTGTACCCCAACCACTGGACGGCCTCGTCACGGTTACGAACAGTTCCAAGAACAATCTCTGCGTTCAAGTTGTCTGCAAGCTTCGACACGAACTGAGACTCGATCGGCAGCTGGTGGTTCAGCAAGCTGAGGTAGTACTGCAGCTCGGAGTGGTTCGTGATGATGACACCCTCACCATACGTATCATATTGCGGGCGACCAGCGCGACCGAGCATCTGCAACACATCCTGGGAGGAGAGTTCAACCCAGCGGCCTTTCTCGGGGTTATATATCTGCGTGCCCTTGATAATGACGGTGTGTGCCGGGAGGTTGACACCCCATGCGAGCGTTACCGTGCAGACAAGCACCTGGACTGCACCATCTGCGAAAAGCTCCTCGACAAGATTCCTGTCCTCTCTAGTCATACTGGCGTGGTGAATAGCGAACCCAAACGGCAAGAGATCGCGCAGATTGCCATCTTTGACATTGCCTGCTTCCTCTGTGAGGATCTCACGCGTCGCTGAGTCGGGGCGAACGAACTGCGTTATCGTCTCCTTCTCCATGGCCATGTCGCGGATGAACTTGGCGGTCTTGGTGGTCTCCTTGCGAGAGTGCACGAAGACAAGGGTCTAATTCTTGCCCGCTTGGTCAAGTACCTTCTCATAGCAAACCTCATTCATGACCTGGAAACGCTTGATAGCCTTCTTCTCTGTGACATCAATGAACTGCTGCTGAAGCGCACATGGACGGTACGAGGCATCGAAATAGAATAGGCCTCTCGATTCGTCCACGCGGAGGAATGTCGCAACGTCTTGGTAGATTGGAAGCGTAGCTGAGAGACCAACCAGGCGAACGTACTCTCCTGTTTGCTCCATCCTCCGTATCGTGCGTACCACAACACTCTCAAGCACGGGTCCACGCTCGTCATGCAGCAGGTGAATTTCATCAATAATCATGAGCCGAACGAGGTTTGTATAACTTGTGTCGGTACTCTTGCGCGTGATGACATCCCACTTCTTAGGTGTGGTGACAATGATTTGTGTCTCCGAGATCTGCTGTTTCGTCATTTGAGAGTCTCCCGTGAGCTCGCCAACCTTGATCCCGAAAACGTTCAGCCGCGCGTTGAAGTTTCCAACCATTTCTTGGACAAGAGCCTTCATGGGCGCAATATAGACAATTTTGAAATCGTCGAGGGCAAATTCACCTGTAGCCTCGTCACGATATTTTGACAACTCATTAAGAATGGTGAGCATGGCGACGTTGGTCTGCAATGGTCGACTTAGTGTCTGAAAGATGAAAAATAACAGAACACTACTAACCTTACCAGCGCCAGTAGGCGCACAGAGTAAGACGGGCTCATCCGTCCCGAAGGCAATTGGGTAAAGCTTGCTCTGAACTCGATTGAGCTTAGGCACGGTGAATGCCTTTCTTGCCCACTCCGGCAGTGCAGTAACAGGTACAAGCTCTTCCTCGCCGCCTTGCTTTTTCTGGGGGGCAGGGACATGAATCTCCTCATATCCCTTGCGTGCCCGCTTGAATGAGCCCTCAGGAAGCTTGCACTTCTTGTTGGACATCAGATGCCCTCCCTGACTGAATGCCATGCTCTCTAGGTCGACCGTGCGCTTTGGTTGCACTGTAGAGCCTGGTGCAAGGGTTGCTGTCTTTGGTACCGCTAACTTCTTCTCGTCTACATCCATGCCATCATCCTGCACCTTCTCGGCCTGGCGGTCTCCAGCAAGTTCTCACAAGATCCAACCAACACCCTTCTCTCGCATAGCAACATCGACATTGATCCGCTCGTCTGCGTCGCTCCGCATGAGCTTCGTGCACCATACAACCACATCCCGGTTTTTAAGGAACTTGGTGATCACGTACTGGTTCTCGCAATCGCGCAGGCCTAATTCCGAGTCGAGGATAGTGAGGACAGACGCTGCCTTGTCCGCTGCAGTAACTGGATCCGGGTAAACTTCCGATATCTGGCGTTGCACCCAGAAACCATCGATCACGTGCGGCGAGACGATGTCTTTATCTGCTTTGGCCTTTCCAGTTCCACGGGTTGACGAACCACCAATAACAAGTTCTGAACCCCGTTGGCGAGGTATGTCTGGCGATGACCTGTGTCAGACTATTGCAGACGATTGTGATATTCCATAGGTGCCCACTGTAACATACGGGGGACCCAGTGTCGACCCCAAGGATCCTTCGCCCTTGTCCGCTAAAATCACAGAATCAAACGTCATCCTTGAGTTCTTGGCGGACCTCTATCCAGACTCTGGGCTCCTGCCGAAGGATCCTGTTTCACGTGCCAAAGCCCGTCTCTTCGTTGATGCGAGCACTAAACATGTCGAGGGCTCGCTTTACGACTCCCTCCGAGGGGACGGGTCATATGAGAATGTCTTGAAGGGCATTGAATTTGTTCAGTGACTTCTCGAGGAGAGTGGAGATTTCGCAGTCGGAGATCATTACACCATTGCAGATGCCTGCATCTCTCCGCACCTTGCAAGGCTCAAGATCATCACCGAGAGTGACCTAGGTAGAGTACCCGCACTCGCACCTTTTCCGAAGAAGTTGACCCCGATTAATGGGACTAGGCCAATTCCCTGTCGGTTTGGGGTTTAAGCTGGGTGAGGAGCTAAAGGGACCTAAATTCATTAAATTCATGAAATACGTCGACCAAATACTGGAGCGTCCGAGCTTGAAGCAAACCTACGATAAAGTGCGTATTTTCCCGCTACCGTGGTAGTAAGTCAAAATGACTTATTGCTATACTGCGTTTAGGAGGGTGTGATCACATACTTCAAGGCATTTTTCGTGCGCGCGCAGTGAACATATACCTATACTTGATAAAAGATAGTTAGTTTCGTACGACAAAGCTTACTCGCTGTTAGAAATTTGCAGTACATCCAGGCGAATAATAGACAAATTATACACTGCTCGTGGACCGTAAACGTCCAGCCATCGGACTGTCAATCTTTCGCACGAAGTTGTGCAATCACTGTGCAATGCGGCGTGCGTGTCGAATCTCGAGGTTGTGCGAAGCTTTGAAAGCGAATACTATTGCGGATCGTGGTTCATATAGTAATTATCGGGATTATAATGGTACTGTTGATAGAATCGTGACTGGTACAGCTGACGGCCTGCATTACCAGAGCCCCCAATGTCATACATCGGCGCTCCACCACCACCTCGAAAATCCTGAGACGTACTAGCGAGAGGTCTATCAACCGGTGAGGGTGCTTCAAGAACAGATGGAGACCAAGGTACAGAATGGTGCATTGGATGATATGGAGCTGGGTGGAGGCAGACTCGGATCCATGCCTAGCATTGAGGAATGAGCGACAGGCTGCGGTGGATACCTGGATGGTTGGACGATCAACGCAACACGTGAGCTTGCGAGCATATGGCGTTGATCAGGGGCTTTGTAAGCCACCACGCGGTTTTGACACTTTCTGCACTTCCAAAGTGCTAGGCGCTGACATATAGATAAGCCTTTTCCTCCGCGTAAGCCTTCCTGAATCCTTTTCGTCTCGTACCGTCACCTTTCGGCACTCGACACGACTTTTGTCCACCCACCCACCTCCCTTTCTCTATGCTACACCAGCGTGTTTTGGTCTGGTCTCGTTTTTCTCTTCTTCTCTGCGGTCCCTTTCATCCCACACCCCGAGACTCGGTCACAACACGCTCAGAGGGTCTGTCCCCTCCGCGTCCGGTTTTTATTTTCGCAAACTCAATCTTCAAGCTCGAACCACCGGACTCAGAACGCTCTTCCCAGACCCTGCGCACACACGCAGTCTGGCGGAGCCAGACCCTCCCCACCAAACCACGAAAGCGAAGCTTTCGTGGTTTACTAACCTCTCTCTTCGGATGTCGCCTTCACCAACGTCACCTCTAACAAATTACATTCTCAACAGAATAATCCAACTAACGTCAGTCAAACTCGAATCCCACATTTCTTCCAATCCTCTTCTCTTCACAATCTTCGAGTTTGTTTTTTCCTCCCATCCCGTCAGAACTAAGTACGGCGTTCCTACAAAGCTGGTGAATCGAATTTGGGGGAATCATATCTTGCGGGAATTCAGGAGCAACATTGTTGTTTTCGAGACGGCGCCTGCGAGACCGAGTGAGATTAAATAAACCTTCATAGCGTTGATTTTTCTTGAGTTCCGGGTGATCGTTAAAGTGCTATAAAATTCGCTGTAACAATTCAGCTTTGAGTTCTTCTTCAGCTTTCTTCTGAGGGCTACACCGGCGGTTTGGGGGCATTGTAAGGATGCGAGAATGAGATGACACGACGTGATGCTACTGGATGCTATGTATCAAGCCGAGTTTGCCGTAGAGGAGATTGAATTTCTTACGCACTCTCCTATCTACTGTCACACTTTCATACATGTCGTCAATCATCTATCTATAGCATCTTAAAACAAGAGAATGACCTCTATCGAAATTGTGTTCTGATACCCTGACGAGGTGTTTGATGTGCTCCGGGTGTAACTTTTTGAATATCTCTCTAGGATCTATGGGATCTGGATCATTTATGATTATACAAGGTTGCAAATCACCACTATTCCGTCTCTCGCAGCTGCAACACTGGAGAAAATTTTGCTTTACTTGGACAGTACATCATCTATAAGTATCCTACATGCGCCTGGATTTTTTCGAGGTGATTCAAGCAGCGCATTGAGGTGTTTTGAACATTTTGCATATTACATGCCAGTTGCAGATTCCCAGGGGCCAGGAGTGATAGTATCACGACGATACGCTCGCGCTTATTAGTCAGCGAGGGCGTTTAAATTGTGGCGTATAAATAGAAACAGTCAGGGGCAAAGACTACAGATGCGGCAGTCAACTATGAACGATGCGAATGATTTCTACGATGCAACTACATGTATCTATACAGCGTGACTCGCTCGAGTCAAGATTCAAAATGCGTGAACTGATTCAAGTACATGATCCCCGTTAAGACTTCTTGATTTTGTACCTAGAGCAGGGAAGCGCCGACGCGCACGCACGCTTGCGCTTGGAGGTTGCAACGACCACTGGCTCTTCTCCCTCATCTGCCTGCTCCGAATCTACATAAGAGGATTCAGCACTCCCCGTGCCGAAATGCTTTTTGTGCCAGGCGAGATATCGCTTGTGGGCAGTGACATCCGAAGCACCGAAGAGTCGTTTTGAGACAAGGCGCCAGTTGGTGCGACACCTGACTTCGCTTTCCGCGAGAGCGGTGCAGTCGACGCTAGGCTCGAGCTCCTTCTGGAAAGCGACGAAAGAATCCCTAACCTTAGTCAACCCTCGTTCAAGCATCTCCGTGACAGCGTCCATGTCTATCTCGGGCATTACTATCTGTATTAAATTTGTGACATCGAATCGAAAGCGTGAAATCGATAAAGACACTTACCCCGTACGCCATGTCCCCTGGATCTTGAGAACGGATATCAATCGGCGATCCATCATCTCTCTTCACCCAAACAAAATATTCGACGGAAGAGAGGTGGCACCAGGTGTGATCGCCGATTACGGTGGGCTCGCCGAACGAACGTGGCGTGGTGCGTAGATTGATGAACTGCTTCAGTGTAAGGGGTTTCGGATCACTGTCAGTGCCGCCACATAGGGCTGTTGGGACAGTGGAATCACGATAATCGGGGGCGGCGTATTCTCTAGCTTCACGAACTAGCATGACAGCGATGCAGATGACGTCCGGATACGCTAAGATGATATCTTCTGCCTTTTCGAATACGTGTTCATCGGTCTCCGAGAGTGCGCACTCCGCAACGAAGGGGATCAGCACGACTTCCGTGGGTCCCTCCACAGCGGTGACAGTCATCGCCATATCAGGCATAATGGAGCCGTCAGCGATCTCCAGCATCAAAGACGTATCGAGCATTGGGCAGATAATTTCGGGGTCGTAGGGAAGATCATGGATAAAATCACTGACGAAAATCCTCACATCGTCGAAGGACACTTGATGGAGTACAGTGGGCATGTTGACGATGAGGACGTGCGTGTTGTAATCGTAAGCCAGCCTTCGGGACAAGTTCAGCATTGCCTGAAACGGTTAGATGTAATGACTCGCCTGGGCTTCGTCGATACTCGGCCCGTTTCTCCCACCATGCCTGCTATAAATTCGAATTCTCGCGCTCCAACACCGTGGAATTCCTGTGATATTTGGTAAGCATATGAACACAGCACAATTGAATGACTCAAGGCTCAAGAGACATACCATGCGGGACATGTGCAAAGTTGGTTTGGATAAATAATTCAATACCTTGCGGACATCTTCAATCCCATCAGAATATTTGTCGATTAAACCCTTAATTTTCATTGAACATACTGCAGGTAGTGCGGTCAGAAACAAAGGACTGCTGGCAGACATCACGCAATGGGCTGGCATCTGAAGAGGCAGGGACCTCAGGTTGTATAACTGGTTTGTTCTCTGATGCCTCCTCTTTCCCAAGCAAGGATATTTTGTTGGATATTACATCTTGTTCAGTGCCGGGTCCTGATGGTAAACCTGGGGATGCTGGTTTTATGAATTGTGTTGCCTTGTGGGTAGTAGCTTGCGTGGAGTTGCTTCTGGTTTCATGGTGTCTGTAAGAGTGTTTAGGGGGGAAAGGAATGCTATAGGGATTTTTGTCAGGTTGTGCCACTAGTGTAGACATGCCTGTTGGATGCTGAGCACTGAGCGCTGCCAGTGAGTGTTGACTTCGTGTGGCGAGTACCGAGACTACTGGTCGTGGAAGCTCCGGAAGAGATAATCAAGATTACAAATGATAAGGACCTAAAATAGACCAGAAACGGCAACTGCCACATCGATCATGGTTTTCACTTGATTTCAGCCTCATCCATGATCATGATAACTTGATGCATCATCCCCGCGCTCACAAAGCAAGGGAAAAGAAAGAGCGATAACACTCCGTAAGCATCCGCCACAGACACCGTCAAGTCTGTAGCTCGCGCATCTCCAGCTAATGATGATCGCTTTCAAGCGTTGGAGGAGGGCAATATATCTGCTGATCACACTGAAGTAGGGGCGCCTGCGAGGCGCGAGTCCCAAATGGACGAACATGCGTTAGACGATGATTCAGGTGACAGTTTTTCCCCCAGTGGAACGGTAGCATGCCTGACTACACAAGGCGAGGATGGGGACAACGCAGCCAATGGGGATGAGGCGACGCTCAGACATGCAACAGCAAGGCCAATACTGAAGTTACCATTTTCAACGATGTGTTCGAGGATGTGTTCATTCTCGTTCAAGAGGAGTTTCGTAACATTCCTTCAAAGAATGTTGGGACCAAGGACCCCCAGTACATCAACAGCCTGGACAATTACTTGCACTACCTAGTATGCAAGCTGCGCTCAAAGTGGCACCTTGCGACAACAAAGCCCTCGCAATGGAACGACATTACCCGGTTTCACGATAGGGTTGTGGCGAGGATCGCCGTGTAGCTGACGGCTGAGGATTGCGTGCAAGAGGCTCCGTTACCGTTGTTGTGCGGTCATCTTCTCGATATTGCGTGGACTAGTTTGATGTCAAACATCGCTGCGTTTATAATTTGAACCACACGCGATACATGACGTTCTACTCACTCGCTGTGTCAGGTCAGCGGATGGTTACTATACGTCCGCGAGGGTGTTCTCAGCACCAGGTACGTAGATCACGTCGAAGTCGAATTCACTCAAGGCTTCGAGCCATCTGACCTGTCTGGGCGACAGCTTCGTGTGGGGGGATATCGATATCTACTCAAGACCATGGTTAGTCAAGATAGCCGAAGACGATTGTCTAGTTGATGCCGCACTTTCCAAAATTCTGGCACTCCCCGTCGAACAGAGACACGAGCTCGATCCTCGAAGAGACGTGATGTATTTCTCGCGCAACATTATCTTGGGCTGGTACGAATCCAGCTCTTAGATGGACAATATATCTGTATCGACGCCCTCCTTGTCCTCCGCTGGGTATTGTTGTCGCTCTTGCATCCTCCTGGTGACTCTGAATAAGTGCTTCATATTCTGCGTTACTCATGCTATCTGACCCAAATGCTCAATGAGTTTGGCAATGTCGCAGGACCAGGCCCCTTGTCGCCTCTTTCCTGTTCGGCTGGTCTCACTCGCTTCGCACCTTCCAAATATGCTTAATCCCGCTGTGCAAATGTTGCACTATGACTATAGCTCTTCTTCGCAAAGGCACAAAGCGCACTGATTTGAAACGCCCATAGATCGTACTTTTCCCGGCATCTTGCACAGTCCTGTATGGGGCTAGGCGGCGCCGGGTGTCAGAATATTAATATGGGTCGTGAATGAAATGCATTTCGTCACCAACGTATGTTCGGTAAGGGAGGGAAGCTCATTTCCTGAACCGCCTTAATGAACATATATAGTGTGTCATTGGAAGAAGGCCGGGGTTTGTCCACAAAGACACATCCGGTAACGCTATGGGCATTCCCTTATTCCATGAGACTCCCCCTACACTAGGCGAGACACGCTTTGATTAACGAACCAGGAGCCACGACGACGGGGGCAACGAAGATAAGAACAAAAAAAGGAAGCAGGAACCGTCTTCGCATCTTACTGGGATGGGAGGGAATGGGCTCTCTAAAGCCGACAGAGAGGCGCGTATTTTCTTGTTGTATTGATATCTACCTAAATACTGTCTATGTATGTTTACGAGTAGCAGCTGCTCACGTGAGCGCTGCCCACCGCATTCTATCATCTAACCAGCTATTTCGCAGTTAATTCGAAGCAGGACGCACCGTCGTCATCAGTTATATCCTGGGTCAGGAACAACACTGCTCCCTACAACAGCCGAGATACTACAACAGTGGAAGAAGTAAAAGAACACACAACAAACCAATATTTTCTATGCGTGATCGAATCAATTCCATGAAAATCATTGGTAAACGTACTGGACACAAACAGGCAACGGATTGAGAAGTGAAGATCAAGCTTTCCGGCGTTTGGTAGAACTGTTAGACACGGAGCCAGAGGTGCGACTACCTGCATTGCCAGTAGAAGTCTCTGCAGATTGGAGTGAGAAAGTGCCCGCTTGCGGTAAAGGTCCACTAGAAGACATGTCTGAGGGGCGCTTCTGAGATGTACGACGCTTTGACCCTGAATTAAACTGATAGGAAGATGGCACGGATGATTGTGCAGAAGGGTTGGGAAATGGTGGTGAGGTCGAAGTTCCAGAGCCGTAAGAATAAGGAAGGACAGTGGGAATAAACTTGAACCTTTCCACCCCCACCAAGCGCGATATGGATAATGAATACCTATTTCGAGCATCGGCGACTACCTCCCTGCTGGGCGCTCCGTCATCAGCAGGGGGTATCAAGAGTATCATTTCTCTTACTACACTAACAAGCGCGGCGTGGGTCAAGGATGAGCGTTTCGCGTTGATCGTGCGATCGTCCTCCTTGGTTGGCCACAGCAAGTTAAATAATTTGCGCCATCCATCACTAAGTTTGCCGACCTTCCAATATGGATGAAGTGACAGGTCGAACGTCTCGTAGTTGAGGAACCTTTTCTGATGTAGTACAGTGTCGGTCCGCAGCTGTAGGGAACCCATTTTGGCCCACTCCGGGACTATTGCATTCCGCCTTTCAAACTCTTCGTTGCCACTCTCTGCAGGGGTGTGCTGCGTTGCGGAAAACCGCTTAACCGAGGAAGAACTCTGGCCTTTGCCAGGCCAGTTGATGGGAGCCAGCTGTAGTTTGCTGGAGATAAGGTCGGCGGCTTCGTCGTTGGCCATACAATTGCTGGGAATAGGTCCCGCCTTTGGAGGAGGAGGCCAGTGTTCGACCTGATGGTACGGACCCTTGAAATTGACGCCGACAATCCATATAAGAAAGATATACGACTCTAGGTCATGCGTGAGGTGGGGAGCCTCTTCTGAGTCCGCAGTGGTGCCAAAAGGAAAAGTCCCCTGTAAAAATGAGTATGAAAAAACTGAAATGACATGAAGACGTACGGTGGTAGTTACAGCGTTGGCTGCACCAGCTTCATCCAACATGTTCAAGCCAAGGCCGAAATCACCAGTCATACCAGGACGCTTGGGAAACCACGGTGCGGGGACTTCCAGAGTATCGAAGTGCGATTTAGTATTCTGGGGTGATATATACCATTCTGGAACCGCGTACTGGGGTTCGGTCTGAGGAACCCAGAACCAAACATTACCGTCGCTGGTGTCGCGGTGCATAATTCCACGCCTGCATGCCTCAAGATGACCTGCAAATAATATATGAGACGAGACAGGACCCTCGGTAGAGATTACATGCTCACCTAGTAGTGAATCCAATATGCCATGTAAAAACTCGCGGCGACAAGAGAACCAAGTGCATTTGACGGCCGGGGTGCGAAATACTGTGCGACGGTGGATTAAGGGGTCGCTGGCTGTAGTCATGTCCTGTAGAATGACGGGCACGCTGTCTAAAGCTTGGTGGCCGTTATTGCCATCCGTCATCTCGAGAGCTTCCACAGAGAACCGATCGTCCCGTATGGGTAGATGCCAGGGGTGCATCCCTTCAGAGTTCAAATCATCCCATTCCGGCCGAATGCCCCAGGACTGGAACAGTTCTTCTGTAAGTTTGGCCTCTTCAGGCGTTTTAAAAATACGTTCAGGGAACTCGCCTGTTGTCTCAATCAGGTCAACATGCGCGTCATAGATCTAGGGTAGACTTACTGCCTAAAAGCTTGCGAGTCTCATCGATACGTCCACTATCCTCCAGCAACTTGTGAATATCTCCATCTGAGGCGATCCGGATGTCCTGCCACACATCCTTCACAATCAAGTTGTCCATCTCAGCAGCGGAGGAGGGTTGGTAGGTAAGGCCCAGGATTCTCGTAGATCGGCCAATGGCGGAATTGCTATTGTAGATCACCGATACGACATCGGCAATAGTCCCGTGCGTTGACTCGGATTTTCCCTTCAAGGCCATCTTGAAGCCGCGGCTGTGTCTTACAATAGACTTGTCGTAACCCAGGAACTCCAAGTCGGCGTGCTTGAACCACGCCATGCAATTAAGGAATTCGTCAACGTCGTGATAGATGTCGATAGGAAGAGTCACAGACGATCCTCCCCGAGTGTAGGTGCACACGAAGAGATCAGCACCCAACAAGAGCAGACCCACGAAGTACCGCCGATTAATCTGATTTGTCAGAACGAGTCGCGCGATCTCTGACATATATTCTATTGCTTGCTCCATGAGACTCTTGGTGTTACGATACTTGATCTCTAGCGCAGAAATAACATCTGCCCATTCAATGGAGTCGATGGGCTTCGTGGTATCCATTAATACGGCGTCAGGCTTGCGACAACCGGGCCCGATGGGAGCAGTCACGTTCGCACCAGTTTGGGGACGAATGAAAGTGTTGCCGGTATGAAACCAAGCACGTTTACGAAGTTTCGACAGAGCCGACCTGCCATGGTGGTGGGTAATTATTTGATCAATCCAAGTGCCGCCCTGAACAACGTTGGTGAATATCGAGCAAATCAATCGCATCTTGTAGGTTCGACATATAGAATGCTACTTACTTCGTTTAAAAATTTTACGATAGCCTTCTCTTTTGCAGCGTCCTTTTGCCTATCGTACAACCAAGGGCACACAGAGGTCGACCAATGACCCATCACGCGTCCTCGCAGCTCGACAGCTTGAAACTATTTTATGCTATTAGCGGAATTGTTCGCGGAATAAAAGGCACGTACTTTACTACACCACACCTCTGCCACGCCCCCAGCCTTGTCTTCAAGGACCCCTCGATTCTGAAGCTCATCTCGCACCCTACGCCTGGCTGCCACCATGTCATCCTGAAGATCCGCCGGTTTTAACAGGAATGGTAAGCCATCCTCCAGTCGCGCTTTGAACCATCGCGTCCCATTTTCGTGCATAAGGGACACTATAGCCTCCAAGTCGTTATCAGTTAGGTATGCGTTGGCAGGAGAAACTGCCTCCTTAAGCGCCGAGAGCAGATCCTGATAGTAGCCTTTCTGGACAACGAAGGACTTCACTTCGTTGATGATGTCGTCTGTGATATAATCGGGCTTGGAATACGTAGCATGCAAAAGGTGGCAATTCTTCCAAGGAGTGACATAAGACACATAGCGGCTATTGCGCTCCGTCAATGGCTGCATGGCGCTCGCTCTGGGATATTGGACGTCCGATGGGAGAAAATACGAATGTAGCGTAAAACGCTCTCTCCGCTTTCGTTTAATTTTTACCGCCATGTATGGATCTGCTGCGGCGTAGTGTCAGAAGCGGTGAAAGTCAGCGATTTGGCCGACTCCAGCTATTCTACCTAGATCCTGGGGCCAAAATCTAGGGCTTCGGCGGGTGGATTCTGACGGAGTTCAAAGCAGTTCACACGGGACCGGACCGCGGCAGCACTAGCCCGGCCCCGGCCCGTGCCATCACACTTGGCTCAAATAACCACTCTATGCTTCGCATGGTGAGATTCGACGTTCGAGCGTGTTCAACGTGATTGTCTCTCGACTACGAGGCCTCAGAGTCTCAGACAGTTGTTCGAATTCACGGTGTAGCATACATGATTATTACAGCATCAGTGAAAACGATCAAATTTCACCGTCTTCACCTACACAATCTGAACCTCGTCGTCGTCAGAATCGACCTTCAACGTGTGCTTTTTGGCCCTGATGGACGCAATAGCGGGATTGATGGTGTATGTCTGAGACGTGCGCCCAAGGTTGACAGCTTTATCAATGCCAAACAACATAACTGCGATGCGGAAGGGACCGTACTGGCGATCAGCCAAACACGCACTGATCTCCCGATGTTTGACGGCTATATCCTCTGGAGAGAGCAACGTCCAATGCACCAAAGGCGGCCCACCTTTCCAAATTCTGTGCGATAGGGCACTTGCGAGGCCTAGTCGCACAAGAAGGAGTGGCCCGATCCCTTTCGCAATGTTCTTCGAATTCCAGATGGTGGGGGAAGCTATTACCACTTTTCAAATGAATGCGCAAGGGGCTTGTTGGGGCGTACACTGCGATGATATAGGCGGGCACCATGGCGATGAACTGGCTTGGCAGTTTGCACCCTTTGCGACCGCGGCGGTGTGGCTTCCATGGGAGAGCGCGTATTGCCTTTGTGAGCATGACAGGATTGGTCACATTCCCTTGTGGTTTATCGCTGTCGGCGAAGAATAAATCAGGAAGAATCCGGCTGACATAGATACCGGCGATGAGTGCGATCTGATGCAGAGGTTTATTGATGTCGAAGTTTGCAAAAACCCACTCATAGATCATACTCACGCTAGGCTCGCTGCCAGCTGTCGGGCCTCTTGCGAGCTCGATGCTCTCAATCGCGAATTCGTCAGGGAGACGAGAGCGAAGGATGTAATCGGCCAATGACTGCAAGGTGATCAACTCAGCAGACCAAGCTGCCCTGTATCTGCGACCTGGGCGCGTCGAGATGCATCGGCCGCAGCATTGCTCAACTGGGTATGACGACGCTCAATAGCTTGTGAGTCAATGGCCTTCCCTAGATTGACCCAGGAATCAAAGACAGGCTTCCGACGCCGTCTGCCACGCAGTCCTGCTGCACCATGCCAGGGGATATTGTTGATATGAAGATTGATTGGCGGCGATGATGAATGCTTCCTGCAAGAACCTCTCCGAAGACCGTGTAGAATCCTGCGGGGCATATTTGCGCATATATGTTAGAGCGACGCGAAAGACAGGAGTTGAACCCCCATTGAAGATGAGAGGAGCGGCGATGGCGACAGGGTCGGTCCCTCGAGACATCTCACAAATGAGGCGAGCGAAGTCTTGGATGGAGAGTTTGTCCTTGGTTGGATTTGGCAATCCCTCGTGGTGGGCAGTGGATTTGGGAAGCACGCAGGACACTAAATGTTCGTATGCCTTATCAACATAACCAAGAGGATGAGCGGTCGCAAGCCATTTGCGAAGTCCTCTGCGCCGCTGCGATGCATGGAGTTCCCCATCGATGGCATCTTCTGCCTCCATGGCATTGCATGCAGTGGTGACAGCCCCCGCAACAAGTGTCTTGACATCAGCTATGTACACTTGAAGGGCGACCACTGCGATGATGGCTGCATGACGGACATTGCTAGTGTATGACTTGAAGGTATTGGGTGCCAGCTGATTGACCGAGAGCTGTATATGAAACTCTGCCTTATATGCCTAGGAGAGGAACTCGATTAACGACAGGACAGAGACGGAATGAGACGATGCATGCCTCAAAATGATCATTCCCATACGTCAATATTTGCGAGCGCTTGGATGCGATGGCCGGGACATTCATGTTGGTGAGGGTGGGCCACTCTGAAGGACTGATGGCGACGGGAACGCAGGGAGTGTGGGAAAATCGCACTGAGGGGCAAAGGTCGGAAGACCTTGTTCCAAGAGACTCTTTACCAACCACAAAGGCCTCATGAGACTTGTAGCGATTACTTTTGAGTTTCCAGTATGAGCATACGCCAACGCGCGTTCGAGGACGGAGCATAATTCAACGACTTGAGGGGCAGGTTTACCACCTTTGGTGAGGACGGGCAGGAAATGTTCCCATATACGTTCGAGCAGGGACGTGATTGGATAGGTGGTCCATTGATAAACATGGGGAAATGCCTGCAAAGGAGGATGGTGAGACTTCATTCATATGATGTATAACGGCGGCGTACTTCAGCGGTCAACACAAACAGGTGTGGGCGAATGGCCTCGAAGATGGTGGGATGCGACCAGTAACTCGCCAAGGGCACAACCATGTCTCGATATATTGATCTTGGGCAGGACGCATTATGTCAGTCGAATCGAAGACCTAGACATGAACGACTCACAATCCATTCCGCTTCGCCAACTTCAAGGAGTCTAACTGGAAGATATATATGTTCTCCAGACGCAGCGCGCGGGGAACGTCATTTACATCGATTTTGTTATCGTAACGTTGGTGAGGCAAGAGCAGACTACACTCTCTAAGAACCATCTTATGCGCGGTCTGAGCGTTGCGTGTAGTGGCATAAGCACCCGAGAGGGCAGAAGTGATGCGACCTTGCTGAACATCGTGTAAGGCGGCGGACGGCCTGATGCGATGCGAGATCTCATTGTAGAACTGGCAACCGCTAGCCAAGAGTACAGGTGGCATGAGCCCATTCGGAAAATTGTTCAAATAGTCAAGGTCGTCGTCCAAAGCGTGGTCATCAAATTCATCTCGACCAACTGTGTCGCGAGAAACGGCTTTACGAATTTTTGATATGAATGGAGCGAAATGGGGTAAAAACTGCGTTGCATTGGATATGACCATACTTCCTCAGGAAAGCTTGAGGATAGACATTGACGCGAGGAATATGGAGATTGTCGTCGTCCATGATGATATCAGGATCGATGGCCATGTCATCATCGGTAATCATTGCAGAAAACAACTCTGCGATAGTCTCGAGGTTGATGAGAACACCGCAAGATTTCACGTTATGGCTGCAGAGACCATCAAAGCGGGAATTCGACGACCATCTTCGTCGTAGATGTTATTTTCTTTCTTTGTGTCAGGATCTCGGGCGGGGAAGTCCTCCAAATTCACTGGCTGCCGGAAGGATGAGTTTGGGGAATCGTATATGATGTCGTGGGCTCCCAACAACTCATCCTCAGGTATTTGCACCCACCGAGACACTGGTTTACAACTGGTGACAATGGCGGTAGTTATCACATCAGAGAGCGGGTCACGGTAAAGGACGAACGGTACGCACGTGAGATCCGTGGCAATAGCCATGGACATATAGCGAATGTCGGAATATTCGCGCTCCGCTTGCCAGTTTGCCTCTTCGACGCCTCGAGCAGCCGGGTCCAAGCTCGCGATTGCTTGGTTTTGCCCATACCTGCACGCTATGGATAAAGGTGCACGGGATTGGAGCCAACCGTCATCCTTCCAAGATGCTGGCGCTTTGTGAACCCATTCATCCCAATCTGATACGATGTATCTGTGGAGGGCCTTCAAGTCCTCCAAACGGAGGTTGATGGTCGGCTGATCGCTGAAAGGGAAACCTTCGATTAGCCACTGAAACTCGTGGCAGGGGTGTGTCGCACTGGAGACTTACTACAGGTTCGTGACCTCCTTGACTCTCCACTGCGTAAAATCCTCGTCGGTTCCGTATGTATGCATGATATGGATAGGTAGGGATGATATTTGTGCCAATGCCGAGGCAATAAACATCACAGCCATGCGATAATGACGGGATGACAGACGGGTCTCGCCGTGTTTCTTTTCGTTTAGCAAAGGAGCCTCGTCTGCAAGAGAAATATCCTCGATGTGTGTCAAGGGACAAAATCCCAACCACAGCTCGCAAGAAACGCCGGTCCCGATTGCCATCATCGAGCCTGTAGGGTCAAAACCGAGCTTTCCAAACTTGGGTTTGAACTGTTTGTTATTGAGGCGGAAATCCAGAGAGACGGAAAAGGTGTGGTCGGAAATAGTGTTCGGGAGGAATGCATGCAAGCCAATTGCACCTGATACGACAAGGACAAAGTCAAGGAAATGTTTCGACGCGTCCCACAACAAACTGGGGTGATCGGGGGCAAATGTGAGATGAGGATCAACGCGGAGATTAGTGCGACGCAGTAATAAATTTGCTGCAGTTGCCTTGTCCTTCTTGCGAAAGACTTTCTCGAAGGCTGACAGAGGTAAGGTACAAACAGGAGTCTGTTCCCAAGTACGGCCGGTTGTCTCCTGGCCTTCGCGGGCAATAAACATGCTGTGAAACACCTCTTCCTGCGGTACAGGATCGTCGGATTCCACAGCCGAAGGGACATCATCAAGATTAAACGGACTGCTTTCGTCTATCGCGTTAGACAGCAATCCGTCATCTAGAATATCAGAATCGTCGTCGGTGCTACTGATGCGCCGGAGCGCTCGGACATCAGAAAATGCCACGTATAATCGCACTCAACAGCTTACCTGTCAGCAGCGTATTGAGCCATAAGGACGAGCGTTGAGGCTGAGGTGGGAGGTGACCTGAGAGACAGACCGGAGTGGTGGTACCGTTATAAGGACAGTCGAAGGTACGGACTCCGCATCCGGTTCAGCGGGTACGAACACAATACAACATGCGATTAGGTTAGCGATGAGGGCAGATGACACAAAGTGAGGTCAACAGCTGATCAGACGTCGAGGACATTCAATGTCTCATAGAATAAGGGAATACCAGAGCATTATCAGATGTGTCTTTCTGGGATAATCCCGGCCTTCTTCTACTAGTAGTAGTGACACTACACATGTTTATTAATGCGTTGATAGCGACGAATTAATGTATCAGCAAAAACCACAGTACGCGGCTGATCCGGGCGTCGATGAATCGGTGAGTCATTCGCCTCCGAATGTGGAACAAATTCTAGGCATTTTACGTCTTGAATCAGAGGACGCAGACTCGGACGTTGAACGTTGAGTGAGAAGAGGTAAAAGACCTATCTCACCAAGTCTCGCTAGACATAGACCGTTGACTCCACTAAAGCCTGAGGTGGCAACTGAGAATAGCGATGAGGCATAATATTAGTCATGCCGTGTGCATCAGCCACAGGTGGCAAAGGGACCTAAACAAACAGGTTTCAGGCAGGCCAGAAGGATAAGACTGCTGAACCTCGAGTATGCTCGTCCAATTATCCTGCCCATTAAGAGATGATTTCAGTGAGGTGAGGAGGCATCCCTAGTACTACCTAAGTAGTAGTAGTAGTAGTAGTAAGTACCAAGTAGCGATTTCTTTGGGACCACATTTATGTCATTCATCACAGTGATTTTACCTTGACTGCCAGGACTTATCACTTTCAGCATTCTCACTGCTCTTGTGTTTAGTGTGGTTGTGGCCTTTGACTTGGGGCCAACATCGTGGGGTAGGACTAGGTGTTCTTGGTAAGTCTTTTGTTTTCTCACTATTTCTGCCCTCCAGGGAGGTTGATGCACTTCCCTAATTTCAGGATAACCATTTATTGTTGGATTGGCCCTTAGGTGATGCTGCACCAGCAGAGCTTGGCATGTCCATGGTGAGTGCTGTCAAGTCCTATTCTGGCTGATCTCTGGGAGTCACAGGCACATCTTCTGTCAGGCTCTGAGATGTTGGACCCTCATGGCCCCCTAAGGTACATGGTGCTTCATTTGGCATTGCCTGATGAGTGCCACATCCATCCATCCCCATGGTATAACCTGCAGCCTCTGATGCACCCCTGTGGGTAGGTGATTGTTGACCAATTACACACCAAGTGGCGATCTGCACAGAATGTCATGCTTTAGTTGCGCCCAGGAACAAAGGAGTCCCACTATACATGGGAGCTGATATGAAATTCAGCAGGAGGCCATGAGGTGAGTTGTCATCCTCTGCACATACATATTCACTCACGGATCTAACTGTGCATTTAGGCTTGTTACTATATGTCTGCAAGGGTGTTCTCAGCACCAGGTATGTAGATCATGTCGAAGTCGAATTCACTCAAGGCTTCGAGCCATCTGACCTGTCTGGGCGAAAGCTTTGTGTGGGAGGATATTGATATCTACTCAAGACCATGGTTAGTCAAGATAGCCGAAGACAATTGTCTAGTTGATGCCACACTTTCTGAAATTCTGGCACTCCCTGTCAAACAGAGACACAATCTTGATCCTTGAAGAGACGTGATGTATGTCTTGTGAAACATTATCTTGGGCTGGTATGAATCCAGCTTTTAGATGGACAATATATCTGTATCAACGGCCTCCTGGTCCTCTGTCTGAGTTGCCTTACCATCAGACACCATCATACAGTTACGATACACTTCCTTACAATGTGATGAGTAGGAGTCTGTAGGACAATGAAGACAATAACACATGTAGAAAAAGCTCTGTACCTTTCTCCAGCACAGTTTGTGGGGTCCAATCTTGACCAGTGGAATGGTAACATCTTACATGGTTTTTGAGCCAAAATGGTAACTGTCAGGTCAGTCACACTCACGGCAATTACTAATTGGAAGGTCACAGCAGTAGTCACAGCAGGCCTAGAACATTGTGCAAAGTTGATACTTTGCAAGTGAGTTGAGTCAAACATGGGCACCTCAGGGGGCGCCAGTCAAGTTCCAGTTATAATAATTTAGCAAGCACATATCATCTCCAATCCAGAAAATTTGATGGTGATCGATACTCCAGCTGGAATAGGGATACTCACTGAAGATGATTGTCTAGTTGATGCCGCACTTTCCAAAATTCTGGTACTCCCTGTCAAACAGAGACACAAGCTCAATCCTCAAAGAGATGTGACGCATTTCTCATGCAACATTATCTTAGGCTGGTATGAATCTAGCTCTTAGATGGACAATATATCTGTATTGACACCCTCCTTGTCCTCTGCTGGGTATTGTTGTCACTCTTGCATTCTCCTGGTGACTCTGAATAAGTGCTTCATATTCTGCATTGCTCATGCTATCTGACCCAATGCTCAATGAGTTTGGCAATGTCACAGGACCAGGCCCATTGTTGTCCCTTTCCTGTTTGGCTGGTCTCACTCGCTTTGCACCTTCCAAATATGCTTAATCCTGCTGTGCAAATGTTGCACTATGACTATAGCTCTTCTTTGCAAAGGCACAAAATGCACTGATTTGAAATGCCCATAGATCGTACTTTTCCCAGCATCTTGCACAGTCCTGTATGGGGCTAGGCAGCACTGGGTGTCAGAATATTAATATGGGTCATGAATGAAATGCATTTCATCACCAATGTATGTTTGGTAAGGGAGGGAAGCTCATTTCCTGAACCACCTTAATGAACATATATAGTGTGTCATTGGAAGAAGGCCATGGTTTGTCCACAAAGACACATCCGGTAACACTATGGGCATTCCCTTATTCCATGAGACTCCCCCTACACTAGGTGAGACACTTTGATTAACGAACCAGGAGCCACGACGACGGGGGCAACGAAGATAAGAACAAAAAAAGGAAGCAGGAACCGTCTTCGCATCTTACTGGGATGGGAGGGAATGGGCTCTCTAAAGCCGACAGAGAGGCGCGTATTTTCTTGTTGTATTGATATCTACCTAAATACTGTCTATGTATGTTTACGAGTAGCAGCTGCTCACGTGAGCGCTGCCCACCGCATTCTATCATCTAACCAGCTATTTCGCAGTTAATTCGAAGCAGGACGCACCGTCGTCATCAGTTATATCCTGGGTCAGGAACAACACTGCTCCCTACAACAGCCGAGATACTACAACAGTGGAAGAAGTAAAAGAACACACAACAAACCAATATTTTCTATGCGTGATCGAATCAATTCCATGAAAATCATTGGTAAACGTACTGGACACAAACAGGCAACGGATTGAGAAGTGAAGATCAAGCTTTCCGGCGTTTGGTAGAACTGTTAGACACGGAGCCAGAGGTGCGACTACCTGCATTGCCAGTAGAAGTCTCTGCAGATTGGAGTGAGAAAGTGCCCGCTTGCGGTAAAGGTCCACTAGAAGACATGTCTGAGGGGCGCTTCTGAGATGTACGACGCTTTGACCCTGAATTAAACTGATAGGAAGATGGCACGGATGATTGTGCAGAAGGGTTGGGAAATGGTGGTGAGGTCGAAGTTCCAGAGCCGTAAGAATAAGGAAGGACAGTGGGAATAAACTTGAACCTTTCCACCCCCACCAAGCGCGATATGGATAATGAATACCTATTTCGAGCATCGGCGACTACCTCCCTGCTGGGCGCTCCGTCATCAGCAGGGGGTATCAAGAGTATCATTTCTCTTACTACACTAACAAGCGCGGCGTGGGTCAAGGATGAGCGTTTCGCGTTGATCGTGCGATCGTCCTCCTTGGTTGGCCACAGCAAGTTAAATAATTTGCGCCATCCATCACTAAGTTTGCCGACCTTCCAATATGGATGAAGTGACAGGTCGAACGTCTCGTAGTTGAGGAACCTTTTCTGATGTAGTACAGTGTCGGTCCGCAGCTGTAGGGAACCCATTTTGGCCCACTCCGGGACTATTGCATTCCGCCTTTCAAACTCTTCGTTGCCACTCTCTGCAGGGGTGTGCTGCGTTGCGGAAAACCGCTTAACCGAGGAAGAACTCTGGCCTTTGCCAGGCCAGTTGATGGGAGCCAGCTGTAGTTTGCTGGAGATAAGGTCGGCGGCTTCGTCGTTGGCCATACAATTGCTGGGAATAGGTCCCGCCTTTGGAGGAGGAGGCCAGTGTTCGACCTGATGGTACGGACCCTTGAAATTGACGCCGACAATCCATATAAGAAAGATATACGACTCTAGGTCATGCGTGAGGTGGGGAGCCTCTTCTGAGTCCGCAGTGGTGCCAAAAGGAAAAGTCCCCTGTAAAAATGAGTATGAAAAAACTGAAATGACATGAAGACGTACGGTGGTAGTTACAGCGTTGGCTGCACCAGCTTCATCCAACATGTTCAAGCCAAGGCCGAAATCACCAGTCATACCAGGACGCTTGGGAAACCACGGTGCGGGGACTTCCAGAGTATCGAAGTGCGATTTAGTATTCTGGGGTGATATATACCATTCTGGAACCGCGTACTGGGGTTCGGTCTGAGGAACCCAGAACCAAACATTACCGTCGCTGGTGTCGCGGTGCATAATTCCACGCCTGCATGCCTCAAGATGACCTGCAAATAATATATGAGACGAGACAGGACCCTCGGTAGAGATTACATGCTCACCTAGTAGTGAATCCAATATGCCATGTAAAAACTCGCGGCGACAAGAGAACCAAGTGCATTTGACGGCCGGGGTGCGAAATACTGTGCGACGGTGGATTAAGGGGTCGCTGGCTGTAGTCATGTCCTGTAGAATGACGGGCACGCTGTCTAAAGCTTGGTGGCCGTTATTGCCATCCGTCATCTCGAGAGCTTCCACAGAGAACCGATCGTCCCGTATGGGTAGATGCCAGGGGTGCATCCCTTCAGAGTTCAAATCATCCCATTCCGGCCGAATGCCCCAGGACTGGAACAGTTCTTCTGTAAGTTTGGCCTCTTCAGGCGTTTTAAAAATACGTTCAGGGAACTCGCCTGTTGTCTCAATCAGGTCAACATGCGCGTCATAGATCTAGGGTAGACTTACTGCCTAAAAGCTTGCGAGTCTCATCGATACGTCCACTATCCTCCAGCAACTTGTGAATATCTCCATCTGAGGCGATCCGGATGTCCTGCCACACATCCTTCACAATCAAGTTGTCCATCTCAGCAGCGGAGGAGGGTTGGTAGGTAAGGCCCAGGATTCTCGTAGATCGGCCAATGGCGGAATTGCTATTGTAGATCACCGATACGACATCGGCAATAGTCCCGTGCGTTGACTCGGATTTTCCCTTCAAGGCCATCTTGAAGCCGCGGCTGTGTCTTACAATAGACTTGTCGTAACCCAGGAACTCCAAGTCGGCGTGCTTGAACCACGCCATGCAATTAAGGAATTCGTCAACGTCGTGATAGATGTCGATAGGAAGAGTCACAGACGATCCTCCCCGAGTGTAGGTGCACACGAAGAGATCAGCACCCAACAAGAGCAGACCCACGAAGTACCGCCGATTAATCTGATTTGTCAGAACGAGTCGCGCGATCTCTGACATATATTCTATTGCTTGCTCCATGAGACTCTTGGTGTTACGATACTTGATCTCTAGCGCAGAAATAACATCTGCCCATTCAATGGAGTCGATGGGCTTCGTGGTATCCATTAATACGGCGTCAGGCTTGCGACAACCGGGCCCGATGGGAGCAGTCACGTTCGCACCAGTTTGGGGACGAATGAAAGTGTTGCCGGTATGAAACCAAGCACGTTTACGAAGTTTCGACAGAGCCGACCTGCCATGGTGGTGGGTAATTATTTGATCAATCCAAGTGCCGCCCTGAACAACGTTGGTGAATATCGAGCAAATCAATCGCATCTTGTAGGTTCGACATATAGAATGCTACTTACTTCGTTTAAAAATTTTACGATAGCCTTCTCTTTTGCAGCGTCCTTTTGCCTATCGTACAACCAAGGGCACACAGAGGTCGACCAATGACCCATCACGCGTCCTCGCAGCTCGACAGCTTGAAACTATTTTATGCTATTAGCGGAATTGTTCGCGGAATAAAAGGCACGTACTTTACTACACCACACCTCTGCCACGCCCCCAGCCTTGTCTTCAAGGACCCCTCGATTCTGAAGCTCATCTCGCACCCTACGCCTGGCTGCCACCATGTCATCCTGAAGATCCGCCGGTTTTAACAGGAATGGTAAGCCATCCTCCAGTCGCGCTTTGAACCATCGCGTCCCATTTTCGTGCATAAGGGACACTATAGCCTCCAAGTCGTTATCAGTTAGGTATGCGTTGGCAGGAGAAACTGCCTCCTTAAGCGCCGAGAGCAGATCCTGATAGTAGCCTTTCTGGACAACGAAGGACTTCACTTCGTTGATGATGTCGTCTGTGATATAATCGGGCTTGGAATACGTAGCATGCAAAAGGTGGCAATTCTTCCAAGGAGTGACATAAGACACATAGCGGCTATTGCGCTCCGTCAATGGCTGCATGGCGCTCGCTCTGGGATATTGGACGTCCGATGGGAGAAAATACGAATGTAGCGTAAAACGCTCTCTCCGCTTTCGTTTAATTTTTACCGCCATGTATGGATCTGCTGCGGCGTAGTGTCAGAAGCGGTGAAAGTCAGCGATTTGGCCGACTCCAGCTATTCTACCTAGATCCTGGGGCCAAAATCTAGGGCTTCGGCGGGTGGATTCTGACGGAGTTCAAAGCAGTTCACACGGGACCGGACCGCGGCAGCACTAGCCCGGCCCCGGCCCGTGCCATCACACTTGGCTCAAATAACCACTCTATGCTTCGCATGGTGAGATTCGACGTTCGAGCGTGTTCAACGTGATTGTCTCTCGACTACGAGGCCTCAGAGTCTCAGACAGTTGTTCGAATTCACGGTGTAGCATACATGATTATTACAGCATCAGTGAAAACGATCAAATTTCACCGTCTTCACCTACACAATCTGAACCTCGTCGTCGTCAGAATCGACCTTCAACGTGTGCTTTTTGGCCCTGATGGACGCAATAGCGGGATTGATGGTGTATGTCTGAGACGTGCGCCCAAGGTTGACAGCTTTATCAATGCCAAACAACATAACTGCGATGCGGAAGGGACCGTACTGGCGATCAGCCAAACACGCACTGATCTCCCGATGTTTGACGGCTATATCCTCTGGAGAGAGCAACGTCCAATGCACCAAAGGCGGCCCACCTTTCCAAATTCTGTGCGATAGGGCACTTGCGAGGCCTAGTCGCACAAGAAGGAGTGGCCCGATCCCTTTCGCAATGTTCTTCGAATTCCAGATGGTGGGGAAGCTATTACCACTTTTCAAATGAATGCGCAAGGGGCTTGTTGGGGCGTACACTGCGATGATATAGGCGGGCACCATGGCGATGAACTGGCTTGGCAGTTTGCACCCTTTGCGACCGCGGCGGTGTGGCTTCCATGGGAGAGCGCGTATTGCCTTTGTGAGCATGACAGGATTGGTCACATTCCCTTGTGGTTTATCGCTGTCGGCGAAGAATAAATCAGGAAGAATCCGGCTGACATAGATACCGGCGATGAGTGCGATCTGATGCAGAGGTTTATTGATGTCGAAGTTTGCAAAAACCCACTCATAGATCATACTCACGCTAGGCTCGCTGCCAGCTGTCGGGCCTCTTGCGAGCTCGATGCTCTCAATCGCGAATTCGTCAGGGAGACGAGAGCGAAGGATGTAATCGGCCAATGACTGCAAGGTGATCAACTCAGCAGACCAAGCTGCCCTGGTATCTGCGACCTGGGCGCGTCGAGATGCATCGGCCGCAGCATTGCTCAACTGGGTATGACGACGCTCAATAGCTTGTGAGTCAATGGCCTTCCCTAGATTGACCCAGGAATCAAAGACAGGCTTCCGACGCCGTCTGCCACGCAGTCCTGCTGCACCATGCCAGGGGATATTGTTGATATGAAGATGATTGGCGGCGATGATGAATGCTTCCTGCAAGAACCTCTCCGAAGACCGTGTAGAATCCTGCGGGGCATATTTGCGCATATATGTTAGAGCGACGCGAAAGACAGGAGTTGAACCCCCATTGAAGATGAGAGGAGCGGCGATGGCGACAGGGTCGGTCCCTCGAGACATCTCACAAATGAGGCGAGCGAAGTCTTGGATGGAGAGTTTGTCCTTGGTTGGATTTGGCAATCCCTCGTGGTGGGCAGTGGATTTGGGAAGCACGCAGGACACTAAATGTTCGTATGCCTTATCAACATAACCAAGAGGATGAGCGGTCGCAAGCCATTTGCGAAGTCCTCTGCGCCGCTGCGATGCATGGAGTTCCCCATCGATGGCATCTTCTGCCTCCATGGCATTGCATGCAGTGGTGACAGCCCCCGCAACAAGTGTCTTGACATCAGCTATGTACACTTGAAGGGCGACCACTGCAATGATGGCTGCATGACGGACATTGCTAGTGTATGACTTGAAGGTATTGGGTGCCAGCTGATTGACCGAGAGCTGTATATGAAACTCTGCCTTATATGCCTAGGAGAGGAACTCGATTAACGACAGGACAGAGACGGAATGAGACGATGCATGCCTCAAAATGATCATTCCCATACGTCAATATTTGCGAGCGCTTGGATGCGATGGCCGGGACATTCATGTTGGTGAGGGTGGGCCACTCTGAAGGACTGATGGCGACGGGAACGCAGGGAGTGTGGGAAAATCGCACTGAGGGGGCAAAGGTCGGAAGACCTTGTTCCAAGAGACTCTTTACCAACCACAAAGGCCTCATGAGACTTGTAGCGATTACTTTTGAGTTTCCAGTATGAGCATACGCCAACGCGCGTTCGAGGACGGAGCATAATTCAACGACTTGAGGGGCAGGTTTACCACCTTTGGTGAGGACGGGCAGGAAATGTTCCCATATACGTTCGAGCAGGGACGTGATTGGATAGGTGGTCCATTGATAAACATGGGGAAATGCCTGCAAAGGAGGATGGTGAGACTTCATTCATATGATGTATAACGGCGGCGTACTTCAGCGGTCAACACAAACAGGTGTGGGCGAATGGCCTCGAAGATGGTGGGATGCGACCAGTAACTCGCCAAGGGCACAACCATGTCTCGATATATTGATCTTGGGCAAGACGCATTATGTCAGTCGAATCGAAGACCTAGACATGAACGACTCACAATCCATTCCGCTTCGCCAACTTCAAGGAGTCTAACTGGAAGATATATATGTTCTCCAGACGCAACGCGCGGGGAACGTCATTTACATCGATTTTGTTATCATAACGTTGGTGAGGCAAGAGCAGACTACACTCTCTAAGAACCATCTTATGCGCGGTCTGAGCGTTGCATGTAGTGGCATAAGCACCCGAGAGGGCAGAAGTGATGCGACCTTGCTGAACATCGTGTAAGGCGGCGGACGGCCTGATGCGATGCGAGATCTCATTGTAGAACTGGCAACCGCTAGCCAAGAGTACAGGTGGCATGAGCCCATTCGGAAAATTGTTCAAATAGTCAAGGTCGTCGTCCAAAGCGTAGGTCATCAAATTCATCTTGACCAACTGTGTCGCGAGAAACGGCTTTACGAATTTTTGATATGAATGGAGCGAAATGGGGTAAAACTGCGTTGCATTGGATATGACCATACTTCCTCAGGAAAGCTTGAGGATAGACATTGACGCGAGGAATATGGAGATTGTCGTCGTCCATGATGATATCAGGATCGATGGCCATGTCATCATCGGTAATCATTGCAGAAAACAACTCTGCGATAGTCTCGAGGTTGATGAGAACACCGCAAGATTTCACGTTATGGCTGCAGAGACCATCAAAGCGGGGAATTCGACGACCATCTTCGTCGTAGATGTTATTTTCTTTCTTTGTGTCAGGATCTCGGGCGGGGAAGTCCTCCAAATTCACCTGGCTGCCGGAAGGATGAGTTTGGGGAATCGTATATGATGTCGTGGGCTCCCAACAACTCATCCTCAGGTATTTGCACCCACCGAGACACTGGTTACAACTGGTGACAATGGCGGTAGTTATCACATCAGAGAGCGGGTCACGGTAAAGGACGAACGGTACGCACGTGAGATCCGTGGCAATAGCCATGGACATATAGCGAATGTCGGAATATTCGCGCTCCGCTTGCCAGTTTGCCTCTTCGACGCCTCGAGCAGCCGGGTCCAAGCTCGCGATTGCTTGGTTTTGCCCATACCTGCACGCTATGGATAAAGGTGCACGGGATTGGAGCCAACCGTCATCCTTCCAAGATGCTGGCGCTTTGTGAACCCATTCATCCCAATCTGATACGATGTATCTGTGGAGGGCCTTCAAGTCCTCCAAACGGAGGTTGATGGTCGGCTGATCGCTGAAAGGGAAACCTTCGATTAGCCACTGAAACTCGTGGCAGGGGTGTGTCGCACTGGAGACTTACTACAGGTTCGTGACCTCCTTGACTCTCCACTGCGTAAAATCCTCGTCGGTTCCGTATGTATGCATGATATGGATAGGTAGGGATGATATTTGTGCCAATGCCGAGGCAATAAACATCACAGCCATGCGATAATGACGGGATGACAGACGGGTCTCGCCGTGTTTCTTTTCGTTTAGCAAAGGAGCCTCGTCTGCAAGAGAAATATCCTCGATGTGTGTCAAGGGACAAAATCCCAACCACAGCTCGCAAGAAACGCCGGTCCCGATTGCCATCATCGAGCCTGTAGGGTCAAAACCGAGCTTTCCAAACTTGGGTTTGAACTGTTTGTTATTGAGGCGGAAATCCAGAGAGACGGAAAAGGTGTGGTCGGAAATAGTGTTCGGGAGGAATGCATGCAAGCCAATTGCACCTGATACGACAAGGACAAAGTCAAGGAAATGTTTCGACGCGTCCCACAACAAACTGGGGTGATCGGGGGCAAATGTGAGATGAGGATCAACGCGGAGATTAGTGCGACGCAGTAATAAATTTGCTGCAGTTGCCTTGTCCTTCTTGCGAAAGACTTTCTCGAAGGCTGACAGAGGTAAGGTACAAACAGGAGTCTGTTCCCAAGTACGGCCGGTTGTCTCCTGGCCTTCGCGGGCAATAAACATGCTGTGAAACACCTCTTCCTGCGGTACAGGATCGTCGGATTCCACAGCCGAAGGGACATCATCAAGATTAAACGGACTGCTTTCGTCTATCGCGTTAGACAGCAATCCGTCATCTAGAATATCAGAATCGTCGTCGGTGCTACTGATGCGCCGGAGCGCTCGGACATCAGAAAATGCCACGTATACTCGCACTCAACAGCTTACCTGTCAGCAGCGTATTGAGCCATAAGGACGAGCGTTGAGGCTGAGTGGGAGGTGACCTGAGAGACAGACCGAGTGGTGGTACCGTTTATAAGGACAGTCGAAGGTAACGGACTCCGCATCCGGTTCAGCGGGTACGAACACAATACAACATGCGATTAGGTTAGCGATGAGGGCAGATGACACAAAGTGAGGTCAACAGCTGATCAGACGTCGAGGACATTCAATGTCTCATAGAATAAGGGAATACCCAGAGCATTATCAGATGTGTCTTTCTGGATAATCCCCGGCCTTCTTCTACTAGTAGTAGTGACACTACACATGTTTATTAATGCGTTGATAGCGACGAATTAATGTATCAGCAAAAACCACAGTACGCGGCTGATCCGGGCGTCGATGAATCGGTGAGTCATTCGCCTCCGAATGTGGAACAAATTCTAGGCATTTTACGTCTTGAATCAGAGGACGCAGACTCGGACGTTGAACGTTGAGTGAGAAGAGGTAAAAGACCTATCTCACCAAGTCTCGCTAGACATAGACCGTTGACTCCACTAAAGCCTGAGGTGGCAACGAGAATAGCGCGAGGCATAATATTAGTCATGCCGTGTGCATCAGCCACAGGTGGCAAAGGGACCTAAACAAACAGGTTTCGGGCAGGCCGGAAGGACAAGACTGCTGAACCTCGAGTATGCTCGTCCAATTATCCTGCCCGTTAAGAGATGATTTCAGTGAGGTGAGGAGGCGTCCCTAGTACTACCTAAGTAGTAGTAGTAGTAGTAAGTACCAAGTAGCGATTTCTTCGGGACCGCGTTTATGTCATTCGTCACGTGATTTTACCTCGACTGCCAGGACTTATCACTTTCAACATTCTCACTGCTCTTGTCGTTTAGCGCGGTTGTGGCCTTTGACTTGGGGCCAACATCATGGGGTAGGACTAGGTGTTCTTGGTGAGTCTTTTGTTTTCTCACTATTTCCGCCCTCCAGGGAGGCTGATGCGCTTCCCTAATTTCAGGATAACCCGTTTATTGTTGGATTGGCCCTTAGGTGACGCTGCACCAGCAGAGCTTGGCATGTCCATGGTGAGTGCTGTCGAGTCCGATTCTGGCTGATCTCCGGGAGTCACAGGCACATCTTCTGTCAGGCTCTGAGACGTTGGACCCTCGTGGCCCCCTAAGGTACATGGCGCTTCGTTTGGCGTTGCCTGACGAGTGCCACATCCATCCGTCCCCATGGTATAACCTGCAGCCTCTGATGCACCAGTCCTGTGGGTAGGTGATTGTTGACCAATTACACGCCGAGTGGCGATCTGCGCAGAACGTCGTGCTTTAGTCGCGCCCAGGAACAAAGGAGTCCCGCTATACACGGGAGCTGATACGAAATTCAGCAGGAGGCCGTGAGGTGAGTCGTCATCCTCTGCACTTACATATTCACTCGCGGATCTAACTGTGCGTTTAGGCTCGTTACTATACGTCCGCGAGGGTGTTCTCAGCACCAGGTACGTAGATCACGTCGAAGTCGAATTCACTCAAGGCTTCGAGCCATCTGACCTGTCTGGGCGACAGCTTCGTGTGGGAGGATATCGATATCTACTCAAGACCATGGTTAGTCAAGATAGCCGAAGACGATTGTCTAGTTGATGCCGCACTTTCCGAAATTCTGGCACTCCCCGTCGAACAGAGACACGATCTCGATCCTCGAAGAGACGTGAAGTATTTCTCGCGCAACATTATCTTGGGCTGGTACGAATCCAGCTCTTAGATGGACAATATATCTGTATCGACGCCCTCCTTGTCCTCCGTCCGAGTCGCCTTACCATCAGACACCATCATACAGTTACGATACGCTCCCTTACAATGTGACGAGTAGGAGTCTGTAGGACAATGAAGACGATAACACCTGTAGAAAAAGCTCCGTACCTTTCTCCGGCACAGTTTGCGGGGTCCAATCTTGACCAGTGGAATGGTAACATGTTACATGATTTTGAGCCGAAATGGTAACTGTCAGGTCAGTCACACTCGCGGCGATTACTAATTGGAAGGTCGCGGCAGTAGTCACAGCAGGCCTAGAACGTTGTGCAAAGTCGATACTTTGCAAGCGAGTTGAGTCAAACACGGGCACCTCAGGGGGGCGCCAGTCTACCGTGCATTGGCATGAGGTAGCACCAGGTGATTGAGTTTCGAAGTTCCAGTTATAATACTTAATTTAGCAAGCACGTATCATCTCCGATCCAGAAAATTTGACGGCGATCGATACTCCAGCTGGAATAGGGATACTCACCGAAGACGATTGTCTAGTTGATGCCGCACTTTCCAAAATTCTGGCACTCCCCGTCGAACAGAGACACGAGCTCGATCCTCGAAGAGACGTGATGTATTTCTCGCGCAACATTATCTTGGGCTGGTACGAATCCAGCTCTTAGATGGACAATATATCTGTATCGACGCCCTCCTTGTCCTCCGCTGGGTATTGTTGTCGCTCTTGCATCCTCCTGGTGACTCTGAATAAGTGCTTCATATTCTGCGTTACTCATGCTATCTGACCCAAATGCTCAATGAGTTTGGCAATGTCGCAGGACCAGGCCCCTTGTCGCCTCTTTCCTGTTCGGCTGGTCTCACTCGCTTCGCACCTTCCAAATATGCTTAATCCCGCTGTGCAAATGTTGCACTATGACTATAGCTCTTCTTCGCAAAGGCACAAAGCGCACTGATTTGAAACGCCCATAGATCGTACTTTTCCCGGCATCTTGCACAGTCCTGTATGGGGCTAGGCGGCGCCGGGTGTCAGAATATTAATATGGGTCGTGAATGAAATGCATTTCGTCACCAACGTATGTTCGGTAAGGGAGGGAAGCTCATTTCCTGAACCGCCTTAATGAACATATATAGTGTGTCATTGGAAGAAGGCCGGGGTTTGTCCACAAAGACACATCCGGTAACGCTATGGGCATTCCCTTATTCCATGAGACTCCCCCTACACTAGGCGAGACACACTTTGATTAACGAACCAGGAGCCACGACGACGGGGGCAACGAAGATAAGAACAAAAAAAGGAAGCAGGAACCGTCTTCGCATCTTACTGGGATGGGAGGGAATGGGCTCTCTAAAGCCGACAGAGAGGCGCGTATTTTCTTGTTGTATTGATATCTACCTAAATACTGTCTATGTATGTTTACGAGTAGCAGCTGCTCACGTGAGCGCTGCCCACCGCATTCTATCATCTAACCAGCTATTTCGCAGTTAATTCGAAGCAGGACGCATCGTCGTCATCAGTTATATCCTGGGTCAGGAACAACACTGCTCCCTACAACAGCCTGCAACTGCAATCGACATGGCACATCGCAATCGCGACACATCTGGAGATGAGGAGACACTCACCGTACGTATACATGATCAACTTGACGCACTGGCAGCTAAGGAGTCACGGATTCCAGGTGGATGAGTTGCGCGGAATGATGAACAAGCGCCCTGTCCAAGCGAAGGAGCGAACGACTGACCCGGCACAAAACACTCAGAGGATGGACGCGGCGCTCGCGAAGTGCAGGATCGGTGTGGCTTACATCGATATACTCAAAATCAAGAACTCGTTGTTATTCGGCAAATATAATGATCGGCCCCAGGAGGCCAGAGAGGTGAATAAGCTTGTTGCGTCGTTTAAGAAGGAGGGGATCCTGGCGATGCGAGAAGCGACAGCGATACCGATCATGCTATCAGGCGCCCGCGTGAAGACTGGGTCAAGCCTCGTGGTCAACTTCGACATCCCAGATGCTGTACCACAGTTACAATTGAAGGACGTCGACAATATTGTAGTGTCGTCAGGACAACACCGAGTTGCTGCGCTGAAGAAATATTCCGAAATCGTCACTGAAGAGATGGCGCGTATGGAGCAACGCTGCAACGATATAACCGCTCGGAAGAATCTGAGTCCAGACCACCTCACTGAATTCAACAGGCTTCGCGACCAACTGGATGACCTGCAGGGGACAATAATTCTGATGGGAAAATGGGGCGTCATCGTGTATGATGAAGGTGAGTTCTACCGCTGTCTCTACTGTGCTACCGGAACCGTTGCGGCGACTGGGTAACACAAGTCGTGCGTTTGATGTATCATTCAAGGGACCGCGTGTTTTGGCGTGTTTTAGCTATGGTATGAGTTGGGATCAATTGTCGTTGCAACGGGTCCAGTGGGGGTATGAGCATCCAGCGCTGATTAGTATGCACCTACAGACAATGTGTTAGCGGATGGTGACATGTTGGCACACCACTTATGTCGGAACAGATCCTTGCACGAGTACAAGGAAACTGCCGAAGAAGTGTTGAGCCAGATCTTGCGATTAGTGAAAAAAGCTTACAACAATGCTTCTGAGCATGAGCGAGTCGCGGCAGCACTGCGTGAGCTGTGGATCCAGCGCGATAATACCGAGCGGCAAAAGAATGCACGGTTGACGAAAGTCCTGAGCTACGACCTGCTAATTTTAGCGCTCGCACTGCATCTCCTGCCGTTGGGATCACACTTTCGCCGCCGAAAGGAGTTCCAGATTACCTGGCTCGCCAACTCGATCGATGTGATTATGGGGGTAAGCAACGACATTTATATTCGCTCACATGGTCCTTATGTGCTGTTACAGATGTTTATTCAATTTATTATGTTCCACAGTCACATTCTGAATTTGCTCGCATCGAGCGATGACTTCCCGGACTACGCAACAGTGAGTAATGTGATTTTAGTGGCATTCAGCGATGGGGCAGACCGCAACGCTTCGGTCGAGCAATTGGCAGTGTGGCGCGCTCAGATATGCAACAGCAAGGCCAATACTGAAGTTACCATTTTCAACGATGTGTTCGAGGATGTGTCCATTCTCGTTCAAGAGGAGTTCCGTAACATTCCTTCAAAGAATGTCGGGACCAAGGACCCCCAGTACATCAACAGCCTGGACAATTACTTGCACTACCTAGTAAGCAAGTTGCGCTCAAAGTGGCACCTTGCGACAACAAAGCCCTCGCAATGGAACGACATTACCCGGTTTCACGATAGGGTTGTGGCGAGGATCGCCGTGTGGCTGACGCCTGAGGATTGCGTGCAAGAGGCTCCGTTACCATTGTTGTGCGGTCATCTTCTCGATATTGCGTGGACTAGTTTGATGTCAAACATCGCTGCGTTTGAGGAGGTAATAATTTGAACTACACGCAATACATGACGTTCTACTCACTCTCTGTGTCAGGTCAGCGGATGGTTTGAGCCTCTGCTGCTGCACTATCGCACGCTCCATCGCAACAGCCATGCAATGGATGACAAAACCCAGGTAATGTTCACGAACCTTCGCAACGAATGCAGGATAAACGAGCACGAGACAATCGAAGAGGCGGTATGTGCGATTGAGTATCATGCTGTGTATCACACCGATATTGACAGGACAGGTATTCACTTGCTTGTGGGCACTCCGCGGGACGCTGGTCTTGCGCCTGCAGAACAATTTGACGACGATGTCAGCTCGCAAGAGGAAGAGCGAGCCGTTCAAAGACAGAAAGGAGGTCAACGAAGCGTTCGCACAGCTAGAGTCCGATGCGCAGGACAATCTGCAGAAGTTGCATGCGTTGATGTTGGCAAGGAAGGGGCGAGGACGGGATCTAACTTCTGAGCAGCAGGATGTCCCTGGAATTCTTGCCATGCATGTCACGAACTGGGACTGGCATACTCGCATATCAAAAAATGGCAAGCGGGACAGAGAGCCACTGATCAAGGCAGTATTGCTTGATCTTGTCAAAATTCGCAAAAGACGCGAGGGTCTATTCAAAGATCCAATGGTTGCAGGTCTTCGCACGATCCTGGAGGAGGTCATCGCTAAGCACACGAGAGCAGTTAATACGTCTGGGGAGAACGGACAGACCGTCAAGCGTAAGAGGTGGTTATGGTACGACGGAGCCAAGATTCCGCCAGACGTTACTCCTGCATTGGAGACTGTGCTCACTGAGGACTGTCACACGATAAATGCACACATGCAGAGTCGCCAGGACATGGAGGGGAATGATCGCGCTGCTATCATGAAGCTAGTCGGGTATGTCGAACGCATGCTAGTTGCAAAGGCGACGTCGTCGACCCACAGTCCGGTGGCAGCGAACGTCGTTCGAGAGCTCAAGAAGCTCATACATGTACGTACTAATCTTTTCGCCTATAGAAGAGCTGGATGACTAACGATCTACCTGTTATAGGCACTGGAGATCAATTCTACACGTCTCCGCACGCGAGCACTAAAGAATGACGATAGGCTCGCTTATGACATCATGGATACAGTCAATCTCAAGATAACTCTTATGCAAGGTTTGGAGGACGAGAACACCAATGCAAGTATACGTATGACTGTTTCATCACCAGGTGACTAATAACATGCGTACTGAAGGGGGATCATGCTAGTGAACAGGAAGACGAATCACCTGTGGCTGGACCGAGGCGCGATGGACAACCCCAGAAGTCGACAGCAGCCGTGATCGAAGATGATGCCGGACACCCCGGGAGCCAAGCCACATCTTCGGGATCTGGGCGGCCGAAACCTCGTCCCATAGCGCATCGCAAGAATAATGATAACACGACCACGCGTACTGACTCACACGATATGATCGCTGATGCCTTCTCATCCCCGCGCTCACAAAGCAAGGGAAAAGAAAGAGCGATAACACTCCGTAAGCATCCGCCACAGACACCGTCAAGTCTGTAGCTCGCGCATCTCCAGCTAATGATGATCGCTTTCAAGCGTTGGGGGAGGGCAATATATCTGCTGATCACACTGAAGTAGGGGCGCCTGCGAGGCGCGAGTCCCAAATCGGCGAACATGCGTTAGACGACAATTCAGGTGACAGTTTTTCCCCCAGTGAAACGGTAGCATGCCTGACTACACAAGGCGAGAAAGGCGAGGATGGGGGCAACGCAGCCAGTGGGGATGAGGCGAATAGAATGTTCCGGGTCGCAGCACGGCAAGAACCTCGTCGAAATATCGATACCAACGTCATTGTTCCTTTCGTGGGTACAGCGAACGTCCAATCCATCAATCACACTGACCGAAGTAGTGCGTTAATTGACTGCGAGAAGCGTTTACTAAGGCTAACCATCATTCCGCAGCTCGAATACAAACTGCCCTTCAAGCGCAAGATACAACGACTACTAGTCGATCAGCTCCCAAGTACATCGCGCAGACTGCCGGGGCTTCTTTAAAGCGTCCAAGCGCTCCTACAGGTAATTTACCACTTGTCCATCTGTGTGAATATCTATTTGATATAACATTCTAGCAACCACCCCAGTTCACCCGAGCAAGAAGGCTCGCAGCACTGGGTTCACTTCCACTGCTGGCAACGATCCTAATGACCAATTGGTTGTTGTTAAAGCGAATATGTAACGTATTTATCTTGTTGCGCTTATCATAGCAGAGTCACTAGACATGATTTTACACAAGGCATTTAGGAATGATTGAAAAAGAGTCGCTTGAGCGATTGATGGCGATGCAGACGACGGGCGCAACAAATTCCCTACAAATAAACGATAAACGATTTTAACTGGCTGTCCTCCGTCATGAGCGTCAACTCGTCTCATAGTGCATGTCACTTTTTCAGCATCTTATCAATAATTAGATGTTGTCACTAGTACTTACACCAGAGACTTGCACTTTGTTACTCCTCATAGCGCTGCGAGCCGGATCTGTGTGACATGTCTCGCGCCTGATAGCCATTTGTAAGTCATGTGGACGCGTTTGCATCACCCAGCCATAAGGACATCACAAGGAGGCAAAGGTAAGCCTGTATCTTTTTATTCGCGATGCTCCCTAAAACCAGGCTTCTATTTTTCTGAATCCATAGTGCTATATGTCGCCAATGATGATTTGTACAGTCATCCGGCTATATACTCAACAACGACCTCCTCCGCCTCCAGTCAACCCAAGAACTTGCCTCCATCTGCACCAACATATTCGTATCGTGGTTGGATGGGCCCTTTGCTAGGATATAACACCGAAAGAAAAGTTCTCGCTCCGGCCTTCAGCATAACGCTCAACTATTTGTTCATCTTAGATCATGTGGCGGGCATTATGACGCTCATGGGAACCGCGGAGTACTTCAAGATGGATGATTTGGCTGGCAAAGTCGGTTCAGCTGTTGCAAGTGCTACGCTGGATAAATAAAAGTGATTCTGCAGCTTTCGCTCTACTCCTTTGATGTATGTGGATGGATGTAAACTGAGCCCATAGGATCAAACCCGAGCTTATCGAACTTGTGCTTGAATTATTTTGTTTCGGAGGCGGAAATACAAGGAGACGAATGCATGCAAACCAATTGCACCTGATACGACAAGGACAAATTCAGGGAAAGGCTTCGATGCGTCCCACAACAACATGGAGTGTTCAGGAGCAAATGTTAGATGAGGATCGATGCGGATGTTGGTGCGACGCAGCAATAAATTTGCTGTGGTAGCCTTGTCCTTCTGCGAAAGACCTTTTCAAAGGCTGACAAAGATAGGGTACAAACGGGAGTCTGTTCCCAAGTACGGTCCAGTTGTCTTCTGGTCTTCACAGGTAATGAACATGCTGTGAAACACATCTTCCTGTGGCATAGGATCGTCGGATTCCACAGCCGAAGGAACATCACGGAGTGCTTTCGTCTATCACATTAGACAGCAATCCATCATCTAGAATGTCAGAGCCATCCGAGTCATCGGCGTAGTACTGAATCACTGGTAGTGCTGCCGTGGTCCGGTTCTGCAAAATCGTCAAACCCAGAACTGGACCATCAAGAACCGTTCTCAACGGTCCGGTTCGGTTTTTTTGTAGTCCGAACGTGAACCGAACCGAAATTTTTTCGAGCACAATAAAAATTGACACAGTCATCAGTGAATGCATTGAGTCCTTGAAATTGTAGCCATGGGAACTGTAGGAGGACATAATTCTGCTCCTGCCAAATATGACCATGTATGCTACAAGAAATTTGACTTGTTCGTACTTGGCTATGGATGGTCACCAGTATAGACTAGCAGGAGGAGTTCATGACAAAATCATGTCAGATTGCCTTTGCAGTCAGCAAGGGGCAGAAGCACAATGATATCCATGTTGTCAAACATTCTCACTTACCAATGTTTATGTTTCACATTAAGAGCTTATCCAAGACTTTCTGCAGGACAGTTGCTTTGACCCTTGTCAACATGTGTAGATTGGGTTGACAGTTCATGACAAAGTCTTGTCAGATTGCCTTTGCAGTCAGCAAGGGACAGAAGCATGATGATGTCTGTGTTGTCACACACCCTCACTTACCCATGTTTATGTTTCATATTAGGAGCTTATCCAAGACTTTCCGCAGGATAATCACTTTAGTACTGGTCAACAAATCTAAATTGGCCTGGCAATTCATGTCAGAGTCGTATTATGCTGCCGTTATGGTCAGCAAGCCCTGGAAACTCACTAGTACTGATGTCATTGGTGATTCTCGGTTGCCATCAAATTTTGTGTTAATTCTAATGTTATCTGAGACCTTCCGAAGGAAAATCGCTTTAGCATTGGTCAACAAATCTAAATTGGCCTGGCAATTCATGTCAGAGTCATAACATGCTGCCATTGCAGCCAGCAAGGCCTGGAAGCTCAGTAGTGTTCGATGTTAGTGATTCTTGGCTGCCATCAAGTTTTGTGTTAGTTCTAATGTTATCTGAGGCCTTCTGCAGGAAAATCGCTTTAGCACCAGTCAACAAATCTAAATTGGCTTGTTGATTCATGTCAGAGTCATGACATGCCACCATTGCGGCCAGTGAGGCCTGGAAGCTTAGTAGTGTTCATGTCGTTGGTGATTCTTGATTGCTGTTAGATGCTGCTTTAATTCTAATGTTATCTGAGACTTGAGGGGATTCAGTACCCCAATAATCTGAACGAGAAAATACTCGGCCTCAGACATCTTCCTGCACAAAAAAGGAGGTGAGAGGCAAGTTGTTGAACTCAGAGGAGTGTCACAGTTTTAAGGTCAGAGCATGGGCCCAAATTACAAGGAACAAGGTTAAAAATAGTAGGAAGACTGTTCAGAAAGACAGATGATCAGCATACTCATCCTTGTCCTTGTCCTTGTCCTCGCCCTCATCCTTGTCCACTTCCTCGCCCTTGCCCTTGCCCTCATCCTCATCCTCATCGTCGTCATCATCGTCATTGTTGTTGTTGTTGTTGTTGTTGTTGTTGTTGTTGTTGTTGTTGTTGTCATCGTCCATTCCCTTGCCATTTTCATAATCCCTCCCATATTCACTGTTGCCTTCATCTTTGTCACCTTCACAGTGTTGAATATTGCTCCCCTCATTTCTGTGGGTCTCTGGGTCTGAGTGGTCTACTGACTCCATGCTACAATCTTTTGTCATCTGCCTTAGGATGATAGGATGGCCAATTCCAAAGTATGTATAATGCATGAACATGTCCTGATCCGCAAATCTGAGCAGTCCACAAGTCAGCAGAAAAAAAAGAGATGGGAGGTCGCACTTACACGCCAACGTAAAATGCCTCCCAGTCATCTAATCTGTCATCTTGACATGCAAATGATCTTCCATAGTGAAGGGAGCTTGATCTGTGCCCTGAAGCAAAAGCCAGAATAAAATGGGCACTTTGGATGACCTGGCCAGGATCAAGAAACCCAAATGCATCCTGGTTGGATTCTTCGATGAAAGCAACTTTCAGGAGTCAAGCGGATTTCAGCATGCATCCAAGGATTGATAGTGTTGTACTCTCTTCAAAGGTCATAAGTTGTGTAATATACCTGGAACATTAAAAGATCAAATTCAAGAAAAACCAGGATGATATGTGTAACGTACCTGCATTGTTTGGATGGAATATATCTTATTGTCTGGGATGACAATTGAATTGCGCTTGTTGTTTGTGAAGCTATAGTTGCAGTAGCTGATGTCTAACCTTCGAAGTTGATACAGAAGGTGGTCCTTGAGCTTGGGTATGAATGCCTATGAGTGATGATCAGCAAGCTGAACAATGATGAGGAAGGCACCTACTGTAACAGCAGGATCATTACCATGTTGTTGAAGAAATTTGAATATATGTAATGGATTGTTGTAGCTAAGCTTTGGAATCACTGCAGGCATTTTCCCATTTTCCTTCACAAAACATCCAATGAACATTGATTGAGTAGATAGAATTTTTCTCTCATTTTGTCTGTCAAAACATTGAAAAAAAGTGATTCATGTTTCAATGATTTTCTGTGTGTGGGACATGATGCCAAAATTGATCATGTTCCTTCAAGGATAATGCTATATTTTCCATCTATTGTCTTTTAAATAACAGCTTAAAATAATGTTGATTTTCTTCTCTATGTTTTTCAAATATACACAGAACGTTTGACAAACATGGAGACAAAAATCAACATTATTTTAAGCTGTTATTTCAAAGACAATAGACAGAAAATACAGCATTATCCTTGAAGAAACATGATTGATTTTTGCATTGTGTCCCACACACAGAACATCATTGAAACATGAATTACTTTTTTTCAATGTTTTGACAGACAAGATGAAGAGAAAATTCTATCTTCTCAATCAATGTTTTTTGGATGTTTGGTGGAGGAAAATGGGTAAATGCCTGCAGTGAATATAGTGATGACCTCAAAAATCTGCAGACAAGTTGATCGGTGCCTGCTTGCTAGTGTCCAAATTGTGTCCTGTTTCTGCTACATGTTGCAGGACATGCCAATGACACTCATGCCTAGCAAGTTGAGCCAGAGTATCTAGTTTACTAGTCAGTGGATAGAATGCTTTCAGTGCCCTATGTGCCAATTATCCCTAGTTCGAAATCAAATTGGGATGAGATAATGTGACAGATTCACATACTATTTGTGTGGTAAAGGAGTCTGTTGTGCCAAAGAGCCTGATTGATTGCACATAATCACCCATGGCATAGAATTTGTAAGTAATTAAATTGAATTTCTTAAACCTTTGACCGCCGCTCCCAATGTCCAGATGGTTGAGATCTGAGCGTTCACATGCAGTCTTGTGCTTGTGCGCAGCCCTTTCTTTTGGCAGCTCTGTTGTAGAGAAAGCAGTGCATGTTAAATCATGAAATCTGTGTAACTGATGAGAGAGGCTCTTGAACATTTTGTTGAAAGCCAATAAGGTCATTTTGGAGTGCATATGGAGTTTTGCAAGGGCATGCCAACATGCAAACCTATACAGAAGCAACTGTACAATCACATTGTGGTCTCCAGGAAAAAGTCCTTCCAAAATGGGCATAGAACACTGGGAAAGAGATCAGTGATATACATCAGTGCATGAAGCAAAGAGACAAACTTGCAAAATATCTTTGAAGTCTCGTGCAGCAAGCCTTTTCATTTCTGACATGTTATTGGCAAATTTGCAAATGACACTGTGGCCATACGATGGAATGTGACAAAATCTAAATTTAATACTATCAGTTTGTTTCTTGGAAAAAGATGCACAAATGAACTGGTAGTTGAGAGATGCAACCAGGTTATCGCCTCCTGGAAGTGTGTAAAGCAGACAGATAAGATGAGTAAACAGTGCCTTCCATGTGCCAAGCTCACATTCATACATAAAATCAACAATGAGCATGCAAAAAGCATTGAGCCCCAGTGGGCCAAGCTTTTCTACAAATGTGTTCTGCCCAAAAATCAAGTACTGATCAATAAAATTCCTTCTGAAAGCCATCTCACCACAGTTGGCACCCAAGACCCTTCACCAAGCATCGTCTGTACTTTCAAGCCATCAACAGTATTTCCCAATGTGTAAATGAATTTGTGGGCTGCAGTCACCTTTGCAAGCGAATATGCTCTAAGATTGGCCAGGCGATCTCACATGTCTCTAGCAAGACCCAGGAGATCGAATGAGGCTTTTGGAACAAGACAGTGTGGGCATGGGCAAGAACCCATGTCCTTGATTGTTGCTATCAAAGCCCTAAAATGGTAATTATCATTTCAATGTAAAGCAAAGAAAAAAGCATGCACTTTTCTGGGTAATTGGCTGAATATGTGAAGATCTGCGGAAAGATCCTTCTCAATATTCCATCCAGACACTTAAGCACAATACCATGACAATGTGCATGCAGAAAATCACTATTGAGTAAAATGTTCCAACATGCTTGGAATAGCTCTCGTCGACAATGTGCATGAAGGGCTGCTGAACTGCTTTTTGATATCCAAGGGAGGCTGCTAAAAACATCCTTGACTCTGTCTGGAAGCTGAAGAAAATGATGTTTATGATAGGGTTGAACACTATTGGAGAGAAAGGGCTTACCAAAGGCAAAAATCCTACAAGATGGCATGCACCAGATGTGGGGGCTGAGCATGCATACTTGCTCAAATTGCTGAAATATAAGTAGAGGGGCTAGGCCTTAGCCATTCTGAAGTTTGTAAGGTGAGTTGCATCAGAAAAGAACATGAGTCCAGTGATGATGCATTTGAGTGAGCAGCCAGGTTCTTTTGGCTGCCTCTGCAGGTTGTCCTGGGCTTCCAGCCATGAGTCAGAGGTGTAAAGCTCATCGAACACATGCTCTTCATGGCCATCCAGAGGATCCTTCCACAAGCACTTAAAAGGAAACAGATGAAATGTGTTTGCTTGAATGTCAGAGAATGCAGCATGGATCACTGCTACAAGGGGCCGATAATGGAAGCCTGGAACACTAAATGATACGCCCTGGACATCTTTGGACTTTGAAGGAATGTCCAAGTTGACATCTGTCTTGACCCAATTGTTGGGAAAAGTGGCAGTCTCCTAGCTTCTGTCATTGTCCAGTGCACACAGGCACCTCCGGACCAAAAACCCATCAAGGTCCTTGGGGTTAAAATCCTTGGCTTGAATGACATCTTTGATGAGGTGCATTACTTCAGTCTGTGACTTTTGGTAGCTGCTGGAGTTCATCCATGTCATGAGATGATAAATGGTCATGTTTTGGAATGGATGAGGTGGTTCAGAGACCCCAGCAAGTGGGTCAGGTCCCTGGGCATTTTGCCTGTATGCAGTTGTGGGAGAGGTGCTGGCTAGTAGCAAAGATGGTACAAATCTGTCAGGCTCAAAAGACAGGTGCTGAGGATATTGTCGAGATAGTCCAAGCATGTTAAATGCTGTTTGCAGAGTGTCGCATAGTGTCAAAAGGACTCTTCGGATTCTATGCTGCAGTAAATTCTGAGTTTCAGTTACAGCAGGGGGGACATTCTCCAGAAAATTTGAAGGATTAAGGTCTTCCTCAGCAGGAAGGTCATTAAAATTTCTTGGTGCTAATATGCGTCATGAAGGCAGGTGTACTGGCCATCCATGAGGGATATGGGAATAGATCAAATTCAGAAGGTGTGCACCTGGAATATCCGAGATGCACTTGCCTTTGGTGGTATCCGCCATTGCAACATCTGAGTCCTGCAATGTACTAAAAGCTGAGGCACCAACAGAAGTAGTAGTACTAGTAGCTGCACCAACAACTTGAATGTTACTAAGTGTCTTCAAGTTGCTCTCAAATTCCTTAGGTTGGCAATGGGCAATTGTCATATCCCATATGCCAGACATAGATCCCATCATATTCCCACGCTTTCCGGACCTATTTCCGGACCCCATATCCGACTCATTCCTGGATCCCCTATCCTGTCCACCCTACACACATTCTGTCCAGCAAGACATCTGGACTTTACCTCTTTTCAGATTCCAGACTACATCCACCACCTCACATATCTCAGTCCTGTTTCTGCCCTGCCTTCCAGATCCCCAGATCTCCGGACCTATTCCTGCCCTCTATCCAAGATCCTGCGCCTATCCCCATTTAGGCATCTCCGCCTTTCCAGTTCTCAGTTATCTCTGTTTCTGTCTTGCTGATTGATCCTTGTACTAGTTTCATCTCTGAGTTCATTTACTTATGTTCTGTCTTACTTACCAATGTGTGTCCGCATGCTCATACATAGCCTTACTCCTTTGCTTACTGATCCTCTCAGATAGCCTCTAGTATATAACACCTGTACAACTACAGTAGAGTCCTCAGTCTGAATATCATCTTAGATCCTGTTCTACTTGCCAATCATCTTCTGGACTTCAGTCTGTCTGAGTCTCGTCCTTTTCCATAAGGCCTAGGGAAGGATTCCCTAGGCCGGAATTCCAGACCTTCGGATTTGTCCCCTATGTCTCTGTCCCAAGTCTAGGGATTGTTTCCCTAGGCTAGAGTCTTGCCTTTCCGGCACTTACCCTCTTTCCGGACTTAGGTCTACTTCCTGTCTCTCCGACTCTACCTTAGGGTAGTCTACCTCTGTTTGCTTCTGCATCGGACTTCGTCTGATGTAGCCCCTATTCCTTCTGGACCTCTGGACCTCCTGTCTTCTGTACCTCCAGACATCCTGTCCCTCATACCTCCAGGCATCCTGTCCTTTGGACGTTCCATCCTCCATACCTCCAGACCTCCTGTCCTCCATACTCCAGACCTCTGGACATCCTGTCCTCCTGTCCTCTGGACCTCCTATCCTTCCATCCTGTTTTCCTGTAGAAGTATTACCTTGCAGTGGGAACTCTCCTGAGCATTTCCTGCATCCCTCTGGAACTCTCCCACGCTCCTCCAGACGTTTCCTGCGCTCCTCCAGAAGTCCTCCCACACTCTCCACCAGAGTAGCCAGCCTCTGGAAGTCCTCTGGACTTCATTGGACCATCATCGGACTTCCTCTGAAATGAAGGGCACATACTCGGGTAAGGGGCACAGCATATGAGCTGAGGCCAAGCCCCTCTGAGTCAGTCTCTCTCTCCCTTGAGCATGGTTCTTAACAGCAATAGGTATTGAACATTGATTCTTTGTGAACCATATTGGTTGAAGCAACTATGTATGATATGTGAGTCTATATTGGATTCCTTGAGTGACCTGTCATAGTGCAGTAGATTACTTACAGTACTAATTTGAGTCATCAGCTGCCACCAGTGCAAGATCAATTTTTGTGTTGACTCTTGTGCCTGTTCCCATCTTTTTCCGTGGCCAACATGCTTGCCTTCTGGTAGGGCCTGCATGTAGCACGATGGCAGCTAAGACCACGAGGATCCATATCTTTTGCCCAGGAGCAACCCACTGCATTGCAGCATAAGGATACAGTGACCATTAGAAGGAGAAAGATAAGACATAGAATGACCCCAGAAGAAGGTCACATGCAATTTTGTGAGTAGCCTGACTTCAGACTTTCAAAGTCTGCAAGTCAAAGGCAAGTGACAGCAGAGAAGTTGGTGGTGGTATTTTCGATTACCAGTGCAGCACATACTACTATATTAGCTAGTATTACTACTCTTAGTACTAGTGATGTCACATTTAGGTAGCAGGCATCGTGATATGATTCGTACAATTCTTTTAATAAATCATTCTTAGATGAAGACTCGCATTCATGATTACTTATTGACCTCCTGATCATAGTCTCATGCTTGTGACACATCCCTGGCCAGACTTGGAGAGGACATGTAATAAAGTTTGTTTTTGGTGATGACAAAGAGCCTACTAGCATGGTACCACTGTTCCATACCTGGCTGTAGAGTTTCGCCAGTGCTTCATATTTATTCTGCCAAAGGGTCACTTGGTCCTGGAGTTACTTGATCAATTCGTCCTTCGATGCCATTTGTGCATGAATATTGGACATTACTCCGCTGAGCTTGACCTCCAGTGCTTTCACCTGCTATGAAAATTTTGAGCATGTGGGGGAGACATAAGTCATAAGTCACACATTACTTACTTGATCATATTGTTCCAGAAGTAGCTGGTCGCACTCAAACTGCCCCCTCATGATGATTACTGACCTGCTGAGCAGCTTGGCTATTGCACTGTCTGCATAAGCTGCTCCTGTGCAAGGCACTCCTGCTTTGCCTGTTCTCATTGCCATTGTTTGAATTCACACTGCTGCTGTGCCTCAAGGTCTAGCCTCTGATGCTCCTCAGCTTCACGTTGTGCACATAAAGCAGTCTGCTGGTCTTCATATTGTTTGAGCATACAGGCTTGCTCATTGATAACAACTGCATCAGGTGCAGGTGAAGGTGCAACTAGGGGAGGAGCTGGCAAAGCTGCAGTAGTTTTGGGTCTCACAGGGAGGCTGGGAGCACCTCTGTTATCCAACAGGTTCGGAGGTTCCTATCCAGGATATCAATTTGGGACATGACAGGAGCCATCATAGTGTACCTGACCCAATGTAGGAACATTGATCAAGTGAGTCAAATATTTGAGATTTGAACACTCGTAGTAGAATTTTCTTAAATTATAGTGTTGTGAGTTGAATCGCTGGCAAAGGGACTCCAGTGCATCGTGGTCATTCATTCCTGAAAAGTCGATGAGCTTCAATGACACATAGTTGTGATATCCCTACTTTGATGCATGGCGCAAAGCATGCTTGGAATGAATCAATAAATACTCCAGCTTTCCTTGACCACTGGCAGGGGCACTAGTGCAGAAATACGACATTCATTATTGGCAGAATGCACAAAGTGAGAAAACACCATCTGCTAGAATGATTTGATTTGGTCCTGAAGACCCATGACATCTGAGATATAGTTTCATAACTATTAAAGTTATCAACATGAATCAGCATCTCATCATGGGTGAATACTCACCGCTCATTGGGGTCATCAATGCCTTTCAACAAGATGTATTCCTTGTCTTCAAACATTCTGGTCTCCAGTGGAAATGCAATTTGGCCAGAATAAACTGGACATGATTAATGGTCACATGACATAGATGACTTGAAAACAGATTACCGCATTGACCCTCTGTGGCAACAGTCCTGGCACAAGTCTCCAACCATCCAGCCTGGCCATGAACCTCTTTGATTGTCTGAAGGAGAACCAATAGTTAGGTGTTGGCAACCATTGGCAAGTAAGTCACACACCACAGGGTGATTCTCTTGTAATACTTTATGTACAAATGATGAGAGCCTTGGAAGTTTGGACTTCATCAAACAAGATAGGTTACACCCGTAGACCACTCCAGAAAGATATTGAGCTATGGTAATCCCGAGTGTAGACAATACATTCTTTGATGAGGTTAACAAGATGGCTGATTGAGAATAGAAGGTTGGACATGTACTTCAGAGCTGACTGTTGCTTTCTTGATATTAGTCACAAGCCTGTTCTCTGGCTGGTCCTTGTCGACCAGACTGGCTGGCCTGTAAGTCCTGTATGCATGTGACTTAACAGATAGAATGCCTAGTGTGTTTCGAGACACATTAATGTGCTCCATCCACCCTGGAGGTAATGGAGGGGACTGTATGTGTTCAATTGATAAATGTGTTCACAGCTGGAGTGGCTTGGCAGGGCTCGCATGTCAGCAACTTAAGTTGCCAAGGTGGCAGCAGCAGTAACACCAACTGTCAACACTGTTCAAGTTGAGTTTGAGTTGTATTCAATGTATTCCTTCTTGCTCAATAAATATATGCAGTACCAAGTCAATATTACAATCAAAACCTACCATTTGCAAGGAGGATTATCTTCCTTGTCTGAGTGGTATGATTGATAGCAGCCTGGGTGGGGGTATGCCTCGTTCTTGTGTTTGTAGATCTATGACGGTCGTTCTCGAGATTAATGATGGATCAGATGCAAATAAGAAGCAACATACTTTTGCATTTGCATAACCCATCTTAATCATAATGTTACAAATGAGCTAGTTTTTGAATTGTACAGTCATGGTGCCTGATATGGCCTTCACCACTGTCGATTTTCTGTGTGCAACATGACAGATTGTTCCTGCAGAGATAACTCAATAGCTAGATCATGTACTTGCAGAACTCTGCGCACCCAAATTAATTGTAGCCTAGAAGGATTACACTCAATAAATTGCTTCAGATGAAGGAAAGCTGCTTGCACACCTGTTTTGATTTTAATTCAAGCGAAAGTGGCATCAGCTTCATGATATCTATGTCAACCTTTGGGACAATGAAACGTCAAATACAATCATTTGTTGAGACTCATCCAAGTCATATATGAGCAGCTGCCCATCTGGCATTGGGAGCCCGTAAGTGGTATTGGTGTGATGCAGTATAGACTTGTTGAATGTTGATGGTGTGGGAAGTGTGCCATGGCATCATTGACCCATGCTGTTTGATAATACAATGGCGATAAGCACTACATGAATTAGAGATAGAAATGATGTTAGTTTAAGGTGCAGAGCTGGCAACTGCAACTACTCACAAGACATATGCAGATGTAAAGAAATGGAAACACATGTGGCACTGCATGAGGCAAGTCACGGTGTTCACACAGATTTGCAGAGTCAGATGCCACATGTCAGTTTGTATATGCAAGTGGAGCAAGACTAGATGCACCTCAATCCAGCATTGATGGGAATGGCTACCTTCCTGCATTCCACAAGAGGTCTTGAAGATGCAGAATCTGTGTTCCACAGGGAATCCATAGATGGCATGGTCACAGTCATGATGATAAGTTGCACACACTCAGCTAATCATAAAGGTTGGAATGGATTCAGACGCTCCGAACCAGCTCTCAGTAATCAAGAATAGCCTGAACCCCAAACCTGTTTGGAAGTTCAGTCCAGAATAGACTATGGCAGCACGTGACATACATCAATTTGTTCACTTTCTGAGTCATATATCAAAAAAGCTTTGGGGCATTTGACAAGCAACTTTGATCTTTGGGCAGGTCATGGTGCAACATCAACTTGGTGAGGATAAGTACTAATTTTGGGACAGGAAGTCAAAAAGCCGAGGAGCCAATCCTGAGGTTTGAGACTTTTGGACCATCGGTGTATGTACATAACATAATCAACAATTAATGTTGTGAGCATTAGATAATACAATCCAAGTTGGGAAGTGAAGGAATCTACATTTGGAATGTGACATCCACTCAGTCAGTTCCAAGTTGCATTCAAGAATCAAGATCCCATTATCAATATACACTCATATAGACCCTTTCACAAATAAATTTACCAACACACAATGCAGAACTATCGCAATGGTAATGGAATGAACCGTGCCCATCACAATCACCAGGTCCATTGAATTTCACTCACTACATTGATTGCATTGCTGATCTTACCAACACTCACTGGCAGGCTCACAACTGGGTATGTATTTATGGTGTTGTAATGCTTGCATACCAACACATTTGCAGTGTATAACTCTGGACCATGTGCCAAGGCCTCAGGCCATTTCCTTTACTATGCCAGAGAGACAGCTGGTAAGGGAAAATGATTGGTTCACAATGTTAAATTATTGACTTTTCAGGAAATAATGTATGCAACATGGGCCGTCGCACATGCACCAGCAATTCTACCATCCAGAGCAGCAGTTTCCGGCTTGCCCACCACCAGCCTGGGGAGAAGAGATCTGTGCTATGATGGTCCTGTGGATAGTGAGGGAGCATCGCCTTTTTGAGATGGAAATGCAAGAGTTTGAACATCTGCTAGGACTCAGAGGCGAGTGTTAATGTTTCGAGACATAACAGTTTGAAGGTGCGAACTCACAAGGGAGGAAGGAATCAGAGGGGGAAGCTTGATCATTGGATTTTGGTAGTTTCACCAACAAATAATTTTGCATTCATCCACATGCATCAGTAGATAGATTTGAGAGAAACAATGTACCAGCACTGCTTGACCTATGAACTCGGAGAAGTTATGCAGCACCAAAGAGCCCTTCTACCGCATTCATCAATCATAGTTCCCTCATACAGGTAAGATATATTGACCAAGTCAAATGCAGCTATGATGAGATTTACAGGACATTGAGTATGTGACTGGATGTGTATGAGGATTGAACAACCATTTACCAATAAATGTAGGAGCTGTCAGGGCTTTACAGTGGTTTCTTGCTTCTGTTGGTCGTCCTTCTCATCCATAATCAGACCAGTCATGAGGTGGGGCACACCCAAGTGCAAACACAGCAGCTATGCCCATATTGGAATCCAATTCAGAATGCCACCACCACTTGCATCCAGTCTCCTCCTAGCATTATGATCACACAGATCCTGTTCCTTTAGCAACTGAGCTCATCACAACATGCAGAGAACCCACCTCTTGTAAGACCAAACTCCAGCTTATCTACAGGCCTGATATGACTGTCTAAATCCTCCTTGGATCATGACTTCTCCCTTCTCTTTGACAGTAAGCCCAACCCATATGTGTCATTCTCATTGGCCTTGGGTGAGTGTGTCAAGATGGTGGCACAACGCTGGCATCAGGGAGCCTGAGAAACCACATTAATGATGGGCACACCAGCACACTGGGTGAACCAAGAGACATATACTCCAAGAATGAGTTGCTCTGATCTGCAAGTGCCGATTGTCCAGGGGATAGTGGCGCATCAGGATTATTACAGAAGGTTGGTCTCATTCACAGGTGCAAAGATGAACATGACATATTGGCATTAAGTGCCTGAGAATTAGAATGTGAAATGAGCGGTGAGAGCGGAAGTGTAGGAGGTGGTGTGATACTGGTGGATGCATAAGCAAAGTTCTGGCACGTTTCCTCAATGACTCCTGAAAATGAGTTGCATGGGCCCCACCCTATGAACGAGAGTGAATACACTTACTCTCAACATTCTAAATGCAGAGATTCATTTGATCAATAACTGTCTCTCATTCCTTCTCAGCAGAATTTGCTGGGTGAATATCCTCATAGCTGAATCTCCCAGCTTCACCTGAGCAGTGCTGCTCAAATTCGACAGGCTCCAGGGAAGCACACCACACAGGTGTTGTATGACCACTCATGATTTGGTCAAGTGTCAAGGACTTGTACATCTGAACACCTTTGTCTGTGTTGTCAAAGTTCAGAGTTAGGCAAAGGGGTGGCAATTAGAGGAGGGACACACCAATAGAAGCTTTCATGCTGTGTTTGAGTCCAATGAATCCAGACTCACTCACCTGGCACATTTCACTTGTGAAATTACATTCAGCTGGACATATGCCATCAGTCAGCATATATCTAAGATAAGACACATGCAAAGAACCACTCATCACATGCACTGCCATGGGACTCTTCTGACCGCTCGAAATGGGGGAAAGATGCACCTCCTGAGCCTCCTTCCTTTGAATTGCACAATCCACCTCTTTGTTGCTCAACTCCATCTCATCATCACCATTAACATTGTCTCCATTGGCTGATGTCATAATAGACTCAGTGTCATGCACAACTACTTGCATTTGTGCTCCAACTCCCATATATGGTCATGCATACTGCCTTGCCTATGGCTGAGGATGTGGTATTGGCTATACCACTGACATTTACAGTTGTTGATACATTTGTGAGGTCTGCAGTAGAAGCATTGGGAGTGCAGCGCCCTTAAGTGATCCTTGTACAGATGACATGGTGATACCTATCCGTGTGAGGATAGGATGAGTGGATCTTGGGTTGTGATTTTGATCATGTATGGTGTCTCTTGCTGATGCAGGTGTCCTCTTGGATCTCCTTTCCAGGTATGTGGGAGACCAAGAGGGTTGCTGAGGAGCAGCAGGAAGAACAAGAATTGGAGGACCAGGGGAGCAAAATGTCAAGATGCCACAAGACAGACACATTTGTGGGTATGGCATTTTTGGAGTAGAGGTGCCTTTTGCTGGGGGAGATATAAATGAGGATGAAAGTGTATAAATGGGTGTCTGCTTCTTGGGTGAAATGGCAGCAGAGGCAGATTTCTCTGTGATAATGATAAGTATGCGTCTTCTGATGAGGATGAGTCATGGCTCACTATGAACATGCTTGTCTGGAACTGCCATTGGACCTGCAGCCTGCCAACATACATCTGTACACCTTAAATCCGCATTTGGAACAATCATGCGCTTGGGGAGCTTCTCCATTGGCCTGGGAATGGTATACATGCCTACCCATTTTCCACACATCTATGCGATGATGGTCATCAATTATTGCCCATTAGACTTGAAAAACTGAGAAAGATACTCACTGTCCTGCCCTAGTATTACTTCTCCAAGTTGGCTTTGCTTGCAAACTGCTCGCCCTCTTCATAATCAAATGGCATGTGACTCACCAATATCTCGAAAATGGTAACACCAAGTGACCAGATGTCAGACTTCTGGGTGTCATGGGGAAGGCCACAAGCGTGTTCTGGGGAGAGATACTGCACACCATGGAAAGTTTAAACATCATGTGAATGTAAAAATAGAGTGGAGAAAATGCAAACCTCAAGGAAACAAGACCAATGTTTCATCAGCATTCACAAAGGTAGTAATGAAGGTCATAAGAAATGGGCCTTACATCCAAAAAATCAATCAATGTGGCAGGTGACAGGCCTTGCATTGCGATGTAGTGCTCATGCATGCCAAAGGGCCACACATGCAACACGTTCATGCAGTAATTTGGGGGGGAAAGGCTGGGCAGTACATGTCGCTTCTTCTGCCACTAGTGACTGTGTGGAAAAGGATGAAACAACGCCATGAAATGAGCAAACAGAGTATGAACAGCAGCAAGTTCTGATTGTGAGTCTGTAAATAACCTAGTACATCATTAAATGCAAGCAAAATGACATGCCTGCTCCACTTGATTAAATTATCCCCTGTTGAACTTCAGGGAAGCACAGCATGGACTACAACGAGCTGGAATTCTGGTGCCAGGCAGATTGTGCCATACAAACACGAGAGATAAGCAGGGCATAGACTGAAGAAAGCTGGAAATCTGATGACAGCTCCATCTTCCAAGTGCCCTGAATAAGGGCAATCACACATTGATCGACCTCACGGCCCTTTGGAGTGACTCTATCCAACTTGAGGATGGCGATGTTACCAACCGCATTGACACACATTCTGATTCTTGAGAAGAAAAAACCCTATCAAAGAAAATTGTGGTGATCACCAGATGAAAATCATAGTTCTTCACCTGAGAGCATACAAGCAGAGGTGGTCTTCAATAACCAAAACAAGACAAGCGCCACAGGCAGGAGCAGCAGCACAGTGGCAGAGTTGGTTCAGCCTGAGGGGCCTGGGATTTCAGATTTTTTCTGGATATCACCCAAGCCATCAGAGTCAGGCCCAAGAGTGCAGAGGTTCCATAATAAGAGATCACTGACTCAGATGAAAGTCTCTGCCATGGCATGGCTTGAGGTATCACAATCATGCGATAACAATTTGAACAATCACAGGCAACAACATGACACAAAAATGTTTGGGTTGCTGGACAGTCAACTTGAAAGCCATATCAAAATATGGATGCACTCCGAGTTGTTGGTGCAAGAGACTATGATAATTGAGAAGGTAAACAAAAAAAACTTGAAAGACAGCATGATGAACTTTAAAGCTCACTTAGGCCTGGGCTACACTGACTTGTTTGTTAGAGCTTGAACTTGGAAAAGTTGAGCAAAGTTAGCCCTGCAGCCTCCATAAGCATCAGTATTGGAATGCTTGAGGCTATTTCAATGAAACTAAGTTATCATGACTAGCTGCAATGATAGTGCCAGCCAACATTACATAATCGGATACACCCTGGGCCAGGCCCATCAGTGTGACAGTGAGAGCCTGATTAATGATTTGTCAACTTCAAGTTGAAGTTTTGGAAGGTTGCAAGTTGTTGGTTGCCAGATGTCTGTTTAAGGTAGCACTCTTGAAAGCCTTGACTCTGAAAAGGTGAACCAGTGAAAACAATACTGCTGTAAATATGATGGCCCAGGGGCATTGGTTGAGTCTTGGAAAATGGTTTGCACCTGAAGTTCAAGTTACTACTGTACCTGTGATGGAGTGTCACACCCTCACAACTTGAATTTGACTTGGAGGCAAGCCTGAGTTACACCACTGACTGCTGTCAGGCTCTGGTATAGCTCTGAACTTCAGATATCTGCCACAGGGTTTTCTCACAGCCTGTGTGAGAGGACTTGCTTACAAATATGATCAGCTAGTGGAATTCGAAAAAGTAAGCTGGACAGGAATCGAACTCAAGGGCTTGCAGCTGGTAGCATCAATACAATTGACACAATAATGACTTCGCCACAAGGGCTTGTATTTCCAGGATGTCGAAGTATGTCTGCCTTCTGGCATTTTGCCACCACTTTTCACAAGTCCCATCTGTCTAGACTTGATACAACACATATTGCAACACATATATATTTAATGTAAAAATGGCCAGAAGGGTAGAAATATATTATATTTAACTTCAGTGGGCCTTGGTGTACTTCAGGAGGGATTGGAATGGTGTAAATTGTGAGAGGTGGGTGTTGTATATACTTTGACATCCCAGAAATGCAAGCCCTTGTGGCCAAGCTGTTATTCTGTCAAATGTATTGATGCTACTGGCTGCAAGCCCTGGAGTTTGATTCCTGTCCAGCTTACTTTTTTGAATTCCGCCAGCCGATCATATTTGTAAGCAAGTCCTCTCACACAAGCTGCGAGAAAACCCTGTGGCAGATATCTGAAGTTCAGAGCTATACCAGAGCCTGGTGGCAGTCAGTGGTGTACTTCAAGTTGAAGGTGGACTTATCAGCATACAGTACAGTGACACTTCGACCTCAAGCTATGGGTGGTCTTCAGAATGATAAGATACATATATTGTGGGGCAATGGCTCATCAACACCCTTACCATGACAGAAGACGTTGCATACAGATTGGATGACAACTTGAAACAGATCTACTGTCATGTACTAGTAGTAGTTCTATAGTAACTTGAAGATGTGTTTGATCGTAAGAAGGTAAAACTCTAAGTTGGTTTCATTGAGTTCCTTAATGCGATTTAAGACTTCATTGTACATTGCTCTCTCCCCCTCGGCAACAAACTCAGACAGTATGTATGTCCCATTCGAAAATTCTCTCAATGCAAACCATAGCATGGTCACCACAAATGCGACAATATTGTCGACATTGATATTGTCATTGTTATCAGGAAGGTGACAGCAAAACTGTCTAATGATTGCTTGGACCATTTGTGCAACAGACACATGTCCAAAGGGCTGAGTAGTCGTTAATTCATGTTGTATCCACAGTTTAAAAATGAAAAGCTTACTGCCACTGCCAAGTCTACATGATCATAATTTTCAGTGAGGGCATTGATGAGAGCAGATCAGTGGGCTACAATATCCTGCACTTGTTCGTCAAGCCCCAGTGAAAGACCCCATGAGCCTAAGACAATTGCACGTGCCAAACATTTGACCTCATTTTGGAGATTCATGGGGACCATCCTGAGGCTCTTTCTTGCCTTTCCACTGTTCTTCAAAATCCATTTGTTTGCAGTGTCTAATGCAACGTGAGGTATTTATTGACAAAACAAGCAAGTGCCTGCCTTGATTGCTAATATTCTTCATCATGGCTTTGACGATGGCGTTGTTCATCGCTAATACTAGCACATCCCTATGCAACATAAAGTTGTCGTTCAAAAGCAGACTTTTGATCTTGTCGCATGCTTGATCATTTATCTGGTTGGATAAAAGTCAAGTTAGCTTTGATGCAGCGGTCTCGCCAGGCAACTGGTCTGTAGTTTGTGCTTGTGCTGGATGACATGTGTTCTGCCTCAAAGGTCCCACCTCAGATTCCACTGTCAGAAGGACCGCCACAGAGGGCCCCCCTGTTGAACCTGACATAGAACAGCCTGCTGTCAGGTGAGGGAGCAGTACCCTCATATCGAGTCCTGGAACCCCTGGCATACCCTCAGGCTGGGCAGTGAACATTAAGATTTTTTACAGCACCAGTGAAACTGAAACATACCATTGAAACCTCACCCTCAAACTCACCTTGCCAAGCTTGCGAGTGGTCATTGCATAATGACCTTTGACATGCCATCAAATCATATGGTTGGCTGCGAACTGATGCATGTCCTTCAGTTGCCCATTGGCGCCAAAACAGCAGCTTTCTGCAGGATTCCATCACTAGCTCAAGAGCAGCAGTGTTGATAGCCAACTGAGGACAGGGGGCAATGATGTTGAGGGCAGTGCTGCTAGGGGCAGGGGGGTGAGGGTTGAGTGGAATGAAATTAGGATTGGGTGGAGTGAAGTTGGCATTGCGATAAGCAATGCAGGGATTGAGGGGAATGATGTTAGGGCCAGGTGCAGCAAAGTATTGATTGGGTGCAGTGGCAAAGTATGGATTGGGTGCAGCAAAGTATGGATTGTAGGGGGGAACATTGGAGTTGGGAGCAGCGCCGATGTTGGTGTTGAGAGCAGCAAAGTTGGTGTCAGGAGGGATGATGATGTTATCGTGACGATCAGGTTGCATGGATGGGACTGGGACACCAAATGATGCATCATAGGAGCTTGAAGGGTTGATGCCCATGCCAGATTGATCATTCAAGTTAACATCATACCCAGATCTGTAGTATGAGTCAGAGGGAGACACCCTCTGTGTTTGCTACTTGGTGTTTCATTAATGAACTAATACTCTTGAATGTAAGGCAGACCCATACCTTTGCTTTTCCTTTGCCCTTCTTTGACTTGGAGGCCATGAGTGTGGGGGGAGGGGAAAAGCAAGGTGAGTGTGAGGACAAATATCATGGCTAGTTGATATGAAACTTAGCTCGTGGTCGAGTATGCTTCACTGATAGATAACAATGATCTATAGTTCATCTGATTTGACGGCAATACATCATTATCCATGACATAATTTGAAAAGCACTACAAAAAATCATACTACACTTTACAAAAAGGCAACTCAGGAGCATGGATTATCAGGCACTTGTGGAGATGTCCTTGCAATAGTGATACAAATAGCTACAACAGTACGTCAGCTGCCCATGTGGGGTTTCTATGCTGATTAGAATGCATACCTTAACAACTGTGACAGTCTGACATATTGGAATTGTAAGCGCTCTCATCAGTTTCACTCTCCTCCTCATCACCTCTAAGTCCATCTTAGGTGACCATCAAGGTTTTTAGGTCCCTTGCAAATTCTTCTTGTGATATAATGAGGTTGCGATCTTGAGCATGGTTCTCAAATTTATCAAGTAGTTGATCTGTGTTGGCCAACGATGTCAAATCATTGTGGTAGGATGCCAGGTTGAGTTTAAGGTCATTTTGCACTTCTGTCGAGGACCAGTCCGATAAGAGCTTCTCAAACAAGGAAGCCTCGTCGTTGGCTTCCTTGTATATTTCCATATTGTTGTGCTGCAGCAGATGTAGGAGTTCCGCATGGCGTTCTGCCTCTTCTATCTCCCACACTGTTAATATGACACAGAGGTGACTGGGTTCACGTGAGGCCTGCTTTGTGAGAGTGGCTTGCTGAATGGCATCATCTGTCATGCGCATTAAACCACATTTCAGGACATCCTTGCACTGCATAACAGCTTGTGAACCAACAAAAACATGCTGGGAAAAGGAAGTTTGGACTTGCAGATTCTGGGTCCACTAGAGACAGGTCACTTTGGTGACTTCTTGTAAGGGACTTTCCTGTGAAACAAAGATCTGTTGGTGCCAGTCCACCAGGCTTTACACATGTCCCCAATTTGCTGCTAGTTTGGGTATATCCAGCCATACAATGGATGACAGTGGTTGGTGGATAAGAAGCAGGATCCTGAAGTGGATTCATAGAATGAGATATATGTCCCTTAGAACAAGGGTGTGTTTGGTTGCCAGCAGCAGCAGACCACCAAGTAGCATGTCTCCTTGTGATGTGGCTGCCTATTACTTTATCGGTGGTCTGAGTCTGCACATTTGGTGATCAGTGAAACTTCTGGCAATTCAGACATGGCACTCACATGGTCACGACCCTCCTGACAATGGCATGAAGGTGAGCACCTAGGGCCCAATGTTGTTTTATGACTAGCTTTCATGTCAGTGACTAAGGAACCAGTTGCTGGCAGCTGCAGAGCCATATAGCACTATGGAGATCAGTGGACTCTGGAGTTTGGAGTTTGAAAGACTTAGCGTTTTTGGAATGCTATAACCTTAGGCTACTACTACCCCTGCCAGTGTGAATCATGAGCCTCACTGTGATAGGCTCACTGGCTCAAGTTGGCAGTCAGTCCCTGAGGTCATTTGTGATGAAGATGACCTGTGCTGTTCACGTCTTACAGATGACTTGCTTCTATAATCATACCTCCTGGATGATTCCACTCAACTTCCAGAGTCAACTCAGAGCTTATCAAGTTCAACCATGATGCGGCCACTGTTGGACAAACTTGACTTGATCAAAACCACAGTAACAGGTGAGTAAGTCCTAGTACAATTTCAAAAGGCAGATGATCAATATGCCTGAAGTTAAGCGGTTTGTTCTCCAAGTTGATCATGAAGCAAATCATAGCCTGAGCAATGATAATGATGAGGGACCAGAATGACCTTCAAGTTTACAACCTGACTAGTTACCTTAATGATTTAGTCAGCTGTTGACTTGGACTCAGACTTGGAAGAGTCCTGTCATGGTATTTGATCACTGTGGCCACAACCTGAGGGGGCCTACTGTAGTGGCAACCTCAGCATGACCCAGTCCACCTTGGCACCCCTTGCCGATGGCTCTTTTCAAATTTTCTCATCAAATCCCAAGTTTTAATTTCTGGCAGACTCTGCAGCCGCCACATCTGTGAAATTTGGCATTTGCACTGTTACGGTTGCTGTTGGTTACTACTGCTAGTACTACTAGTAGTAGCTACTTACTACCACCGTGACTAGTATTACCGTGACTTTAGTAGTGTTGATGGCCCACCAACAAGTTCAAGTTGACTCCTGTGACTGACTCGGATTTAGTCCTTGGGCCCTCACCGGCCTCAGACTCAGGCTAGTCCTGACTGACTTCAAGTTGACTTGGACTTGGACAATCTACTAGTAGTACCACTGGCACTGGCAGAACTTGGTGGGAGTTGGAGTTCCAGACTTTCAAATCTAGTACTACTAGTAGTAAGACAACTTGAGCTCAATCATGATGGATCCCGGGCTGACTTCAAGTTTACTGTGGCACACATGATGTTAAGCATCCCTTACCTTTATCTTTATATTTTTTCATCAAAATGTTACAGTTGTCAAAATAAAAGAATGCAAAGCCACTGCTGTGTGTCAACTTGAACAAATCAACAACGATCGTCACTGGCAGGGCGACCAACTCGAACGTGAGTATCATACCATGACAATGATCAGTGGTACTAAGTGTGGGATGTAAACATCCATTTATGGTGATTGCCCTTGAAAAGATTGACGGCAGAGCCTTTCCAACTAATGGAAGTAATATACTCTGGTGCATTAAACCCAGGTGCATATGTCCTGGCACATAAATATTCATTTATCATCATGGCCTGGCTCTCAGGCTAGTGAACATTGAACATATAAAGGGTTCCTTATAGCCTTGCTTGATCACCATGACAGGCTCACTTTGTCATTTTCCCCCTTCCCATTTCACCTTGCTTGTTCACTTCAACCCACTCTTCCATTGTGCATCAACGTTCCCACTCTGAGTCACTCCACTGCCATGGCATCTCTCGATCCTAACACTTCTGAGTTAGTGTCTAATGACGATACAGGTTCTGAACACATACCAAATCCCTCTGGGGCCATGCCTACCACTGCTGATGCAAGGGCCAAGCATCACATTGCCGCCTTAGAAGATGAGCTCGAGAGGATGCAACAAGAGAGGGGAATGAAGCAGAGGTAGGCTTGCCCTTGTTGCCACCTTTACTAGACCAACATTGATTTGAAGGTAAAGAAAGATGACCCACTTTGTTGCACAAGGTAGGGCAATCTGTTGACTGGTAGTCCTTTACACAAGCTTGGAAGACTTAATTGCTGAAAACAATCGCTGGTACAAGCAACTACTGGAGGAATGCATGCCAATGTAGGTCATCAGTTTTTCTACATCATTTTAATCTTATTATAATTTCAGAGAAGATCATCTGCAGTGTGGCTACATTGAATTATCGTGGGTGCTTCCATGGCTTCACACAAATCTTGGGGATCTTGGCTATAAAGAATGTGAAGACATGTTAAGAAAGGTCTGCAATACCACTGGCAAATAAAATTTTGCTGGCTAATTGCTCAATAGCTCAAGAAAGGAGCTGATGCAGCTCACAGTGACAACACCTCCTGCCTCAAGGACCTTGTCGCCACATGGGTCAATCAAGACTTTTGTCTGTCTCCTCTGATCAGGCCTGATGACAAGCACTTGCATGGCTTTGCAAGCAACATCTGTGGCAAGTTACTCTGCCCTGCCAAGTGGGACTGGGATCAAGACTGGTAAGAGTTAACCTTTCTAGACTTGCACAGGACGTTGACACTGAACCAGTGTCAAGGCTGGCATTCATGACAAAATAACAGAATACATTGTGTCAGAAAACTCTTGGCTGCTTTTTTTGTATGAAAAGTACACAGTGAACTGCAACAGCCTTGAGGAAGGGCTTCTAAAATCCAAACTTCTGGTTCTGGTGAGTGGCTTGTGAATGCAGTCATGATATCATTTTTCTCATTGTGCTGCAGGCTTTCAAAGCCATTTTCATGTCTCCTTCCTCTGTGAAAGAAGTTGAAGGTGATGGTGACAGTGCTAACATCATTGAGAACAACAGGCGCACCCGGCGGAAATCAGACCAGGCGAAGGTTAAGACATGTGTCACCTCAATCATCAGTATGAAGAAGGTTACACCTCGTTCTATAGCTTATGTTGCTTGTCAAGTGAGAAATTTTATCAGCTATCATATTGATGTCCTGCATCTAAACAAGTTTGAGCAGCAGGTTTGTTTTGCTCTATCAAATGTCACATCTTGGCAGACCATGGATGGCGACTTCAACTACGAAGCATTCTGGAACAACATCATAGACTTTTTTGAGAATGTTCCTGGTCCTGTCACAAAACATAGGGTTGATAAGCTTTTAGAATGGTGGACTAGGTAATAACTTTGTCGGTGCTCAAGTATTGGATGGCAGCTGACCTTGCTATTTCAGGAAAATTTTTGAAACAAACCATTGCGAGGACCTGACACTGGAGGTCGTATCCTGGATGTCTGTCAATGCACTTGCAGAGCAGAGGAAGGTGCTCGAGGATGCCACTTTTGACTCAGATTAATGCTCATTGTACTTAACCATCACCCCCTCCTTTCGCATGCTTACTTAGTGCCCATACTTATATGATATTCCGCAATTACATCTACAATAATAATTGAATTGCAATGTCAAATTGTTTGCTCTTGTTTCAGATTGGAGGTCATTGAGGGATGATCATCATGACATTTCATGCTGTTCAATACACCAATAACTATGATATTTATTGCAACATTCAATGCTCAAGAGAATGCTCATTTTGTACCATTGTAGATATACCTGCACTAACAACAGTGTGCTGTGTGGTTTTGGGATCAGCCATCAAACGTTTTCTACCTCCAACTCAAGAAGTTTATGCTCAATCTCCAACTGAATGTGATCGGTTAATAGTCCAGATCTCATACTGGTCAGCACCCTATTACCTATTAAATTTATTGCAACATCCAGCACTCTCAAACAGCAAGAAAATGCTCATTTTATACCATTGTAGTGACGACTGTGCCAACAACAGTATGCTGTGTGGCTTCATGATCAGCCATCAAAAGCCTTCTACCTCCAACTCCATTGGTCAAGGAGAGTATGCATGATCTCCAACAAAATGCAATTGGTTGATAGACAAAATATCATATCATCCAACATGCTAATGGCTAACAGATATATTTTGACATCCAACCCTGGCAAGCAACAGGGAAGTTCACTCTGTGCATGCCTGCAGTGACAACTAGTGGGTGAAGGAATTATGGCAGACATTGGAATATGGAAATCCATTTCAGTTAATAGCTGAATCATCCAACCAAGTTCCCAATCTAGTCAAGCCATGGATCATCATGTTGATGCCCAGTTATTGAATTTTTTTTTTCAGTGGAACATGGGGAAAAATATTGTTGCCATTTTATGGCTTGGGCAAAGCTGATCTGAATGTACTGAATTGCTCCATGAAGGCAGTACAAGAACCAAGTGCCTTAACATTAGTTCCTGATGGCCTTCTTGGTAGAAGATTTTTCCTGTAGAGTTCAGAGTTTCTTGGCAAGTCACAAGTCTTCAGGTATGTGCTAATGTTTACCTCGTCTTGACATTGAGACAGTCGTGTTGTTGTTTTTCGAAGTAAGTAATAGTGCCAGTGTGCAACATTGCATCTATTTTCATAATGATGCACCAAAATATCTGAGATATGCCTAGTGTTCCATTTAGGTAACATACTCAGAGCTTTGTCACAGCATGCATCTTCTTCGACATATTGCTGATGCCTAGCATCAGAATGACATGCACACATCACGAGCCAGATGATCTCAAATGTCCAGGGCTGTAGTTTAACTCTACTCATTCATGCAACGCATGATTTTACACTCTGTGGCATTGTGCAAGGGTGTCACACTCTTGTCAGTGGCGACCTTGATGTGTGTCTCAATGATTATGAATCCACAATTTATTCCATTAGCTCACATCACATCTTTCATTGATAGACCAGATCACGTATAAAATGATGCATAGAGGGTAGGATAACTTGACTGGTTTGTTTACAAATTCATCTTTCCTTTGTAAGGTCAAACATTTCCAAGTAAACCCCCCACCACATTTATGTTGATTGTTGTGATTGTTACCAATACAAAGTTAACTATGACATTTTCATCTGTTCACTGGTTCACTGATGGTAGATCTACGTGACATTGAGTAGTCCAACATAGCAGCTGCATGCTCCTCTGCTTCTACTGCTGCTCTCTCAAACCACCCAAGTGTCTCATCAAGTGGAGATTGTTAGCATAGGTTATGTGATTGAGCAAGCTTATAAGGTAGGTCGTTGGTAATGGTCTACAACCAGTCTCATCCTCCCGCAGTCTGCAGCCAGTTTGCCCATTTGTGGTCAGCACACCCATCCATGGTCCCCAGCCAATATTGTAAATCTGAAGCATGATCTCCTCGAAGCCATAGCATACAAATGAGAACTGACAGTGGCTCTGGTGGCTAATCTGTTTCTCCAGTTCTGAGAGTGCATCCAAGAGAGCCGTGCTTTCTGTAATCTCTGTCATCAAGTGGAGAGACAAATGTGCAAGTAAGGAGTGGGGTGATGTGATGTTGCATACTTGAGGGAGGCCGCAGTTGGAGGGGTCATAAATGTAGTCATGAATGGATGAGTGATAGATATTCATTGGGTGAGTGCTGTCTGTAGGGATATCCATGACAGACCATAGCTGTATCAGTGTTGTCTGTACACCCCTGTCCAAACCAGGGCCAAGAAGTGACAAGAGTTGTGAGACCCCACTTGGCTCACCAGCTTTGCAAGATCATCTTTTGATGACTGAGAAAAATCAGTATGGTGACTTGCTAGCTCTGCAAAGGAATACTGCAAGAAAATATAAATATCTTTGTCAACATCAGTGCCATCAAGCAAGATGATGGTAGCAACGCCCTCCCCAGAAGTTTTCACTGGTATCTCACATACCAGCAAGTGCACCTCTCTGTTCTGAAATTGGTGTGAGTGAAGATGCATACCTTGACAAGTGATACTTCTCGATGCACAGTAGGTATGAGTGGAATCACGATCATGAGTGCCGATGCCCAGTGATGCATGAATATCTAAATGCTCTGCACTGCTCGATTGTCAAAAGCCCATCCTCTCAAGCCTTTCCCATATGTTGAAGGTTATTGTGGTGCTCCAAGTTCAGCAGTGGTCCATAATGCTTCCATTCGTCTGCATTTGATACAAAGTGTTAATAAAGGAGAGCTAATACACTAAAAATCCAAAAGTTAACATGTTGAAGACGTGATGAGGAGAAGATCAAACTGACAAGGCTGAGCTTAAAAGTGGGAAAGGGATGCATGCGGGGAAGTTAAGACTGTTATATGCTGTTCGGTGATGGCTATGACATTGTTGTATGTTGTGACAGCAAGAAGCTCACCTGATGGTGAACACCGACCACAGTAGACCTGACTACTGCACTGTATTGTATTTCCCTGTAGCTGCCAGGTTTCAGTATTCCATGTCTTCATTGTTGTGTCACTTGAACCAGTAATTATGGAGATGAATGGGTTGATGCAGTGAAGTATAAAGCATACAAAACATGTACTTCAGAGTGTAGCTTAGAGAAAGACACCCACAATCCCTCCAAAGTCCACCTCGACCATGCCTACTGCCATCCACCTGCAAGAGTTCAAATGTCATGAAGACTGGGTAAGGGCAGTCGCAGTTTTCGCCAATAGATGGTTGATAATTAAAGCCTCACTTGACAAGGCACTTCATCTATGGGACTTGAAGACATGTGTTGTGTTAAAGAAGATGAAGGGACATGTGTGGACATTGGTGGTATCATGAGATGGGCAATTGATAGCAAGCAGTGATATTAATAAAGGTGGAGAGGTCATTGTATGGCACAGAGAAACTGGTGAATCACTCACAAAGATATCAGGTGATCTAATGCCAGGCCAGAACGACTGTAATGTATATGTACTAAAATGTGTCAGTAGTTAGTACTTACATCAAAAAAGCTAAAGGCAGCCTGATTAACTGATAGTGCAAATCCTGGCTGAAGGTAGTGAAACTCCCAAAGGTCAGTCAGGAAGGCAAAATTGACAAGGGTTCGGAATGGTTTGGGAAGGCTGAACCAGAACCAAACCATTAGGGAGGACCTAGAACTGAGAACCAATTTCCGGTCTGGTTCTGGCTGACATGAGAACCATGGACTGAACCACAGAGAACCAGATCAAAAGTCTGGTTTGAACCATGGTTCTGGACCAGACCACAGCAGCACTAGTACTGATGTGCTGGAGGCTGGAGCACTTGGACATCAGAAAATGTGACATGTAGTGGACTCACACTCAGTAGGTTTGTTATGAACTAGGATAGTTCTAACAACAGACAACTCGATAAGAGTCAGGACCTCTGTTGAGATTCTATGCAAGATGATAAGTCAAGCATTTGGTGTAAGCTAAGTTAGAAGGAGTGCTTCTAACTTAAAGTACGGTTCAGACGACAAGAGATTGGAGGTCTCAAGCGAAGGATGTTTCAGGTAAAACCTAGTAAGATTAAAGTAAAGAGCTAAAGTGTACAGGAGGACTATTTATAGTGAACTACTGTGCTTTAGGGCAGACATGAGAATGGAATGAGTCAGAGATAAGAAATGTGTAAGCGATAGCAAGAATAGGTCATCTAGCAATGGTGACAGCGGTTGTGATGTAATACAAGGTGTGAGTCAGAGATAAGTCTAATGGCAGCATCATGCAGCTCGTGACGTAATACATGGTAAGAAAGAGGAAAATGAATAGGGGCATATGTGGTTGTAACAAGGTTTACCTGTCAGCAGAGTGTGGAGCCATGATTTTGCACAACAGATGAGTGTCAAGATGGACTGTAACCTGAGAGACATGATTGAATCATGGTACTGTTTACAAGTCCAGACTCTGGATCCAATTCAAATGTGGATGCAGAAGTCTTTCTGGATAATCCCCAGCCTCCTTTTTATGGCACAATGCATATGTTTATTGCATAGTGCATGTAACAAGGAAATGAACTTCCCTTGCTGAAGGTTGGCGACCATGTTGATGTGACTCGGAAATATATCGGTAAAAATCATAACTCTTGCTAGGTTTGGTTTTTTTTATTCCCACTACCCTGTGTAGTGGGTTTTAGTGGTGGACTATTTTTTCTCCCACAGGCGAGAAAAAAGCACTTATATAATCTGGGTGTGGATTGTACATTTCACTCAGTAGGTATCTTGTTTCTGCCGCATTGATTCTGGGAACATCTGCAATCATTTTCTATGCTGCATTTATTTAACAATCGTGAGGTGATGAGTGTTGTGGATCCTGTGATTCCGGTTGGGACTATAATGTTGTCACTGGCGAGGACATTCTGACCTGTTGTTGTTGGCAACAGTATTTGTGGGGTGCTTTCAATGCCATTCGAAGGTGAAAATTATATGGTCAAGACTTTGTTCCATATCATTCAAGATGGCGAGCAATTGTTCGATGTAGTTGCTGGTTTGAATTGGGCATCATCTTGTAATGTTGTTTGAGATGATAGTCGTCATTGGTGAATGGTGTCTGCACATAATGGTGAGTGTTCTAAAAAAAAAGTTGATCATCTGTCATTGCTAATGACCATGTGGAAAATCAGCATTGGAACGCCATTTATCACACATGTCTTTGACATCTAATGAGATTACTTGTCCTGATATGATTCACAGACTTAATAATGATCATGGTTCAGATCATCAGCAAATGTGCAAAGGCCTGACACCACCTTGTCACTACCTGAATGTCCTGGCAGCAACCTGGATATCCTGGAGGTCTGGTAGGTATTTTATTCTCATGCATAACAAACAAAACATGCTCAAATCTCAGTCTTGTGATTCAATTACCACAACAGACTAACATATGATATATGATATATGATGCCTGACAATCTTACTCCAATTGCCCTGTGCACACTGGTGAGCCTGAACACAATCTGAGATGGTCTGGTCAAAACACAATTTCATTAGCATTCATCTAACCATGTTGTCCCTTATAAAAGTGTGGACAGCCAGGATATGTACATAATGTACATAGTAGGTGATTGAGCATTTTCTGTGAGTCTTAAGAGAGGTGAAAAATGGGGAGGACATTGCGAGTACCACTTTGCAGCACACAGACTAGACTCAATTTGAATCAAACACACCACAACAAAAATTTTCAACACAACTTGGAAGGAAAAAATACTTGAAAGTGAGTCACTCCATATCACCTTTGTATTTGTTTCATCATCCTCATGATCTATCACATTAAGACACGCTTGGTTTGGTGGCTGCCACAGTGCATCTCAGACCTCTTGCTACTACCATGTTTTTGAACTAACAAATAAAATCTAGTACCAGTTCCGTCTTAAACCCCACCCTCCACATTAGCACTTTTAATGCTCAGTTTAACTTAGGTATACTACAATCCCTTTACCCTCTCCATCAAGTCTTTGGACAACCATACACTCGGTTGGCACATTCAATGTCACTTGTTTGTTTGCTGCATTATGGGCTTTTGTCAAACTCTCAAGTGCATTTCGCTGGCAAGTGAAGATGACTCAACTGTGTGGTCCTCCTCGCACCAGCTTCATATATAGTGTTTTGCACAACCTTGCCTCATCCTAAGATAGTGCTGAAATGTATGAACACTGGGCAACAGAATATGGGGTTGCATATATGATTCTGGGTGTCCTTGAACAGACTAGAATTGTACTGTCTGACCCAAGAGCTATAGCACATTGCTATGCCCAAGAGACATGGACATATGTGCTGATGCCCCTTGCATTGGTACTTATGGAGGCATCAGTATGTTAATGTCATCATCTTATCTTGTCTGTCTGACATCTCTTGTCAGATGGGCCAAGGGCTATTATGGTCTCAGGGTGAAGACCACAGGAGGTACTATTCAGCTCTTTTCCTCATGCCAGCAACTTATTGAAAGAAATATCTAATGATTTATTGATTCACAGCTGCCGAGAAAAGGATGTGGATATGAGCGGGAGAGATGAGGAGAAGTCCATCATCGGATTGTTGAGTGCGCTTTCTGAGAGGTTCATTGTGGTCTCTTGATTAACATGGTCATCACTTAAATCTGAAGGCCAGGATGCTGAGCTTCATATGTTGAAGGAGGGAGTAGTGGCTCAGGTCTGTGGAGACTATGTACCACAACCATTATTTGCAAACTGACATCCTGCAGATGAAGACCTTGCTTATTGTGGGTTATGAGATGATATCCAGTGAGTTGGTTTTTTGTCTATTGCTATCACACTGACTTTTCATTGACAGTCAATCTTATGGTAGGTTTACTTTGTGATTATGTCTGTGCATGCTATTCATATGATGATCAGTGGGCACTGATTGAGCTATTGTGACACCCCAATGTCCAAACCTGCTTCAGAGAGGAACTGCTTGCATTGGGCACTGATCCAACATATGACCAATTGAAGGCCAGCCTCCCATACTTGGATGCCATTGTCCATGAAATTCTGTGCATCCATCCTATCTGATGATCCAGTTCAGCATTTGCCAATTTTTGTGAACTGGACTTTTTCATCACTATGTATACAAGGTGTATTTGTAGATTCTGCATTAAAAATTGATGTCTTTTTCACATCTGATATTCATCTGATTAGCAGCTGATATGTGCCTGGTTCGCATCCGAAGGCTATCTGAATCCGATCAGGTACCAGATAGCTTGCCTGATGCTGACAGATTCATCTGCCACCAGTACGCCACCTGCTAGCCTGGATGGTCTGAAATCAGGTGATTCAGGTCACTCTGCACTTTTCCTGATGATGATGGTCAATGTGCACTATCCCACATTCAATTGCAAGCAGAAAGTATGTTAATAAATTTATTCATGGATGTCAATTGTCAAATTGGTATGAGATCTTTATTTTCCAGCAACATAGAGTTCTTACAAAACATCGCAATGTCTCATGGCTTACCTCACAATGGAGGATTGTTGTCTGTGAGACAATGGATGTTGCATCACTTGTTGGTTGGAAGCTGGTGTATCCCTTCGGAGTCGTCAGGCAACGGCTGTGATTGTCAGAGTATCATCACAGCTCAATATGAGTTCTTTCATTGTCTTGCAACTGGTGAGTGGTCTTGAAGTCACTGTGGGGCATTTATTCCAAGTGGCACATTCTGTGGGTTTGATGAGAGTGCCTCCACCACATGATAGCAGATGTTGATTGCAGCTTTTTGACCCGCACAGGCATTTTTGTTGGAAGCTGAGGATGTTGGCCAATGTTGTCAGAATTTGATGAGTCTTCCAAGACAGTCTCTTGTATCTGTATGTGCTATACACAGTCTGTTGGTTGAGGGTTTGAAAGATGTTCTTATTGATCACTTGAGTTATCATTTTGGTTATGGAATGTGCGCATTAGAGGATAAACAAGTTGGGTGTTTTACAATTGTGAGTCGATACAATGTTGATGATGATAACACAGAGATAGAGGAATGGAGATTAGGTTTACAATGTCATGTTCTTGGGTCTATCACAGAGACCATTCAACTGAGGCCTTTGCATAGATTATTAACAGCATTGAACATCCCATTTGACTGTGATGCTGGACTGGCACAACTTGGGAAATTTCTAAAAACATTTTGTGAAGCAACTTTTGAAGGGAATCAATACTTTGTCTTCACAATCAAGGAGTCAACATTGATTAGAAGTAGCTGAGGCACAAAGATGAATAGCTGAAGAATGGCCAGAACCTGTGTCCATGGTGTTGAAAGAAAAATTGATCAGAATGTTTAGGGAGGAGACTTCAAGTCATCAACTTCAAGTGGTTGCATGTGTGTCATGTGCAGAGAATATTTTTGCTTGAGAAATGGTGGAAAAGAAGGCAAAGAATGTTGACAAAAAAATTCTGTTCCCACCGGATCAGAGATGCAGAGAATATGGTGATGTTATTGATCCTAGTTGGGGATGTAATATTGATAGTGAGTTGGTTCCAGGAACATTGTTAGATGGTATGCTATTGTGTAGAGATGGAGTTTTAACAGATGGTTCTTCAATGGATTTGTTCCAGTTTTGTTAAGGTTGTTTGGGAAGTCTTTGGAGTGGACAGACTCCTGCTCTCTCTTTAGCCAATCATACATTGTTTGGTGATGTACCACCACAGTTACAAGGATTGTCTATTGTACAGGAGTCCATGATTGCACAGCACTGTGCCAAGTCATGGATCATTCATTTGAAGGAGTTGTCAGGTGTGGCTGTGCTAAATGTGCAAAGAGGGATGAAAGGACATGTGATCATATCCTCAAAATCCTTTGCATTTAGTGGACATTCTTCCTCCTCCTATGCAAGATGTGTTAATGCCAATATGTGTATTATTTGTGGGAAGTTTGCCACCTACCTGTGAATGGTTGAGAAAGCATGCTACACCGTTGATTGTGCATAGGGAGAAGGTTAGAGATGCATTGTTGTGGCTTAAGGATAATAACAAGCATTATCATGATGTTACTGTTGATCATGAAAATATTGACACATTATCTGAGTCTGACATTGTTCCCATTCATGTAGAACATGTACAGACTTCTGAGCAACACAAATCGTTGACTTCGCAGTATGATGGAATTGACAATTTCCCTGTGGACACTGAGTGGATGGAAGGCATTTTCAATAAGGTCATTGTTATGGACATTGATCCAAATGCTCCAGCTCATGGATTACAGGCTGTGGCTATGAAACATATGAAGAGCAAACAGGATGGATTTATTCAGATCCCACATGGAAAACAGCCAGTAAATGAATTTTCTAAACTGGTTCTCTTCCCATTGATGTATCCATCCTTGTTCCCATATGGTATTGGGGGGTTTGAAGATCCAAGCCATAAAGAGAAGCTTTCGCTCAAGTGTCACATTAAGCATTTCTTTGCACTCCATGACATGCATTTTTAAGAGCATTACTCATTTCCATTCATGGTGTTTAATGTTATTCAGTGATGTGAAATGCTTCTCCATGCAAGTTTGAAAGTAAAGTGTACTAACTTTGATTCATTTGCCGATTTCGCAATGGTATCTCCAGCAGCAGTATCTAACATTTCAGACCATATTGCCAAAGGCAACCACACTTTTGCATTTACACCCGAAGAAAAAAAGGTTAGAGAGCTTCTAAGGCAGGTTAATTTGGTGATGTGCCATGCTCCTGGCTCATCAGCTTTGAGAGTGATTATGAGGAATGAGATGAGAGGGTTGATGATTGAGCAGGGTTTGCTGAGTTTTTATGTGACAATGATTCCTGCCGATGTATACACTCCTATAGTGAAGTTCCTCGTGGGTTCAGAGATAGATGTAGCATTTGAACATTGTCAGGTTCTGGTCACAAGGATTTGAAGTTCGAGGGAGAAGCACTTGGAGTCATCAAAGCACATTATGGCTGTGTGGAAGCTCAAGGACATGGTTCTTTACACTGTCATATGTTTGTATGGGTAGAAGGGGGTCTTGATCTAAATGAAATCAAGCAGAGAGTGTTCAACACCCATGATGAGGATTTTAAAGACAGATTGCTGAGGTTTTTGGATGACTGCATATCAACTTGTGTACCTAAGGATCCCAATCCAGCGTTCACAGTACCTTCATTGTCATCACATCCATGCTCTGTTCGAGGTATCAATGTCAGTACACTGCCTGATCTAATCAAAAAGGCCCTACAAAAAGATTTGTTCCACTTAGCTGAACAATGTCAATGGCATTGACATTCTACTACATGCTGGAAATATTGGAAAGGTCTACTGAATCTCCGAGAGTGCTGTTTTGATCTGGACAAGAATAACTACTGTTCTGAAAGTCATGTAGATCCTGAAACTGAAGAAATATGTCTGAGATGTTTGGATGGGCTGGTGAATAACTTCAATTCGATGATGTTATGGGCTATAAGATGTAATATGGATATTAAATTTATTGGTTCAGGTGCATCAGCGAAAGCTATGATGTACTATATTACAGATTACATCACAAAGGTTCAACTGAAGGTGCATGTTGCATATGCTGCATTGGAGTGTGTGACAAAGAAACTTGGAGAGTACAATCCTGATGTAGATGATATCACAATGAGAGCAAAATTGTTACTTCAAAAATGCTCATATTCTATGCTGTTGCATCAGGAGTTGTCTGTGCAACAGGTGTGTTCATACTTGATGGATTTTCTGGACCATTACACCAGTCACCAATGTAGTGAAAGAAATTAGTAGTCAGCTAGTTATACCAACAAACATACTAAATCCAAATGGGTGTGAGTGCAGTACATCGATCCAAGGGGACTGCTATTGAAGCACTTCCTTCTAATAGTGCGAGGGAAGAGAAAGGAACATCCCTAGTTGTAGTATTAGACCTAATAAAGTGGTAACTATCAGCTTTCTAATTGACATGATTCATGGCAATTACCAGTAGCACACTTTGACCCAATCTATGGCTCTTGCCATCCTGCCACCCACTGCTGGTTCATGCCAGTAAATAATGTTATAATGGGTATTCACATTGAAAATCATATTTAAATGTAGGTTCAACATAAAAAATTCATTCATGATGACTAATTAAACCAATATGTAAGCTACCCCTTGTTGTCATCAAAATTAACCTCATCCTCAGCAAAATATTCATCCGTAGCAGCTGTGATGTCTGCTGTGACAATATAGTTTTCCCTGGGCTGATATTCCCCCTTTTTACTTACCTTCACTTACCACCACTTTCCTTAGTTTATGTTCGCATTTTTTCTGCTTACATAAGAATGTCTCCCTTTCACCACTGTCAGTACCAGTCTGAATCACAGTCTTTGTTTTGATGATAATTCTACTTTCTGAGCTCTGAGTCTAGTACAGAAACCCTTTAGGGTCAAATAGCAGCTAGGCATAGCAATTTCGACCCAACATTTGAAGAGTACTTTACAGTTCTCTTCTTGTTGTGTTTCCCACACTGCACCAGCTCCATTGGTCCAGAGAAAAGTGAAACAAGACAGTAGTACATGCTGAACTGCAACCTGCCTGTGAGCATATGCAACAGCGCCAGCCATGATCCCCGTGTCCTTGTGTGACAGCTCCATGATAGATTGCCACTGTTCAGCATGCCATGCAAGAAATTGTCATGTTTGCCACATTTCCTCCTTGAGGAGTAACACCTCTTCATTCCACCATTGCACACAGGAGAGTCAATACATGTATTAATGCACTCACCATCATTCAGACCCGCATCACTTTCATGATCATGAACTCCCGAAGCACACCAAATCCATGTTGTCATCTAATACCCCTGCCCTAATCTGCATGATGCATCTTGCTGGGACCTTGTCCTTCTGCATATTCCTGTAGTACTCCTGACACCCGACACTGTGTTGACAGGTGCCATGATATCCTTTGCCTATAGGAATTAAAATTCCCCATCCAACTTGCTGATCCCAACCAGTTCTAGCAATGCTGACCAAGTGACACAGTATTTTTCTGTGGCAGCATTGATTTTGCTTTTCAACTGAGTGAGAAAGGAATTTGTGCAAATGTTGGCTAGTTGTCCGTGTAAATCGAGATTGTGGTGCTTGACAAAATGGGATTTAGTATGTAGTTGCCTGTGCAACTTATCAAGTGAATTGTGACACTGTTCCTTGTGCAACTCAGCCTCGATGTGAGCAATATTGTTGGTACATAGTAAGTCTTGATTGCTTGGAGGGATTGTTGATGGCAGCCAGAGTGATTCATCCTCAACTTCCTCAGATGAGTCCATGTCTTGCTCTTCAATCCAGCTTTCAACACCTACCATATATACTCACTGTATGACATGGAAGCAGGCTAGCTGTTGTTGCAGTGTGATCCAACGTTGGTCAAGTTCAGTGTGCCCATTCACACTGAGAGATCTTGTGAGATCAGATTTTATTCGTCACCTGGAAATGATCAGAAGAGTGTCTCAGAATATTGTAGAAGTAGAACTTACTGCACATCTTCCAGAACCAGGCCCATATTGATGAAAGAACTAGGAGTAACTTCATGCAGAAGTTGATGCCTGTTACTGATATAAATCTTCTTATTGTCCACAAGATTAGCACATACTTGTGCTTCTGAAAGGCCTGTTGAACCATAGTCAGCTTCAACAAAAAATGCCAAAGTATAGATAGACCTTACTAATTTTGCTGTGCACATATGGATTTGGACTTGATTTGTCGCATTCCCAAGCATCAATCATCTCAGTCCATTCTCCTTGACGTGCATCATCAATCGCTAAATTAAAGTCACACAAAATGGATTGGTGATGACCCTGTTCCTTGACAGCATTTAGCAATTTTCTCCATAGTGAGAGTCCTGTAAATTGAATAAGTTGTTGTATTGGTGGGAGCAGACAAAAAAAAATGTACTTAGTCCAGCATACTTGCACCAGTTGTGATGTCAAAAATGGTCATTGAGGACATCATGTCAATAACTAACACCCATTTCCTTCATGCTGCTGGCAATGTGGTTCATCTCTGCCCAGTTGCATTCAATTCCCTCACCATCAGTCCATCCTACGCCTGGCATGAGGTTCAAGGAATGTGGAATTGCACATTTTTCCTTGTGCACAGGGCAGTGAAACTTCAGGATTCCAAACATAAATGCTGTGAGGGTGACAGCCACTGGCATCCAAAGGTGTTCTGGGAGCTCATTCATTCTCTTCATGAGATTGAGCTTCCACTGGCAAGTGATGTCATAAGATATGACAACAGTGAGGAGGAGAGGCATGATGGATGAGAAGAAGATGAAATCCATATTAGCATATCTAAGTTCATCATTAGACAGTTGAATACACATAATTTAAACAAAAATATCTTTCGCCCTTTTGAAGGTCTCCAACTCCTTGAGGTTGAACAAGTTCATGGTGTGTACAAAGACATAAGCCGATGCCAGTTGATTGCAACCCATTTGAGTACTTGGATTCAGTGTGCACCAATGTCTTGAAACCTGAACAAGTGCTAATCTAATGGGTCGGTCTCCTCTAAGTTTGTGCAATACAAGTGAAAATAAATAAATAAACCTACATTGGTTTGGCTTGCATTCTTGAGTATGTGTTCTGTGTAAGATTTGTCAAGAATGAAGTATGCAAGACCCATGTGTAGCCCAGGATTGGCAATGCTAGAAGCTCAATTCTTATTCTTGAGGTGGAAGTTGGCATCCATAGCGATAATCAAATAGTAAAGAAATCTATGAGGAAGGAATCATTTAAAGAATGCGGTGGATTAAAAAAAAACTACTTCATTGATCCATCCACTTTGTCCCAGTCCTCCAGCAGGTTTACGCCAGGTTGTGGACAAGCAGGACACTTGATGGCTAATGCACCAGGCTCAGTATCATAGATACCACCAGTTATATTACCACAGCTGGCTCGCTTCATTAGTTTAATATGGCAAAATTAGCAAACCATTCTCATAAATTCTTTATACTAAGACTGTGACTGCAGTTAACATTTGTGAGACATAGGCCATGTGATAACATACCTTAGGTACATTCAAACCTGTGTTGTCAGTGAGTCATTCGAGACTAGCATAGAACTCATGGCCAGATACTTTGCTTGACCACATCAAAATGAGAAAGAACTCCAGAACCCATCTTGTGCAGGCACTCTGAGGAAAATGTAGTGTAGCCAGACACCATTCACAACATAACAATTGCTGGCAATGAGAAATTTATTGATGGCACCCACAGAAATCAACATTTACTTGGTGGATTGTGTTGGTGTGAATCATGACAAAAGAAATATGCCCTCTTTGCGGATACAAACATGGCATTTGTCATATCCCGTATGCCAGACATAGATCCCATCATATTCCCACGCTTTCCGGACCTGTTTCCGGACCCCATATCTGACTCATTCCTGGATCTCCTATCCTGTTCACCCTACGCACATTCCATCCAGCAAGACATCCAGACTTTACCTCCTCTCGGATTTTGGACTACATCCACCACCTCACATATCTCAGTCCTGTTTCCACCCTGCCTTCTGGATCCCCAGATCTCCGGACCTATTCCCACCCTCTATCCAAGATCCTGTGCCTATCCCCATTTAGGCATCTCCGCCTTTCCAGTTCTCGGTTATCTCTGTTTCCGTCTTGCTGATTGATCCTTGTACTAGTTTCATCTCTGAGTTCATTTACTTATGTTCCATCTTACTTACCAATGTGTTTCCGCATGCTCGTACATAGCCTTACTCCTTTGCTTACTGATCCTCTCAGATAGCCTCTAGTATATAACCCCTGTACAACTACAGTAGAGTCCTCAGTCTGAATATCATCTTAGTTTCTACTCTATCATCTTAGATCCTGTTCCACTTGCCAATCATCTTCTGGACTTCAGTCCGTCTGAGTCTCATCCTTTTCCATAAGGCCTAGGGAAGGATTCCCTAGGCCAGAATTCTGGACCTTTGGATTTGTCCCCTATGTCTCTGTCCCAAGTCTAGGGATTGTTTCCCTAGGCTAGAGTCTTGCCTTTCTGGCACTTACCCTCTTTCCGGACTTAGGTCCGCTTCCTGTCCCTCCAACTCTACCTTAGGGTAGTCTACCTCCGATTGCTTCTACATCAGACTTCATCCAATGTAGCCCCTATTCCTTCCAGACCTCTGGACCTCCTGTCCCTCATACCTCCAGGCATCCTGTCCTTTGGACATTCCACCCTCCGTACCTTCAGACATTCCGTCCTCCATACTCCAGACCTCCGGACATCCCATCCTCCTGTCCTCCAGACCTCTGGACCTCCTATCCTTCCATCCTGTTTTCCTGTAGAAGTATTACCTTGTAGCAGGAACTCTCCTGAGCATTTCCTGCATTCCTCCGGAACTCTCCCACGCTCTTCCGGATGTTTCCTGCGCTCCTCCGGAAGTCCTCCTGCACTCTCCACCAGAGTAGCCAGCCTCCAAAAGTCCTCTGGACTTTGTCGGACCATCATCAGACTTCCTCTGAAATGAAGGGCACATACTCGGGTAAGGGGCACAGCGTACGAGCTGAGGCCAAGCCCCTCTGAGTCAGTCTCTCTCTCCCTTGAGCATGGTTCTTAACAGCATTCCTTTGTGTCCTAGTTGACCCCTAAGTCCCATTCCATTTCTGCACATCATCAAAAAACTGGTAATGCAACCAGAACTTTGAAATGCTCACATGAATTATATGTAAAGGATGACATGCATGCTTTAATAAACAACAAGACTTGCACAAAATTTCTGGTCCATAGCAATCTTCACAGCAGTACAGGTGTTTTTGTACAATATTATTATTGATATTGCTGCATGAACATGGTGTTGTTGTTAAGCTACTGTGGGCCTCCAGACATAACTCTTTGAGAAGATATTCTTCACAGAATCTGACATGCTCATTGACACCCATCCATTTATGCAAAGGTGCATCCTATAAAGAGTTGAGTTTGTGAAGCAAAAGTTTGTTGGAATCTCACCAAGTTTGCATAGTGTTTTGCTGGTACCTTGACCACCATGACAGGTTGGGGCTCAATCTCATCATTGAACACAATGCCATCACCAAGGGTTGGCTCCCAATTGTCCATTTGCAGGGGCTCAACTTGGTCTTCCAGCACATCACCTGCCCTGAATTGTGTCAGGGAGCAAGGTATGATGATTTGCCTGCGGCCACCAGCTGACACTGCTATCATCCTGGCATAGGCTGTTGTCACATGGTCATCTGAGTTGGATTCATTGTGGTACACCACATATTTTCTTTTCCTTGGCATTAGTAAGGCTTGTTTGAGAGAAAATAATACTAGAGCTTACCAGTAGACACTTGCTCCTGCGAGTAAGTTCCCCCCTCCCTTGAGTTGTAGCACTTCAAGAAAGAAACACCTGTTCAAGACCCCTGGCTCCATGGCTGCCAGACCTAACAGACATACCACTACTACACCTCCACCCTCACCTGACATGTTCACCACACATATGCCTCCACCCTTGCCTGACATGTCCACTGCACATACACCTCTACCCTCACCAGACAGAAATACTCTGCATAACATCAGGGATGTCTTCCAGAGTGGACACACAGAGGTTGCACTTCAAAGCATCTGTAGTCCATGTAATAGTCAAGAAGTTCGAATTTGCATGCCTGCCTGTTGTGGTGAGATTGATCATCATCATTGACAGAATCCAGAACTCACCCACTTGTTAGTCAGGCTTGTAGCAATTGCTGTTGTAGAGTTATTAGTTAGTGATCTGGCAAAGAATGATTTTTTCCACACCATGCTCCACGAAATTGTGGTGGAAGAAGCAGAGCAGGACTACCAGACACAACTTCAAGCATATGAGGCAGCTGTGGCCGCAGTTTCGAGTAACACCACTCCCACCAAAGACACTGACACCACGACAGACATCAAATCCGAGTGATCATGTACATCCAATCTTCTTAAATATGTTGAAATGGTGGTTGAATATTCTGTCCTTCAAGTTCAGGGTTTAGTAGTACTCAAAATGTGGAGTTAGTAGTTATGCTTTGCCATGTATCTTGTGTTTACATAATGAATATGGTCTATGTGACATTTTGTCAGTGCTCATCCAACAGAAATTAAAGATGATAAACCTTCATTGTATGACAATGCTTGAGATTGGTATTGATTTGCAATGAGCTCTAACATGTTGTGAATGTTCGATGCAATGAACAGACTTACTAGACTGGCACTAAGTTGTTGTTTACATAATCTCATGATGTTGAAGTATGGCGAGATGGCATGACATATGTTTCATGTTAGCTCAGCTTTGTGAAAATGAATGACATGGATTTTATTTACCTTCTTTATCTGAAACTGGACAGTGCTTTGGATCTGTAAGAGTGTGCAGTTGATTTGAGATTAACTCCAACATCATCATGGTTGCCAGTGTATGTAGTAGCAAATCCTTGACAGTGATCTCAGTCACACTGCATTGAAGTTAGCAGTTGTACCAACAGCAAACCATCAAGATCACAGAATACAATGACCTGGTACGTAGCTCATTAGTAGTAGTTCATTGATGTGCCTATTGTGTTGATGGATGTAGCATGATCAGACTTGCGTGCTGACTCCAAGTTTACCACTAGAAGTTATGGTCCTACCACCAAATCAAGGTCACTGAAACTAGCATCCTACTATCAAATCATCAAGTTTACAGAATACACAGTCACCTAGTATGTAACTCTTTAATTGATTTGTGCATTGCAAATGCATGATTGGACTCATCATGGTGCCCTGAGCTAAGACTTGCCAGGTAAGTTATGGTCCTACTATTGAATCACAATGACTGACACATAGGTCTATGTAGCTCAATTAACTTCTCCACTGTGTATTCAACAACATGGACTTCAGACCTTGAAGCAGGCATCTTTGGTGAGTGATATGATGCACTGGCATTATTTCCCTTGATTGACCTTGCATTTACATTCAGTTCATGAATACTACTATCTACATTGCCCCTCATCACAGATCATCGATTTATGGTAATAACATTCCTTATATAAAGGTGCTATTTTTGTTTTGTCCCACCCACGTCCCACCCACAATATTTCCTCGTGGTTCACCCCACTATTCACCACACTGTTGAAGCCAAACTGCAGGCCTTGCGCAAGAAACAGAGGAGATATTATGAAAAGTGAGTTTAATTTTTATTATTGCCTCTCCTCCTGCAACTGAAGTGTTTAGGCACTGAGACATTATTTTATTGAGACTTTGTCTCTGCCATGTGAACAGCACACCCTCCGTCACAGCTGAGTCTAACATGAATGACCTGTTGGATGACAAGGTTGACTTCAAGGCAATGTGCATTTTCTTTTCAATAGTAATTAAATTGCATTTGACAATCAATCAACTAGTGTTACTTTATCTGACTGTTTAGGGCTCATATGCAATGCGAAGAATAAAGTCCTGCAAATCATTCCTTCTGTGGTACCCACAGTATACATTGAGAATGTCCTTCGAAAATATGCGATGTCATTGCACACCAGTGTTGCCAGGAACATTGAGATATTCGGGGATACAGTCAAGCACATTGAGCCCTATTTGATCTGGGCACAGCAGGGGCAGGATAAGATTTTTAACATGTGTGGCATATGTGATGAATGACATGCTGCTGATGAGGTTGCTCGCTTCATTGGGCATCTGGTAGCTATGTTGGAGGATCTTTACAGACTAGCTGTTCTGGGTGACCTTGACGAAGCCTACTTACTTGGGGAAACCATGTACCAGAAAGTCTTGGGACTGGAGGCTCCTGGAGTCTAGCTCGGACATACTGCTTTTAGAATACATTATACTATTGTTGCTGTGATCTACTAGCAAGTGCAGGAGAAAATCAGATCCATTAAGTGAGTATTGCATTGACTTGATGTAAGATACCAAAATAGTCCAATATAACATGTATTCAAATGAGCAAAAAATTCAATGTGTAGCCTAGCAATTTGTCAATCTGTGAGCCTCTATTACTGCCAATTATGTGTCTTCTTCAATGATGATGTGTTGGCCTGAGTATCAGAATGGCCCCATTTCTTGTTCCCACTGGAAACCATAGACTTTGATGCAGAATAACTTGCTATGAGTCAGTCTAAAACCCACATGACATCATCTGCAGTCTCCTGCCAGCATAAATCTTTGCCATCAGTGTTGTCTGCCCACCACTTCAAGATAGCCACGACTGAGAGCATGCCATTTGCACCTGGTTTGTTGAGGGAGTCCAAACTGCTGTCATCTGTGCAAGGGAGAATTGCACATGCCATAAGTGTTGGCGCCTGACATCTTCTCTACTCTGGTTGAAGTGCTAGCCACCAAGACCACCATTGCATTATGAATGCAGCGAGATTAGGTATGGTTGGTTTCCCTTTACATCCATGCGAAATCCACCAGTAGACTTCGCATGGACAATGTTCACATCCCAAGGTGGCTTTCTCATTCATGAAGCTCAATACATCCTCAAGGCGCACCAGCTTGTCAAACAGCTGTATCAGCTGAGGAGAAGTTGGGGTGGGTCCATCAACTGCTGGAGCATATTGCTGAACCATGGTGGGCTGGATGTCAGTGTAGGTAAAATGAGTGATATGTTGCCACCAGGAGAGGCTGTATGTACAGTGGCTCAAAAAAGTGTCTGAATGTTTATGCATTTTCAAGTAATTGAATAATAGCAAGCCAGCACCTGAGTACAATACAAAGGCATAGGGACAAGTCTAAAGGCTTGACATCATAGCTATAATCTGAGATATATATCGTGGGAACTAGACCACATATTGGCAAGATATGGTAATTCTAATCACATGACTCATTCAGACACTTTTTTTGACTTTATATTCAAATCACAAAATCCAACCATTCACAGATATTATTCTTAATAGAAGTGGTGCAATAATCAATATTTGGTCTTATTTTAATATTATTTATATATATGAACCCATATAACATCATGAACTTTAACATAATCATCATACAGCCCATCTCCTCTGCTCCAAAGGATAATATCCTTATTCTCTGCTCCTCTAGTTTGTCTATGAGGCAAATTGCTTCCAAAACTGGTCCTAGCAAGTCTACTATTGCTATAGTCATAAACCAGAACATGCTGGAGAAGCAAAATCATAAAATGGGATGGTCTTTCAAGCTTACTCTATAGCATAAAAGAGCTATTGTTCATTAAAGTCCATCTGGCAAGGCTTCAAATGTTGTCCATGCCACCAAGTTCATCAATTCCATTATCCCCATTCCAATTCCCACTCAAACAGTCAAAAACACCCTTAAGGCAGCCAATCTTATGGCTGTAACCAAGAAGAAAATCCCTCTTCTTTCAGCAGCCTATAGGAGCCTTTGCTTTAAAGCACCAACATTGGACTATGAAAAACTGGAAGAAGGTAGTTTGGTCATATGAGATAAACATCAATAGAATGGGGTCAGATGGCCTGGAATATGTGTCAAAAAAGGTAGGGGAACCATCAGGGGAGAAAGAAGTCAAGAATATACTAAAGTTTGGAAGATGAAGTATGATGGTAGGGGTTGTAGGAGATGGAATGGTGTGGGGATTCTTTGTGAGGTGGAAGGAGGCATGAATGTAGAGCAGTAAATCTCCATTCTAGAGAAGTGTCTCCTCAGAAGCATGCAGAAGTCAGGAATTGATGAAGAAGACATTATCTTCCAACTGGATAATGACTCCAAGCATACCTCAAAGCTAGCTATAAAATGGCTCAAAGCTCATGAGATCAATGTTCTATCATTGCCAGCATAACTATAGCAATAGTAGACTTGCTAGGACCAGTTTTGGAAGCAATTTGCCTCATAGACAAACTAGAGGAGCAGAGAATAAGGATATTATCCTTTGGAGCAGAGGAGATGGGCTGTATGATGATTATGTTAAAGTTCATGATGTTATATGGGTTCATATATATAAATAATATTAAAATAAGACCAAATATTGATTATTGCACCACTTCTATTAAGAATAATATCTGTGAATGGTTGGATTTTGTGATTTGAATATAAAGTCAAAAAAAGTGTCTGAATGAGTCATGTGATTAGAATTACCATATCTTGCCAATATGTGGTCTAGTTCCCACGATATATATCTCAGATTATAGCTATGATGTCAAGCCTTTAGACTTGTCCCTATGCCTTTGTATTGTACTCAGGTGCTGGCTTGCTATTATTCAATTACTTGAAAATGCATAAACATTCAGACACTTTTTTGAGCCACTGTAAATATGAATGACTTATAGCACACAGGAGAAGCATCAATTACATACTGTCCATAACCCGATTTAAGTTAACCACATGTTTGTCAAGAGTCGTGTTAAGAGGGTTGTCATGATCATCCACAGCCCCTTCTGTGTCTTGTTTGGCAGAAGGTGTCTCATCCATGTCATAATTATTGATAGGCTTTGGCAGTTGGTTAACAGCCATGACAGGATCGTCTCTGATATGTGGATCAATGAGGTTGTCATTGAAAAGTGCAGCAGGTGGCTCAATTATGGTGGCAGATGTGATTCCTAAGGATATATTAGTTTAGTACAACAGATTGAGCACCAATACTCACCAGGTGAAGCAGGCAGTTGGTTAACAGCCATCCCAAGGTCATCTCTGAGATGTGGATCAATGAGATTGTCATCAAAAGGTGCAGCAGGTGGCTCAATTATGGCAGCAGATGTGATTCCTAAGGAGATATTAGTGTAGTAAAACAGTTAGAGCTGGAAGGACAATCAGTGGTTATCTTACCATTGATAATGGAGCTGTCTTCATCGAGTTGGTCAATTTCCTCCATGTCATCTGGTACTTCAGACACACAAGACAACACTTTGGACAAACAATCTGGTATTTCAGATGCAGGAGATGGCATGTTGACCAGGCAACCCTTCTTCATTGCTTCAAGGTGTTTTTGAGCTGTTTTTTGGTGGTGTGGATTAAAGTACGTTACATCTTGGTTTGCCTTGGGTGGTGAAAATGGAAGTACCCATCTGGAACCCTGACGTTTATCTTCACTATCCATGGAGCTTGACAAAGTTGAAGACGATGAAGATGAAGACAAGCCGGAGGATGGGGAAGATGATTCTGAAGATGATGCATCCACCTCAGAAGCCTCAGAAGCCTTGCACCAAGAAGCACATCCTGTTTCTTACCTTGCTGCTTCAATTTCTTCCAGGGTCTATATTTGGCTGTGGTCAATTCATTTGCTTCATGTTCTTCTTCAGTATCAGATTGGTTGCCTTCCTGTGGAATAGTGAACAAGCTATCTAAATTGTCCAGGAGGCAACAGGAATTGCAGTCCTGCTTAGCTGATCATGGTGTTCATTTCAAAGTCAAGTGATAGAAATTAAGAACATACTATAGGTGTGTGATAGGTATTTTTGAAAAGACTTGGTGACCATTTTGAACTTGGTCTTGTCCCGAGTTTGCCAATTGTGTGGTTGGGGACTTAAGTCAATGCCTTCATGCATACTGTAAGCATGATGTTAGTTTTGTATTGGAATGACATTGAAAAACACACCTAACAATGGTAATTTTCCCTTGCTTGCAAGGTTCAGGTCCACTGACTAAAAGGGAGACATGCATGTCAAGAGTTGTGGCCATACTGTTACAGTCACTGTACACCCCTATTTCTTTTCTCCTTTACTTACTTGTATCATGTCACATGCCACATGATGCCACTGCTAGACTTATCTTCATACCATCTCTGATCCATCTCTTATCATTGTATTACATCACAATCACTATCGCACCATTGCTAGGTGATCTATTCTTGTTATCTCTGACTCATATTTTATCTCTGACTTGTTCTTGTTCACACACTTGCCCTAAAGTGTTTGCCACTTACTATATAAACACCCTTTGTACTCTGTAGTTCTTTACTTTAATCTTACTGGGTTTTACCTGGAACTTCCTTCACTTAAGACTCCCAATCTTAAGTCATCTGAACCTGATTCAAGTCAAGGACACTCTCCTTGACCTGTCTTATGAAACTGACCCCTTGTATATGCAAGGGTCCTGAACCAACCTTAGCCAATTGCTCTTATTGAGTAGCTATACGTCAGAACTATCCCAGTTCATAACACATACCAGCAAGAATCAGCCCAGCAAAGGTGCGAGGTTATCCAGAGCCCTAACTGAGTTCTTAATACAGATACAAACGAAAGATTTTGAACACTTACACTTGTCTATCAATGGAAGATGTGGAAGGAGGAACCGCAAGGTGATCACTCCATTCTTTCACTGCTGCTTCACCTTTGGCTTGTGCTGTATCTCTCCAATGCTTCTGTTCTTCTTCAGATAGTTTCTTGAAATGTTTGTGTGTGATCCTATCATGAAAGGTCACCATCTTGCTGCTAGGTAGCCCAACCTTATGCCACTTTTTGAGAAAGTGGGACTTGATTTCAGTCTTAAAGTGATCTTTTGACCATCACTGGTGGGATTGCAAGGCCTTTGGCTTGTTTTTTTTACTCCAGAGAGTTGGCTGAGAAGTCGAGTCCATTCATTGTTTTCTGGCTTGCTGTGGCATACAATCAACTTCTTCAAGGACTTAGCATGATAGTCTAGCCAGCTCTTGATAGCCTACTTGAGTGTTGAGAAATGTATAGATAAGCACATGTAAAAATGCTTACCTTCTGCATCACAAGAATCTTTTGCAATTTTTGCTTCAGTTCAATTGGGGAAAGAGACTCATCTGACTCCATTTGCAAAGGATTGTTTTCTGAAGGCTCATCTGATATCTTCATTTTCCAGTGATAATGTTGGAAATATTCTTGCATGACCTCATATACATAGTCAGTTGCTTGTGATTTGCCTTGATTGACATGTTTGCAGTAAGTGGACAGATGGTTGTTGAGAAATGCAAGGTGTGAATTTTTGGCCCAGTTATGAAACAGTTTTTCAACATAGGCATTGGGATCATCAGTATTGGTTGCAGGAGATGGGGTGGGGGGAGTCAGATCTGGGTTGGGCAATGGGTTGGGGGACAACACCACAGGTGTGTCATCCAGCACCAGACTGGTTGTTCTATGGGTAATATAGTGAGTCCCAACTATCAAAAATTAAAATCAACTCACTCCATTGTCATGGTTGTGTGGTGTCAAGTATAGTGGGGGGCGAGAGGGTTGTGCTCAAGCATTCAGGGTCTAGTACATGTGGCAAACTGATCAATATGATATATTTGTAATGTGTATCTATTTTTATGTATCTGTATCTGTACAGTGGCTCAAAAAACTGTCTGCATGTTTTGATATTTTTCACTATCTATGATATTGTGTGAGAATGAACAAATGGCTCAAGAACATGCTTATACCACATTGTAGTATGGCTTCAGGGCTTTCATTTGAGCCCTACACCGTGGGAATCGGTGGAGATATGGTGGAGATACAAGGCTCACAAAATGGTGACTCATGCGGACAGTTTTTTGAGCACATATTAAAACTATATAAATCATCATTTATGACACCATAACAATCATGCCACCATTAAATAAATTATAAAGTGGTGTCATTATGTCATTTTAAAACCATATCTAACTATACAAACCAAAAATTTCCATACATCATGGTTATATTCACCATGAAAGCCACCCCCTCTGCTCAAAGGGATAATATCCTCTCTCTTTCCTATTCTGGCCTCTCTGCTTGTCAAATTTCCTCTAGAACTGGAGTATCCAAGTCCACTGTGGCCAAGTGCATCAAAGAAAGTCACACAGACAAGGAAAACTTCTGTGAAGGGTGTCCATCCAAGCTCACCTCTACTGATAGGAGGGCTATTATTCAACATATCACTACAGGAAAGGCTGATAATGCTATCCAGGTCACCTATTACATCAATCCCACCATCACATTCCCTGTCTCTTCACACACTGTGAGAAACATTCTCAAGACAGCTCATCTCAGGTTAGTAACAAGGAAGAAAAGGCTCTCCTCTCTATCACACATATGCAGAGAGGACTAGCACCCTTCTTTTTTCACATTGATGGTGGAATTGATGTAATAGGTGACCTGGATAGCATTATCAGCCTTTCCTGTAGTGATATGTTGAATAATAGCCCTCCTATCAGTAGAGGTGAGCTTGGATGGACACCCTTCACAGAAGTTTTCCTTGTCTGTGTGACTTTCTTTGATGCACTTGGCCACAGTGGACTTGGATACTCCAGTTCTAGAGGAAATTTGACAAGCAGAGAGGCCAGAATAGGAAAGAGAGAGGATATTATCCCTTTGAGCAGAGGGGGTGGCTTTCATGGTGAATATAACCATGATGTATGGAAATTTTTGGTTTGTATAGTTAGATATGGTTTTAAAATGACATAATGACACCACTTTATAATTTATTTAATGGTGGCATGATTGTTATGGTGTCATAAATGATGATTTATATAGTTTTAATATGTGCTCAAAAAACTGTCCGCATGAGTCACCATTTTGTGAGCCTTGTATCTCCACCATATCTCCACCGATTCCCACGGTGTAGGGCTCAAATGAAAGCCCTGAAGCCATACTACAATGTGGTATAAGCATGTCCTTGAGCCATTTGTTCATTCTCACACAATATCATAGATAGTGAAAAATGTCAAAACATGCAGACAGTTTTTTGAGCCACTGTATATATAATATATATCTGTATTATATGAATATTCCAGGGGATATTAGGGGAGCATATTTCAATGGGTGATTGCATGCCTACAAGCAAGGCCTTAGCCAGGAGTGGTACATGCCAGCATCATAGGTCAAAGTGCGCAGCTGGTAATTGCCATCACAAATGTCTACACCAAAACTGGCAATAGCCACTTATATTAGGTCTAATACTACAACTAAGGCTCAAAGGAAGGAGTTATGATCTGTGGCCTGAGATGTTCCAAGTCCGAAGATCTCCAATGCAATGTGGGATACCAATGGTACACCCAATGCAAGATACCAATGTGGAACACTGATGCAAGATACCTGATATGAGTAGAAAGGTCCAATGCTGAGGGGAACAGCGGGTAAGGCTAGGCCGAGGTAAGGAGAGTCTAGGTATAACTAGGTATAGGTTGCCGAGTCTAGACCTGTGGTAGCAGTCTGAGTCTATACAAGGCCTAGGTATAGAGACCTTAGAGAATGCACACTTAGAGCGGTTAAGGCACATCTGAGATGAAAGCAAAGGGATCAATTGCACAATCAAGGACTAGCTAAGGTGACTCCTACAACAGTAGCAGGTATGTCCAGAGAAGGAAAGTAAGAGATAGTATGAGACTTGAGTCCTATTTATCTAACTACATGAATGTCTGGAATCGCACAGGCAAGAGTAGTAGCGAAATGCAGGGTACTCGGGTCAATATGTAATAAGGCTTGCAAATGCTGTGGCCATGGGAATACATGTAATAACACCTGCTGTTCATTCAGTAACAGTAAATTAAGCTTAAAACGCACCAATGGAGATAGGTGGACATGGGCAGGACATGGGAGGATTCAGTACCGACAGGATGGAATGGTCAGCCTGGCTATCTGTGAGCGGCTGAGGCAACAGGTCCATACCAGCCAAGTCAGACATAGTCCGCTGCAACAAGGAAGGGTCAGGTGAGTTGAGGCTTTGCAAGGAAGTGATGGATGGATGTGATGTGGACTTCTAGGATGCTTGACCTCTATAGCAAAAAGGGGTTCTGCGAGGCTAGCCCAAGTTTGAACACCACATCTGCAGGAGACTCAAATACTGACCATCCCTGGTCAGTGGAACATGATTTGGACTTAGCAAATTTTTCCATTGATAAAGGCACGTGACTGGTATCCTGATATGGAAATGATGATTGGGTGCAGAGGTCAATAGAACTGTGGGCATGTGGAATCTCGATTGAGCCAGGATAATGGATAGAAGTGTGGGTGTGGACATGTGGTGGACGCATCTTGGTTCCCTATAAATTGGCTGACCTTCACACTTCTCTCCCTTCATCCATAATCATAACCATCATGTCTACTCCTTTTACTTTCAACTTCACCTCTGTCATCAACCCAAAATTTATATTGGAGTAGTTTTGAATGTCACTGTGACAGATCAGATCCCAGCCCTGAATGTAACATGAAAACTGCGATACAAGAAAATGCTTTGTGCAGTGAGAATGAAGAGGAATGTATTCAGAAAGATGTGGAAATGACTGATGATATGAGGTCAGAATCAACATCTGTTGATGTTACCACACAAAATCCATCTCAAATTCTTTCTCAGGAGGATGAGGTAATGGTATGTACTTCAGCCAATGGAGAGGTGACACCACGCACTGGCCAAGTGATCTATTACTTATTGTGAGCCACTGAACTTGAAGGTATGAATGTTTGGGATTTTGTTGCCCATATAGACAAAGTCAAGGAAAAGAGTGACAAATTGTCAGATGATGGAGAAGAGCACTCAGATTCACATTACTATGCAAGTGACCTTATGGATTTTGATATGGAGGATGAAGACACATCTGATTTAAGACATGTGGATATTTTAGATGATTCACCTGAAAATTGCAGTATAGACAATGTAGAGGCTTGTGCCTCTACAGGCACACTTCTAGTGTTTTCCCTCTCCCTCTATAGGCACCCTCACATAGCTAAGGAGGCATGCACTTTACAGGAGCACCACACTAAGAGTGCTTGTGGCCACTCATGCTCGCACACTGGATCCTATCACATGTCCTCCACACTTCCTATCCATGTCCTCCCCAGTCCATTGGTGCATGTTTCCTTTTGTTTGAGTAATCCTGACATTATCTCTGCATCATATGACACTCCTTGCATTACAGAGCCTTACTTATGTGCTGTTACACTGTACATACTCGCTTGCTTGGCTCTGCACCATGGGAAAGCACTTAGCAGTACTTATGCATTAGAATTGATTTTTGATACTTACTTCTGTTCCATGAGCATCACAGTCCATAGCCCCAGTTATTATTTGAATCCACTCAAGTTTTCATATCAGTGCTTGAACTTATCAGCGTGTGCCTTATATTTTGCAGCTGCATCATCAGCGCATTTGAAGCACTTCATGCAGATTCATACTCTTTCAGTGCATTTAGGCTTTAGCGCTCTACTTAGGCTTTCTAGACCAAAGTTCTAGTCTTGGATCTCCCTCACTTTTCATTAGAGGAATCTTTTCTCAGTAGCAATCCCCTTGGGACGACTATTGCTCACTTCCAGAGGAGCACTTGAGAGCCTCACTACACATTCCCCCTGGTATCCATCTATCATTCCTCGCCCTCAATGATTTGCTCATGGATTGCAGTTGTAAATGTCCTAGTTTTAAAATGTGAGATGGTCATCCTGAGGCAGATACGCATCTACAGAGTATTAGAGATCCTAACAATCATCTAGTACCAGTTCCTGTGGGATCATGTTCCATTCCTTGTCATGATTGTTCAGAAGTACATGCACAATATTGTCAGCTGATGTTGCTGTTATTTAAGCCTTGGTGTCATCCTATAGATCTCAGACAGAAAGGACAAGGGTGGGAGGATGTGTTTCAGATCTTTTCAAAGTCATGTGAGCCTTGGTTTCATTTTATGATGAAAAATATGCAGTTACATGATGAGTGCAGAACCAGTTGAGATGATCATTTTTCACCGAGACAGAAACAGTTGGTTAATAAGGCTAATCACATAAATGCAGAAACAGAAGAGAATGGAGTCCACAAGGAATGTTTTGGGGAAGGCAATGATATGGAGGAGGATGTCCTGAACCATCTCTTATCAGTTGATAGATTCTTTTCAGAATGACACAGTCAAAGGAGTGAGCAAGCACTTGCATGTTTGTGAGAGATGGAAGCACAAGGTCATTTTGACATATCTGCTGACAAAAATGGTTGTGTTCAAACAAAAGAAATTGCAAATGTGGGGGATTGTGCTCATATGATTTCTGAATCAGATGTATGGTTGGAAGATCTCTGGAGAAGTACTTACAAAGAATGACGTGATAATTTTAAGAAGTGAGCTATGCCAGAAGAAAACAGTGATGAACAGGAGCATTTGGAGCTTCCACCACCTTCAATTCAAACCATTGATCAGTTGCATCCATTGTAGATCTTGGATGTACAAGTACAGATGCTGGTGCAGACTCTAACAGAGATGTGGATAATGATGGTTCATGGCTTATTAAATCCATCATCATTGAATATAAACTGAATGATGAACAGACTCATGCCTTTTGTATAATCATGGAGCACAGCTGTGGAAAAGTGAAGAACCACTATGTATGTTTATAGGTGGTGTGGGAGGAACCAGAAAATCTGAAGCTGAGGGCTGTCAAGAATGACAAGAATGAGCAGAGGTTTGATACAAGTGACCAGAGTCATAGGAATGTCAAGGTTGAGGTTGAGCAGGAGTATGATATGACTGAGCCTCGTCCTGAGATGACAGCATGTACTTGAGCATTTCAACTTGGCTTTCAGCATGATCTGCATGACAGCACTCCTGCATAAGATGGTTGTTGAGAGACTCAATTTGTTACAGTTCTATTCTTTTCACCTCTTCACATTTTCACCTCTTCACTTATTCACAATTACTAATCATTCTTAAACATTCTATGACATTCTATTGTACAATTCTCTCTTCTCTTTTCTGATTCGCTATTTACTTTTCATCTCTGATTCATTTATTAAAGCTCCGCTTTAATTCTCTTATATATACTCTATCTCTTACGCTTGTATTCTTTAACTTGACCTATGCAGACCAGGGCCTGCAATATACTGCTTAACTCGCACGACTCGTACATAGGTGTACGCTTTAGACTCTTTGTGACTGTTTAGTCATTCTTACGAACGCTGAGCGTAACACAATTCATTGCCTTGCTTCATGAAGTTCAGTCTGCAGAGTGTTGATCTGATTGAACTGGACTAGTGATGAGAGCTGGGTCTCATCATGTTCCTTGATGATAGCTGGATTAAAGACAGATGTCAGTGAAGACAATGCCTTGGAGGCAGGAGTAGTATGTGGTCAGTGAACACCAGGTTCAAGGGGAGGATTTGCATGAAATGCCTTCATAACTGTCTTCTTTGAACCTGCATGCTTGTTAAGAACCATATTGCTCAAGGGGGAGAGAGACTGACTCAGAGGGGCTTGGCCTCAGCTCGTATGCTGTGCCCCTTACCCAAGTATGTGCCCTTCATTTCGTATGAGGTCTGAGGATGGTCCGATGAAGTCCAGAGGACTTCTGGAGGCTGGCTACTCTGCTGGAGAGCACTAGAGGACTTCCGGAGGAGCACAGGAAATGTCCAGAGGAGTGCGGGAGAGTTCCGGAGGAATGCAGGGAGTGCTCAGGAGAGTTTCCACTGCAAGGTAATACTTCTACAGGAAACAGGGTGGAAGGATAGGAGGTCCAAAGGTCCGGAGGACAGGAGGACAGGAGGGCAGGATGATGGAGGACAGAAGGACAGGATGACGGAGGACAGAAGGACAGGAAGATCAGATGTCCAAGGGTTAGGAGGACGGAATGTCCAAAGGTATGGAGGGTGGAACATCCAAAGGACAGGATGCCCGGAGGTATGAGGGACAGGAGGCCCAGAGGTCCAGAAGGAATAGAGGCTACATCAGACTCTGTCTGATGTAGAAACAAACAGAGATAGACTACCCTAAGGTAGAGTTGGAGAGAACAGGGATTGGACCTAAGTCCAGAAAGAGGGTAAGTGCTGGAAAGGCAGAGCTCCAGCCTAGGGAATCAATCCCTAGGCCTGATGGGCAGGACAGACTTAGGTGGACCAAAGTCCAAGAGAGGATTGGGCAAGTCTAAGTTGATATTCAAACTAAGGAACTACAGGAGTATCCACAGGGGTTATATACTGAACAATATCTGAGGGGATCAGTAAGCAAAGGAGCAAGGCTATGTACGAGCATGTGGAAACACATTAGTAAGTAAGATGGAACATAAGTAAATGAACTCAGAGATGAAGACTCGTACAAGGATCAATAAGCAAGACAGAAGAAGAGGTAACTGAAAGCCGGAAAGGCAGAGAATGCCTAAATGGGGATAGGCGCAGGATATTGGACAGAGGGTGGGAATAGGTCCGGAGTTAATATCCGGAGGTCCGGAGATCTAGGGGTCTGGAAGACAAGGTGGATATAGGACTGGAATACAAGAAGGTGGATATAGTCTGGAATCCAAGATGAGGTGAAGTCCGGATGTCTTGCTGGATGGAGTGCGCATAGGGTGGACAGGATAGGGTTGTATGGATCAGGCTAGCAGTAAGGATCTGGAGGTCCGGAGCTCAGGGGTAAATCCAGAGCATAGTCGATCCTGCTGAGGTGTGGAGTACACAGCAGAAGGGGATCTGGGAGTGAGTTGGATATGAAGTGGGGTCTGGACGTAGGCTCAGAAGGCGTGGGAATACTATGGAATGTGAGTCTGGATTGTGGGATATGACAGATCTCAGCTGTGCAAGACAAGAGTTTGGGCGAAAGCAAGGTCACAGTGTTGCCATGTTGGGCAAGTGCAGTTGCCTGTACATGCAAATCAATCTGGCAATCAAACTCTAAGAACACGCAAAAAAGAAGTCACTTACCAAAGTCACAGCAATCTCATGAGCCAAAATCTTGGCTGTTGGGTCACCATCTTTTAACTTCTGGGACCTTGTAATCAGGCGCCCAATTTTCCCGGCGACCAGGTTAAAAGTGTTGTTGGCAATTTCAGTAGATGACATTGTAAAAATAAAGCAAAGGTTGATCAACAAGTAGAGGAATGAAAATGTGGGAATTGACTTGGCATATGAAAGTTTGGGAGAAAAGGTCAGGGCTAAGGTTGTGGTGTATATATAGGGAATAACTATTGTGGCCACAGCATGGCTGTGGGATTTCCCAAGGCCGCATGACCATTGTGCCTCAACAGCAATATATTACATAAGAATAGAAGTTTGGCCATTGCCATGGACAAAATTGACCGCCATTGTCAATAAGGTCAATGCCCCAGTTCTTCGTAACCACAAGTCTTACAGCTGGACCACTTCACAATTCCCTATTTAATTAGCTCAGCCTCAGCCAGAAAACTCCTCCAAACACACATCACAAGATGTCAAACCACCAAGTCTATTTTTCAAACCTGTTGGAAACCCACAACGACAATGAAACCTCTGGTGGTGAGTCATTTACTGGTGCTAATTGGCATGAACCCCCTGCTGGTTGGCCGGATAATTTCATCCCCATAGACCAATGGCAGCTGCCAAGGGTCAGGCACAAGTTTTGAGAACTTCTTGAGAACTTCCATTTAGAAGCAAGTGTCTGCTTCTTCAGCTGATCTTCTTTCAGGAGCAATATGCAATATACTAATGGAATTCCAGAATATAACATGAAGCTTGAATATTGGATTGAGGCTCTGGAAACTGAGTTCGGAGATTCAAGACTTGATGTTTTTGACAGGCACTTTGCCAGCATTGATGAATATATTGACAAACTTTCTGGTAAGTTCTATTGGTTCAAAGTCTTCTCTCAAGTCCCACTGACCTCAAACTCCACAGCCATGTGCAACAAGGATTGGGGCAAGCCCTTATCCTTGGAAGTGAGACAATCTCCAATGACCACCTCTATTAATGAGGAGGATGAGGTCGACCAACTAATGGACAATGACAGCCAATTGTATGACCTCAGATGGGCCATTCTTCCTGCAGACAACATGTCTACATCAGGAGATGATTCAACTCAAGTTTGGTTGTTCAGTTTGTATGTGTGTTTACCTTAGCAATATTCTTGACTATATGAAGACACTGGACCTTGCTATGATTTTGGATGGGGTGCAACCACTGAACCAACTTTGGATGCAGATGTCAACAATGATGGGCCAATCTATGATCTCGGGTGGGGCACCACATCAACATCATGTGAGCATGCTTGTGTTAGCATGGACAATGAACCCAACTGGGTCACTGCAACTCCTGATCCACAGCAAGATGTAATCAATCTCATGGATGAAGATGATCCAGCATACGATCTCGGCTGGGATACCAGCACTTCAGGTCCAGACACAATGCAACAAGATCTGGCCATGTTGTCAGATGAAGATGATGAACCAGCCTATGATCTTGGGTGGGGTAGACTTCAGGACACCAGCCAAGAAAACAGTAGGTCAGGGTATTTCCAAAATAACAATGTATTAACTTGGTTGAGCAGTGAAGTCAATGTCCCAAAGCCTGACATCTTCTGTACATACACCAGTGGACCTGGAGCATGTGAATGATAGACATATGTCACCCAAAGGTACATATTGCCATCGCTTCAGAAGCTCGGGACTGAATCTAGGTTGGCAGTCAAGTCAAGAACCCAAAGCCCAACATCTTCCTCACCTATAATGGATATGGAGGATGTCAATGGTAGAGACATGTCACCCGAAGTATTTCTAACAATACAGATACCTGGGACTGAATATCACTACAGATGCTGGTTTGCAAGAAAATCACTGGATGGAGTCCATCGACCATGCTGTCAGGGGGGAATATGGGCATCCTTGGCAAATCTGCTTGCCAAACACAAACCCATCTTGTGGTGTTGCAGATGTGCAAAACTGGATAACTAGTGTCAGGAGGGACATTGGCAATATTCGCCACCTTATTGGACCTCAATGCTGGCTGTTGAACTCCATCAATGATGCTATTGAATCACTGGAGAGTGAGCCTTGCCTTCACTAGATAGATCTTAGTTTAGTAGCATACGCATTTCATCTGTCAAAGGTCCAGAAATAGGACCCAGCTTGTGCCAATCATATCTGTTCATGGATCAATTTCTGGGTAACTAATCTCCACAGTCACATAGGTACCTGCAAAAGGTTGATTTTGCCCAGCTGTCATATCCGCATATCCGGATCTCAGATCCGACCCTTATCTCATCTCAGATCCACATCTTATCTCCAATCCTATTCATATCTTATCTCCCTCCAACATCTCATCATCCAATCTGTTCCACTCATCTGGTCCAGTCCACAACTCATCTGAATCCACAACCAGCACTCGTCCCCTTTCGGTAACCCCCTAACTCCAGTATTTCAGTTATCTGTATATCCGTCCTGCTCCCTTATCCACTACCTATGTTTCATTTCCGTTTCATGATTTGTGATCTGTTTCTACTTACCAATAGACTATCCACATGCTTCGTACATAGCCTTGGACTCTGCTGATTGATCAGTCTGTTAGATACCTATAGTATATAACCTCCTGTAACTTTCTGTAGTACCTCAGTTCGAATATCATCTTAGTTCTACTCATTCCTGTCCTCCGGACTTGAGTACCTCTACTCTTGTCACCCTCCGAGACTTAGGATTGATTCCTATAGTCTATCCATATCTGCCTCTGTCCCAGACAGTCCATTACTGTTAGTTTCTAGTCTGGACTCATCTGGATTAGCCTTATGATACTTATCCCTCATCCGGAAGTCATCTGGATCCATTATGCTACTCGTCCGACCTTCTGGACATGCTAGTCTTGCCTTCCTGACATAAGGGGCAATACTCGGGTAAGGGGCACAGCGCATGAGCTGAGGCCAAAGCCCTTCAGATCCAGTTACCCTTTGAGTACAACCTTAACACCAGCACAACATGTCTTTTGAATAAGAATAACAGCACTGCAATAATTGGCTTCTACTAGCCAGAAATTGGACATGGTGAGTCTGGATGTACATTACAAACAATATGTAGGCATGTCTGACACCATGATTCACAATGCCCAATGTCCAAACCTGCAAGTCTGTCTCCCTGTCAACATTCAAGATCAGACAAAGTTCCCTGCATATCTAGAGTTTGGTTTCTTTGATCTTTTCAGGGGAATATCCACAGTCTTGCTTCTTGTGCATTTGGTGGGGGAGCCTTCAATGCAATCATCAGCAGGGTGTTTCTTCACATTTGCCTGCCCTTGAGTGCATTTCTCGGCAGTATCATACAGCACAACTTTGGGTTGTTGTTTCTTTCCATGACTAGCCTTGGTAGGTTTGTCCACTGCTGTCTTTGAAGGGTCGCCTGGGTTGTCTCACACTGTACCAGCTGGATGAGAGGTGGGCCCCACTCTCCTCGGTTTCTCTGATGGAGTGGGTAGTGTTCTAGAGGCAGATTGACCTGCCATTTGATCCTGCTTTGTATGTTTGTCCAGTGGTGCTGGGGTAACCTTGGCAGCAATGGTAGGCTGCTTCTGAGCTCATATCTTGTTGACTGGTTGAATGCCCTAGAGTTCTTTGTCCATGCCATGTTCACTACTTGCCTCCAAGACTCTCTTTGGTTTTGTTGCCACATCCTTGCTCAATCTACTTGCCTTTTGATTGACTGATGCCTTTCCTATCCTCACATCTAGCATTTCATCACCCAAAGGCTTGTCGGATGAATTGGGAGCCTGGAAAGCATCCTCTGAGTCCTCTGAGTCCACCTGAGGTTTCAACACACTGGTTGTCTTTACAGGCAGAACCTTGGATTTCTTTGAGGCTATCATTGTCACCCATGACTTGGTTTCTTTGCCATCATTCAAGCTGTTGGGGGGTACAACCACCCGCACTTTAGACTTTTGCTTGTTCAAGGTCCGGGTCTTGCCCTTTCCTCCTGAAGTCCTTTTTGGTAGTTCACCCTCTTGTTCACTGACTTCAGCTTCAATGATACTTGCAACAGGTGGTTTCACCTCCTTATCAGCCTTGCTCCACCAGCCATAGAACTCAAATATGACATCATGATGGTTCTCTTGTTAGTTGTACTAGAAATCCAACAAGATAGTGGCCTCATCTTGGTTCATCCTCAATGGTTCTTGGAGTGTCATTCCCTCTGGAAGATACAATGGCTGAATGAGCACTTCTTGCCTGGGTATTACCTCCTTCCAAGGCACAGGATCTTTGGGCTTCCCACTGCAGTCCTCTGTTTATGGTTAGATCGTCCAAACAACCAAATGATTTCACTCACAATAATGCCAATTCAAGAAGGCCCTGACAACAGCCTTCCAGGTGTCTGAATCCATCTCTGCATGGTCCAGAAGGATGGGCAATCCATTGCCTCCTATCTTGAGGGTGTATGTATTGTCCTTCCTGCCCTTCTTTACCATGGTGCCATTGTCAACTTCTTTGTCTGATGGGTGCATTCAAATCAGCCGGAGTTGATGTCCTGAAAATGTGTAAGGAGCTCACTGAATTTTTTTGACACATAGGTCTCCCACTCTGGTAATACAACCTGCCAGTCGCATGTCTTGGTGAAGCTTTCACCATTCCCGAGCTCATCATTGTAATCATGACTGTTGGGTGTCGTGACTTCTTGTTTGTCTCAGACCAGTGTGTTGCTCACCTTGACACCAGAAGTTTTCCTTCCTCATTTTTCCAAGCTGATAGCATGAAGAGCTGCATCCCAGCCTTCTTGAACATTTCACCAGCCATGTACCAGAGTATCTCATTGCTCTTTTGTTTTGCTGTGTCAGCCTGAACCTCAGGCAGAACTCCTTGCTTGTTCCACACTGTGGCCATCTTGGTGGCCTCCTTCACCTCCTTCTTGGTCAGAGAATTTACCATTTCTGTGAGGTATTTGGAATAATGGTTCATCATTCCTGGTTCACCAAGTTCCACACCAGTCTTGTCTTCGATCTTCAGAAGAAGCTCCATCTTCCTCAGACAGCCAAAAACTGTCCAGTATGTCCACTTCCACCCTAGATTAATGGGAGGTTTCATGTCCTTCTTTCCTCCATGGTTCTGTAGCCATTTTTGGTAGACCTAGAGAGCATCATTGTTGAGTGTCTAGCCTAAATTATGTGCTGCACTCACTGTCCTGCGTGACTTCAACAGCTTGGCATCCATGGTAGGTGCCTTCAGCCGAGCCTCTCTTGTCCCATCCCCCCAGACTGCACTTCTCTCCTGACCTGATGTGGAATCCCATTGCTCAAGGTAGGACTCCAGAACATCCACCTCCTCTGCATTCAAAGGCAGCTGCTTTGGAACCTCATCATCTACCTCCAAGTTGTTCCCTGCCATTGATGAAAGATCAAGGATTGTGTGGGATGACAGGAGGCAAAATAAAATCTCTGAGGAGGGATTTAATAAGCTATATTGGTTTGTTTAGGGCTTAGATAATTAGTATAGCACTGGACATTAAGCGAAAATTCCTGGACAATAGTGCACAAACATGGCATTCACAATCACTTGGCATTCAGGCCAGCACTATCTTATGGAAAGAATGAATGCATGTTGGATTGATCTTAGCAATGCTAATAAGACATCAAATCATACAAGATATATGAGCTTTTCTTAATGTTCCTTAAGACTATAGAGGCAGAGGACACTACAACTTTCTCACTTGATGTGTTGGAGTCTGCATAGAGTTGTACTAGGAAGTCTTCAGCATGATTTATTTGTCTTCATACTAGGCTATTAAATTGATCTTCATGACTGTTCCTTTGTAATTCCTTTCATTCAGTTCCAGCCTTTCAGTAATGATATAAACTTTGTGCATTGCTGTTCAAATGAGGCATCAAAGCAATAGGATTCAAGACAATTTAGCCACTGTTAAGCAAGCATGACAGACCAACAGGTTAGCCATTGACCACCATCATTTCAGACCTCAGCATGGTCAAGTCAAAGGCAAAGGAATGCACACCTCGGGGGACCATCCACCTAGTAAAATGGAGGACTACAAAAACCACCCAAGGCTTTAAATCTTGGTGGGTGCCAGACAAATGCAAGAATGGGAACAAATCTTTACAGTCTTCCCTGACAAAGTCGCCCACCAAGCAGCCTTCAGATGGGTTGATGTATAGCTTGTCTGAAGATTTTGATGGAGGGTACTACAATCATGGCAGCATCAAGCCCATGTGCCTTCCAAAGCATCCAAAAAAAAGACAATGGCAAGTCTGAGTTCCACATTGCCATCACTTTCTGGCTTATGTCGCTTTAAATCTAGACTCCAAATGAGTACCTTTGGCAATGGAAGATTAGGACACAGGAATATCTGGACATCCTCATCCAATGTGAGGCACCACCTCTGGACCGGGTTTGCTGTGTGTGTGGTGAAGATGGTGCCCAGAAGTGTCACAACTGTTTTGCCAAGCCAATGTTCTGCACAAGATGCTGCTGCATGGAACATGCTCTGCGACCTTTCCACCGGGTCAGTCAATGGAACAGAGAATTCTTTGAGAGGACCACACTAACCAAGCTGGGAGTGGAAATCCATCTTGGTCATGAAGGAAAACTGTGTCCTCATGATTGCCAGGACTAGGAAGATATAGATGATGAATGGTGACCCAGCACATCATCAACCACAGGAACTCTGGGAGCGGGTGATACAGATGGGTGCGAACCACCTGCAGCATTATATGGGGGAGTGCTGGAAGACTGTGAAGACCTGGGGGATACTGATGTTTTTGTAGAGCCCAGGTCTCCTGTAACTGCCAATGGCTCGTCATATCCTGCTGCACCACCTGCAGGTATAATGAGCATAATGTTAGTCAACACTTTGGGTGTCCACATGATGTTGGTCCAGTTTTGCCAATTCACCGGTTCCCAAACACCCGACAAACAGCTGTTTGAAATGGGGCTGTTTCCAGCATCATTTACATGCCTGAAGACAGCATTTACACTCGCATTACTGAACAATTTCATACTAGACAATCTTGAGTGCAGGACTTCTGCCATGAATTATTACAGTAAACTGAGGCACATAACATCAAGTGCATTCCCACATTTAGTACCGGTGAGCACAAATACCCATCTCCCAGTCAAATACCAACATGTTATCAGACCAATATAGGGAGTTAATGAGAGTGGTCAGACAATGGCGGCAGCTCAAGCTTTTGAAATGGAATGGATTTGGGCACAAGTGGAGGGAACTGAAAGATGGAGAGTTAGCTCTGTTCTGCCCTGCATGTCTGCAACCAGGCATCAATGTTACTATACCAACCAAAGACTGTGCAGACACTCCTGGATGGCTGTTTTTGCACTCACTGGTGATGGATGGCAATTTCAAAGCCAAGCATCTTCATCCAATGCACCCAGAAGACAAGGTATGGCTGACCAATGGCCAAAGCTTCATGGTGGCAAGAGCCAGGTACCAGACTCATCTCGCCCTGGCTAAGGATTTGACCCAAAGGTTGGAGTGCAACAACCACCACACAGTGAACATGGCCAATGTGTCTGGGCACAAACTCAAGGCCACAGGAATTGGGGGGTGTGCATGCACCCAGCACAGGTGCTTTGTTCCAAATTTGATGGTAGATTTCCAAAAGGGGGAACAGTAAGTCCTTCTGGAAAATTGATGCTTCATTTGATGACATTCAGGAGAAGACAGATGAACATGGATTACACACTGTGCAATGCTTTGGGTCATAATATGGACAGATTGCGCCAGGAATTCACATTCTATGATGTCAATTGCCAGTACCACAAGCACCTCTGGTGGTGGGTGGACAAGAGTCTGCATGTGACCATTCCTTCCGGAATAGACATAATACCCGGAATAGGGCTTTGGCACATTCATGGCCACCAAGAGAAATGTTTCATGCAGTATGTATCCAACTTCATCCCTGGCATGGCCAGAATAGATGGTGAGATCATGGAGACATTGTGGGTGCCTCTAAATATCATTTCGCCATCTGCGCAGGGAATGTCAACACCTCACAGATAGGAATGCCTCAACTATCAAATGAATGACTGCAATTTTATGAAGATGATTAGGATGGGTCAGTTGTATTTCAGTATGACAGCCTGCAGCCCAGAGGCTCAATCTTGTACTACCACAGGTTTATTCTTGTCCCAGAAATACAAAGAGGCAAAGCAAGGAGTCACCAAAAGCAGTCAGGCATTTGATACATTAAACAATGCAGCAGACCCAGAAATTGTTGATGCATGGGAAGCTCAAGAAAAGGACACTCAAGAATCCCAGATAGATATCCCATCATTATTGGACATATATGATGTGCAGTTGAACAAGGGTGGGTCTTGGGAGATATGCAATATCAGGAAGACCATACTAATAAAGTCGGCAGCACGATCCCAGAAGGAGGTCGAACTAGAGTTGTTGCAGATGACCTTTCGTCACTCAGGAACTCAGCCTCAGCTGGGAGCTGCTACATGGCTTGCATCCAGTATCACAATAGAGGAAATGCAAGTAGCTCTTGCAATCGACACAAGGAGGATGGGAAGACATCCTACTGAAACGCAAATGCTTGAGATAGGCCATTGCCGGATCAGGTTGCAACACTCTATCAACAGGTTCATTGTGGGAGCAGAAAGATATCTTGGTGAAGAATATGATGCAGATGATTGTATACATGATATGGATGTGGACTTCCTGGAGGAGGGAGATGATCATAGCATGTTCAGCTATGAACCAGAGGATGAACCAGCACCTGGAGAAACCTGGCCAAAGACTTTGTTGAGACCCAAAATCACTGTCATCCCACTCCTGTCCAACTTGGGAATAGACAGGTGCAAGGAGTTGGGTGTTGCTGGGCTGGTCAGACAAGAGATAACCCTTTGGGATGGACAAGCCAATGACAGGCTGCATGCCATCAGAGTTCACCTGGCTGACAAGGCAGTCTTGTTTAGGATGACAGTCCAGCCAGCAAAGTTGCAAGCCACCACCACCCGAGCTTGGGCACAGGTGCACTCTGTAGAATGGATTATCAACCTCAACAGTGTGATATACAAGAAATGCTGAGCCCAACTATCACATCTTGGCGCTAATGAACTATTGGAAAAATACCAGGAGTTGGAGAAAGGTGATCTCAAAGCCACCTCAGCTGTAGCAGATCCAAATGCCTGAGGTCAGAGAAATTCCACCCTGCCTTGGTTTTGGTCATTGGACGTTCAAGGTGACACAGTTAGCAATGACTGGATGAATGAATGTGAGTTCTCAGGACTTCATTTCTCAATCCATATTCACCCAAAATATAGTCTATAGGGTTCATTGGCTTTGTACCAAGGCTTTGCGTGACCATTGGGCAGAAGAATTCCTACTTGTTACTCATGAGATGTGTTGGACCATACAATTTCTGGTGCACAAAGCTGAAAAATGGCTGGGCCAAACAAATCAGAATGGGGAATTGGGGCAGGATGGACACAGGTGTTATGCCATCAGACAAGCTCAAATGTATAGATGGTTGGCAGAGGACACTCACACCCAGTTTTTGAAGGTCGATCTGACATTCAGGCACAATTTCAGTTAATATTAGATCCATGCCGAACCCAAATGTATGTAGCCGATGGCCAGTGCAAACAATGCGATTTCATATTTCTGGTGCCAAGACTTTTCATTTCAGCCCCATTGTTGGCATGTGGACCATGACCCATTTTGGCCACAGCAATGGTTGGGCTGGGTTTGAACCTTCAACTATTTATACCAATAGTTCAATCCCTACATTACTAACTCAAAATCTGCATCAAACCCCCACTCTGCCCCTATTAATTTCATCATGCCCTCGCATTCATCTATGGTATACTGGCCTGATTTGGAACCTGTCTGGATATCCTCCTGGGACATGGCCAACATAATGGAATACACTGTTTCGCAATTCACTGTGATCCGATTGGCATTGGGCAAGAGCCATGTGCCTTGGACAATAATGTTCCAGAAACTCTTCATCCAGCATCTACTTTGGGAAGCAGATGTGAGCATTGATTAGTTTCCCAGACATCAGATTTCAGTTGACTCACATGCTTTGTAGAGATTTGTATTCCCAATCATAAACATGTGCACCACAAGCAATGTGTCCCTGACCCTACTGGAATATCTCAATGACATCATCATCTTCTCACAAGCTGGCAGGTGGGGATGTTGGACGATGAAGGCTTCTTCACCAAATTCTTTGATCACAAGGTCAACATACTGGGTGAAAGCCACCTGCTGGCCTCCTACCATATTGTCCTGGTCTACCAGTACAGCTGGTGGAAAGACCAGTTCGATGTCATCCCATTTGAGATGCCACATTGCATCCAGCCAGATGAACTAATTGAGCTATACCAGGAGCATGCTAAGCAGCTGATGAGTCCACTGTGTCTTCCACTTTTTTACTCACTAATTTGATCTGATGATAACCAACAGCTGTTCAGACATTTATTGTGCATGCAGGATCACACATGTGAGCCAGGTCTGGGTCTGGACCCATTGCTAACTAACCTCAGGGTCATTAGAGATGACCTCCAACAATTCGGGATGAAGCTTGAGGAGTTGCTGTCAGAGAAGATAGGAGATGGAAATCATGCTCTTGACCAGATGGCTGGTCTTTATGTTCCTGCAGAACACCTATGTATATGACACCATGGTTGCCTCAGAAGAGCTATTGGGTGCTGAAGAATGAAGTGGGCCAGGTGAATCATATAGTGAATGGAATAGAAAGATGGGTGAAATATATCAGTAGCTGAATGTAAATGATTGCAATAATTGAAATGACTTCCAGTAGTTTCTTTACCAACTCTTGGGCTGCATGGACTTCCAGAAGGAAATAACATGCTGTGCTACTACATCCTGATCATTCATCAATCCCATCACATCATGATCCGCAATTATGTCCTGACATACTAGTCTGTTCTTGATGACCTCACGATTTTACATCCCAGGACATTACATGATTGGGTAGAGCCAGTGCCATGAGGCTTGGTCAACTGGGCTAATAAAATGCAGTGGTGTCTGTGTCAAACCACCTTGTTTTCACCCCACTATTATGTCTCAAATCCCTCCTGAATGGTGCTCCTATGCAAGTCATGCGGCATTTGTCAGGAGTAGTATGTGCCAACTACCCATGATACCCGAGGATTGGGCATTGCACACCACCCACATGGCCAGTGAATGGGTTGATCAGCAATTTCTGGCTCATATAGCTGGTAGACCATTAGTGAACCCGCTGCTAGGCTTGGACGTCTATATGATGCTTTCATGTGGGCAACTGGCTTTGCGCATGGCCAAAGCATATCAACATCTGAGTAGGTGGATTCAGTTTGTTTTAGAATCAACTCCTTGTTCTTCTGAAATCAGTCAAATTGGACATTGACATCATCCAATATAACAAGGCGCTTGCAAAACATGAATCCGGGATGAATGATGCCCAAGAAGAGGCTTTGTTGGCAAAGTTTCCCCCAGCCGAGAAGATCATGTTAGACAGTCCTTCAGTGGTGATTGATGCTGGCTATAGGATTATCCTCTGGTACATTCCAGATGGGCTGAGTCCTTGGGTGCAAGTGAGTTCCTTGGTAGATGTCTTTCTCAACTGTTGACATATACTATGATAGAATGATATGTATGCGGCCACCCTCTCCATGGGGGATCTTCTCAAGAAGAGCATCACCAATCAGAAAGGGAGCAGTTGGAGAACCCATGGATCCAACTTCTGACCCACCAAATCGCCCAAATTAACACCTGGATGTATCAACATAGCCCCTTGTTGGTTCCAGCAAGGCCACAAGGTGAGTCATATACTCCGGGTCCATTCTGTGTTGACCTGGGATAGTGCTATGGACCCCCTCCCGACAATCTGGATGATGGGTTCAAACCTGAAGTCTCCCTCACCCTCAAGGGTGAAAGGAGTCTATCTATGATCATGGATATGCAAAGGCCCACTCTGCTTGTGTCTGTTGCATTGCAGGTCATGCACCCTCAGCTCTATTGGGCTTCAGTGTCATATCCCACAATCCGGACCCACATTCCATCATATTCCCACGCCTTCCGAGCCTACATCTGGACCCCACTTCATATCCAGCTCATTCCCAGATCCCCTTCCGCTGTGCTCCACACCTCAGCAGGATTGACTATGCTCCGGATTTACCCCTGAGCTCTGGACCATTGGATCTCCACTGCTAGCCTGATCCATACCCCCCTGTCCCATCCACCCTATGCACACTCCATCCAGCAAGACATCCAGACTTCACCTCATCTCGGATTCTGAACTATATCCACCTTGTCTTCTGGATCCTCAGATCTCTGGACCTCCAGATATTAACTCCAGACCTATTCCCACCCTCTGTCCGATATCCTGCGCCTATCCCCATTTAGGCATTCTCTGCCTTCTGGCTTTCAGTTACCTCTTGTTCCATCTTGCTTATTGATCCTTGTATGAGTCCTCATCTCCAAGTTTGTTTACTTATGTTCCATCTTACTTACTAATGTGTTTCCACATGCTCGTACATAGCCTTGCTCCTTTGCTTACTGATCCCCTCAGATATTGTTCAGTATATAACCCCTGTAGATACTCCTGTAGTTCCTTAGTTTGAATATCAACTTAGACTTGCCCAATCCTCTCTTGGACTTTGGTCCACCTAAGTCTGTCCTGCCCATCAGGCCTAGGGATTGATTCCCTAGGCCAGAGTTCCGCCTTTCTGGCACTTTCCCTCTTTCCAGACTTAGGTCCAATCCCTGTTCTCTCCAACTCTACCTTAGGGTAGTCTACCTCTGTTTGTTTCTACATTGGACTTCATCCAATGTAGCCCCTATTCCTTCCAGACCTCCAGACCTCCTGTCCCTCATACCTCTGGGCATCCTGTCCTTTGGACATTCTGCCCTCCGTACCTTCAGACATTCCGTCCTCCTAACCCTCAGACATCCTATCCTCCTGTCCTTCAGACATCCTGCCCTCTGTACCTTCAGTGTGCAACCACCAGTCTCCTGACCACCAAGATCCACAATGTCTGCCTGAGGCATTCAATATATTGACATGTATCGGGAGCTACCAACATGCAATCTTGCAGTTGACTAACCATGGGATCGATTTGGTGTATAACCCTGGAGTGATGGTAAGCTATTTGGGCTGTCTGGTAAGGCATGGAATCTGGGTTTATGAAGGTGATCACATAGTATGGGTGTGGTTCCTCTGGGATAGTGTTCACAACTATGCTCACACCCCTCATCCAGATTACACCAGATATAATTCAGTTGACCTCGATACACTGAAGTTGGCAAAATATAACCAGGCTGATTTTGCCATATACAGCACCCTGTAGATGCCATTGGCAGTTTCATCTGAGCTGCCACATCTTGACATTTCATTCCTCACTGACATTCACCTACTGAAAATGACATCCTTTGCATTATTTCCAATATTATTCCACCTTATCCTTACATTTCACTCCTTGTCAACACATTCTCTTACCACAAATAGTCAGTACTACTCTACCTTATCCTTACATTTCGCTCCTTACCAAGACATTCTCTGCAAACACATCAAAGTAATACATTTCCTCATATTTTAATCATCTGGGGATTTTGGTTAGCCCATCACATTCTGCCTGATATACAGGCCCAGATGTTTAATACCTACTAACATATGGGCCTGGACATTGCATGAGACATCACCACCCTGGACCCAAACATTGAATGATGAAACCCATATAGGCCCAGGCATTGAATATCTACTAATATATAGGCCCAGACGTTGTATGAGACATCACCACCCTGGGCCCAGGTGTTGAATGGCCAAACCCATATAGGCCCAGGTATTGCATGAGACATCACCCTGGGCCCAGACATTGAATACCTACCAACATATGGGCCTGGACATTAGATGAGACATTGCCACCCTGGGCCCAGATGTTGCATGAGATGTCACCACCTTGGGCCCAGACATTGAATATATACTAATATATGGGCCTGGATGTTGCATGAGACATCACCACCCTGGGCCCAAATGTTGAATGGCCAAACCCATACAGGCCCAGGCATTGAATATCTACTAATATATGGGCCTGGGTGTTGCTTGGGACATCACCACCCTAAACCCAGATGTTGAATACCTTCCAACATATGGGCCTGGGTGTTGTATGAGATATAGACATTTGAATATCTACTAATATATGGACCCAGATGTTACATGAGACATCACCACCCTGGGCCCGATCATCTATTCTACATCACTTTCACCGGCCCAACTGTCCCATTGTTAAGCTGTCAGGCCACACACATGGGCCAGTCCATTAATACCAAGACAATCAAATATCATGGGCCCACCTGTCCCTCTCAGCCTGCACTTGCATCCAGGCCTGGCTTGGATGACCCGTCTCCCTTGGAAGAATCTCAACTTTGGATGGCTGTTTAACATGGGGGAAAGTTACTGAATGGGCTTGAAGTGATTAGAGCAACAGGAGGAAAGACTAAGTAGTGTAATTATAGAGATTGTATTGGTCAGATTCAAAGTCAAAAAAGTGTCCCAATGAGTCACCAATTTAAAATGTACACATGATAATGTCAGAATCCCACACTATATGGGACAATAATAATGCCAAGAGGAAGAGATTTCTGACGCCTCCCTATAGCTTTGTCAGATTCCCACACCCTGACTCACAATGAAGCAATTACATGGAAACCCACAAACATTGGGACACTTTTTTGAGCCACTGCATAGTGACAACACAACTATACAGGGATAAGACTACTTGCCAGTCCTTAAGTACACAGTCTATGACTTTTCTAGTTTTCATGGTAGATAACATGTGAGTTCTTGGGAGGATTTACAGACATGTCCTCTTCTTGTCTTTCTCCTGGTCTCAGTGATATGAAGTTTCTCAGTGTTATATAGTCAACCTCTAGTTTAGGTAGTATATAACTAGTAGTAGAAGTGTCTTAGATCTTACTTCAAGGCAACCTATTTGGCCTGCACTTTCTGAATCTTACTGGGTCTCACACAGTTTGAGAGAAGAGTGGAAAGTGGGAAGTTATGATTACTAGGTGCAAGATGGACTCCTTTTATACCTTTTTGGAGGCCCCCTTACTAAGCATGACAAATCCTTACAAATCAGCATATTTTCCATCACATGACATGCTTACACACATATCTGGTGGCTCACTGAAGGATTTTGTGGCTGAAAGAAATAGAAACAAACAGAAACAAGTGGAAACTGCATGACAAATCATGAAGGATCCTTACAAATCAGAATATTGCCAGTTACATGACACACTTAGTAACACATTTGTAGCTCACTGAGTAAAATGATGGCTGAATAAGCCTTAGAAAAAGAAGAGAAAGAAACTGATGGAAACTAACAGACTGGAAATATAAGTACAAGTAAATCTGTCATAAAAATGAAACCAAGCCTATAATACAATGAAGTATACCTTAGTATACTCTCCTGTGATTACTTCCTGTCTACATATGTCATGGTATGGTTCCCATACCATGCATGACACCACCAACACAGCATTGTCAAAACAATCTTTCAACCTGTACTATGTTCTCCACCGATTGAATACAGATATATGTATGGAAATAATGAATACAAAAACAGGTTAGTGAATTTGACTCAAGGCCTGGACATTAGCTATGCTGACTAATACATTGCATCACAGCATATTGTTTCTCCCCTTGACCTTTCATATCAAATTTTGCCAGTTATATCTGCAGTGAATATGCTGCCGATACCAGCATTGCCACATCAAATGTTTGAACATGGGTTATTGTCATGTGTGTACTCCTGTTTGACAGTTTTGATCAACCTGATCTCCTTAGTGTGTTTTTCTGAGTTTCCTTGAAAATCTCATTGATCAAACTTCTACATTTCAATGCTGATCTCACTTTGTTATCTGTAAACATTAAACCTTCATTCCCGTTTACCTATCACTTTTCCCCTCAGCCCCATAAAAAAAAAACAAGCACACACTGTGCAATATCACTCAAACAGTGCGATTCTATTCACTCAATTATGGAGTTTCATGTGATTGATGGGTTAACTGATTTTTGTATAGATATGTCTCCTCAATTCATAAGATACTGTGGATCACTGGTATTCAAATTTGAAAAAGTGGTGGGAAATAACATATGGTACAAGGTCTACAGATAAGACTTGCATTCTATTCTCAACCAGGTGCAACTCAACATACACCACCATTATTGAGGATCATAAGCTAGAGTTCGATAACTACATGAAATGTGTGTACTGTGTTGACTACTCTGTATAATCCATTCTCAAGCTGTTTTATGCAGGGATAATCCTGGTGAAAATGATCAAGTCAATAATAACTGATGAGATGAGCATGTTCTCTACCACATCCAGTGTAACTTAGAGGTTTGGTGATAACAGCTTGGCATTCATACAAAATAATTCTGATTATGGTTTTCACATACTGGGTAATAACCAGCCGATATAGCAAGTTTCAGAAACTTACTGTTGACAAACTGACACTCCTATGAAGACCCAGAGACTCACATCATACCAATTTCAATCTGCTGTCATCATCAAATCACTTGGAATGCATTTCAACTGACAAGGTCACCATACAGACTGCAAAAATTCTTCAACAGATTATGAATTCCAAAAAGCAACTCCCTCACAAATATTCACTATGAGTCAGTATAAATCCAATCTGACTTGAGGTCCTTTCTTATGCTAATGCTCTACAGTTTCTCTGCCTTTGGAAATGACTTACAAGATATCAAATAATCTACCTGTGGGTGACATCATCCATAACTTTTGTGTAAACAATCTCTTCCTCCATTGGAGAGACTCACATTCTGCAGGCTGCTATGGGCCTATATTACACCTTTTCACAACTCATGACAATTGGCCTTCAATGCACGACTCACACCATCATCCACTATGACTTCCACCATGGAGTGCACCACTTCCTGCAAAATGCACCATAGGCGTGCTACTTTCCCACACTATATGCAGCATTCTTGCACATCATCCAGGAGCATCCATCCACTGTCCAACCAGCCCATTGGTATGTATTAGTTCGCTATTCTTACTATTTCCCATTACCTTTCATTATTACATACTTTGTATGGCACCATTTTCTTAGGTCGAGTAGGCATTACATACTGCTTACATCACACTGGTTCACTTTGTGTTGAACCTGCAGTAACTTGTACCTGGAAGCGTGGCTATAAGTTCCTCCTATGCAATGATGGTTGGTCCGTCCCATGTGGGAAAGTATGCCTGAGCTCGTGGTGCAGATTGGAGAACAGACATGTGTTGTCTTGGAGGGATGGAAAATATCCTTCCTCTATCATCAATGACTGGGATATGATGTGGCAATTGTTGAGAAGCTGCTGGAACATATCATGCCAGAACAATTTCTTCTATCAGTGGGATCTGTTTCTTGGACCCTTTTTCCATTTGGGAATTCATCATGTGAAAAAGGACATGATTGCCAATAATGCAGGTTTTTCTCACTTACCCTCGATGTTCTCTCTAATATACAGTGGCTCAAAAAACTGTCTGCATGTTTTGACATTTTTCACTATCTATGATATTGTGTGAGAATGAACAAATGGCTCAAGGACATGCTTATACCACATTGTAGTATGGCTTCAGGGCTTTCATTTGAGCCCTACACCGTGGGAATCGGTGGAGATATGGTGGAGATACAAGGCTCACAAAATGGTGACTCATGCGGACAGTTTTTTGAGCACATATTAAAACTATATAAATCATCATTTATGACACCATAACAATCATGCCACCATTAAATAAATTATAAAGTGGTGTCATTATGTCATTTTAAAACCATATCTAACTATACAAACCAAAAATTTCCATACATCATGGTTATATTCACCATGAAAGCCACCCCCTCTGCTCAAAGGGATAATATCCTCTCTCTTTCCTATTCTGGCCTCTCTGCTTGTCAAATTTCCTCTAGAACTGGAGTATCCAAGTCCACTGTGGCCAAGTGCATCAAAGAAAGTCACACAGACAAGGAAAACTTCTGTGAAGGGTGTCCATCCAAGCTCACCTCTACTGATAGGAGGGCTATTATTCAACATATCACTACAGGAAAGGCTGATAATGCTATCCAGGTCACCTATTACATCAATCCCACCATCACATTCCCTGTCTCTTCACACACTGTGAGAAACATTCTCAAGACAGCTCATCTCAGGTTAGTAACAAGGAAGAAAAGGCTCTCCTCTCTATCACACATATGCAGAGAGGACTAGCACCCTTCTTTTTTCACATTGATGGTGGAATTGATGTAATAGGTGACCTGGATAGCATTATCAGCCTTTCCTGTAGTGATATGTTGAATAATAGCCCTCCTATCAGTAGAGGTGAGCTTGGATGGACACCCTTCACAGAAGTTTTCCTTGTCTGTGTGACTTTCTTTGATGCACTTGGCCACAGTGGACTTGGATACTCCAGTTCTAGAGGAAATTTGACAAGCAGAGAGGCCAGAATAGGAAAGAGAGAGGATATTATCCCTTTGAGCAGAGGGGGTGGCTTTCATGGTGAATATAACCATGATGTATGGAAATTTTTGGTTTGTATAGTTAGATATGGTTTTAAAATGACATAATGACACCACTTTATAATTTATTTAATGGTGGCATGATTGTTATGGTGTCATAAATGATGATTTATATAGTTTTAATATGTGCTCAAAAAACTGTCCGCATGAGTCACCATTTTGTGAGCCTTGTATCTCCACCATATCTCCACCGATTCCCACGGTGTAGGGCTCAAATGAAAGCCCTGAAGCCATACTACAATGTGGTATAAGCATGTTCTTGAGCCATTTGTTCATTCTCACACAATATCATAGATAGTGAAAAATATCAAAACATGCAGACAGTTTTTTGAGCCACTGTACAGCAAGGTCAAGTTTAATAGCTGCGAAGTATTCATCCCATGCATTGATGATCAGTTACCAAAACTTTGAACAATGGGGTATATCAGAATCCTTAAGGTCTTGCCACAAGAGGCAGAGCAGTCAATGAAACTCTGGACATTCAACAATGCTGATTGCCTAGAGATGGTGGTTAATGAGAGCACATAGAAAATAGATGGTACTCACTTGGTCATCAGCTACAATAAACTTCACAATCTGTCTATGCATCTCCTTGATGGAGAAGTCTGGTAAGTTACAATCCAAAGGTGCTAACTTCCCAACACCAGGCCATGGACCGCTATGTGTGAGATTGGGGGTAGGGCCAAGTGTCTTGATTGTGCAAGTAGGGTCTTTAAGTCATTCCAGCATCTGGGTGAAAGTCCAGCCTTCATCAAGGCGGTCCGCTACAGGATGAATGCCAATCAGCCATTGCTGTTTCTTGGATTCCTAGAGATAAAGGTCTATGTGGGTTTTGTATACATGGGAGCAAAGAGGGGTATTGCTCATTGATGGACCATAAACAGTAAGGGGACAGGATGAGTCAATCTTATTTAAATCCCTGGTAAAGGAGGTGAGAAACAGCATGAAAGACTCCCAGATGTGTTACTCACTTGCATGGTATACAAATGTGCTTGCCAGTGTCTGAATTCTTCCTAAAGAAAAACAGGACATTGGCAGTAGTCTTAACACCTCTTTTTCTTGTTGCAAAGGGATTGGTGTGAAGGGTGCTAGTCACTGTCTGCAGTGGGCTTGGGTGTGTATGAGTGTTGGCTATGACTTCAGGTGGGATGTGGGTGTTGGCCATAACTTCAGGTGGGTTGTTGTTATCTTCACTGCTGCTGACATTATTCATGTCGATCCACTCGCCATTGTCCAGATGAGCAGCTGAGGTGTCCTCCCTATATCTTTGAGGAAGTTGTCACTGTCTCCTAGGATGGTGAAGGGCAGTAGCAATTGCAGCAGCTGCAGTGGTAGTTGCAGCAGCAGGAGTGACATGCATGAGAGCAACAGGAGCAGGAGCAGGAGCTATAGGTACAGGAGCAGGAGAGACAGGAGTAGGAGAGACAGGCGCAGGTGCAGGAGCAGCTTCAACCTGGAGGGTACCAATGTTTTGTCGACAATGACCACAATGGTTCATGTTAGTAATCAAAGTGCTGGAGATGTAATGACAGACCCACCTATGATATATATACCTTCATCCTGGGGGGGCCCAGGAAATCACTGATGTGCAGAATAGCACAGAATCACTTGACCCTTAGCATTGCAGCCTGCAGGATCTAAACACAATAGTTAGTCAGTTAATGGTGATACACTTTGCTTAGTGGCTCTCCATAGCACCCTAACTTGTCCTTACTGTATCGGCCAGGTCAGGGTAACCAATTCTTCAAAGTAGGTGGGGATCTCCATGAGGAGGACACAAGTATTAATGTGATTATCACAGCCACAAGGTTGCAACTTGCAGGGTACCATTGAAATGCTAGATCAGTGTGGGAGTCACTACACAGGAATTACACAGCATGTGCACAGACCACGTACAATATATACACATATGTAGATATCTGTTAAGAATCATGCTCAAGGGAGAGAGAGACTGACTCAGAGGGGCTTGGCCTCAGCTTGTACACTGTGCCCCTTACCTGAGTATGTGCCCTTCATTTCAGAGGAAGTCCAATGATGGTCTGACGAAGTCTGGAGGACTTCCAGAGGCTGGCTACTCTGGTGAAGTGCTAAAGGACTTCTGGAGGAGCGTGGGAAACGTCCGGAGGAGCGCGGGAGAGTTCCGGAGGAATGCAGGAAGTGCTCAGGAGAGTTCCCACTGCAAGGTAATACTTCTACAGGAAATGGGATGGAAGGGTAGGAGGTCCAGAGGTCCAGAGTATGGAGGACAGGAGGACTGAAGGTCCAGAGGACATGACATGGAGGTACAGAGGGCAGAACATCTGAAGGACAGGACATCTGGAGGTCCAGAAGGAATAGGGGCTACATTGGACAAAGTCCAATGTAGAAGCAAACAGAGATAGACTACCCTAAGGTAGAGTCAGAGGGACAGGAAGTGGACCAAAGTCTGGAGAGAGGGTAAGTGCCGGAAAGGCAAGACTCCAGCCTAGGGAAGCAATCCCTAGACTTGGGACAGAGACATAGGGGACAAATCCGAAGGTCTGGAATTCCAGCCTAGGGAATCCTTCCCTAGGCCTTATGGAAAAGGACAAGACTCAGATGGACTGAAGTCCAGAAGATGATTGGGCAGATCTAAGGTGATGAACAGGATCTAAGATGATATTCAAACTGAGGAAACTACAGGAGTATCTACAGGGGTTATATACTGGAGACTATCTGAGGGGATCAGTAAGCAAAGGAGCAAGGCTATGTACAAGCATGTGGAAACACATTAGTAAGTAAGACAGAACATAAGTAAATGAACTTGGAGATGAAGACTTGTACAAGGATCAATAAGCAAGACGGAAGAAGAGGTAACCAAAAGCCGGAAAGGCGGAGATGTCTAAATGGGGATAGGCACAGGATATCTCACAGAGGGTGGGAATAGGTCCGGAGTTAATATCCGGAGGTCTGGAGATCTGGGGATCCGGAAGACAAGGTGGATACAGGACTGGGATATGAGAAGGTGGATATAGTCCAGAATCTGAGACAAGGTGAAGTCCAGATGTCTTGCTGGATGGAGTGTGCATAGGGTGGATGGGACAGGGGGGTATGGATCAGGCTAGCAGTGGAGATCTGATGGTCCGGAGCTCAGGGATAAATCTGGAGCATAGTCGATCCTGCTGAGGTGTGGAGCACACAGTGGAAGGGGATCTGGGAATGAGTTGGATATGAAGTGGGGTCCGGACATAGGCTCAGAAGGCGTGGGAATATGATGGAATGTGGGTCTGGATTGTGGGATATGACAATATCTAACAAACATGCACAGACATAGTATTGAAAAAAAAAGGTTATACAACTCATTTCTTTATCCAATGCAAGGCGGGAGTGGTTGCAGGCGTTAGGGTACCATTGTGTGGACATAATCTTGCAAACAATGGGTTCATGAATCATGAGCATGGTATGTGATGATAAATGAAACTACTTACATGTGAGTTGATCTGCAAGGAGGCACTGCCTTTGGCAGACAAGGGTGCACCAATTCAGAGACTTGTGGATATTGAGGGGATGGTGTGATAGGGCAATCAAAATCTAGGGAATATGTAGCTGGTGCAGGCCCTGCAGTGTGAAGATTGTGAAGTAAAGAATGAAGATGTTCATAATCAGGATCTTCTGAAAATGAGAGAGAGTATGAGTGTCATATCCCATATTCCGGACCTATGTCCGATGATGTTCCCATGCCTTCCAGACACCTTCTGGATGCACATCCGAGCCTCCATACTCTCATCCATGCCTTCAGTCCTCCAGTCCACTATCGATTCAGATCCGTACACCTTTGCACATCCATATACCCATACCTCCGGACCTCCGCAGCTAAGCCTGCTTCATCCACCCTTGGTCCTATCAGATCCAAGCTCATTCCATCTAGGACTTACTCCTGTAGAGTTTCCTGAGTTCGAATATCATCTTAGACTTTGCTCTCTCACATCTGTTCTTGGACTTCGGTCCATCTGAGTTCTGTCCTTTCTGAGTCTAGGGATTGATTCCCTAGGCCAGAAATCTGGACCTTCAGATTTGTCCCCTATGTCTCCATTCCAAGTCTAGGGATTGATTCCCTAGACTGGAGTTTTGCCTTTCCAGCACTTCCTGTCTTTCCGAGACTTCTGTCTACTTCCTGTCAACTCCATCTCTACTTAAGTGTAGTCTACCTCTGTCTGTTTCTACTCTGGACCTTGTCCATTGTAGCCCTCCTTCTCTTGTCCTAGAATCCTGTCATATCCCACAATCCAGGCTCACATTCCATAATATTCCCACGCCTTCCAAGCATACATCCAGACCCCATATCCAACTCATTGCCAGATCCCCTTCTGCTGTGTGCTCCACACCTCAGTAGGATTAACTCCGCTCTGGATTTACCCCTGAGCTCCAGACCTCTGGATCCTCATTGCTAGCCTGATCCATACCACCCTATCCTGTCCACCCTATGCGCACTCCATCCAGCAAGACATCCAGACTTCACCTCATCTCAGATTCAGGACTATATCCACCTCATTGTATCCCAGTCCTGTATCCACCTCACCTTCCAGATCCTCAGATCTCCGGATGTATTCCTGCCCTCTGTCCAATATCCTGTGCCTATCCCCATTTAGACATCTCCACCTTTCCAGCATTTGGTTACCTCTTCTTCCGTCTTGCTTATTGATCCTTGTACAAGTCTTCATCTCTGGGTTCTTGCTCCTTTGCTTACTGATCCCCTCAGATAGTCTCCAGTATATAACCCCTGTAGATACTCCTGTAGTTTCCTCAGTTTGAATATCATCTTAGACTTTGCTCTACTTGCCCAATCCTCTCTTGGACTTTGGTCCACCTAAGTCTGTCCTATCCATCAGGCCTAGGGATTGATTCCCTAGGCCAGAGCTTTGCCTTTCCAGCACTTACCCTCTTTCCAGACTTAGGTCCAATCCCTGTTCTCTCCGACTCTACCTTAGGGTAGTCTACCTCTGTTTGTTTCTACATTGGACAGAGTTTGATGTAGCCCCTATTCCTTCCAGACCTCTGGGTGTCCTGTCCTTCGGACGTCCTGCCCTCCATACCTTCGGACATCCTGTCCTCCTAACCCTTGGATGTCCTATCCTCCTGTCCTTCGGACCTCCTCTCCTTCCATCCTGTTTCCTGTAGAAGTATTACCTTGCAGTGGGAACTCTACTGAGCACTTCCTGCATTCCTCCAGAAGTCCTTTGGACTTCATTGGATTCCATCTGGACTTCATTCTGAAATTAAGGGCACATACTTAGGTAAGGGGCACAGCGCATGAGCTGAGGCCAAGCCCTTTGGATCCCGTCTATCCTTGAGCTACGGTCTTAACAGTGAGTAGACAAGAATGTTTGCAAATGCTGCAGGAATTCCATTGCATAAATCAGCAATGGTGGTATCCACTTTGTGCTCAAGTATCAAGGAGCCAGAGAGCCTCTCATGGTCACTATTTAGCCATGGAAGGGAGCCACATAAGAAATAAATCAACATATACACAAGTGATTCAAGACCACCATGGCAACCTGGCTCCAATCCCAAGTGATTGTTGATGGAAGCAAAGGTGGGGGTGCCTGTGAGATATCGGCCTTGGCAAAACAGGATGTGGGATTTGGTTGTAGTGTTCCAGTATCTCTTCATGATACTGAAATTGATAATATAGGCAGTTTGCCTTGAACTGTCTACCAAAACATTCTGCAGTGTGACATTGCCATGGACATAGTTGTGTGAATGAATATATGCTAGATGCAACAGCTGGAAAATATGTCAGTGTCTGCAGACTGCAATACAACAAATTTGAACTACAGTACCAGCTGGTCTTCTAAGTTGACAACAGTTTGAAGGCTAAATTTGTGGTTGCATTTGAGGAAGAGATTGTACAATGATGGCCCAAGGAGGTTGAGAGCCAAGGCATGATATGTTGACTCCCTGCCGAACTAAAGGGCATGGGGGATACCAACACCACCTTCAAGTTGCTTCAGAATGTGGTGTTCGTCCTCCACAGAAGATGGGTTATCAGTAACTGGTTCAAGTTGGATAGCAACAACATCGTCATTGAGGAAGTTTTGTGCACGATACACAACAACTAGTAATATATGTTGAAAACCTGAATATGAATCAATTGAGTATTGACATCATACAGACATACTGTATGAACCTGTCCCTAAAATATTTTCCAGCCTGAATTTACCATCAATTCAAATTGGGACCTGATCCATGCTACATATGCAACAAGACCAAATGTTACAGTGGTGGATTCAATGGTACACACTGACACTGCACACTGCACAGTGCACATGGTGAGAAGGTTGATGTTTGACTCCCATGTGACTGAAGCCGACTGCAGCCAGTTTGAACTGGCTCGAGTTGATGTTTCTGATAAATGGCTCCATCAGGAAAAAGGGAAATTTTCTTAAACACACTTAAGGTGACTTGAAGGTAATTCTAAGTAAGATTAAGTAGAATTCTGCTAAGTATTCCATTGCTTGAAAAAAGTAGGGTCTTCCAATGGATTTGACTTATTGTTATACTTATCAGTGACTTGAGATAAGTACACAGTTAAGCATATCAGGAAAAATGGTACTTGTCATTATGGCTCAAAACCCCCAAAAAAGCGAAAATTTCAAATTATATTTCCAGTAACTACTACAACACATGTAAACTACTAACTACAAAAGAGGTAAAAATGCGAAAATTAAAGGAGGAAGAGGGAAGAGAGCTAGAGGGAAGAATCAGAGAGAAAAGGTAAAAACAAAAGAAAGACTTACCAAATAGCCAAAAATCCACAAATTAGAGGAAGAAAGAGGAGTTAGAGGCAGGGTGAAAATAAACAGGAAGACTCACCAAATGGTACAAAAATGCAAAGATTATTGAGGGGAAGGTGGTGGTGGTGGTGGAGGAGGAGGGAAGAGAGCTAGAAGAAGGAGAGGGTCATATGGAAGGAGAAGAAGAGAGAAAGAAAGACTTACCAAAGAGGCAAAATTAGGGAGGAGAAGGAGGAGGAGAAGGAAGACAAAGAAAGAGAAAAGACTCACCAGAGTTCAAAGCCCTAGCCCCAGCCCCAGCCCCAGCACCAACAACATCAACACCAATACCAACCCCAAGAGAAGGAGAAGAAGAAGAGAAGAGAGGCAAAAACTCAAAAATTGTCAGAGAAAGATGGAAGATAAACTAAGGGCCCATTTGGCAACCGCTCATTTCATTTGTTTGGGTTCATTTCATTTTGAAACGGATGGACATTGAAGTGAAACAGATGCTCCCACAGGTGTCACACACTGTCACACATGTAGATAATCAATTATAACCATCAGTTTGCTGCTCAAGCTCTACAACTATTACTAGTATGACTTCATCACGGAAGAGAAAGGCCCTCAAAGCCTCTCTTAAGGCAACCCACACCCACAGAAAGAGAGCTGCAGTGCTAGCTGCTGCATTTTCAGCTGCTGCAGTGGCAGTGGCCACCTTGCCCTATTTTGACAAGATTCCCCAGCACAACTCTATCTTGACAGTCCATTCATGGGTCTGGGAGCTCTTATCAGGACATCCCTGTCGCTTCCATAATATGATGGGCCTTTCCAAGCCAGTATTTCACTGATTGCTCCATGAACTCGGTCAATATGCAGACCTTGCACATTCAAGATATATCTCTTCTGAAGAACAGCTTGCCATTTTTCTTTGAATCTGCTGTACTGGGAGTACAAATTGGGACATGCAAGAACGGTTCCAGCACAGTGCAGATACTATTTCAAAGTGAGTGCCCAATATTACTATTTAAAATGCAGCAGGATTAATTTATCACTGTGACCATATTATTAGGATTTTTCTTCATCTTCTAGACATGGTAGTATCACCATGCTTTTATCAGCACTATGTCAGCATACCACCCAATGACATAGTCCCCCCTGAGATTCACAGTAATCCCAAGCTCTACCCATTTTTTCAGCACTGTTGGGGTGCAATTGATGGGACACACATTGATACTTTTGTTCCCAATGATGCCCTGACTGCTTGCTACCGCAATCAAAAGGGCCGCCTCTCACAAAATGTCCTTACTGCATGCACATTTGACATGTGCTTTTCATATGCCCTTGCAGGATGGGAGGGAAGTGCAGCTGACAGCTGCATATACAATGATGCTTGGCAAACTAACTTTTGCATCCCCCCAAATCTCTGCTACCTTGCTGATGCAGGGTTTCCATTATGTGACTCACTCCTGGTTCCATATTGTGGTGTGTGCTATCACATCAAGGAATGGGGCCATTCACGTCAAAGGTATGATTTTTTTCTATTGATCAACCATTTAAAAAATGCTGAAAAATAACTAGACCAAAGAATCGCCAAGAACTATTCAACCTACAACATGCCCAGGCCCGAAATGTTATTGAACACATTTTTGGTGTGGTGAAGTGTCAATTCCGGCTAATGGTTTCTGCCCCAGAATACAGCCTTGTGGTACAGACAAAGCTGGTTCCTGCCCTCTGTGTCTTACACAATTTCATCTGTGTTCACAATCAGATGATAATGAGAAAGGAGATGAGGAGAGAGAGGTGGGCACTGATTAGGCTGTTCAGGCTGTACCAGAGGATTTCAGTCATCAAATCATGCCAGCAGAAAGGACAAGGGCAGGACAAAAACGAGATGATATAGCAGAAGCAATGTGGGCTCAGTATATTGAGTATACTGCAAATGAGAACTAGGAAAAGCTGTCTACATTTTTCTGAGTTCAAGATGAATGTACATAGAACGGAGAGGGACATCTGAAATGGCAGTGTAGGCATCTGCAATAGCTACATCCTTAGTAAATAGAGCAACAACCTTGGCACATTCATCAGAAGATAAGGAAGCATCAGTACAAACAGCCTGGATGGCATTAAGATGATGTTTCAGAGTACTGGGAACATCATTGAGAAAATTAGTAGGAGCAGTGAAAGATGTAGCAACAGACTCGAGAGCATCAGCTACTCCAAGAATTGCTGCCGGACCAGTTAGCTTTGCATGGGAACATTTTTATAGACCCTGGTTGAAGTTGGTGATACTGAAGGAGCACATCTGCATTTCGGAACACACAGAGTATGCGAAATAGGTGCAGACCAGTGTAAATTTGAGTCAGACAATAAAGCAAGCAAGTTGATATACATACCACTTTCTCGTCAGCTGATTCAGACTCACCATCCTCACCTACAAAGACATCATCCTCATCATCAAGAACAAGTGTGCTTGGCCATGGAGGGCTCGTCTCATGTTCAACACTATTGATGTGTAGTGCCCCATCACCCATGGCATGACACCCATCTACGAGCACAATGATGTCATCATAGAGGGGAAATGGTGTTGAACACCAAACCTTGGCTTTGGAATGAGCCTAAACAGCAATTTAGTCATGAAATGAACAAAATATGAAAGCTTACTTCGAGGTAATCATCCCACACTTTGTCACTGGCAATGACAATCTTTCTTGTCTCATCCCATCCAAATCCAGACAGCTCTCATAGTTTTTGGACAATGAGACAGTTGGCCTTCAACTATAGACAATAAATCAGCATGAAAATGGAGGAAAAATGCTACTTACAGTGGCCCAACAATGTGAGCAACTTTTTGAAGTTTTTGGAGCACCCCCACTGGTTTTGTGGCTGTCTTTGAGGGCCTTAGCAGCAGCTGTAAATACTGCAGACTTGAAGGTGCCATTATCAGCTGAGTTTCCATCAGCAAAGGTCTTGAGAGAGTCAAGGAGTGTTGCATCATCTCCTGAAAGCCACTTTGCATTCCGTGGAATCTTCCTGGTACTGACAGCCTGATCTTGAGGTTCCTGCAGTGAATTGATGTTCTCCTTGGTATCTGATGAGAGAGAGATTGCCATGGTAGTAGACTGGTAGTAGTTGACAGAGTAGGGACAGTGGGATATTTGATTGACTAGAGTGAGCAAACAAGTACTAGTGCGATGCCACATTATGCAGCGTGACAGATATCTAGCAAAACAAACACATTGCCGAACATGTTTTTCCATTTCAAATGAAAATGGACGCAAATGGACAAAAACAAACAAAATGGACGCAAACAAATGGTTGCCAAATGGGCCCTAAGGAAGAGACAGTGGGAGAAAAGGAAGGAAAAGATGGGAAAAGACTTGTGGTTGACCGCACTTTTGCTTATATAAGCAGTGCCAAACAAAGCCACAACACAAAACTTAGTGAATTTTCGAGTTTTTGGTTAATAGCATTTGAACCTTTCAATTTCAAGTATTTTGCTTATAACTCACTAGGATATCAACCTATTGGTGTCATGAGACTATGGATAGACTCCCCTTGATGAAGGCTACAACTTTGGTTTTCATCGAAAAAGTTCCCACGGTCAAATTGCTTTCTCCACTTTCGAGTATTCTGCTGATATCTTACTATGATCTTAACCTATTGATACCATTAGACTATGGATAGACTCTCCTTGACAAGGGCTACAACATTGGCTTTCATGAAAAAAGTTCCCACAGTCTACCAGAGATGTCACTGAGTTGCCACTTACTATTTGTGCTTATGTATTGTTGCACTTGAACACACTTAAAAACTCAACATGTACTTAAATTGCAGCATCTGATGTGTTCTCATTTTAAAATTATATAACTTATCTGCTTAAATGTTATTATCATACTTAATTCTGGCCATGCATTACTTACTATTATTGTGTTTCCTTGGTGAACAATTCTCCAAGCAGAAATTAAGTCAGAATGGTTTGTTTTGACAACTTGGTGAACTTAGCATTGAATTAAGTCTGTTTAAGTGAGATAAGATGGCTAAGACTTTTTCCCATTTTCCTGATGTCATAGCCAATTCATGCAGCTAGTAAGTTGAACCAAGCTGGACAATGTGGTTCAACTTACGAGGATAGCTGAACTACAGGTGTAGCCAGTAAAAGCTGAGTCCGAGTGGACTGGAGCCGAGCTGTGACATAACTAAGGCTACCCCTCAGCTCCAGTGAAAATTGGACATGGGCAATTCCACATAGAACTACGGAATTATAATTTGTAAATGTAAATTATAGTTACTTCAATGGAATTCTAATAAGGCCTCGTCTTAGCTTAATCAGATCGATAATGTCATCAATTGCATTGAATCATTGTGATGAGTGTGTCTCACTGCGCAGTGTGCAAACATTTGTTCAACAACTTCACCAATCAGCGCACCTTGATCGAGTCAGCATAAAACTGATCAACACTTTACCATGCCGACTACACATCACAACTTTGTGTCCTCAAAGCTCTACTAGTAAGTGAGCCTTTGGGTAATTTTCACATATGTTATACTAAGCTATATTTCATCTAGCATATTTTGTTCCGTCTTGCCAATGTCAGATGTGCATTGGTGTGTTTGCATGAAATACTGCTTTGGAATCCAAACACCGCTCAGGTCACTGCGAACTTGGCAGAATCATTTGAAGGAGGCTGGTGAAGATGAGAAGGCAGCTATACAGTGTGCAGGACTATCAGATGAGTTTCATAGTCTGAAACGGTCAGCCAATTTGCAAGTTGGAGGGTTGAATATATCCACTAAACAAAGACGTGAAGTGTGTCCTTGATTGTTCAAAATTTAATAGGACATACATGCTAACAATACCTTCAGAATGAAGATCCTCAAGACACTACTCCTCGAGGCGACACTCCTCCTCGAGATCCCACTCCTCAACATGTCACTCCTCCTCAAGATTTCACCCCTCCTCGACATGCCACTCCACCTCGAGATCCCACCCCTCCTTGACATGCCACTCCACCTCAAGATCCCACCCCTCCTCAACATGTCACTCTGCCTCGAGATCCCACCCCTCCTCAACATGCCACTCCACCTCCTGACAATCCAAATCAGCCCCCCCAGCAATTTGAAGAATGGCAAGATCCTTTTGCCAACCTTGATTTGGAGGAACTTGCTCATAATGCTCACCTCCCTGATCTATGTCGTGACATGGAGTTTATTCTTGCTCTTTGGGAGGCATTGCTAGATGACAGGATTGGACTCACAGGAGATGCACTTGAACATTTGCAAAACCCACCAAGATGTCAACCAGAGTTTGGTAGTGCAGATGTCAAGTATGGTGTCACCCTTTTTCTTGCCCTCGAGCACTCATCAGAAGATGCTTTTCATAAGACTTGTGCTGCTACTCTTGCGCAACATCCAGAGGATGAGATACCAAGTCTCCACCAGGTGAAAAATATCATTACTGACCTCTCAGGAGTAACATCTATTGTCAAGGATATGTGCATTGACTCCTGTGTAGCCTTCGTTGGTCCCTACACCGAACTTGATGAATGTCCAATGTGTCAGAAGCCACGATATGACCCCATTAAGCTTTGGCAGAGTGGAGGCCAAGTCAAACATCTTCAACAAGTATTCCATACCTTCCCCATTGGCCCGCAACTTCAGGCTCTCTGGCAGCACCCTGATAGTGCTCATCAGATGCACTACCGATGGCATCATACGCAGGAGATAATTGAGCAGTTGGAATGTAATGATGGTCTTCCTACAGCCTATGACGACATCATCACTGGTTCATCGTACCTTGACACCGTTCGTTAAGGCCGTATCAAACCAGAGGACATGGTTCTCATTATATCTGTTGATGGAGCTCAACTTTATGAGACTAAACAGTCAGACTGCTGGGTCTACATCTGGATTATTGTTGACATACCTCCTGATCATCACTACAAGAAGCAGCATGTTCTCCCCAGCACTGTAGTTCCTGGTCCAAACAAACCCAAATACATGCAATCTTTTTTTTCCCCTGGGTTTCACCATCTCGCTGCAATTCAGAAAGCAGGACTCGTGATTTGGGATGCATGGCATGACATCACCTTCATCTCAAACCCATTTCTCATACTCGCTTGTGCTGATGGACCAGGCCTGGTCTACATAAGCAATCTTGTTGGCCATAATGGCAAGAATGGCTGTCGCATGCTTTGTGGTCTTGAAGGGCGTCGTAAACCTCATGGCAACCATTATTATCCTGTCCTCTTGCAGTCTCATAATTATGATGTTCGTGGGTGCAACCATGGTGACCTACACCCAACTGATACTCCTCAAGGAACCTCTGAGAATTACATTCAGAGGCTTCATGTTCTGATTGGATCTAGCAGGCAGTCTCAGTATGAGGCCAACAGACTGAATACAGGTGTCATAGGACTGAGTATTCTCCTTGGTTTGGAGATGAGACACATTCTTGGTGTCCCTGAGTGCTTCTCTACAGAGATAATGCACTTCTCTGGTGCCAATATGGCAGCCTTGTTTACAGATATATGGCATGGCTTGATGCTCTGCAGCCCAACAGACAATGCTTTGACCTGGGACTGGGCTGTCCTTGTTGATGATACCTGGGAGGCACATGGTCGAGCTGTTGCTGCTTGTCAGCCATACTTACCAGGCTCTTTTGACAACCCACCTCATAACCCTGCAGAGAAAATCAACACTCACTACAAAGCCCATGAATTCATTACATGGCTTTTTGGACTCGCACCAGCTTTGCTGTATAATGTTCTCCCTCAAAAATACTGGCAGAATTTCTGCAAGTTCACACAAGTGCTACAGATTATGAGTCAATACAGCATCACCCCTTCCCAAGTCACCGAAGCTTTCACCCTGTTTGCAGAGTGGGAAATCAAGTTCAAAAACTTGTACTATCAATGTAGAGCTGACTGTATTAACTTCATTCGGCCTTGTGCTCATCTATCAAATCACATTGCAGCTGAATGCATTCGTGTTGGATCGCCTATCTGCTCTTTGCAATGGACAATGGAGAGGATCTTTGCAGATATCAAATTTGATCTCCACCAACCCAAATTTCCCTATGCATGTCTGACTCAAGTTTGCTTTATCCAATGTCATATAAATGCGGTGAAAGCAATGTTCTCCCATCTCCAACCACCTCCTAATCTCCATCCATGATATTCATTTGATGTTGGAGATGGCTATGTTTTACTTTGTGCACAAGAGAAGCAGCCAAGGTATCCAGACACAGCTGCAGAAAACAGACTCATATCTGTGTTCCTGGGCCATACTAATGCACCAAAAATGTATTGTTGGTCATGCCTTCGGCTCCCAAATGGACAAGTGGCCCATTCAGCATGGAAGGAAACACTATGGCCTCTGGAAAAAAAACACACATGTCTCAAAATGTTAAGGTACTTCATATATTTATCATGCACTCTCAAATTAATTGATATTCCCAGCTCAAGATTGATGGAGTGACTTGCTATGGAGAGGTCCAATATTTCATGCAGCTTGCTGTTTGAAATGATGTTGAACCTGATGATGATGATGATCCTGAAGACTTTGTTTGTCAACTGCAGGGTCCACTGGCAGCATGGCGATTCAGGACCATTGCACTTGTTTCATTATATTCAGCACCTGACAGACAGCTTCTTGAATTGTCACACTGGACAGTTTGGTCTTGCACATATCAAGGTGAAGCTGGCCTTCATGTTGTAGATGTCACCAATATCCAGGCCATCATTGCAGTTATTCCTCACCAGCCTACTTTACCATCTGGAGTAACCAAGGACCATGTCTTTGTTGTTGAAAAGACTGGGCTCGATGTATCGTATACTGGAGTATTTGCCAAAGAGGATGATAATGATGGTGAACAAGATGAATAGAAATACCTGTTCCTATGATACTCTTATATTGTCTTTCCATTTTCATTGCCAAGAGAAGTTCTCAATAACATTTCATGAACACATTAAGCGAGCAGTAGCGACAAGGTTCTATCTTGCTAATAGTCATACAGGTGTGTGTTACATGCAATTAGACAAGTCTACAAGATAAATGCAATGGAAGGGACAACAAGAGAGCTACAAGTGCAATGAAAACAATTAGACAAGGGGGAATGTGAGTCTGTAAGGGGCCTTCACTATGCCTCTCTCCAGGTCTTCATGTTCTTGCCTAAGAGCATCCATTTTCACAATCTTGGAAGGGATATTGGAAGCTGGAAAAGGACGGACAAGATAATGCCAAGGGGCAGTTGGGTTTTCCAGGTCTCAGTTTGGATTTCCCCTTCATGCCAGGCTCCTTAGGCATGAGTGTAACATCACCATCCTCGACCTTGACCATGCTCTGGAGTCCCTCCTTTTCAGCATCCTCCTCAGTCTTGATCACAGGTGCTTTCAAGCGAAAAACAACTTTCTAAGTTGTACATGTGAGCTATGTATTAATATCAATAACATTAGTTTACCTTGAGACCAGGAGATTTGATGTCAATATGACAACAGTATGTGTTCCAATTGGGATCAAGATTATCAATGTCGAGGACAATGGTGTCCTTGAGCATACTAACAGATGGTATACTGGCTGGCATTGGGGTATTTGATAAAACTGATATGAAAAATAACAACACAAAAGACTTGATACTATGAATGAAAGCCACCGACTCGAGGACTCAAAACAGAATATTCCAGTGGAGGCAGAATTTTAATTGCCCTTGGACGATACCACTGCCCCTTTCCTTCATACTTCTACACAATTTTCACTCATTTGGTTCTCACTTGTTTTTCTATGTCTGTTATGTCTGACGAACCCTACCAGCCTCAGGCTCAAGATTTCAGCCATATGAATCAATCATATGACAATAACTACCAGCTCCCAGGCCATGCTAGTGCACAATCTCCCATTCTCATACCTTCGCAGGGTCAGCTGAATCAAGGCTGGAATGGACTTTCACATCACAGTGGGAGCTTTCAAAACAATACAGTGAGATTGAATATGTTTTATTATGTTCAAAATTGCACATATAACCACTCATAGCATGCATTCACACAACTCCAAGACGAGACTATTCATCTATGGCTTGTCAATGAACATTTGAATCAACAAATTTTGACCATTACTGCATCCTGAGATGCATATCAGTTTGTTTTCTCCCATTACCTCCAGCAGCTTAACAAACCCCAGACTTAGAGCTGCATTCAAAACCTTATCGCACTCACTTTCACTATCAGATGACATTTCATTGTATTCAGGCTCCTCCAATGAACGACCACTCAAAGTCACCATCAAGACTGATGCTATTGGCTGCAACCCTGTCAATGGTCTATGAAAGGAGGACTACCCTCTTGTCAATTTTTGGATGCATGAAGACTTCAAGAAATGGGACAGCACTGCTGATGCACAAGGTAATCAGCGGGGATCACTACCCTTCCTTGAGCATAAAAATGGGGACCCCATTACTCCATCTGAGCAATGCACTATTATGAAGACCTTTCATGCAGTCCAGTTTGGCCTCCGACAGCGTGGGATAGCACCAATCTCATGGGGTTGAGCAATCCCCAATGCTCACAATGCACTCTACAAGGAAGTGTCTCGCATACACCCTGAATTAGCCCTTTGCGACAGGTACTGGAAGATCGAGCATATTGCTAGAGACCGCTACCCATCATGGGCATCCACTCATCTCAACATCAGCAAAACCCTAAGTTAAGGTCCCCCCTTTTACAGTGCTGTATGGTGCTGTGTGGCACTGTGTGGTGCTGTATGGTACTATGTAGCGCTGTAAATGGGGGGACCATAACTTAGGGTTTTGCTGATGAAGGAAGGAGATTCTTCATCTACTGACCCTGAGGAGACGAAACCACACATCAAACCACAAAAGTGAAAGGCAAAAATGGCTGAGTCTGCCAATACTACCAATAAACATGATTCAAAATGTGCAAAAACAGCTGATATGGACTTGGAGGTTTGCAACTCAGAGCCACCCGAGATCTCTTCTTTAAATATCAAGTCTCTGAGTCCCGTCCTGCTGCCACTGTTCTCACCAATCCCAAAGCCTTCTTTGAATATCAAGTCTCCTGTTCTGCTGCCACTGTCACCAAGCCCAAAGCCTTCTTTGAATATCAAGCCTCCCATTTCGCTGCTACTGTCACCAAACCCAAACTTGCCTCCTCTGGATATCAAGTCTCCATCACCAAGTTTGCAACAGCCAAAAGTCCTGTTTGCTATTTGAAACCCTTTGTGAGTGCTTTCTGCTGAACATAGCTACTACATTGATGAACTTTGGCTTTCAGAAAAGATGCCATTAACTGCCTCAAGGAAAAGCAAATTGCTGACACTGACTCTGCAATGCCTTCCACTGATGTCCCTGCAACACCGACAGTACCTGATTTCAACACCAATTCTATAATACCTTCTGCTGTCGCTGATGCCCCTGTGACTGTGACACTGACGCCATTTGAGGCTCACGGCACATATACACCCTCTGAGTCTTCGACCTTACAGGTTGCTAATGCAGACTCACAAGGCAAACCTGGCCCTACCAGCAAGAACTTCCACCCTGCAGCTATGAAGAATGGGAGGTGAATCTCACTAGTACTATGATTCTCATTTTACTTTGTTGCTAATATAACAGTTTCACAACAGAAATCTTTGTGCACATCGCTGGCTCAAAAAGGTAGCGCCCAACGGCTACTCTCAAGATTTCAAACTATACTGGGACTTGCTGGGCAAAGACTGCCAGGAGGTGTGTTTTATCTTTATTCTGCCATTTGCACAACTTACCTGTGGTATTCTCCTTCAGAAATACGAAACAGATGCCAAAAAACTGGTGAGTGGTACTGTATTTTCCTGGTGTACTGATGTGTCTCCCTTCCAGGTATCTGACGGCATTTGGACTGGCAACACCGTCAAAGTGATTGGTAAGTTCTCTGGTGGTACATTGCACTAGCACGACAGCAGCAGCATCAGGCAGTAGGGGCAGGTACAAGCACAATTGCAGTGGATGGGTACAAGCGCAGGTGGTTTTTATTGGCATGTTTTGTATTGTATGCTATGTTGCAACGCATTGATTTCCGTATATTTGCATCAAAGCCAGCAAGATATCAAAGGAACACACAGTTATATTCAGATTGATGGAATTCTATTTAGTAGTCAATGTGTCAAAAAGCATATACCAGCACCGATGCACATCGTTTTCACAGCCATGGAAAGCGCAGATACCGATGCATGTCTATGCAATAAGGAGTGTCATAGCCACAGTATATCTGCGTGGCAGTGCATCGAAATGGCCATGTCTGATTTTCACTGGGCCTCAGCAATTATTGGATCCCTCAGTTTGATAATGCTGTCTTATCCTTCAGCACCTGCATCCTTGTTTCCAAACCTTTGTGAATTAGTATGGGATGTCAGTGGAGCTCACTTTGCCACAGAGTTTTTGTGCATGACTTTTGTGCCCTCCCTATGGGTCTTGACCTTGCAGTTTTCCTCAGCTTTCCTCTTGGTCCTTTCGTCTCTTGGAACCTTGTGTCCTCATCTCCAGAGCATGACCTTGAGATATCGTCTCACAATGGAAGACTCATCCAGTAAACTTTCACCTTTCATCGCACAACCTATTTCCCAGCTCCACAATCTCCATACTTTGATAGTATGGGACCTAGGAAACACAGGCATGGATCACATCATGCAGCTTCAAGCTCTGCAGTCACTGGACTTGGACCTAAGGACATCGTCAGCTGGGGAGAGGCAGTCTCATCTGCCATTCCCTGGCTTTTGTAACTTGCATTATTTATGCCTTACATTTGGCACATTTGAGCGAGCGATGGACTTCTTGAGTTCACTCCAAGTTATCAAAACAAAAGAAATCAAGCTCATCTTCGCATCCTGGATTGAGGAATCCTCCAAAAATGCATCTACATCACTATCCCAGTTCCTTGTCATCCTCCCAGAGATATGTGACAACAAGAAACTTAAATGCCTCAGCCTGGTTAGATCAAGGGTTATACACACAGAATTAGCCGTCTTCATGCCATTGCGTACATTTCACAATTTAGTTGTGTTACAGATTGAGAGGGGGTGTTCCACCTCTATTTCCAATGGGGAGCTGTGCCAGATGGTAGCAGCCTGGCCTATGCTTCAAGTACTCAAAATTAGCTGCTATATCGCAATCGATGCTACCACAGTACCAACGTTCTGTGGGCTGCTAGGTGTGCTTCGACTCTGCCCCTCTCTAACTTCGCTCGCTCTTGCCATTGATACCACAAAGCTGGAAGACATCGATTTCATGAGCCCCAGCGGTGAAAGCCTTAACATGCATCTCAATGACCTCACCCTGGGCAATTCATTGATAGCTTCCCCGCTAAACATAGCTCTCGTCCTCAGCAGTATCTTTCCCTGCCTCAAGCAGGTCGATCTTGATTGTTGGAACACAGCTCCAATGGATTTGTTATTATCAGCACACGACAAGAATTCAGCAATGGAGAAGTGGGCATCCATTAATAACCTTCTTGATGGTTTTAGCATAGTAAGAGAGCGTGTCGCAACTTCATGATGGCAGGTGGGTACAAGCACTGCAGTGATAGTAAATATTCCCGCTACCTTTAGGTAGTGGGTCTTTCTGATCAGGTTTTGATTATACACGGCATTGTGTTTTAGAAATTTATTGCCACAACTACAAGGCCTCAGAGTCTCAGACAGTTGTTCGAATTCACGGTGTAGCATACATGATTATTACAGCATCAGTGAAAACGATCAAATTTCACCGTCTTCACCTACACAATCTGAACCTCGTCGTCGTCAGAATCGACCTTCAACGTGTGCTTTTTGGCCCTGATGGACGCAATAGCGGGATTGATGGTGTATGTCTGAGACGTGCGCCCAAGGTTGACAGCTTTATCAATGCCAAACAACATAACTGCGATGCGGAAGGGACCGTACTGGCGATCAGCCAAACACGCACTGATCTCCCGATGTTTGACGGCTATATCCTCTGGAGAGAGCAACGTCCAATGCACCAAAGGCGGCCCACCTTTCCAAATTCTGTGCGATAGGGCACTTGCGAGGCCTAGTCGCACAAGAAGGAGTGGCCCGATCCCTTTCGCAATGTTCTTCGAATTCCAGATGGTGGGGAAGCTATTACCACTTTTCAAATGAATGCGCAAGGGGCTTGTTGGGGCGTACACTGCGATGATATAGGCGGGCACCATGGCGATGAACTGGCTTGGCAGTTTGCACCCTTTGCGACCGCGGCGGTGTGGCTTCCATGGGAGAGCGCGTATTGCCTTTGTGAGCATGACAGGATTGGTCACATTCCCTTGTGGTTTATCGCTGTCGGCGAAGAATAAATCAGGAAGAATCCGGCTGACATAGATACCGGCGATGAGTGCGATCTGATGCAGAGGTTTATTGATGTCGAAGTTTGCAAAAACCCACTCATAGATCATACTCACGCTAGGCTCGCTGCCAGCTGTCGGGCCTCTTGCGAGCTCGATGCTCTCAATCGCGAATTCGTCAGGGAGACGAGAGCGAAGGATGTAATCGGCCAATGACTGCAAGGTGATCAACTCAGCAGACCAAGCTGCCCTGGTATCTGCGACCTGGGCGCGTCGAGATGCATCGGCCGCAGCATTGCTCAACTGGGTATGACGACGCTCAATAGCTTGTGAGTCAATGGCCTTCCCTAGATTGACCCAGGAATCAAAGACAGGCTTCCGACGCCGTCTGCCACGCAGTCCTGCTGCACCATGCCAGGGGATATTGTTGATATGAAGATGATTGGCGGCGATGATGAATGCTTCCTGCAAGAACCTCTCCGAAGACCGTGTAGAATCCTGCGGGGCATATTTGCGCATATATGTTAGAGCGACGCGAAAGACAGGAGTTGAACCCCCATTGAAGATGAGAGGAGCGGCGATGGCGACAGGGTCGGTCCCTCGAGACATCTCACAAATGAGGCGAGCGAAGTCTTGGATGGAGAGTTTGTCCTTGGTTGGATTTGGCAATCCCTCGTGGTGGGCAGTGGATTTGGGAAGCACGCAGGACACTAAATGTTCGTATGCCTTATCAACATAACCAAGAGGATGAGCGGTCGCAAGCCATTTGCGAAGTCCTCTGCGCCGCTGCGATGCATGGAGTTCCCCATCGATGGCATCTTCTGCCTCCATGGCATTGCATGCAGTGGTGACAGCCCCCGCAACAAGTGTCTTGACATCAGCTATGTACACTTGAAGGGCGACCACTGCGATGATGGCTGCATGACGGACATTGCTAGTGTATGACTTGAAGGTATTGGGTGCCAGCTGATTGACCGAGAGCTGTATATGAAACTCTGCCTTATATGCCTAGGAGAGGAACTCGATTAACGACAGGACAGAGACGGAATGAGACGATGCATGCCTCAAAATGATCATTCCCATACGTCAATATTTGCGAGCGCTTGGATGCGATGGCCGGGACATTCATGTTGGTGAGGGTGGGCCACTCTGAAGGACTGATGGCGACGGGAACGCAGGGAGTGTGGGAAAATCGCACTGAGGGGGCAAAGGTCGGAAGACCTTGTTCCAAGAGACTCTTTACCAACCACAAAGGCCTCATGAGACTTGTAGCGATTACTTTTGAGTTTCCAGTATGAGCATACGCCAACGCGCGTTCGAGGACGGAGCATAATTCAACGACTTGAGGGGCAGGTTTACCACCTTTGGTGAGGACGGGCAGGAAATGTTCCCATATACGTTCGAGCAGGGACGTGATTGGATAGGTGGTCCATTGATAAACATGGGGAAATGCCTGCAAAGGAGGATGGTGAGACTTCATTCATATGATGTATAACGGCGGCGTACTTCAGCGGTCAACACAAACAGGTGTGGGCGAATGGCCTCGAAGATGGTGGGATGCGACCAGTAACTCGCCAAGGGCACAACCATGTCTCGATATATTGATCTTGGGCAGGACGCATTATGTCAGTCGAATCGAAGACCTAGACATGAACGACTCACAATCCATTCCGCTTCGCCAACTTCAAGGAGTCTAACTGGAAGATATATATGTTCTCCAGACGCAGCGCGCGGGGAACGTCATTTACATCGATTTTGTTATCGTAACGTTGGTGAGGCAAGAGCAGACTACACTCTCTAAGAACCATCTTATGCGCGGTCTGAGCGTTGCGTGTAGTGGCATAAGCACCCGAGAGGGCAGAAGTGATGCGACCTTGCTGAACATCGTGTAAGGCGGCGGACGGCCTGATGCGATGCGAGATCTCATTGTAGAACTGGCAACCGCTAGCCAAGAGTACAGGTGGCATGAGCCCATTCGGAAAATTGTTCAAATAGTCAAGGTCGTCGTCCAAAGCGTGGTCATCAAATTCATCTCGACCAACTGTGTCGCGAGAAACGGCTTTACGAATTTTTGATATGAATGGAGCGAAATGGGGTAAAACTGCGTTGCATTGGATATGACCATACTTCCTCAGGAAAGCTTGAGGATAGACATTGACGCGAGGAATATGGAGATTGTCGTCGTCCATGATGATATCAGGATCGATGGCCATGTCATCATCGGTAATCATTGCAGAAAACAACTCTGCGATAGTCTCGAGGTTGATGAGAACACCGCAAGATTTCACGTTATGGCTGCAGAGACCATCAAAGCGGGGAATTCGACGACCATCTTCGTCGTAGATGTTATTTTCTTTCTTTGTGTCAGGATCTCGGGCGGGGAAGTCCTCCAAATTCACTGGCTGCCGGAAGGATGAGTTTGGGGAATCGTATATGATGTCGTGGGCTCCCAACAACTCATCCTCAGGTATTTGCACCCACCGAGACACTGGTTTACAACTGGTGACAATGGCGGTAGTTATCACATCAGAGAGCGGGTCACGGTAAAGGACGAACGGTACGCACGTGAGATCCGTGGCAATAGCCATGGACATATAGCGAATGTCGGAATATTCGCGCTCCGCTTGCCAGTTTGCCTCTTCGACGCCTCGAGCAGCCGGGTCCAAGCTCGCGATTGCTTGGTTTTGCCCATACCTGCACGCTATGGATAAAGGTGCACGGGATTGGAGCCAACCGTCATCCTTCCAAGATGCTGGCGCTTTGTGAACCCATTCATCCCAATCTGATACGATGTATCTGTGGAGGGCCTTCAAGTCCTCCAAACGGAGGTTGATGGTCGGCTGATCGCTGAAAGGGAAACCTTCGATTAGCCACTGAAACTCGTGGCAGGGGTGTGTCGCACTGGAGACTTACTACAGGTTCGTGACCTCCTTGACTCTCCACTGCGTAAAATCCTCGTCGGTTCCGTATGTATGCATGATATGGATAGGTAGGGATGATATTTGTGCCAATGCCGAGGCAATAAACATCACAGCCATGCGATAATGACGGGATGACAGACGGGTCTCGCCGTGTTTCTTTTCGTTTAGCAAAGGAGCCTCGTCTGCAAGAGAAATATCCTCGATGTGTGTCAAGGGACAAAATCCCAACCACAGCTCGCAAGAAACGCCGGTCCCGATTGCCATCATCGAGCCTGTAGGGTCAAAACCGAGCTTTCCAAACTTGGGTTTGAACTGTTTGTTATTGAGGCGGAAATCCAGAGAGACGGAAAAGGTGTGGTCGGAAATAGTGTTCGGGAGGAATGCATGCAAGCCAATTGCACCTGATACGACAAGGACAAAGTCAAGGAAATGTTTCGACGCGTCCCACAACAAACTGGGGTGATCGGGGGCAAATGTGAGATGAGGATCAACGCGGAGATTAGTGCGACGCAGTAATAAATTTGCTGCAGTTGCCTTGTCCTTCTTGCGAAAGACTTTCTCGAAGGCTGACAGAGGTAAGGTACAAACAGGAGTCTGTTCCCAAGTACGGCCGGTTGTCTCCTGGCCTTCGCGGGCAATAAACATGCTGTGAAACACCTCTTCCTGCGGTACAGGATCGTCGGATTCCACAGCCGAAGGGACATCATCAAGATTAAACGGACTGCTTTCGTCTATCGCGTTAGACAGCAATCCGTCATCTAGAATATCAGAATCGTCGTCGGTGCTACTGATGCGCCGGAGCGCTCGGACATCAGAAAATGCCATGTATACTCGCACTCAACAGCTTACCTGTCAGCAGCGTATTGAGCCATAAGGACGAGCGTTGAGGCTGAGTGGGAGGTGACCTGAGAGACAGACCGAGTGGTGGTACCGTTTATAAGGACAGTCGAAGGTAACGGACTCCGCATCCGGTTCAGCGGGTACGAACACAATACAACATGCGATTAGGTTAGCGATGAGGGCAGATGACACAAAGTGAGGTCAACAGCTGATCAGACGTCGAGGACATTCAATGTCTCATAGAATAAGGGAATACCCAGAGCATTATCAGATGTGTCTTTCTGGATAATCCCCGGCCTTCTTCTACTAGTAGTAGTGACACTACACATGTTTATTAATGCGTTGATAGCGACGAATTAATGTATCAGCAAAAACCACAGTACGCGGCTGATCCGGGCGTCGATGAATCGGTGAGTCATTCGCCTCCGAATGTGGAACAAATTCTAGGCATTTTACGTCTTGAATCAGAGGACGCAGACTCGGACGTTGAACGTTGAGTGAGAAGAGGTAAAAGACCTATCTCACCAAGTCTCGCTAGACATAGACCGTTGACTCCACTAAAGCCTGAGGTGGCAACGAGAATAGCGCGAGGCATAATATTAGTCATGCCGTGTGCATCAGCCACAGGTGGCAAAGGGACCTAAACAAACAGGTTTCGGGCAGGCCGGAAGGACAAGACTGCTGAACCTCGAGTATGCTCGTCCAATTATCCTGCCCGTTAAGAGATGATTTCAGTGAGGTGAGGAGGCGTCCCTAGTACTACCTAAGTAGTAGTAGTAGTAGTAAGTACCAAGTAGCGATTTCTTCGGGACCGCGTTTATGTCATTCGTCACGTGATTTTACCTCGACTGCCAGGACTTATCACTTTCAACATTCTCACTGCTCTTGTCGTTTAGCGCGGTTGTGGCCTTTGACTTGGGGCCAACATCATGGGGTAGGACTAGGTGTTCTTGGTGAGTCTTTTGTTTTCTCACTATTTCCGCCCTCCAGGGAGGCTGATGCGCTTCCCTAATTTCAGGATAACCCGTTTATTGTTGGATTGGCCCTTAGGTGACGCTGCACCAGCAGAGCTTGGCATGTCCATGGTGAGTGCTGTCGAGTCCGATTCTGGCTGATCTCCGGGAGTCACAGGCACATCTTCTGTCAGGCTCTGAGACGTTGGACCCTCGTGGCCCCCTAAGGTACATGGCGCTTCGTTTGGCGTTGCCTGACGAGTGCCACATCCATCCGTCCCCATGGTATAACCTGCAGCCTCTGATGCACCAGTCCTGTGGGTAGGTGATTGTTGACCAATTACACGCCGAGTGGCGATCTGCGCAGAACGTCGTGCTTTAGTCGCGCCCAGGAACAAAGGAGTCCCGCTATACACGGGAGCTGATACGAAATTCAGCAGGAGGCCGTGAGGTGAGTCGTCATCCTCTGCACTTACATATTCACTCGCGGATCTAACTGTGCGTTTAGGCTCGTTACTATACGTCCGCGAGGGTGTTCTCAGCACCAGGTACGTAGATCACGTCGAAGTCGAATTCACTCAAGGCTTCGAGCCATCTGACCTGTCTGGGCGACAGCTTCGTGTGGGAGGATATCGATATCTACTCAAGACCATGGTTAGTCAAGATAGCTGGACCGTAAATCGAAAACAGTTTCCTCGTCCCACTTTTGTGTTGGGACAAGACCCATGTGGCAATCACTAAGCCTGCGAATGTGAGGAGTGGCTCGACGTTCTCCTAAGCCCGAGCAACTCAAAAAAGATATTGGCATCGAGATTTGGCACTCATCGAAGGTAAAGCAGCCTTGCGAATACTCCGGTCGTCGAGTTAATCTTCGCCTTGCGGCTTCCAACCTTATACAATGATATTCCTAATCACCCCAGTACACCTCGGACGAACCGCGGCGCGCCACATAATCGAAACTCATTCGATATAAACAACAATCGTTCCTGGCACTCTCCTCTACTGACCCACAGGTTGGCATGCTGCTGGATGAGATGGTTCACGATATTGTGACGATTGGCATTCTGGATGAGGCTGCTTGGTGCATGTGGTTTGAAGGAAGAGATTCTGATACAGTTGGTACTGGGCGCGTCATAAATTTGTCTACCATTACTGAATTGGGCTCCCTAGCAGAGGGTCTTGGCCTTGCGTAATCTCAAGTGTTCGTGAATCACACTCCAGAAGATATCATTGACATCTCTATTCAGGATGCCTTTTCAGTACTCCTGGACTCATTGTGGCCCAGCGAACATGATCACAGCTCGAGTTCAACTACAGGAACTCGAATACACAGATGCCATCAAAGCCGTTGAAAGCGGGCGAGCCTGGAAATGTGAGGTTCTGGGTCGCCTCGGGTGGTCTCCACTTTTCCCAGATGCCAAAGCTATCGCAGCATGCATATATCAAGTTGACAGCAAGGTTGGCAGCACACGTACCTGTTACAGTCTCGACTTGGAAAGCCTGAACGGGATGTGGAATACATGATTCGTGGAATCACTCTCCTAGAAGCAGCACGCGAGGAACCAGAGGATCCCATAGTCGAACAGCAGTCTGTCATCGCACACACTAACATCGCAAGGCTCCGTCTCGGATTGCAGGACCATGAAAGATCGTTGGCAGCTCTAGGTCTACTTCTCAAAGATGCAGAGCGGGTGTCACAGATTATACATGTGCAAGCTCAATACGGGTCTGGGTCAGCGTCTTTCAGGATGGACGATCTTCAAGCCGCTACCACGTCATTCCAAGCCGCTTTGGAAAGCACCGCTGACGATTGCGTTCTTCGAGGACAGGTTACTGTTCTGCTGGCACAGACTATGTGAGCGATTAGGACGCCCGAGTTCCATGAGTCTGTGAAAGGCTTGTTACTTGATTGGTCAGCATGAAACGTCGATGATTTCCAGTCAACTAATCTATCGTTTTGCTATCATCTCCGATCCAGAAAATTTGACGGCGATCGATACTCCAGCTGGAATAGGGATGCTCGCCGAAGACAATTGTCTAGTTGATGCCGCACTTTCCGAAATTCTGGCACTCCCCGTCGAACAGAGACACGATCTCGATCCTCGAAGAGACGTGACGTATTTCTCGCGCAACATTATCTTGGGCTGGTACGAGTCCAGCTCTTAGATGGACAATATATCTGTATCGACGCCCTCCTTGTCCTCCGTCCGAGTCGCCTTATCATCAGACACCATCATAAAGTTACGATACGCTCCCTTACAATGTGACGAGTAAGAGTCTGTAGGACAATGAAGACGATAACACATGTAGAAAAAGCTCCGTACCTTTCTCCGGCACAGTTTGCGGGGTCCAATCTTGACCAGTGGAATGGTAACATGTTACATGGTTTTGAGCCGAAATGGTAACTGTCAGGTCACTCACATTCGCGGCGATTACTAATTGGAAGGTCGCGGCAGTAGTCACAGCAGGCCTAGAACGTTGTGCAAAGTCGATACTTTGCAAGCGAGTTGAGTCAAACACGGGCACCTCAGGGGGGCGCCAGTCTACCGTGCATTGACATGAGGTAGCACCAGGTGATTGAGTTTCGAAGTTCCAGTTATAATGACTTAGCAAGCACGTTCAAAACCGTTGAACCCTTACTTCACTTCGCACTACACAACGCTGAAAAGTTTCAATCCAGACATGGTAAGTACTACTGATAATACCTGAAACAAACTAATTTCTTTTTGGGGATCTCGTTAAAAGCCTGAGTATCGTTTTACGGCAAGTCCGAGTCGTTGATTGATATTTATAAGTCTTTGCCAACTAATATGGCACACACCAGCTACATGCGTTGTTGCTCACATCGAACATCCAGCATCCCAGAGAGATCAACGTAAAGCCACAATGGGTGAAGCGCAATAGCCGCTACGAATCTTACAATACTCCTTGGGAGAATTGCTACCTTTTGCATGCCGTACATGCCAAACCTGACTTCCTCACAGACGACATCATCAATAAAACGAGGTCCTTCGTTGTCCAGAAAGGTTACTATCAGGATCCGCTCTTACTGCTTATGGAGGTGGTATCTGCTGCCAACGCAAACCTAAATGATAACGACTTGGAGGCGATAGTGTCCCTTATGCACGAAAATGGAACGCGATGGTTCAAGGCGCGACTGGCGGACGGCTTGCCATCTCGTTTAACACAGGTGGACCTTCAGGAAGACATGCTAGCAGCCAGGCGTAGGGTGCGAGATGAGCTTAAGGATCGAGGGGTCCTTGAAGACAAGGCTGGGAACGTGGCGGAGGCATGGTGTAGTAAAGTACGTGCATATCATTTCACAGACCATCCGTTAATGCCATAGAACAGCTTGAAACTGTGGAGTTGCAAGGGCGCGTGATAGGTCATTGGTCAACCTCTGTGTGCCCTTGGTTGTACGATACAAAAAAGGACACTAAAAAAGAGATGGCTGTCATAGATTTTTTGAACAAAGTTAGTAGCATTCTGCGGAGCGACTTTCCTAGATGTCATTCATTTACTTAATGTTGTGCAGGGTGGTGTCTGGGTTGACGAAATAATTGGCCAAGAGCAGGGCAGGTCGATCACGTCGAAACTTCGTAAACGTTTATGGATTCACGCAGGCAACACTTCCATTCGTCCTAAAACTGGTGCGAACATGACTGCTCGCATCGGGCCCGGTTTTCGCAAGCCTGACGCCGTATTGATGGATATCACGGCGCCTATCGACCGCATTGAATGGACGGATGTTATATCCGCACTAGAGTTCAAGCATCGCAACACCACGACTCTCATGGAGCAAGCATCGGAATACATGTCAGAGATCGCACGACTCGTTCTGACGAATCAGATTAATCGGCGGTACTTCGTGGGTCTGCTCTTGTTGGGTGCTGATCTCTTCGTGTGCACTTACACTCGGGGAGGATCGTCTGTAACTTTTCCTATCGATATTTATCGCGAAGTTAACAAATTCCTTAATTGCATGACATGGTTCAAGCACGCCGACTTGGAGTTCCTGGGCTACGACAAGTCTATTGTAAGACACGACTTCGGCTACAAGATGACCTTGAAGAAGGAAGATGAATTAGCGTACGGGGCGGTCGCCGATATCGTATCGGTGATCTACAATAGCAATTCCGCCATTGGCCGATCTACCAGGATCCTGGGCCTTACCTACCAACCCTCCTCTGCTGAGACGGACCACTTGATCGTGAAGGATGTGTGGCAGGACATGCGGCTCGCCTCAGATGGAGAAATCCACAAGTTGCTGGAGGATAGTGGACGTATCGATAAGACCCGCAAGCTCTTGGGTAGTAAGTCCAACCTAGATTTATGACGCGCATGTTGACCTGATTGAGATAACAGGCGAGTTCCCTGAACGTATTTCTAAAACGCCCGAAGAGTTCAATCTTACGGAAGAAATGTTCCAATCCTGGGGCATTCGGCCAGGATGGGATGATTTGAACGCTGAAGGGATGCACCCCTGGCATCTTCCCATACGGGACGATCGATTCTCTGTGAAAGCTCTCGAGATGACGGATGGCAATAACGGCCGCCAAGCTATAGACAGCGTGCCCGTCATTCTACAGAACATGACTACAACCAGCGACCCCTTAATCCACCGTCGCACAGTATTTCGCACCCCGGCCGTCAAATGCACTTGGTTTTCTTGTCGCCGTGAGTTTTTACATGGTGTATTGGATTCACTACTAGGTGAGCATGTAATCTCTACCGAGCCTCCTATCTTGTCTCATACATTATTTGCAGGTCATCTCGAAGCGTGCAGGCGTGGGATTATGCACCGCGACACTAGCGAAGGTAACGTTTGGTTCTGGGTTCCTCAATCCAGCGCCCAATACACGGTTCCGGAATGGTATTTATCACCTGAGAGCGGTAAACCGTACTTGGAAGCCCTGGAAGCCCCTGCACCCTGGTTTCCCAAGCGTCCTGGGATGACCGGTGATTTCGGCCTTGGCCTGAACATGTTGGATGAAGCTGGTGCAGCCAACGCTGTAACTACTACTGTATGTCCTTGTGTCATTTCTGTCTCTCCGTGCTAATTTTTTACAGGGAACTTTTCCTTTTGGCACCACCGCCAACTCAGGAGAGGCTCCCCACTTCACGCATGACCTAGAGTCGTATATCTTTCTTATATGGATTGTCGGCGTCAATTTCAAGGGTCCGTACTATCAGTTCGAACACTGGCCTCCTCCTCCAGAGGCGAAACCTATTCCCAGCAATTCTATGGCCAACGACGAAGCCGCCGACCTTATCTCCAGCAAATTACAGCTACCCGTCCCCATTAGCTGGCCTGGCAAAGGGCAGCCTCCTTCCTCGGTTAAGCGGTTTTCCGCGACGCAACGCGCCGCTGCCAAGAGCGGCGACGAGGAGTTTGAGAGGCGGAATGCGATAGTCCCGGAATGGGCTAAAATGGGTTCCCTATACCCGCGGACCGAGTTTGTGCTGCACCAGAAAAAGGCCCTCAACTACGAGACATTCGACCTATCGCTTCATCCATATTGGAAGGTCGGCAAACTCAGGGATGGATGGCTCAAGTTATTCAACTTGCTGTGGCCAACCCAAGAGGACCCTCGCAAGATCAACGCGAAACGCTCATCCCTGACCCACGCGGCGCTCGTTGGTGTGATAAGAGAAATGATACTCTTGATACCCCCTGCTGATGATGGAGCGCCCAGCAGGGCGGTAGTCGAGGACGCTCGACTTAGGTATCGATCATCCATAAAGCGCTTGGTAGATGCGGGGAGATTCACGTTTGTTCCCAATGTCTCTCCCTATTCTTATAATTCTGGAACTTCGATCCCGCCACCATCTCACGAGCCTTCTCGTGCTACCGCGCCATCTTCATATTCGTTCGTCCAGGGTAATCCTGGGAAGATGCGTCGTACATCTCAGAAGCGCCTTTCGGACACATCTACTGGCGGACTTTTGCCACAAGCAGGCACTTCTTCATGTCAGCCTGCAGAGATTTCTGTCGGCAATGCAGGTAGTCGTGTCGTGTCTAATAGTTCTGGCAAACGTCGGAAAGTCTGATTCCAAATCAACTTTTCTCAATTATTTTATCGAATATTTTCATAGAACTTATTCGATCGCATCAGTATATGTTTGTTCTTTTACGTGTTCCATTATTGTAGCAGTATCTATGATGTGTTATTGTCCAGAACAGTAGCCTATACGATACATTGTTGTCTGAAAGAGTGAGCCTCAGTGAGAAGTTTTCAGAAAAACCCGGGTGGTGAATTCACTGATTTTGAAGTTCATCACTTTCAACTAATTTTGTTCGGCCGTGACATCCCATTGTATTGGTCTATCAAGCGCACGTGATAATATCGTTCGTCGACCATATTCCTTCCATGCGGCACTTTGAAAGCTTGATATGCCAATATAATGGTATATCAGGTGACAGACGAATGCCAGGATTTCCATGACTCTCTGTCTCATTGGAACTCTTCGTTTTTGTTGTCCGCTACTGACACCGAAACTCACAGCCTTGTTACCCTGCAACCCTGCTCCATTCCTCATTCCTAACTTTAATAATGCAATTCTTCCTATATTCTGAAACAGTTCGGCGGATCACAAAGTAAATGAGGTACGTGTCGGCAGAGCGAGTCAAGACCTCGATCACCACTCACCAAGTATATTTTTCTAGTCATTTATAAGAAATAGCTTGTTACCTGTTATCTGACTCGTCGGATCTTCTTTGCACTCTTCTTCGCAAAGCGGCACTTGGCGGTGAACTTAAATTTGTATGTCACGTCTCGGCGTGCCCTTCTTCTCACCGTTCCGAATCGTTCACGTAGCTAGGCTCTGCGCGTATCTCACTCTCCATCATGCCTGCAAATACAAATGGTGTCGATAGTGCTTATACTTCAGCAGCTAAAACTGATCTGCAAGGACTTGAACTGGTGGAACATCACTTTGGTCCCTTACTTCGCCCAACTCGTGCCACAAAGAGCCCATGGACCAATTATTCTATCAATCGCCTCCAAACCAATCAAAAGTACCGCACAGTCGTCTCAGTGCCACGCAAGGGCTCTGAGGATGACTCTGAGGAGGATGAATACGACAAGTAGTCCGACGACCCTTGGCTTTTCAACAGCATCAAAGCTTGCGTTTCTCAGATTGAGGATGAAATGGACTTTGAGCACGGCACACTCCAGAAATGCATCACCATTTTATGCAACGAGACGGTGCTCGATGACGAGGAAGTGCGTACAACTTCTTGACACTATTTCATTACTGACATTCATGGTGATCGATAGCCGCGCTCCACTGATCATATAGTTAGGATCTACTCACCCACTGCGCCAATGTACATTGATGTGCATTTTAAATACTACTGCCGCTCGCGTCGGTCGGAGGTCGAGTGGCAATATACCCTCGGGTACAAGATCCAACGCCGCCCATCTGCGACGGCAAGCAATGCACTTGCTATCAAAAATGAGATCAAGATGGGCGGGCCTGAGGATGTGTACGCGTACAATGGGTGGCAAACCTTAGGCTGGGGTTGCTATGATGACTCCTATAAAAACTATGGCGAACGTGGGCGACGCGTTGAGTTTGGGAGGGTGGAGTTGCACGAGGAAGGAGTTATGGACGTTCACGAGGTGTTGTTTGGAGAATTAGAGAAACCTGCTGAAACCGACTCAGAGGCCATGCTCGCATATCACCGATCACTCGTAAGGGGCATACGGCTGCTTCTCGCTGCTGTCGGTATTTCATATGATGTTGCGTGTACTGATGACGAAAGTGATCACAGGCCATATGAGTTGATGCTTGAGGGGCTGAGTGACAAATGGGTCGCGCGGGGGATACGAAATGCGTGTGGCCTCCGACTCGCCAGAGATGCAGAAGAAGAACGGAAAGGTGCCATGGAACGACAGGAAGCAAAGGGTTACGACGATGACTCCGAGGACGACAAATGACTCTGGCTACGGTTTCTGACGATCAGATGATCATGGATGGGTAGGAGGTGAGTGCGAGGAGATCGAGGATTCTATTACTATTAGCCTAATCTGGAAAGCAGTTGCATTCCAAAGAATAACGAGTGTGCTACATATAATATTGATACGTTTGAAGCTAGCACCTGTCATAGTTCAAGTTCATCGACATCCGGCAGCGGTGGGATGGAGTCATGGACCCAGCCGCAATCACATACGATGACAAGCAAAGGTATGAATCAATAAAGTCCATATCTACGATAATTGCTACGGAAAAGTAAGTGAACAACAGATCATTCGAACACCCATCAATATCACAGACGTCCAATACAAACTAGAGCTTAGCGTATGGTATCAAAAAAGGACAGTTCGAAACATAGCCGAGGAAGGCCACATCGATGAGAGTTACAATATTCAGAGGTGCGCGAGAAATAATCGTAGGGGACGAGGAAATCGTAGACTAATGACGACCATCCTGGTATTCAGGGGACAGACAACCAATGAAAAGCCAGAAGCGAGTCCAGAGTCCAGCCTGTCTGAGTATTACATCAGGGTGCGAGGGTATTGAGCTTGCAGCTGCGGTATTAGCGCCAACAGCAGGTGTAGTAGATGAATTGGAGACAGCTAGCTGTGGTTGCAAAGATGGCTGGTTCCGAGTTGCTGTGCCGGATTGCTGCGTGGTATTGGGCTTGGGAGGCTGTGAGCTGCTTGCAGTAGGGTTCTTCCAGGGTAATAATAGTCTTTTCCGTTTCTCCCTTGCACAAGCATTTCTCTACGTGACATTAGGTGGAATTAAGCTGAGAAGAGAAATAACATACACGTTTGCCCTGCGCATACGGGACCTCGACAACTGTGGGGCTGCGCCCTTGCAACTCGGTGCCTTCACTACTTTGTCCGTGCGGTCTCAAAAGGTTTCGAGCCCAGTCGAGTGGAGAAGACGGTGATGTATCATGGGTATCAGAGGGGCTGCGGTGGAACAAGCGGGCAAGAAACGTGCCGCCTGGATGTGCTGAGGAGTGGGGACGGCTTTGTGCTGAGGACTGAAACCGCGGAGGTCAGGATAATACTCAAAGTGATAATGATGGCGTACATGAGAACGATCTGGTGGGACTCCAGCAAAGAAACCTTGGTGGGTGAGTGTTCAACGATAGCAAGATAGGCAGGCTTAGACATGGCGATCATCAGCGAAGGGAAATGAGGGATAGTAAAGCTTCGGAGATGTATATCCATGTCCAGTGGCCTCGAGCTACAAAATATCATAATGTTAATTACGAACTGCAAAATATACCTAGGTGAGAAGTTGAAAATTGCATGCGATGGTGCGCCCATCCATTCGCCGAGATCTCTAGCATTAGCGAGCGAGACACCACAGGCAACGATGCGAGTCTCAATCTCCGTTTGCGCAGAAACATAGCGGGTCCTGGATATCACCACTTCGTACGTCGGACCGACTTCTCCACCTACAAGTTGGATTTCATCAGCAATCAATAGACCGATGTTCTGCACATTCTTGCGCTGTCGCCATCTTCGAGACAGGATATCCCACTAGAAATATCGGTTTAGTGAGAGATTTGCAACGTGATTAATGGAACTAACCTGGGATGGGGTGCAAACAACAACATCCCTCTTCTCAAGAAGTCGAAGGTCAGCGCTGGTGTCTCCTGTGAGGCTTACTATCTCTTTGCCGCCTTGCAGGCCGCTGAACTTCCGACGCCACTCTGCAACACGTTGGTCGACCATCTCCTGGTAGGGCTCAATACAGACCGCCCTGGGCTGCTCGCGTTTGCTCCAAAGGCGAAGTAGAGTAAATTCGGCACATATAGTCTTGCCGCTTCCAGTAGGCGCGCCAATAAAGACATTCTCATCAGATGTGTAGAGAGCCTGGAAGACCTGCGTCTGGATCTTGTTGAATGTTTGAATGATGGACGAGTAGATGCTCTCGAATTCCTTGTTGTGTAAGGCAGATAGCGGGAGTGGCTGGAGTTCGAGAAGAGGAGTGGGAGGTGGGAACTTTTCTGGGAGAATCAAGTGTTTGAAGGATATGGGTAGTCGGGTCTCGGCGTGCAACCATCGGTCGGAGACAACAGATATGTAGTAGTTTGGGGGGACGGGCTCAAACATCGGAACCGTGATGGTGACGTTATGTTCATCCTCTGCATAACGTTGGCGCAAGACAAATGAGTCATGGAAAAGAATAATCTCTCCATCGACGTCTTCAACCATGATGAGGAATGTCTCAGCTGTTCCGTGGGTCTTCTCGTCCCATCGGAAGTCAGGAACAATAGACAAGTCGATACGAAGAAGGGAGCGGGTGATGGGCTGCACTTGCGCTTGCAGCTGCAGCTTGGGGAAGCTGTGCATCAAGCGATGCACGAGCCTTCCGGCGTTTGGAATGCCAATAAGCTCACCAATTTCAGGAGGGTCGAGATCAAAGTAGCGATACCATGGCTGATGAAGAATATCTTAGCACGTGCCTTGCTTGAATTGGTGTAAACTTACGAATTGTTTGCCCTCCGCTCTTCGGATGGCCTCCTGTGGAACACCCTTGAACTGGCGAAGCGGTGTCATGGAGCCCCACCTGAAGACCAAACAATCAGTTGATAATTAACGACTGTATCAAAAGCCACCAACATTCGTCGCTCAACCATCTTACATAGGTCGAGACATGCACGCGCTGGTACTGCCCATCCTCGCTTCAGGCAAATCTCAAACATAGCACGAAGAATACTGTAAGATGTGTGAGCTTAGGTAAACTAACTTAAAACAGCACATACCGGCCGGCAGATTGCTGAACAAAGACCATATCGGCCACGAGAGCAAAACCTAATTATCCGATCAGCACAATATGGTAGACGGTTGAGTTGTCACCTGCCGTCAAGTTTAAGCTGCGATATATATGCTTGTAGAAGGACGTTGATCTTCGCTGCGGGTTCATCGACGCCTTCCTTCACTGAAATAGGCACACGTTCTAACAATTTACCAAGCTCAAGCTTCCCCTCTTGACGTACCTACAAAAATGAATATGAATGTTGAGACTCGCATTAAGGACAAAAAATGTGACATACCGGCAGAAGTTTGAACTCGTTCGAGAGCGCAAACACCCGGAACAATTCCAATGTCGACATGGTTGGTCTCAGATGCTGGTTGTATGTAGCCATCGAGTTGTACGTAACATAGTAGTGAGACGCAATGCGACCAAGCTCGGTGCTCTGGAAACGACCAGATGCACGTTCGTACTTGATGAGATGACATTTCTCCAGCAGAACAGCGACAGAATGGGCAATGTCAGCGCGTTTCTGGATAAGACCATTGTCGTCCTCCTGGTAATCGACGCCAACACAATAGAGTCCTGGGGACTTCAGCATGCGAACATAGCTGTGGGAAACGTCAGTACTTTTACTGCTGTGAGAAAAAGTGAGCTTACAGATAAGTGTACCCCAACCACTGGACGGCCTCGTCACGGTTACGAACAGTTCCAAGAACAATCTCTGCGTTCAAGTTGTCTGCAAGCTTCGACACGAACTGAGACTCGATCGGCAGCTGGTGGTTCAGCAAGCTGAGGTAGTACTGCAGCTCGGAGTGGTTCGTGATGATGACACCCTCACCATACGTATCATATTGCGGGCGACCAGCGCGACCGAGCATCTGCAACACATCCTGGGAGGAGAGTTCAACCCAGCGGCCTTTCTCGGGGTTATATATCTGCGTGCCCTTGATAATGACGGTGTGCCGGGAGGTTGACACCCCATGCGAGCGTTACCGTGCAGACAAGCACCTGGACTGCACCATCTGCGAAAAGCTCCTCGGCAAGATTCCTGTCCTCTCTAGTCATACTGGCGTGGTGAATAGCGAACCCAAACGGCAAGAGATCGCGCAGATTGCCATCTTTGACATTGCCTGCTTCCTCTGTGAGGATCTCACGCGTCGCTGAGTCGGGGCGAACGAACTGCGTTATCGTCTCCTTCTCCATGGCCATGTCGCGGATGAACTTGGCGGTCTTGGCGGTCTCCTTGCGAGAGTGCACGAAGACAAGGGTCTGATTCTTGCCCGCTTGGTCAAATACCTTCTCATAGCAAACCTCATTCATGACCTGGAAACGCTTGATAGCCTTCTTCTCTGTGACACCAATGAACTGCTGCTGAAGCGCACATGGACGGTACGAGGCATCGAAATAGAATAGGCCTCTCGATTCGTCCACGCGGAGGAATGTCGTAACGTCTTGGTAGATTGGAAGCGTAGCTGAGAGACCAACCAGGCGAACGTACTCTCCTGTTTGCTCCATCCTCCGTATCGTGCGTGCCACAACACTCTCAAGCACGGGTCCACGCTCGTCATGCAGCAGGTGAATTTCATCAATAATCATGAGCCGAACGAGGTTTGTATAACTTGTGTCGGTACTCTTGCGCGTGATGACATCCCACTTCTCAGGTGTGGTGACAATGATTTGTGTCTCCGAGATCTGCTGTTTCGTCATTTGAGAGTCTCCCGTGAGCTCGCCAACCTTGATCCCGAAAACGTTCAGCCGCGCGTTGAAGTTTCCAACCATTTCTTGGACAAGAGCCTTCATGGGCGCGATATAGACAATTTTGAAATCGTCGAGGGCAAATTCACCTGTAGCCTCGTCACGATATTTTGACAACTCATTAAGAATGGTGAGCATGGCGACGTTGGTCTGCAATGGTCGACTTAGTGTCTGAAAGATGAAAAATAACAGAACACTACTAACCTTACCAGCGCCAGTAGGCGCACAGAGTAAGACGGGCTCATCCGTCCCGAAGGCAATTGGGTAAAGCTTGCTCTGAACTCGATTGAGCTTAGGCACGCCGCCTTGCTTTTTCTGGGGGGCAGGGACATGAATCTCCTCATATCCCTTGCGTGCCCGCTTGAATGAGCCCTCAGGAAGCTTGCACTTCTTGTTGGACATCAGATGCCCTCCCTGACTGAATGCCATGCTCTCTAGGTCGACCGTGCGCTTTGGTTGCACTGTAGAGCCTGGTGCAAGGGTTGCTGTCTTTGGTACCGCTAACTTCTTCTCGTCTACATCCATGCCATCATCCTGCACCTTCTCGGCCTGGCGGTCTCCAGCAAGTTCTCGCAAGATCCAACCAACACCCTTCTCTCGCATAGCAACTTCGACATTGATCCGCTCGTCTGCGTCGCTCCGCATGAGCTTCGTGCACCATACAACCACATCCCGGTTTTTAAGGAACTTGGTGATCACGTACTGGTTCTCGCAATCGCGCAGGCCTAATTCCGAGTCGAGGATAGTGAGGACAGACGCTGCCTTGTCCGCTGCAGTAACTGGATCCGGGTAAACTTCCGATATCTGGCGTTGCACCCAGAAACCATCGATCACGTGCGGTGAGACGATGTCTTTATCTGCTTTGGCCTTTCCAGTTCCACGGGTTGACGAACCACCGATAACAAGTTCTGAACCCCGTTGGCGAGGTATATCTGGCGATGACCTGTGTCAGACTATTGCAGACGATTGTGATATTCCATAGGTGCCCACTGTAACATACGGGGGACCCAGTGTCGACCCCGAGGATCCTTCGCCCTTGTCCGCTAAAATCACAGAATCAAACGTCATCCTTGAGTTCTTGGCGGACCTCTATCCAGACTCTGGGCTCCTGCCGAAGGATCTTGTTTCACGTGCCAAAGTCCGTTTCTTCATTGATGCGAGCACTAAACACGTCGAGAGCCCGCTTCACGACTTCCTCCGAGGGGACGGGTCATATGAGAATGTCTTGAAGGGCATTGAATTTGTTCAGGGACTTCTCGAGGAGAGTGGGGATTTCGCAGTTGGAGATCATTACACCATTGCAGATGCCTGCATCTCTCCGCTCCTCACAAGGCTCAAGATCATCACCGAGACTGACCTAGGTAGAGTACCCGCACTCGCACCTTTTCCGAAGAAGTTGACCCTGATTAATGGAACTAGGCCGATTTCATGTCGGTTTGGGTTTTAAGCTGGGCGAGGAGCTAAAGGGACCTAAATTCAGTAAATTCACGAAATACGTCGACCAAATACTGGAGCGCCCGAGCTTGAAGCGAATCGATGATGAAGTACGTATTTTCCCACTACCCTGGTAGTAGGTCAAAATGACTTATTGCTATACTGTGTTCAGGAGGGTGTGGTCACATACTTCAGGGCGTTTTTCGTGCGCGCGCAGTGAGCGTATCTACAATATATAAGTACGAGATACCGCCAGAGTTAGCTTCCACTACGTCATGCTCTGTTATTGCAGAAACGCGCGCATGCGCGTAATTGTTCTGCATCGTCGATTCGTTGAAGTTCAACTCATTCATACCTTCGAAAGCCACTGCATCCCCCGGATCAACTTTGCCTTCCAGCCAAGCCGTTCATCGTGGACGGTAAATCGAAGAAAGTTTCCTTTGCGACCCGCGTATGCAACTGCATTTAATGGTTGTCAAAGGACTGACGCTGGCATGAACCGTGCTCGACCTTCGAACGGATCCCCTTACTCACGGTCAATTGTACAGTGTTGCCGAGGGTGAGAACGCGAAGAGACACTGTCTATTTGCTCAAGCGAACGAAGGACAAGACTGTGCTAATATTGTATTTCCCTGGATTGGCACTGTAGTATTAATACCGCACATCGTCGAAAAGTCCACCGAAGGGGTGTTCTTGTATAACATAAACAGACTGCTGTCTGCAAGTAAAACAAGGAGCAAAGTAGAAAGTGGGAAGTGAAAACTACTGGCGATGTCTAGCGTGATTGAGGCTTGTTGCATACTTCCACATATTTTCCATCAATGTTATCCTGATGTTGACGATGTATGTGACCAGCCAGAGCGCAGTGACGATGTGACAGGAGTCATGTTTTGAGAGGAAAAGCCTGTTATCAACATCGCTGGGGGTGAAATACATGAGGGACCAGTGAGCCTCAAATGATGGAACAACTCGCCAAATAAGGAACTAGGGGTTGGCATTGCCGACTTGTGACCGTGCGGACCGATTGCCTTTTCATTCGGAACGCAGTACAAATACAATATGATATGTCTGCTACAAGCTAGACACAGACTAAGTCTCAGTGAACGTGAAAGAAATGCTATATTTGATAACTACCTAGACACAGACTAAGTCTAGGTAACGAGTCAGCAAGACTGAATATGAGTAACGACGATAACGGGCATACCTCAACGAACGTGAAAGAAATGCTGAGGTGAACTGTCCAGGAGGAAAGATATAAGTATCAGGCATCAAGAAGTCCGAAACGGAGAGAAGCAATCAGCTATAGCAACAACGGTGACATCAGGAAATCAACCCGAAATTGATATGACCAGATATAATTGGTAATCAAAACACATTATTACACATCATGTTTTAGTTTTGGATATCTTTAGCACAGTGTCACACATAGATAAGATATGATATGACTATGCCAGACAAATATCACCTTGATGTGCATCTTGGCGGCAGACAACAGTGTGATCACTGGGCTGTCCATGCACCTCATATTGGGGGAAGGATATATCAAACTGGCTTATAAGCCTAAAACCCTCATACATCCAGTAGCCTAGTTATCCATACATAAGATACATCCCCGCTGTGTAATTATCTATTAGTAATTCAGCCCCCCATGTCATCTCACCCCCCCCTGCTGTAAGGTAGTGTTCCGGTGTTACCAGCCAGGTGACCGTTTCGGTAGACAATCTAAGGGACCACATCACTCGAAGCATTCATATAAGGTTTACATAAGGTACAAAATGCAAATATAGCTATACTACATCAAGAATCATGTACCAAGTCTTCTTGTGGAGGAGTATCAAGAGAAGGATGCTCACCATCATCTGTGTCATCCCCCAAAGCCATCAATACAGGCACCATCCTCCATTTCTCCTTGAATGACTCGGTGTGAAGAAGTAATAGGTACTAGGCTGTTAGCAACTAGCACTACTTATCCTTAAGAGGCACAAGTTTAATTGATCAGCCCAAGAGGACTGCTATTGAAGCACTTCCTTCAATTATGCGCGAGGGAAGTAAGTGAGTGAAGGGGTTAAAATCTATATTGGCCTAAGAAACTTGAACACTGGCCATAGGTATACCTCTGAACTCCTATACCAAGGAATCGACCGGGAGCACAGGCAAAAATCGACTGTTGTTAATAAAAATCAACCGCACTCTATGGAGTGGCTGGTCGCAAGGGATATAGCGTGAGTGAAGAATAGTGCTAAACTACCGGTCGTGGGTTGAGTATTCTTGCCGAGCTTAAGGGTAAGTTCCTAGCGGTACAGACTTCAGAACGGTTGAATCATGCAGGATTGTCAGGAAGGAACAAAATAGATGGATAGCGCAAGGTCTACAAAATAATGCGAGAATCACTCTCCTATAGAACCAATTCTGGGGGAAGAAAAACTACTTCATTGTATGTACTGCAGTCATTTATATTGTAGCGCGTGAGTGTCTGGAATGTGTAGGCGAGAATTGTAGTGTGGTTTAGCGAGCATGCAATGAGTCTATAGGTAGTAAAACATCATGTGCTGCGGAACATGAGTAGTCGTGTAATAAGACCTGCAGCTCGTTTAGCAATGACATTTGGGAAAATAATGCACCAGCAGAGATAGGTGGACATGGATAGGACATGGGAGGACAAATTCCTAGGACCAGACCAGAGTAAGAGCAGATGGGTTGATATATATGGATTTAATGATCCGCACTTTATCTCCTTTTTCTGAAGGTGAGAAAGACCGTGCTATTGATCATACGCGCCTAGCACTGGCCTGATCGTCACATTGGATAGGCTCCGCTGGATGAATGCCTGTTTCCTGGCATATGCAACCAAGCCCTCTGCATCTTCCAGCCTTGTTGGAACTCATGTGCTCGTGTGCTTGTCCCACTGGTGTGCCTGCCACTCGAGAAAATGCAGAATGCATTGCATTTCCTCTAGCAAAAGGTGTATCTCTTCAACCCATCTGTCATGGCATGCTCAGGCTTTACATCATTCAATATGAAGTGCTAGGGGATCAAATTAGCAGAGTATGATCAATCAATATAACAACTTACAGTCTTGCAAGCCTTCACTATCGTCCTCTGAAAGCCCATATGTCAGCCATATCCAAGACATGATTGCAGTCCCTTGCAACTGTCTGGTGAAGTCCCCCATAGGACGGAGATGCGACTTCTTGAGTGGCTGAAGCTTCTGATCCCAGCTGACATGGTCAACATGGTCTGAGAGCACCATGAGTGCCTTGCGTGCACATACATATTTTGCATGGCTGATCATAAGATGGTCTTCTACAGTATCTAGCATCTTCTTCACACAGGTATTAGCACCTTGTCCATGGAGATGTTGTTGTTTGAATTGCATGAGCTGATGATGGAGACAGATGTGAGAACGGCACTCGTTGAGTGCATCGTGAGCTTGTGCCATTCAGAGAGACCATCCAACCTCAAGAAGCTTTTGATTGCACAGCACTAGGCCGCAAATCTCAGATGGTAGCCAGAGTTGAAGGTCTTCTGCCTTGCCTGAGTCAGAATTTGGCCTAGGGCAACCGCTGTTGTTGTTGTTGTCATTGCTGGAGTTGACGAAGCCAGTTGCACATAAGTTGGCAACTGAGGGCATGTACAAGGTTTGTATGGCAGACCAAACCTCAATATGGCGTTGTAGGGCATTGCTACATGTGAGAACCTTTGTCCGTTGGGTGTCAGTTGCATGCAGACCCAGTGAGGCTGCATCTGTGCGTAAATGATGCCTGTAAAATAAATCAGTGCCAATTTAATACATTGCTATGGCGACCTTACTGTGAATGCTCGAGATCAATACCTGTACTGATCAGCATGCTACCAGATAACTCTGTGCGAAGGGAAACGGCAGTTCCATCCTCTAACTCCCTAGCATCCTGTTGTGCAAGTTCGAGGCACACAGCTGCAAGTGTCATAACTACAAGGGTTGTTAGACCAATCCAAATATTCAGATGGTGTGACTCACCATCAACTCGACGTTCAAATGGATTCAGGTTGGTGTGATCAATCTCCCAAGCCTCTATCTCAGCTTTCCATGTTGCGAGTGATGAGACACCTAAGTCCAATTCTCTGATAGAAGCCTCGAGCTTGCTGAACACAAGCTTATGATCTTCTGCTGCCTTGAGTGCTTCACTAAGTTTGCATGACATGATTCTGCCTGATTACAGTCCTCAGTGGGAAACACAACCATGAAGAGGAAAAACTATGAACCTAACACAGTGGTTTTCTTCCAGTTTGAATCTCTGAAGAAGTCATCCAGAACCTCTCGGCGGGCACCTGGGCCCATCTCCTTGGTACTCATAGCGACATGGTTAATGTTTGCCCATCCGCATTCGGGTGCTTCCCTGTCAGTTTGACCAATGCCTGGTGTCCAGTTGAAGGAAAAAGCTGTTTGACAAGCCTCAATGTGAGCTGCCAGATGGAATTTAGGTATGAAGAAGTTGAACACATTCTCTTCGCCAGGTTGGAGCTTGATGGGCAGCCCATGAATACAATTCTTAAGCTTCTTGTGCCACTGACATGCAATATCATATGAAAGGTTGAAATTGGTCAGACAAGAGAATTTTGCGAGGGCCAAAAACACGATATAATCCATATTCAGGTATCTGTATCATCATGAGTGACTAGATCAACATCATAGAGAAAGGTACGCACTTTTCACCCTTTTGACAGTCGCCCACATAACGCAAGTGCTTTTATGACAGAATGAGAACTTCATCAATCATAATTATTAAAAATTGAGTGCGAGATCTTACCTCTTGAAGAGAGTTTGAGTTCTCAGCCAAGTAAGTCTTGTACTTGCGTTCTTCGACAAAATAACCCCAACCACGTGTGAGGCCTGGATCTTTAGTATTGGAGGAGACAAGCCTGTGCTTGAGACAGAAATTGGCATCAATCGTGAAGAAACTTGCATACAGCCACCTAATGCTTCTCAGACGATGTTCCAGCAATGTCAGATAAACACTCACTGATGATCTGAGGTCTCCCAGTTCTCAGGCAAGTTTTTACCTGGATGTGGACATGCAGGGCATAGAACCACAAGTTCCCCCTCTTGAGTTGCACCCACACCAGTGGGGTCATGCCCATGGCCAGCACACTTGAGTGCATTGAGATTCCTCCACTCACGCATGATTCTCAGAATGATGGATTATCAAAAAAGGTAAGGAACATACTCAAATCAGCTGTATGCCGGTATTATCAGTCTGACGTGCAAGACTATGATAGAATTCATATGCTGACACCTTTGACTCAAATGACAATAAGTGGAATAGATCCAGCACACTGAATGTTGCAGCCATTCGAGGATCTGTGACTGTTGCTGGAAAAAGCCGGTGTGACAGTCAAGTTTTCCTTGGGCTTAGATTTACTTACTTTACTTACCTTTACCTACCCTCACTTTCTTTAGCTTATGTTTGCATTTTTGCTGCTTACTTAAGCATGTATCTCTTTCACTAGTGTCAGTACCAGCCTGAATGACAGTCCCTTTTGATGATAATTTCTATTCTCTGAGCACTGAGCCAAGTCAGAATCCCATGGGCTGAACATACTGCTCTCCACTCAGCAGCTTGGCCAGCTGAAATATGATTCCCACACCAGGCACAAAGGAGTTGTTTGAAATGGGGGGCTTCGTGCTCGCAGTTACAGAAATCAAGACCAACTTCATGGATACCATGGACATCGATTATAACAAAATCATTGTTGTAGGTGGGGCGTGGGCGACGGCAATATCCTCCTGGCTCATGGCCTAGCTGAATGTGAAGACCAAGACTTTTGAGTGATGTCGAGTGAAAAAACCCATCTCTCCACTCCTAAATGGTGGTGAATGATCAGATGATTAGCAAAGATACATAGATAGCTTACATACCTCAATTCTATGGAGCGGTGCACTGACATGCATCGATAAAATACAGTCATGGCACAATAACTTAGTCGAAAAACAATCCTGACATCAGAAAGAGGGTGAAACTAGACCCCCGCATGAACATGGGTCATGGCCATGTTTTCCTTGACCATCCAAGCATAGAAGCTTGTCCAAGTAAGCTTCGCATTCAGGTAGCCAAAGAAAGATTGGATCATCCTGTAAACATTGGCATTTAAAATAAGTACTACCAACTAAACTAAAAGGACTAACTCCTGGTGTCCTTTGGCACGTTCGTGGCCTTGGCTTGTCATCTCCCTGACGATCTTCTGTACCAAATAGATCATTGTGCTCAATCTCACTCCATGGGTCGGCCTCAACAGATGACTGTGACTTGGAAGGCAGTTCCACAGGTTCTACACCAGGTTGTGAAGCAGGGAGATAAGACGTCCATAAGCCAAAGTCACCATCCAACCTTAGAATGAAGCTGCAATGTCGTGTGTGGAGCTTGGCAGGAGCATGATGACCTCTGTGTCGAATGAGTTTGGGGCGCTTGGAAGGGTGTCCTCCAACATTATACATACCTGCAAGGTAACAGAATGAGTGGTCAACGCGTGATGACTGCAACTAGCTCTCACCATGTGCGAGGATCCATTGCCTCTGAGGATATATCCCAGACCTTGATGTGGTCAGTAAGTGATTGCTGAACAAGGAACTGACCAAGTGTGAGGATCCAATCGACTCCCCAAGGATATATCCCCGCCCTTGACAGTGGTGTAAATTTGAAGCATCTAAAAACCAATATCAACAATGCAAACAACACGAAGACTGGCACTGACCCATTTTGTCGTCAGGATGATTCTTGCTGTCCAGTTGTATTATGTTTCAAGCGGAGGAAGTGTTAATACCTAGGAAAATGGACATCGAGAGACTATACCAGACCATTACCTCAAACCTTGATGTGCCAATACATGTACAAAGCGTCGCAAAGTTCCCACAGTGCCAGATTTGCCAGCCAGCTCTATGCATTACGCTTACTGCATTCTCCATCCACCTCTGGTTCTTGAAATGCTTTGCAGGTAAGGTTGTCTTTGGCTCACTCCATGCTACCTCCATGAAGTTCTTATTTAGCCATCTATAAGGGACATGTGCTAGCTCTGGACCAACCCACTGACTTCACACAATCTAACTCTGCATTCTCATCGCTGCAATGACTCAGTCATCCATCCTGCCTCAAGCTTCCACTCCCTCTGCTCCACCTCAACTTTCCAGTGCTCCATCTGCTCCACCCTTGCCGGTGTCAGGTCTAACTGATGGGACTTCAGACAATGTCATAGGTATGTTTATTAGTACATTTGTCATTTCATACACTAACATTGGTACAACAAGATGCAATCTCAACCTTCCTGGGGAGTTTGGTTTTGATGCCCACTCAAGCAAAGGCCCTTGTCAAAGTCATTATGGCTCTGGTCACTGAAGGTACATATTTTCTTACTTGGCTTCCAGCATCTTACAGATCATTCACTTAGATGCATCATCTCATGTCAAGACTGAATTATCCTCCAAGGCGAATCCTTCATCTAGCGGCTTCAAATTGACTGGCATCCCTGCCAATGAATTTGTTCCTGACTCCAACTCCTTGGCCATCTATGTGACACTTGGCTCTTACAATGCCAAGTCACCAAGTGTTGTCATGATTGAGGAGTCACACGAGACCTTCACCAAAGTGGCCAATGCTATGGCTGATGAGTGTTTCCTGTACTACTACCAGGGCATGTTATATAACATGCCTGCTGTGCCCAGTCCTAGTCCTCCTTACTACTGTGTGACACGTGGTTGTTATGTTGGGGTTTTCAATGGCTGGTAAGTTGTTTATGGTGTTTGTGAGAATCTTAACTCATTTTGTTCCAGGGACAATGTCGCACCAAAGGTTCAGGGCATCCCGTGTGCTATTTTCTCTAAGGTTGAATTGCTTGAAGCAGGTGAGGAAAAATTGAGGAAGGCCATCGAACAAGGCAAAGTTACCAAAGTCTGAATCAATTTTTTGTCACTGTCATTGTAAACCATTTGTAAATAGCCATCTGCTTGCTCTGTTACTTTGTATACTGTGAAATCAAGTTGCTTTGCACATGAACTACAGGCCAAAAATATTGTGATTGAGCTAAACAGATCTATAACAAATGTCATGTTACTACTCAGAAGCTAAAATGACAGTGTAAAGTCTCGCGTGTTCTTCCTCGCATGCTCAGAGTGGTTGATTATTGTGCTAAGGTTACTAGATGATATCATTGGAAAGGTAGCTTAGGTTGGATGGCAGATGGTTTGTATATCTTCACGACTTAGTAGGTTTGAATCAGTCCTATAAAAGTCCTACAAACAATGAATGACAGGTTCCCCGCTAAACTCTGTTCGACTTCTACCCCAAAATTGTCTTTCCTTTTGTCATTGCTTCAATGCCCTGACCCAAGCTTTACAAGACTGACAATGAACGCCAAGAGGCCAAACGAATGCACAAGCATGCATATTATGCATGGTATGTTTTAATATCTAATCCTTGGCTCAAGAAGTTGCTCATCATGTGCACTGGGTGCCTGGCAGTAATAAAACTGTGATTAGCACCAGGATGCGAGATTGATACCAGGCTCAAGGTGTTAATAATAGCAACAGAAAACCAAAGACTGATGTCATGTAAGTTGTGACAGCATGTAGATGCTGAATGTCTCAAACTTATTTCTTAAAGCACTGCACAACTCATCACACAGAAGTCGCGATTTCAAGGTCCCTTGCAAAAGTACCTTGCAGGTGAACCTCACAAAGTTATAGATGAGCTCTTCCATGATTACCTGGCAACTGGTGTGTCTGACAGGATTCATTCTGCTGTTGGAGTTGTTGAAGAGATATACCATGAGTTACAGGATGTGGAAGAGGATCTACTATGGCAGGAAAAGAATGGTATTGGGTATACTAGAGCTTGTGATGCCATGAAGGGTGCTAAGGATGTTTTATTAGCACTGGAAGATATCTTATCCTTTATTTTAGTAGATGGCATGAAGTTGGAGGAGTTGTACACCAACAAAGACTTTCTATTTCAAAAGCTTTGGGATTAGCTACTTAGATACTTCAATACACTCTTCAAGGCTGGCTCAATATAATGTCTTGCACAATATTCACCCATTGAGCGCAGTGTTGGATGACGACTTTGACTTAAATTCAACACATTAAGTTCAAATGGTACATGCATGAGATATTATTTAGCATGTGCACAGCAAACATCTTGTAAATTTTCATCTCGCTTCACCATATCATAATTTTTGGCTCACTATTATTATATGCACACTACAGTAAGTCATGCTTGGCAAATGGAATAGAAATGTTGCTGAATTGAACATAAATGCAGATGGCCCCTCACAAATGGACATCTGATGAACAAGAAGAATGGTTAAAACCATACTATGAAGCCTTCCTCATGAAGCAGAGTGAAAAGTGTGGAAACTATAGGAACTTTTTCGCTGACCTTTATGAAAATTGGTTTGAGGCATTTCCTGAGCTGAGGCCAAGTAGCATAACAGCATTTGGGCCTATAACCTTCGAGGAGCTCAAGGAAATGAAATCAGCGGAAGACATGCGAAAAGTGGTATGTCCCAAACCTTGTACATTTGATATATGGGGGGTCTGCTAATACTTTCTGCCCAGAAATTGCACAATTGTTTCAAAAATAATTTTGGAGCAATGAAGGCTGGCAGGAAGGCGAAAGCACATGCCACTAATGTTATTGATGTTGTAGTGCACAAGATTACCAAGTGTGAAAAACCAACATGTTGGCTTCAGGGGCAAGAGGCTTACTCTAAGCTTTACTACTGTGATCACATCAAGTCTACTGTGCAAGAGAAGCTCACAGCCACCAGCGAAAAACTCACCAATGGAGAGCATGTCGCACTCATCAAGAAGGAGACTGCTGCAATGTATGCCAACGAAACGCCCGAGGTCAAAGCACATGTGAAGGAATTTCTTGAGGAGCAGAAGCAGCAAAGAGTGCAGACGAAAGAGGAAGGCTCATGGAGTAAATTGGAGGGTGACTATTCACAGTGAGTTATTAAATGTTTTCACTTCAATTGACATACTCACCTGCCATAATTCAAAGGAACTTGGACAAACTGGCTGCCGTTGCCAACAAGTTTTTGAAAGGCCTGGTGGATGCAACAGGGATGTCCTTCTTGCTTCTTGCTGGTGGCCCATCACCTGAGGCACAAGGGCATATTGATGTGTACAGGTAAGTAGGCATTCAAGGGTATAAACGGTTATACTCACTTTGCAAAGTTTTCATGTTGGCTTGATGAAACTTGGTAATGACTTCAGTGCAGCCTATCCTGGTTTTGAGTCTGGCATCATGGGTCCATTCTGGGATTTTCTGTGTCGTGTATACTGTGAGTATGCAAGCCTGCAAAATTTTATCATCACGCTAACCTGTAGACTGGTGGAGGCTTCAGCATCAGTGGAGCATGGGGTTGAAGTAGGAGGGGAAGGGGACAAGGAAGATTTGGTACCAGCTGTGCAGAAGTCACAAGATATATCTGTTCAGGATGTATTGCCCACAGGTACTATCGCTATGGCATCACCCACATCGAGCACAGTATATCCCATGAGTGGACAGTCATCCTCATGGGATGTATTGGATGGTGATTCCTTATGATTTGGACCGCCATCATCCCCATTGATGGGTACAGATTTAGATTTTTATGATCCTAATGGAGGAGATCAGCTACTCACATTGCCTGGCAGCTCCAACACTTTCGGGAATGAAACTCCATACTGGGCAACTCCAGCATTTGATTCTGCTCTTGGTGTGATGCTGCAACCTCCTTTGCCCTCTTTTGAGATGTGGGACCCTACTCCAATGACACCTGGTATGGCACCTGATGACCTAATCTCTAATGCTTCTCCCCACCCAACTCCCATCACACTTCCAGACAAGCGCTTCTTCAACATGTCTCCCTGCACAACCTCCACCCCACTTCTTGACCCTCTTACTATGTCTCCCTCCACTGCACTTCTTGACCCCCCTACTATGTCTCCCTCCACCCCACTTCTTGACCCTTCTGCTACATCTCTCACATCTCTGGCCAGTGTGGTTACTCATGTGGTGCCTGTTTCTCCGGCTGCTTCACTTGCTGTGTCTCCCTGCACAGGCTCCACCCCACCTCTCAACCCTCCTACTGTGTCTCCCTCTGCCATCGCACTTCCTGACCCTTCTCCAGCTGCTTCTCTCATTGCTCCTGTTACTCCCACATTGCCTACTGCAACTTTCACTGTATCTGCTGCCCCCACCATGCCTTTGGAGACAAGTCCAGGCCCTGCTAAAACCCAGATGGTGGCACCAGTTGTCCCACCTGCACTGGGTGTGGCTGATGTTGATACTAACACTGCAGAAGAGGACACTGAGGCTGGGTGCCATAGGACTAGCTGCAAGTCTAAACCATCAACATGCAATGACATCGCCAATTCAATTGGGGGCCTTGGAAAGGAGAACATACCTCCCAAGCTGTCTGCAAAACGTTGTCTGGCTGAGGGTACCCCAGGCAACGGCGCAAAATCCAAGTAAGTGCTCAACAATGTATCTGCTTTGATTTGCTAACCATGGGGAGTAGGAAGGCAAAGGTGTGATCTATTATCCCTCAAGTCTCAGCCTTTGCAGTGCAGATGCTGCCATCTTCATTTTTTTGTTGGCTCTTGGTCTTGTATACTTTGCTATTTTGAGTGTGCTGATTTACCTGTCTCGTTGTCTTAGTTTCTGATGCTGTGTTGATCTACCAGTATTATTTGTCTTGATCTTAGTCTCCACTGCACTGTCTTGCCTACTGTCACCCTGTGCTATCATTGTCTTGCTGTTTATCTTGCTAATCTTAATACCTATCATATATCTCAAATGATGTAGTCCATCATCCAATTAATAAAATATTTGTTTTCTGTGCAACCATATGTTGGATACTAAGCTAGTGCGTCACTGTTGTACTTGGCACAAGACATGAACCAGATCATGTGATAGCGAGACTTTGCAGACGAGACAATGAACCAGATCATGTGATGTCGAGACTTTGGGGACAAGTTCAAGTACTTAATATTCAAAGGCACATAAGGCATCATATAGGTACCTTCTCAGATTCAGATCAAGATCAGTATGCTGTAGGATCAAAAGAAGCCATCTTTGCCTGGGCAAGAAGGAGGAATCAGGAACCAGCTGGAAACAAGGGGGATACTGTCCATTTCAGGTATCCAACCCCCCAGTGCAAAGATTTGTAATCCAAGAAATGGCAGGATACATCCCAGAGAACCAGGATACATCCTGGGGAACGAGGATACATCCTCCATGGGCAGTGGACCATTAGAGAATTAGATGTATGAGGGTTTATGGGTAATAGTCCATATAAGATGTATTAATGTAACACTATAGCCTGGTCCATGTGCTGTAATTCAATGGCTACAGATAATCATATTTCAGTAGACTTACAAAAAGTGGCAATCAAAACACATCATGGTTTGGCCCTACAAATTTTTGTCATGGTGTCACACATAGATGAAACAAGATACAACTATACCAGAGAAATACCACCTTGATGGGCATCTTGGAAGCAGCTAACAGTATGATAACTGGGCCGTCCATGCACTGTAATTAAATAGCTGCAGATCATCACATTTCCAGTAGACTGATAATGTGTTGTAACATTTTTTAAATAATAGGATAGGTCTTATCTAGATTGTATATGCAGCTATTCATTGGCTTCAACACACTTCATTATATGTCCAGATGTAGAATTAGATAATATTATCATGCAGCTTCACCCACCTGGATTGAGTCAGGACTCTAAGTCAATGGGGCATTAGGTGGACGCTGAGTAGGCATTAGCACAGGTAAACCCCAGGCCATGGTTGTCATGTTCTGGCCAACAAAGTTTGGCTCTATTCTACCTATGAGTGAAAATCCACAACCTTTCTTCTAATTCATGTGCATGCTGATTAGTCCAAACGCGACCAAAAGTACATATATATGTTGTATCCAATTCAAGTCTATGCTGAGAGACTCAGACAGGTTGACACTGAATCCTGGACTCACCACTGATTGATCTTGCAAAAATAAGTATCATCCCACTGTTACAACCACGTACGCCCCTATTCATTTTCCCTTTCTTACTGTGTATTATGTCATGAGCCACATGACACCGCTGCTAGACTTATCTCTTATCTTGTATTACATCACAATCACCGTTGCCATTGTTAAGATGTCCTATTCTTGCTATCGCTTACGCATCCTTTATCTCTGACTCATTCCATTCTCACACTTGCCCTAAAGCACAGTAGTCACTATAAATAGTCCTCCTGTACACTTTAGTTCTACTTTAATCTTACTAGGTCTTACCTGAATATCCTTTGCTTGAGACCTCCAATCTCTTGTTGTCTAAACCGTACTTTAAGTTAGAGGCACTCCCTCTATCTTAGCTTACACTGAACGCTTGACTTATCATCTTGCGTAGAATCTTGGCAGAGGTCATTAACTCTTATCAAGTTGTCTGTCATTAGAACTATCCTAGTTCATAACAAAAGATTAAAGTCCCTATTGAACCTCTCCATCCAGGGAGGCCCCAGTAGCTCAAAGCAAGATGACCCCTTGAGTTAGAAAGTATTAGTGGGAGAGTGATCCAAACGACATCCCTACAGAACCAGAAGAAGAAGAATATCACAAGGCTGAAGGTCTGGATATCACAGAAGACAGAGAGAGACGAATACCGTCCCCTGTAACCACAGAACCTGATCATCATTCGACTACATCAGTAGACGAATTCCCAGAAGAAGTACCACCCTGAAATCTTTCCGCACATCCCAGTATCAGAATGTCTGGCACCTCATCCAAACTTAAAGCCAGAACACCGAAAGACTATGATGGAAGCCCTGACCACGCTTTAAGATGGTTATTTTCAGTAAAAGCATATTTTGCTGTTAATGCATTGGTTTACAACACCAATGAAAAGAAAGTCATTACCGCACTTGTGTATATGACTAAAGATAGTGCCATGGGCTGGGCATTGACATTCTACACCGAAGTCGATAACTCTACCTCAAAATCCTACAGAACCTTCGCAAACTTTGAAACCAAGTTCAAAGAAGCATTCGTGCCGGCAGACGCCATTGGTACTGTTATGAATAAACTCCAAACCCTGAAGCAGACAGGTGATCTCACTTCCTATATTGCCAGTTTCAGGACCCTTGCTGCACAAGCCGCCATAAAGCAAGATGCTGTCCTGATTATGTTCTTCAATGATGGACTCAAGAAGGGGATTGGTAATGCCATTTATCAGATGGAAACCATCCCTACAGACTTCGACAAGTATGTCCAAGCCACAATCAGACTTGACAGTAATTGGCAATGTGGCATGATTTTCCACAACAACAATCATATGCCTACAAAGCCTACTGGTCAACATTACATTCCCAGACCCTCCATTGATCACCGCAACCCCAATGCTATGGAGGTTGACCACCTCACCGAGGAAGAAAAGACTGAACATTACCAGAATGGCAAGTGTTTCAACTGTCACCAGAAGGGCCACATCTCTCATAACTGCCCCAAGAAGAACAGCAAAACTCCCATGTGCTGCACCGAACCAGCTGAAGAAGACGAAGAAGAAGTCCATCATATCAACAAGGATTTTTGATGTGGAAGACTGGATTGACATCAGTATCTTCCAATGTACCTATTAGACTTGTTTGAGGTGTAGGAATCAGAAAGGAACTTCGCATTCCCATTTCCCTTATCTCCAAAACTCGCCTGAAAACCATTGAAACGACTGCTGTCGTTGATTCCAGAGCCGCTGGAACTTTTATCTCCGAGGACTTCATTAAGCTTCATAAAATCCAAATGCATAAACTTATGAAACCATTCTGGGTTACCACTGCAGATGGAAGCTATGCAAAAGGGGGTGCAATCACTCGATACTGCATCCTTATCATAAAAATTGATGAATGATCCATGCTTGGAAAGTTCAACATCACGAAGCTTAGCCATCATGACCAGATTTTGCTAGGGATCCCTTGGCTGCATGCCATGGACCCAATCATTCAGTGGAAAGCCGAAACATTAGAACTCTCTCATACCAAGAAGAGTGATCTAATAGAAGAAGACATTGACACTGAACGAAAGAACAATGGTCTCCCTCCTCTCTTTCAGAAAACCATTGAAACCCTGATTGATAGAACTTGGAAGAACTCCCGTTTGAAGAAAGAAGAAACACCAGTTGTAGTGCTGCTGAAGGCGCCTCCTGTGCAACCTATGTTCATAGAACCACTCCCCCAAGCAACCATCAAAGAAATCCCAGATGAAGAAGCACCCTTGGTTTTACCCAACCTTGACCCCATCCCTGACAACAACAATGACTCCTTTGACACTAAAGATGATGTGTGGACTTCAGACTATGCACCACCCATATGTGAACTTGCTACATACCACCTCGATAACGATGAATTTTTGGTTGAATACCCCACTGACGCTACTGAGCTCTGGGTCGTCACCAATATTTCTATAGACACTCTGTTAACCAAAGATGGTACCAGTGCTGCAGAACAGAAACCCACAGTCACACCCTTGTTATGGCCCGCTGAATATGTTAAAACCAGTAACAAAGCTCAGCAGTTTGTGCTAGCAGCTGGGCTTGAACAAAAGAAGAAATTGTTTGAAGAACTCATCCCTTCTTACCTCCATGACTTCATTGACATCTTTGCTAAAGACAGACTAAATCAGCTACCCCCAGAACATCCTGGAATTGACCATCACATTGATACTAAACCTGGTTTTGTCCTGAAAACATCCAAGGTCTACCCATTGTCAGAGGCAGAATGAACTGCTGTCAAAGCATTCATCAATGAAAATGTACAGAAAGGATTCATCTCTGAGTTGAAATCACTGCAAGCCAGTGGATTCTTCTTTGTTGGAAAGAAAAGTGGAGACCTACACCCTTGTCAGGACTATCAGTATATCAATGATTGGACAGTAAAGAATGCCTACCCCCTCCCACTCCCATTGACTCTGGTCACCCGATTGCATGGCGCTAAGTATTTCATGAAGATGGACATTCGTTCCAGATATAATAACATCCGAATCCACCCTGATGATCGTTGGAAGGCAGTGTTCACTACTGAGTATGGCCTCTTTGAACCTAACATCATGTTTTTCAGTCTTTGCAACTTGCCTGCTACCTTTCAGGCATACATGAATCGGACCTTCCAGCAGGAAATAAATGAAGGATGGTTGGTCATTTACATGGATGACATCCTTATCTTTTCAAACGACCTCCCTTCCCACCATGCTTGAACTTGTCGTGTCTTAGAATGAATCTGTGCTGAACAACTATTCCTGAAACCGGAAAATTGCACCTTTGATGCTGAAGAAGTTGAATACTTAGTTATGATCATCTGTCCCGGATGCATTGCAATGGATGTTGCAAAAACCGATGGTATCCGTGACTGGCCTGCCCCTACCACAGTAAAGGAAGTTCGGTCATTCCTTGGGTTCTGCAATTTCTATCGCAATTTTGTCCCTCATTACTCTGACATTGCCAGACCCTTGATTGACCTCACCAAGAAAGACATGGTATTCCATTGGTCCAACCCATGTGCCTCCGCATTTACCACGCTTAAGGAATGTTTCCTGAAGCAGCCCATACTATGAAACCCTGATCCTAGTCAGCAGTTCGCTGTTGCTACTGACACCTCACTCATTGCTACCAGAGCAGTTTTGCTACAGACTGATGAAAACAGGGTCTACCATCCATGTGGATACCTCTCCCAAACCCTGAACCCAGCCGAAAGAAATTATCAGATCTTCAATCATGAACTTCTCGCCATTATCCGCACTCTCAACGAATGGCGCCATTACCTCAAAGGAAACCCTCATCCAGTAGTTGTCTTTATGGATCATAAGAACTTGCTCTACTTCCGCACCACACAGAAATTGAGTTGTCGCCAAGCATGTTGGCAACTCCTCCTCTCCTGTTATGACATCAAACTCCATCACATTGCTGGAACTAAACTTGCTGCCCCCAATGCACTCTCCAGATGTCCTGATCATGGAACTGGACAGGGCGACAACAATGACATCACTCTCCTCCCAGACTCTATGTTTGTATGGCTTCTTGACGTAGAACTTATGACCACACTTGCAAACCCAGACCCCACTGATCCTGACCCAATCTTCCAAGCTGCTGCAGATGCCCTTGATGGCTTATCACTTCCCCCCATGAAATCTGCACTCGCCAATTGGATGATTAAGGAAGACATTTTGTATTACAAAGATTGTGCCTATGTCCGACCTGCCAGAAGACACCTTATTCTAGAATGTTGTCATGACCATGCTACCACTGGTCATCCTGGCCATTTTAAAATGGAGGAGCTTGTCAAGTGTGACTTTTGGTGGCCTTCTATGGGCTCCTATATTCAGAGATACATTGATGGTTGCGCTCTTTGTCAGCAAATGAAATCCAACATGCACCCTGTGACTCCCCCACTGGTCCCTATCCCCTCTGTCGCCTCTGCACCCTTTGCCCAAGTCTCCATTGACCTCATCACCAATCTCCCCGTGTGCACAGGTTTTGACTCTGTCATGGTCGTGGTCAACCATGGCCTTATGAAGGGGGTAATTCTGATCCCTTGTATGAAAATCATTACTTCTGAAGGCATTGCCTTGAAATTTTTCAAATATGTCTATTGATGTTTTGGTCTCCATGAGAAAGTTATATCTGATTGAGGACCACAGTTCATATCAAAGTTCTCTAAAGCCCTCGCTAAGCTCCTGAAATACGACATCACCATGTCCACCGCTTATCATCCTCAGACTGATGGACAAACTGAACATCTCAACCAGGAACTCAAGACTTATCTCCACATTTACTGCCATAACCACCCAGAGGATTGGGTAGAGCATCTCCCTATGGCTGAGTTCGTCCATAACCACCGAAAACACAACTCACAAAACACATCCCCATTCTTCCTTATGATGGGATATGAACCTTGAGCTCTCCTGCATACCCTTCCTGACTCCACAGTGCCTGCCATGGAAGACTGACTCCGTCAACTTCAGAAATTGAGAGAAGAAGCACTATCCTGTCATAACCTTGCTATGCAGCGAATGGTAGAATGAACACGCGGGCAGAAGTACCACCCATGGAAAATAGGAGATAAGGTTTGGTTATCAGGAAAGAACCTGATCACACAGTTACCATTGCAGAAGCTTGTGCCAAAGTGATATGGCCCCTTCCCTATCATTGCTGTATTATCACCCATCACATTCACACTCCAACTACCACTGCAATGGAGAGTTCACCCCACATTCCATGCTTCCAAACTATTGTCCTATCACGAAACAGAAATCCACGGCCTGAACTTCCACGATCCTCCCCCAGACATCATAGATAATGAAGAAGAATACAAAATTGATGTGATCTTGTCGCACAAAGGCACAGGTAAATGAAGACACTATCTAGTGTCCTGGAAAGGATACTCCTCCACCAGTAACGAATGGATCCCAGAAGAGAACCTCAGCAATGCCACTAACATCCTCTCTGCATATAAAAAGACTCATCAATTGTAACCTTGGAACAATGTCTCTTGAACACTTACACCTCTGCATACAATGCATTGAAGAACTCACCGCTGCTATGAACATCATATCCAAAAATGTTGCTCATCCATTATCTCTTACCGACTACCAGACCACCACCATCGCCAACCTTGCCACCGCTGAAAACACACCTTCCCCAATCACCTCCCCACCTTTGACCAACTCTACCTTGACCAGTGACTCTACCCTCACTGATTACTTCACGATCATTGATCAAATCGAAACCAGTGCCTTATTTGAATCTGCCATCACATCCCAACAATACACTATTGAGATAGATCGTCTCCTAGGAGAAAGAGGGGCAATCTCTAGCAGACTTATTATCCAAATCATCAGAGATGCTAGCCTTATTGAATGCACCGCTAATCTTCTTGACGATGACCGTCACAAGACCATCTTCCGCCATCTTCATATACACATTCGTAATACTGCAATCCGTCTGTTGCCTGATGATACTAAGGAAGCTATCAGAGAAGCTATCCACATTGTCACTGAACAGATCACTACAAACCCAGTCGCATGACCCCCATCCCCACACATTGCCGTTCCAATCCCACCACCAATTCTTCCAACAGTTACCATTGAGCATTCAGATGATGGTATCCCTCCTATTGCTGTACTTGACATACCAGCTTCTCCTTCTCCTACCCCCATCACACCCACTACATGTCGATACCCTACTAGGCGCAGATCCGCCCATATCGCCAAATGAACAGCGTCCGCCTCCCCACACAGAAATCGTAAACGACAGTCCAGATCCCCTTCCCCACCAGCACAATCGTCCACCATCACTACTGTAAGAACCACAACAATTGACAATGTCATCTGTTGTAATTGTCACACCACTGGACATCACCATAAGAACTGTCCAGTGTACTATTGCTGGGTTTGCAAAGAGTATGCACCTGGGCATCTGTCAGTCTTTTGTAAAGACTTAAAGGGTGAAGTGGTCATTCCACTGGTTTGGACTGACACTGGTTTCTACAAAGCCCTCACTTGCTGGGAGATCGAGCAGGATGCTATCTATCATGCCGCTGAGATGGCTGATAAATCATTTACCATTACAGAGGAGCAAAATGACTTGCTGGACTCTAACTACAATGCCAACCCAATCTATTGGGCTAATCAGGATAACTGAAGTTGGTGACTTCATTCCTAATCGAGGGGTAATGTTACAACCATGTACACCCCTATTCATTTTCCCTTTCTTACTGTGTATTACATCACAAGCCGCATGACACTGCTGCTAGACTTATCTCTTATCTTGTATTACATCACAATCGTCGTTGCTGTTGTTAAGATGTCCTATTCTTGCTATTGCTTATGCATCCTTTATCTCTGACTCATTCCATTCTCACACTTGCCCTAAAGCACAGTAGTCACTATAAATAGTCCTCCTGTACACTTTAGTTCTTTACTTTAATCTTACTATGTCTTACCTGAATATCCTTTGCTTGAGACCTCCAATCTCTTGTTGTCTAAACCGTACTTTAAGTTAGAGGCACTCCCTCTATCTTAGCTTACACTGAACACTTGACTTATCATCTTGTGTAGAATCTCAGCAGAGGTCATTAACTCTTATCGAGTTGTCTGTCATTAGAACCATCCTAGTTCGTAACACCCACACTATAATTACAAGATCAAGAACCTCACTGCCAAACTGCTTAGTAGAATGCTACTGCTGCAGTGATGCCCTTGGACAGGTTGGTAGTAGGCATGAGTTGAGACTGAGCAGTCATAGTCAGTAACAAAATTGGTTCTAATCGAACTGACAGCACTTCATCCTCAGTGAGCTTAGGGTAGTGCTTTGCCATCGCATCCAATAGCCTTTTCTTGTCTATGAAAGGTACTAAAGAGAGCAATACCTTGCCACAACATCTTCTTCCCCAGGCCATTCATGTCGATCTGGAAGATTGATGGGTAGAAATCATGAATTGGAGATTCTTTGGGGTATATGCTTGTGACTGGCAATACTGGTGAGCTATGTAGTCAAATCATTACTACTCAACATGAACATACCTAGCAGGGGGGAAAACACCCATAAGTTGCTCATATGGTTTGAATGGCTGTCTGAGAGTAAATTCTACTTGCATGTAATCCAAACCTTTGAAGTCTGACATGAAGCCTAAGGTGCAAAATGATATGGGTAATACCATTGCCATGAAGGGGTCTACTACTGAGTCAGCAAATAAAGGCAAATCGGCGGTTGGAGCTCACCCCTTGACAGTAGTAATGCAGAACCCATGCAATACCTTCTACACAGTGTTTTGTTAGCCTTTGCACAGCAGAGTCAGCCAGGTTTGTGCAGAAATTGATAACAAAAGCACCCACTTTTTATGGAAATCATCATCATTTTCTGATAGGACAAACTTTTGCTGATAGTAGTATCACTTCTTATACCCAGGTTCAGACAATCTGAGGAAATGTTATTCACATCATTGGATAATTGAGTCACAGTGACTCTGAGGGCGTAGTAAGACGCATCTTTGTTATCTTCAGATGATTCCTCATCAATGCCAACCACTTCATCAGTATCCTCTCCCTTGATATCTTCAAGCTTCTGTTTGATGCCAGCGATAGGTGTTACAGGCTCATCAGCTGGATGAGTAACAGGATTCTTGGGCTTGACAACCATGTCAACAGCCCCATCACTCGGAGTCAACAAATTCAAGTGCTGATGGAGCATTCCCAAGACCTGGAATGTCTCCATCATCCATAAGCTCAGTGTCTGTTTTGGGTGGAGGGGTAGGAACAACCAGCTCAGGTTTAGGAGCAGAAGCACTCTGTTTCACAGGAATGAGTCCAGATAGCTTGGCAGCCTTGAGCATCTCTGCAGCACTCATGTTCGCCATCCATATAGTAGCTTGATTGGCAACTACATCATGATTCAAACCAGCCAGTGCTTGCACTGCAACTGGAGTGACTTCAAGAGATTGAGTATTATGTGGCACTCCAAGACCAATAGAGTCGGCCTTAGCAGCAAAAGCATTATCTGCACATTGGGGAAGAGATGATAGTGATGTAGTGGATGCAGTCAGACCAAGTTTCGCAGATGGGGCAGCGAACTGAATATTGCCCATGGCATCAGACCCAGACTTTTCAATCCTATGACACTTTGCCTCCTGATCTTGGTGTTGCTCAGCTGAGGTATGGTAAGTCTCTAAGGCATTGATGGATCACATTATAATTACTTACTCTTGTTGCTTACTATGGAAGATCTCATCTTCTCATCATGCCAGTCCCTCTAATATGATCTGTGCATGACTTAGTACTAGTTGACCATGGTTCATCAGATATCCACCCATTCTGGGCAACTCCATCTTCCAGATCCTCAAGAGAGTATCAATCACGCCTTCATGAATCTCAAGTGATGGCAAATGCAGCAAGAAATTGTTGCCAACAAAGAATATGAGCAACACCCAGTCATCAACTTGAATAGCCTGTTCCAAATCGAAAGGGAAGGGTGTATTGTTCACATTCAACTCAGATTCCAGATACTTGTGCAAAATAGCGACATTGAGGAAAATGAACAGTTTTTTTCTGGTGGAGGAGGCTTTGTAATTTCTGATTTCAGTCCTGTACATTGAGTGGCATAGTGACCTTCTGGTCCACATATTCGGCACCCAGAACCTTTGGCCTGCACAAACACATCTTCCTGAAGCACTCAGAAATATGGTTCATGGGTCACAAGGGCAAGCATAATGAGATCAGCATCCTGAACATGTGGTCAATAATGGAGAGCACAATGGATTTGGAAATCAACCCACCAAACCATGAATTACATGTTGAGTATTAGGGTCATGACTGGGGTTTGCAGTGCGCTGTCTGCGTAAGCTATACAAGAAATGAATCAGAAAGATCCCTAAGAAATGTTCCCTGCATACATCTTTCCACCCTGGATCAGTGTTCATCTTCTCCACGACCCAGTAGTACCATAACAACACTGCTAGAAGGGCCATGAATGATGTGCCAGGTGTGATAGTGTTAGAGTCCCAAGCTTCCTTGCTTTTCTTGTCGTCGGTAATAATCCTACCCATAGCTGCAATGATGAAATCGGTCAGAAACACAGCATAGATTCGCTCTTAGAACAACATACCTTCCCACTCAGCGACAGCAAGTTTACGAGCTTCCACCTTATCTTTTGCCTCTTGAGCACTCCTGAACCATCTACTCCACTGTTGATTCATTTTGGCATGAGGCACAATGCCAACTAATTGCACTCTGTGTAAGGCTGTGGTATGAGAGGGTAACATAAATGTAAAGTGCACCAATAGCCATGAAAAGAAGCTTGTGCAGCCGCACCATGTTGATCACTCTGTTGGTGTATTTGAAGACTTCAAGCATCATTTCCTCCTCTGTTTCAGGAGCCGGCTGTGCAAGACAAATCAGTGAGTGAACCAAGTTTGTAGAGTAATATATGCATACTTTGCCATCGGGATGAGTACAAGGATGAACCTGTGTGCATATGAGTTCCCAGTTCTTCGAGCAGTGGAGGTTATTAGTGGTTAGTAAGAGACTGACAGTAAGGCCCGAAAGTTTCTTTGACATCCAAAAGTTGAGTTGGAAAGGACAGTACCATGACTAGGCACCATGAAGTCATGGCATTGCCAAAGATACCATGTGGAAAATGTGGGAAGACAAGCATTGACCAGTTGACCCTCTCAGACAAGCTTTCAGGGAATCAATATTTTACTATTTAAGAACATCAGCGACCTCAAGTTTGTACTACTTCAACCTCTACCAATATCAACTTCAACACACCACTACATCAGAGCTATGGGTCAGCTGAATACTGTGAGTTGCTTATTGTTTTGAGTTGGTGTTAGTACTTATTTGATCTTAGTGTCTTTGTTGGATCCCAAACTTGAAGGAGAGGGGGAGAGAGAGGGTGCAAATGTATCACCAGGTGGTGATTAGATTGCAATATGAATGGTACGCAGTACTACCAGCAGTCCACATTTCACATCGGATTAACTTAACATTTGCGATCTAGTGTCACGATGGGGGAGGGGAAGGATGTGGAAGATAAGGAGATGATAGGTGACAGAAGTATTATGAGGAAGGGGAGGATCGTGTGCAATGGGAGGCAGAAGTGTGGGGTGGAGATATCTAGGAATATTGTTAAAGCTCGTTAGTAGTGCATCCAGTTCGTGGTGACCATTGTGGTACCTTTCCCTTGTCCATCCACACTGCTCAAGTATCTAAAAAAAGTTAGTTCTATGAGTCAGGGTTCCAACACCAATATACACCTCACATTGTCATCCCCAGATTTGGACCTCAGTGTCAAGAGCATGCCTTTTGATGTTCCACTACTTTCTGGAGGTCCTCAGGTGTGCCATCTAGAAGAGCTATGCTGATACGAGCCTGCTTGAGTGCAGTGATGTCATTGGCACTGTCTTTGGAACATCAACAGCCAGCATTGGCAACCTATTTTGCACTGAGGTACCCAGCCCTTTCAATATGTCAGTCGATTTAAAATTGCATCTGTAATTGACATTACCTCAATCAAGAAGACAGGTAGAATGAGTTGTACATCAGGGATAGATGTGTCCTTGGATGGCACAGGAACCATAAGAGTATCAGGGTAAGCAGATAAACCTGAGGTAGCCAATTCTATGCATTTCTGCTCAGCAATCTGGTGTTGAAGCCAGCAGACTCGACCCTGGCATGAAACTGCCCTTTGATCAGCCCCAAAAAGTGGAAAAGTTCAGAAAATGCAAACCTTCATAAATTGTGCCCTACTTCACCATCTCCTTCAACATAGTATCATCACTGACTGTAGACTAAGACATTGTTCAAGATAGCATTGATTATAAAAGACAAATTGATAGAATAGTAGCATACATAAAAGAACTTGACTTGCAACTTGGGCAAATACCATATAACAGCAAAAGTTGTGATGGATGGGTGTCACATATTTCAACCAGGGATGGGGAACAGCTACAGGATGGTGGATGGTGGTACAAGAGTGTCACAGATGTGATGAGATATTAGAAGAGGCATAGGAAGTTGAAAGCCAATCATCGGACAAGCCAACATAGTCTTCAGGCAGTTGTGATACAGACATCATTGGACTTGATGTACCTACAGTCATCTCCAAGCTGGATGGTGGGTTTGCTTTCACACAAATGACATCCAGGTTATTCACTACAGGCAACTTCTTCAGGAAATCTAAGAACAAATTTTGAGCATCACATGTAATTCTTTGAAAAGTGTAGCTTACTTGGGTAACTTCTACGTTCCAGCTCTTCACAAAAGTTGGCAATAGCAATACTAAACAATGAAATTTTGGTCTGTGCTCAATACATCCTGTCCTCCATCCTCCATCTCCCTTGTGAACAGGATACTACGTGAGTGTCCTGTTCTTGCTGAAGCTGTGTTGCAATTTCCCTGAGGCTCATGTCAAGGAGAGCTATAAGATTGTGGGAGTCGATCCATCCAAACAGCATGGAAGCTGTGACAAGGAGGGAGTCTGGAAGCTGGAAGTCAAGTTAGAAAACAACATGAAGCATGTGAGTGCACTCACAGTGTCTCACTCCTGGTTCAGGAGCCAAGTGATCAAGGCTGTCTCAGTCTGGTCAATTCCAAGAAAATGGGAACTGTTGTTGATCATGTTGAACAGGTAGCAAGAGAGGCAAAGGGATGTTCTCACGAGTATTATGCTTACACAACCTATTCAATAGTTGGAGAAGCGATAGCCATCAAATGATGCAGTAACCATCAAACTCTAAAAAAAAGGCACAGATAAGTTTAGCAACCTTGTGCATTGGCACATACATACCACACTTAGAGGTCTACTCGCTCGGAAAAGTCTATGTTCTCTGTGATATGTTTCAGATACAACTTCAAAGTAGTGAGAGTCCAAAAATGTAAACGATCTGCTAATGCAGATGATCAGTATTTATAATGAAAGACTAATCGGGAAACACTGCTACTTGGAATGAAACAGCAGCGCAAGGAATAACATTTGGGTGCAACTGTATAATTTCCACCATTACAAAATGTTTGACTAAGTACATTTCAAAAGAAACTCATTGGAGATGTTACATATGGAATGCAGATCTGGGACAAAATTTCAAGAATGTTAGGCTGCACTTCATCGTGCCTGTTTTGGTTGGCTGATGCAGAAGACATTGGTCTCACTGTACATTGCATTCCCATTAGCCCTAATACAGAACAATATCCTGTAAACTCATGTGAGGACGCAAAACCTTCTCATTTCAGCCCTGAATAAGTCAATGCCCAGGTCTTCATCTTGTTGGAGGAGCATCACAACTGTTTTGCAAAGTTCAGCATGCACTTGGGTCACAGGGGATATTGTGGCATGATGTCATTAGTACCCCAGATGCTCATGAGTCTTGCGAGGAGTGACTGATAGCACTAGTGTAATTATAAACGTGAGTAAGATGCTAGATAGCCCAGGGAACCTACACATGACCCAACCAAGGCCAAAGTGTCTGCTGGGGGACTTGCAGCGCTTCTGAAGATCGTTGGCTTGAGATTGGCAATGGTGAGACGGATATGGTTCGTGGCCATAGTCCTAAACACAATGTGAAAAACCATCTCTCTTGCTGCTTGATGAGCCAAGAAGCCATAAAACCCGTTGACCTGTGGGGTAGAATGAGGGTGTAATCACAAAAGCAAATTCTTAAAACTCACTGCGATTGGGAGTAAATGTGCTTGGGGCTGCATGAACATCTGGAGGAGGGTCTCGATGCTGTGCTTTAGGGTCAGGCTGAAGAAGTTGCTGAGGCCAAAGATACAAGGGTTGTTCATGGAGTAGGTGATTACTTGATGGTTATCATATAAGAACTGTGTGATCCATGGACTCCCCTATCTTGAAATAAGACAAGGAAATGAAAAGAAGAATGACACATACGAGCACCAACATCTTGTTGTGTGACATTGGAAGTTTGGTGTCTTTAGTGAGCACTAGAGAGTATTCAGTACATGTTATGAGAGACTCTGACAAGTTCCTCACCAATTTCCAAATCCTGGGGAGCCACATTTGCATGCTCCAAAGCTCCAGGCCAGAGACTGCGGATGAGCTCAAGTCTGTGCTCAGCATACTTAACATTAGTGAGAAGATGAGGGTTGTCGGAATGGCTGCAGCATATAGCAATCCTCAGATAGACACGCAAGTATGCAAGGGCCTTGCCCCAGTTTGGACACACTGCCATAATTTTGTGAAGGCTGTGTTCAGCCTTAATCTTCTTAGGACGGATCTGCCACCCACCGATTCCTGCAGCTGAGGTCATGGCTGATGATTTAATCCAGGTGGTCTGGAGGATTGAATCTGATCCGTCAACCAACTGGTCAGCATGACTGCCAGGATGGTCAGAATGACTGCCAGGATGGTTAGCATGATGGTATCTGGAAGGAAATAGAGTAAAATGTATGACAATTGGAGGCTTGTGGGCCTGGGCCACACCAACCTGCAATATTGGAGATGAGAATATGATACAATTGCAATGTGGATTCGGACTTACATAGTTATAGACACCATGTGTCACATTGTTGCTGCCTGTCCTGCCTCTCACCCACAGCAAATTCAAGAATGGTGCAGTGGTTGCGTGCAGCTGTACAACAAATTAGCAGGAAGATGTGGTACAACTGCTATTAAACTTACCACCAAAATGAACACAGGAACCTCATTGCTTGGTACTAACTCATATGGTGAGTCATGCACCATTGGGGCTAGCAGGTAAGCAAACAAAGACAACTGTTCCTTCAGCTGAGAGCAAGTAAGTTATCAAACACCTAGTAATATAAAATCCCTTACATTGTCAAGACTGGCAATGGGGCACTACAACATAACATGATAAGAGATGCAAAATAAGTTGTAAAAATACTCACATAGAGGGGAAAGATGCTGAGCTGATTCATAAGGCCCAGTGACAAGTATCCTACAAATTCAACATCAAACATGGGCATACCCTGATAATCCAATGTGAGTATATTTGACTGGTGTTACAAGACCAAAACATGACTTACAGAGAATGAGAGGAACCCAGGGAAGGCAGCTTTGAAAATAAATGCATCACATCACCTGAATGGTGAGCTAAGGTAGACATTGTGATGGAAATCAGCATATTATATGTATTTAAGGGTTATTGCAAAACTCTATATATGTGCACAGACCCGGTGGAGTTTTTATATCCTAATTCCTCCTTTGAGGAAATGCCAACTGGCCACAATAGCGCCATCGAAGAACTCCTGCATTAGAGGCGACAACAGCATATTACATAACATACACAATACCTGGATCGAGCTAACATTAGGTTCAGCACGCAGGGCGTGAGTGAGATAGTGGTGTATTACATGTACGTACCTGCTGCATTGTTCAATATGAGGCCTAGAATGAGGACTGGTCATTACAATGCCATCAAGATGTCATCAGCCTTATTATGTGCACTGTTGAGCAGGTACCCTCATACTTGATTGCTGACTGCCCCATGAAGTTGCCTGTCTTATCCATCAATGTGATGGTGCTCTGAAAATTTAGTTCTTGTAATCTAGTTCTAGATCACTATCGTACATTTCATTAAACTGAGATAGGAGCAACTCCCTGCTGGAGCCAAACTGTCAGTCAGTGGCTTCAGACCCTTTGTCCTGCTCATCCTCTGCATCTTCTTCTTCCTCATCTTCATAATAACTTCCAACTTCCCCATCATCTTCAGCATCAACATCATGAAAAAAACCTGCGATGTATTTATCTTGAGACTTAGCCTGAGAGGTGCAATGGTGAGAGTATGTATGCCTGACTCCAAGACCAAAGTGGAACTGCATCAGCATGTTGTGGTCCATGAACCTGGAACAATGAACTCAACACAAGTCATGAGTAAAGTGGAAGTAGCACTCACTGATTGACATAATATGCACACCAATCATCCTTGTCCCCTGCACATGCTGATAAACCTGATCCGTCTGGGCATCGCCTTTTGCTGGTAAAAGAAGGGATGATATGGCATCCCCTAAGGACATCAGCTAGATCCAGAAAGTCGAATGAGTGCTCATCAGCCATTGGTGGAAATCTAACACAATCCATGGTTGAGGTGTCCCAGGATGAGACTTGGTCTACAGGCTTGTACCAGCGAATCCATAGAAATTCCATTTGGATTGGTGTGTAGTCAACCATAGCGCATCCAATGAGGATTACATTAGTGTGATATACACCCAACACCTTACCATAGATAAATCTGTGACCTTGGGGTCCCATATCATTGTCAGTGCAGAGGACCATGATGTTGCAGTGGGAAGTCCATGGATTGATGATGTCTTGGGTTCTACAAACATCGTAGGTGGTATAGTTAAATCTAGTGGTATTGTGATGATACATTCGATCATCCTTAAGGATGATCAAATTGGTGTCTTCATCCAACTCCATATCTCTTGACTTCATAATCTGATGCAACAAATGAAGTTTGAGTTTCAATACAAAATTCTGCATAAGCATGTGAGAGAGTGTTTGTGAAAGTATGATTGCGCCTAACCTTAATTGCCAGATCGCCTTCATGGATGCATAAGTAAGATCCTATATGTACAGGATATTTTGCATCAGGCCGATATGGTGATGGAGGTCTGGACTTCTTGCTAACTCCATGATTTCAATGTGGGGACGATGAACGATCCTGTCGCCCACACGACGAATCCAAGCTTGGTGACGTTCAATTCGAGTCAACTGTCTCACAAATAACTTGTGATCCATGCGACAATATCTCGCCTTGGGTGAACAATGTTCAAGCTTGCCCTGAGGTAATCAATGAGTTAAGTCTGGACATGAAAGGCAGAGGACAAACTGGTTTGCTACTGTATGAGTCAGATGTGCCATACTGACGGATTGTCAACACATAATCTCCTAGAGCATGGAACTTGTAGGTTTGAAAATTGAAAACCTTCATATGCTGCCCATTATTGGGGGCAGTCTCAACTGGAGCACATTGCTTGCCAATGCACACACCCTTCTGTTTGGCCGCTTGCATTGCCTGACATCGTGTGCGAGTCTCAACCTTCCAATGAAGCTCATGCGTAGTGTAAGCAGCACAAACACTCGCTTTGAATTCCCAGAACTGTTGACTGACTGCCAAAGTGACTCCATCCATAATCTCAAGTGTCAAATAAGAATGCATTCGGAGCTTAGCTAGCCCATGCCAATGCACCATCATAAATAGCAATTTGAGAACTATCTTATTGTGGGGTTCAGGAAGAAGACCATTGAAGACAGGGATTGAACACTGCACATTGTCAGACACTATGACATCAACAGCAAGGAGTTCATACCTGGAGGAGGTCTTCAAAATTGTGAGCTGCCATCTGTTTCATCTCTGATGAGTTGGCAGAGAATTTTTGAATGGTCACTTGACCAAATGTGGGGGTTTCCCAGTATCTGTTGGTATAAATAAGATGAATGGTGTGCCGACATGATGACACTTGCATACCTCCGGTCCAGTTCATGAATAAGATATTTATCATGTGCCAAAAGGATGGTGAATAAAAGGAGACTTCCAAATGTTGATCTCAAACTCGTGTAAGAGATCGACCACAAGTGCTAGGAAAATATTAAATCCCAGAGGACCAAGGTGATCTGAGAATGCATTCTGAGGAATATTTAGCTATGGTCTGTTGTTAAAACAATGCAAGCCTCACCGAAGTTGGGACCCATAAATGTGGTTTAAGGATACGTTCCACCACTGCGCCACCAACCACTAAGTTCTGCTCGTAAATCAATTTGCGAGCAGTGCCCACAAGAATTCGTCTTCTGTCATCATTGCAAGCCAAAGTCTTGCATTGTTGTCAATCTTGCAGTTTGCCCATATTCTGGATTCGATGCTTTGGTATCAGGCATTGAGGACAGGGGCACCCTCCTAAGTTTTGAACCATCGCTATAAGCACTCTGGAGATAATGGAATCAATGGTATTTAATGACTAATAGGAGTTCACCTACTTTTCTGGGTAGTCTGCAGAGTAAGTGAAGATTCTTGGATAAAATCTTCGCTTGATGCTGTCACAGTAACAGATCATGATACTGTGCTCATATGCTGCCGAGAACTCATCATCCAGCAAGATCTTCCACTGTTGATGAAAGAACTCTCTGTGGCAATGGGTTGCACACTCACTGGTCATTCCCTTCCTGCCTATAAAATCCTTCAATGAGTCTGGAAGCTAAGCAGCATGATGGTAAGTAGGATATAGAAGCAAAGAATTAGCAAGGCATACTGTCTCAAAGTACACAACATGATTACTCAAGTTGCATGATGGCTTGCAGCAGTGATACTTAGACTTGTTACCAAAATACATATATGTAGGCCAGAGCTTTGTGTTGCCAAACGATGTGAGTTGCATGGCATCTGACCATAACATAATGCCAGCTACAACTTGGAGCAAGTCACAACCAGGTTCTCTGGGTGATTCTTGGAGCTCCATGTGGGCTTTGTGGAACACTGGCGATGTGTACAGGTCACCATGTATGGACACTTCTGCATCCAGGTGTTCAGGATTCCAGCATAGCTGGTACGGCTCATAATGGAACAATTTATTATCTCAAGAGTTTGAGAGCTTCTCCTGCAAGACAGAGACTAGTGACCGATGGTAGAGATGTGCGGCTTCATATACCTGGGACCCTGGTACTTGCGTGGTATGGGAAAAAGGCACGTAGATGGAGATCAGCATTCTCTTCCATCCAGTGTCTTCATTATGCCATTCATCCTTGTCTCCCTCATCATACTCATTCGCACCCAACATAGAGTTAATATTCTTCCAATTTGTAGAGCTCACATCAGCAGGGTTGAGATCACTGGTGCCCATTATTTCCAACAGTTTCATATAGTCTGCTTGAGACATTTGGAGTCCCTGGTTCCAGTACCAATCACTGAGCTGGAATGAGGAATGATTGGGATAGGGATGATAGAGAGCATTGCTACTTGGAATAGGAGGATCCTGAGGTACTGTAGGAATGAAGGAGAGGTCCATCGTAGTCACATACTCTTCTGGATCGTGGGATGGCATTGTATCAGAGAAGTACTGACACATGAGCCCAAGGATGTTAGGGGGGGTACAAAACACTGGGCACACTGGTATGCCTGGGTGGTCCTCATGGCTGATAACACACCCAATAGATTGCGGTGGTAGGTGGCAGATTTCTGCAGGAACAGTCAGTGGGGGTTGAGGGAGTACGTCCCTGAATCTCTGCAGCAGCTGTCGATTCTGACACCTGGGTCTTCATTGTGCCAGACTCATCTCTCCCACTTCATCACCACTCCCTCCATTGGGGTCCCAATGGCAAATGACTCTGACAAAATTTTGCCAATGGTTGGGCAGAGACACTGGATCTTCAGGATGTGAGGTGGCTGCATCGTCGGGACTGTCGTGGGCATACAATGCTGGCCAGACATTGGATGATGCAAACATCATGGAAGGCATATCCTCATTGTGTGATGTGTGCAGCTTTTTTCATTGTCGATGGACAAAGTCCTTTAAAGATGATATTGCAGATGAAAGACATTTTTTTGTGTGTGAGCATGAGCGCTGGTGTTGACTGTAGTAATCCTGTGCCATAAACATGCGCTTGCATATGCAAGTGTAACCAGACACCAACATGGAGGAACAACTGGAGCAAGACCTCTGTAACTGAAGGAGGTCAAGAGTTAAAGTAGAGTTGATACACTAGCACAGTAATGATTGCACATTGTTGAAATTACAGCAATATTGCTATTCACGGCCTAGAATATGACGGCTCTGCAATGATGTAGGCTAGATGGGGGCATTAAATTTGAGGCTGCTATTACTGCTGTATAGTGCCAGGAACACGATGGCACTGGGATGATCGACCTGGAGGGAGACCTATTAAGACATTTAATGACCGCCCTTCTGCAAACCCTAAAATGTCCGCACCCTCATCTCCATCTTTCTCTTGCTTGATCCTCACATCCTATGATTTCAAACCTGACCCCAAAGTGGTGATGATGCTGGTAAATATATTGATCACTTGCCACAGGATACTGCATTTCCATAGCCAAACAGGAGAACTGGCAACATTTCAATGGTGAGCAACTTGTCATGAAAACCTGGCAATGCTCACACATACATTTGATCTTCAGGCCAACCACTCGGCAGGGGCATAAAATCCATCCTTTGTGGTGGGAAGCATGTTGTGAGGCACATGCCTTTTGTTATCCCTGTTGCCTTTGCACCAGGGGAGGCAGATATGTTGAGGTAGTTGTGTTTCAATGAACTCGAGGAATGGCAGAAGGCGAGTACATTGCTGAATGTGCAACTGACACATGCAGCTACATGGGTGAATTAACATCCAAATTTAGCTATGGGTGAATGGCTAATCTGTCATATAGTAAATATCAAGAAATACTTCGGAAGACCATATGTACTGTCTGCATATTACCCTAGGAGAGGTGTGTTCAACATTACGCATGTCCTCACATGCTCATATGACCAGAGATCACGAACAGTGATCCACACTTCCTTCATGCGTGGTGCTACCATGTTCCTATTGAAGGAATCAGCGATTTTTTAGATTATGGGCAGAGGGTATCTCACATTCGCGTGGAACAGGTGTCATCAATTTTGATATTAACTATGTATTTGTGTGCAAAGCATGCAGTATATGTCATATGCACACTGTGCAAACACAACTATGTGTTTGTGCACAGAGCACATGTCATTGCGATATGCAAACACAACTAGTAAGTACTACAAGGACAACCTTATGTTTCTACAAATCATTAAGTATGACATGTCATGTAAGTATGAGGTATGAAGTGGTCAGAGAAAAGTAGGAAAGAAGATCAAAGTCGAGCAAGTACAGTTTATATACTGACTAGGTTTTGTAATTAAACTCCGCCGGCAGTACTCAGACAAAGGAAATTTCCCAACTCTCATGGTTAGTGGGAGGTTCTGATTGCAGCAACTCTAGCAGGAACAATTATGTCAGCACTCCTCAGTGGCCACTTGCTTGATCATTATAATTATGCGTAGCTGATCGACCTGCATGCCATGGCTTCCATTGTATGTTTTGACTTCTATCTATGTAACACTAACCACCAAGTAACAAAACCCTCCTTTTTGACCTCCCAAAAAATTGCAGTATAAACGATCTTTACCATTATCCATTTGGTGTTTTGTATCATCTTTATTGAATCAAAAGTGTAACACATAGATATGTTCCATTATCACAAAAGGCTGGCTCCTCCTCTTGTTCATGGGCTCACAGGATATGGGTGCCCGGGCCGTGTTTGTCATTTGGCTTACCTTACTCATTAGATATAATTCTAGATTTACATTATACCATGGATGTTGTCGGCGTGCTCAGGCAACTCATTCCCATCTTTGAGAACTTCCCCAGAGTGATCTTCTTTAAAACATAGTGCTATACAGCCACTTCAAAGTTCAAGCTGGGATGTATCAGGGTCTATCAGAAAGTTATTTTTGGGATCCGCACTGGCCTTTCATTTATGCTGAACTCCGTGACCAAATATTTGCTAAGTCCAAATAAGGTATACCACAATGTTAGTGCTATGTACGTAATAACCCCAAAATAACCTGCAACAAAGTACTTTGCCAACTTTATCACGACATATTGAGTCCCACAGTGACTGTTGCAGATTAAGTGCTTGCAAGGTATGCTTTTGAAGCAAGTATGTATATCCATGGATAAACACCTTGTGCTGAGCACCAATATTGTTTCAGCAACATGGAAGATCCCAGTGCTGCAACAATGTCACCCCGACAATTGGCTGTCCTCATCTTGGGAGAGGGTATGTGTTGATCTTGATCTTGCAAATGTACATGCTGTTATATCAGATTGCGACTACAGGAACTAACCTTCAAGCACTGATCAATGCACAGAACACCCAATCCCTGCCTAATACTTGCATTGTCCTCATTCTCTCCAATTGTAAAAATGCATGCACTTTAGTACGTGCTTCCACTGCCTTGCCTCCAATCCCTACCACGTACCTCGGCCTTCAGCCATTCCTTAAATCAAACCCTGGAAAGATGTGTGAGGACTATGATGTGGAGGTCACACACATCATGTTGCATGCCAAGCCAGATGCCATTGTATGTGCAGGCTGGATGCACATCGTGAGTGAGGGATTCTTGGATGTGCTCAAGGGGATGTGGGTGTTGGAGGGGGAGGAAGTGCTTGTGAGGGGGATACCTGTGATTAACATTCATCTGGCGTTGTTTGGGCAGTTTGATGGTATGCATGCTGTTGAGCAAGGGTTTGAGGCATTCCAAAAGGGGGAGGTAGATGAACTGGGTGTAATGGTGCACCATGTGGTCAAGGAAGTTGGTCGTGGGGAGCCATTAATTCAGAGGAGAGTAGAGGTGGTGAAGGGGGAGGTGATAGAGGCTTATGAGGAGAGACTACATAAGGTAGAGTGGGAGGTTATTGTTGAGGCTACTCAGATAGTGCTGGATGAGGTGCAACCGCCCCTGTCAAGCAATACTTCAAGTTAGCATGATCAGGCCTACATGATGGATGGCCAACTTGCGCAGTCGATCTAGCAAGCAATGAATGGGAAACCAAGTTAGAGAGATAGGGTAAACATTTATCAAAATTACAAATTCTATGCTCAGAATGGGAATCACATAGGGCGCGAGTCGTGCTGGTTTCTATAATGCGAAGGATAATTATCACTGCGAGCACACCATCAGCTCTCTCTGACTTCAAGGAGTCAAGTCTGAGCAACAGACCTGGATAGTATGTGGTCCTGATGCACAACGACATTCAGAGCACGTCAGTGATATGGAGGGGGTGACAACACATCACGATCATCGGCAACAAAAGCCTGCCATTTCCAGATATGTCTTTTTTGGGCCAAAACTGATCAGTAATTTTTTTCCCGAGTGGAGGCTGTGTCAAATGGTCAGAATCAATCAATCAAATAGAACAGAAACAGACATACAGGAGATGTGAGCACTGAAGTGCAAATAGGACTTGCTGGTGTCACAGGGATAGTCAATTCAGGGCTTGAATCAGAGTCCACAGTAGATGGCAATTGGCAATTGGGATCAAAGTCTGGCAATAACATAGAACTAGTAGCCTGAGCTAGTTGAATACATTTCCTGTGCCACATACCTCTGATTTAATCTGGTGCATATTGGAGTTTGAGTATGGGTCTGCTGTTGTTCAAGCATTGACTCGGACTCATGAGTCATTGACTGAATCATTGGCCAGTTCTCATTCAAAAACATACCATCATGGTGCATGTTCTAGCTAAGACTGGCTCATCTGCATGACAGAATTGATAAAATATTGGTGCTACAGCCCACTAGTTGTGTTCACTACAGGAAAGTTGTCCATGGAAAAGTATAGTACAGTACATACGTGGTTTCAAGTTAGGGTTGCGTACTAGGTTCTATGACACAGATCTGGTTGAAACTCAAGGTTAAGGGAGCCAAGCCTGCCAAGTCTGTATACACCTCCACAGTGTTTTTTTTGGCATTACACTTCGCTATAGTTAGGATATCCCCGTGATGGTCTCTGTCCAAAATGAGGTACTGTTGGTTCTTTTTATGTGGAGGAGCGGGGCTGAGGTCATTGGTGGGAATGCAATAATGTTGAATCGCGGCGCCAGCACCATTGGATAAGCAGAATGCTGCAATGCAATTTATGGGTGTGGGCCCATTCACACTGCAGAAGGGGTTGGGACACACCATTGATACAAATCATTTGTGTAATTTGCCCCCCATGAAGTTTGGCAAGACTTTCAACACTGCATGGTGCATAAGGAAAGTCAAAGAAAATTCCTTCCGCATCAGCCAAGGTAGTGGACCTATGATAAAATTAGTTAAATGTTATGATGCCTTTATTGAGGACTCACTGTTATCTTGAATATTCTCCTGTCCGGTCTCGGTGTCCTCTGGATTGACAGTCCAAGGGTCAGATGTCAACTCAGATGAAGTGGTTGAATTGATGGCCAATAAATGGTTTACTGCCCCAGCGATATCCTGGGGGTTGGTGGTCCAGGTGCTCAGAATGCTGGAAGACTGCATGTTGGGACATGCGATGGAGCTGGAGGAAGCTATTATTTTCTCAGGTGGGGGAGTGACGCTTTGAGGTGGCGGCTTCAAGTATGATTTTTGCTGTATTTCACAGAAAGCAATCAAGTTGTGCCTTTCGAGTATAGCACCATTCAACCACATTCCATAACTTAGCCAGTGAGCAATTAGATCACTGCAAAAATATGCGGTGCAGCTCACATAGTGGCAACATCAGGGTGTTTGAGTACTATTCATTTCTGCCCATGAACAGCAACTGTGCAGGTCTCACTCCTGACATCATATAGCATAGCTCAGTAGCCCTTCTGCTTACCTCCAATGATGAACACTTCTTTACCAATGATGTTCTTAAAGGTATCCAAACTTGCGTTGCGCATCTTCACCATGAACCTTATGGGAATGTTGATCTGTTACCAGTTAGATGGGTTCCAATCAAGTTGTTCTGCACTTACAAGTGATTCATCAGTCTGAGATAGGAGGGTCAGGTGAGCCATTGGAAAGTCAATGCTGTGAACAACCCCTGTCATCTGATGTTCCGGCCCATGAACAACTTTCACAAAGTCTCCAGGCCTGACATCATATCCCTTGTCCTTTGTGTATTTTATTGTCAGGGCAAGGTACATCTGCTGAACCCATGCCAAAGGAACTTTGATCATCACCAGTGCTGAAGCACACATTGGAGTGTTGTCCACCCATAAATACAGAACTGAGGTTCCCAGAGAAAACCAGCTGATGGTGCCACATTTACCCTTATAATATCCCTCAAGCACCTTTACATAATCTCCAATTTCAAGGGATTCGGTGTCGGGGGGAGGCTCACAGATTTGCTGTGTTGGCAGCTGTGATTGCAGTGCATGCATCAGAGGACAACGATCCAAGTAATACTTGGAAACTTCGACCTATTTGAAGCATTAGATAGGATTGATTAAAACATTGTATGTTCATACATACCTCTTCCTTGGTCAACTCTTGACAAACATGAAATACATCATTGCACATTTGAATGATGTGACCTTCCAAACCTAAGTATACACCTGCTATAACTCAAACCAAGTCACTGAGCCGAAACACGCGCTCTACATCCTGGAGTCAAAAATCTATTTGTTTTTGGTGTCCTTCGAAAACGGGTTCCAAGCACACACTACCAAATGCATGGTTTGTCGATACTACTTTTCCAATTTCTAAACAAACCTCTCCAGTGATGACCCTGGCCTCATCACTGATGCATAGAAATTGCATAGAGAATGCCAATTCAGTGGCCTTGATGAAGCATGTGTTCCATCCAGATTGCAGGTGCAGCCGAATGTAGTTGGGATGAGGGGTGACAACAATCTCTAGGCCATCCTGCCGAAATCTTTTGAGCAATAGCCCCATGTAATATTGTTCTCCTTTGTACAAGCATCCAATGACTTCCCCATCATGAAGAATGTCGGATACCGTCTTGTTGGCCAGAAGTCAAGATCAGTTGAACAATGCAGCAGACTTCTCAAGCACAGGATAGGGGAAGTCCCATGGGGGGATCAAGACTGCAACAAAATTGTTCAACTGCTCAGAATCATAGATGTAGCCTATGTTGCCTTTGTACTTGCCTTGTGTGATTCACACCCACCCTGGGTTGGGAAGTTTGGGGCATGCATGTTTGACTGCTTCACACTCTTCATCTGAGATACAAAGATATTCTCAGATGGAGAGAATATGTGTGGTTGGAAGGAATGATGAGATAGTTTTTGTGCGATCTGACACCACGTACAGCTGGCCTGGGATCCAGGCCAAGATGGTAATGGGGAGTCCTTTGTCCCGAAGGTGTTTGGCGATAAAGGCTGTTGCAGATCCTGCGAAATGATGAGTAACATAGTGATTAATGATTTGAAAAATGGTCATACTGTGAATACATAGCAGATACATCCTGCTTGGAATCATGCCAGGGGACCAGGTGGCTCTGTAAGGGAGGCACCTGTCTGATGACTTTGAAGTGTTAACCTTGTCGAAGATATTGTCGATCGCTGAGAGAAACGTCTGTTTGGCTGAAGATTCTGGCAAGCTCGTAACAAGTGGTGACCACGCAGAGTGGTTACCCTCTGCCTCCTCCTCCTCATCATCATCATCATCAGTCGAGTCTTCCTCTGCTTCAAGATTGATGTAAGGATTCTTCAGTTACAACACCTGTTAAGTATGCACTAGCCACAACTATAATTTTCACTTACTCTAGGCTGTTGATGTGGTCGATGATGACTCTTGCAAGTGTAGGCTGACAGGCATCCAGGCGTCCTTGCTGGAGTTGCAACTAAGGGAGAATCTTCTGGTGGATTCGCTACATTCGATGGTGAAGAGGACTGAGGTGTTATGTGTTTAGCATACAAGGCCTGAAGATTAGCCAAGGGAGTCGCGACATCATTTAAGTTGTCAGCAGAGAACAATGTGTCTCGAGCGTCCTTCCAGTCATCTGCACAGTATCTATCACCAAGGTCAGATAAAAATTCCTCTTCCATCTGAGGATAGGTCATCTCAGTGGTAAGGTACTGAAATAGAATGTGCCATGCACCTTCATCCACTAGTGGTGATGGTGCCACCCAACTTCCTGTATTGATTGAGAACAATCCATAAGTGACATATTGGCAGCATTGTAAAGCCGTGACTTACTTTCGCTTCTTACATGCTTCGGGTTAGGTTCATCATCACTTGATGATCCTGGCGCCTGTGTGCATTTCAAGTTGGACCGTGACATGCCAACTTTTCCTCAGAGTCCAACTTGAGTCTGTAGTGTACATGATCAATTTTTTATCAATAGCAAATGCAAAACATCACATACGATGCTAATAGTAATATACTCAAAGTCTGTTTGATAAGCTATGTTTTACTATTCCTAGTACTAATAGTAGGTGTGTATCAAAGTAGTGATAATGGAAAGAAGACTGTCAAGATGAGTATGATGAGTATTTATAGTGAATGACTAATTGGGCGCTTAGCAAATACATCACTGTGGCCACTGACACTGGTGGCCACAGTTCACCACGTTGACAGTGGTATGTGACTTCATACCATTGTCACAGTGTGGATTGATGTCTAGTACATGATGAAGAGTCCTCGGAGTCATTATTACAACATGTCCCATTTGAATCATACAATCCACCAGAGTCTAGACTACCTATTTACAGTAACACGTTGTGCTCACTTGAACTCCTAACTTACTACTTACAAGTAACTAGTATGTAGTATTCAAAATGCAAAATAAAGATCAAAAGGATACCACTAGGGGAAGCCACAGTTGATATACTGAATGACTATGCATTCAGGCTCAGCCAGCAATACCTGCTTAGTAATTGCATGTACTGGCTGAGTTTGAATATAAGCATTCACTATAAATAACACCTGTCCTTCATTGACACGCTTTCTTTTGAACTTTCATCATCTCTGAAGTTTCTACATAGATATGTCTTAAGATTTGTATCATACGTACTGTAGAGTGTATTTTGACATTACTGTAGTACAATTGAGTTGAATGCTACTCTCAGGAGCATGAATTTTGTCAAGTGCTGATGTTGATTTTTGGCTGAGTTTTTAATATCGTTATTCACTATACAATTTGGGTCATCACTCCATAGTATGCATTAAGTTTCAATGTAACTGTATAATAAGTTTATATTTCACGTTACAATATTTACTTGAGCCAAATGCGGCAGCATGCTAGCGCTGAGCACATATTCCATTATGCTACTGTTTTTGAGTTGTAGTAAGTGCATCCCACTATCCTGATACTCTCCCCACTCTCAGCCTTCACTTTCGCTATTCTAGGCCAAGAAGCTGGGGGATGAGGCACTCATTTCTGGTCTCTGCTTGTACATCAAAGGTACATAATTCTATTTTCTGCATTCATCTGGCAAGTCATTAACTACTCCTCAATGTGCCACAGCTTCAATTGTCCATTCAGGACAATGATTTTTGACATCCCTTACAATATCTATGTGCTCGATTGGACTAGAATTTGATTGAAGTTTTTTTATCGTTATGATACTTATGTTATGTGATGGGTTTTATGTCGTTATGACATTGATGGCACTCAGACGGCGAGGCTCTTTCGGTTATGATACCGATGGCGCTTGGACGGCACACCTGTTATTTATCATGTGCTATTAATGTTTGGATATATAAAGCATCACATTTTGCTACTCAACTCATAGCTCTCCTTCAAGTATGAGTAGTGATGAGAACCACCCCTCTGGTGATACTTCGCGCAAGTGTAGTGGCTCAGTGCTTCATATGGGTCCATGTAAAAAGGCATAAGTGCTCTTTCAGACAGTGATGGACTGCCCTGACTTGTCCTCATCAGGAGTTCATCGAATCCCCTTGTTCTCCACAGTTGACATTTTGGTCAAATGGTCTTCACATTGTGCAACTACCCCACCCTTCTAATGGCAGGTGTACTCTGACTTGAAGAATCACCAGACTCTCCTATAGAGGACTACCCATTGGAGTAAGTGCAATTCTGACACTCAGATGCTGCTAGCACTTACAGTACTGTCAATTAGTGTTCAACAGGAACACATGGTATTTATGGCGCTTGTTGATTCTTATCCTGGTCTCTTGGATCATCTGATGAATGGAGAGGAAGAAGATCTTATTCAGGTAGGAGAATTGGTAAGCTTTCAGTAATGGAAGGACATCACACTCACTGTGTAACAGCTGGGTAAAGGGGCCTCTGGTGCATGAGGTGATGATACTAAAACCCTGAAATCCGCTGTCCTTGAATGGCTTGTTCCAGAGGACAAGCAGTCATTCCCCCTCTTGCCCAAAACATTAAGTCTGACCAGGGATTTGATTATGAAGTTACCGGTGTGTTGCTTTGCCCTGCAGGTCTTGATTGGTCAGATGCACAGTAAGTCTTTCCATCATGACATAACCAAAATGTTGTAACACTACCCAGAACCAAGGAAAGTCTCAAGACTGGTGAAACTGCAGTTCATGGTGACCAATGGCCTATGTTCTTATATGCAGGCTGTATTTATGATCCTGAAGATCCATGGAAGGGTTTGTTGAGGAGTGAGATTCTCATTTTTGTAAGTTCATTCTACTGGCAATGCCTTACTCATAACGATGTCCCTTTTGTAGGGTTTCAAACATGTCTTCACATCTCCAAGCTCAGTTGATAAGGAGCCCAAGGCAACGCACTCCAGCAACACATACCTCCACAGTATGAAGTCCGTAACTAAAGGATGTTTAGCCTATATTGCCACACAGGTATGCAGCAGATTGTATACCCCATACCTCTCCTAACTATTTGTTAAGGTTCAGTTTTCATTGAGTGAGGAAGTAGGTGACCTGATGATGTGGTGGACTCAGTTTGTCATACATCTTATAAAACTCAAACTCCAATCTAACACCTTGTACAGTCATGTTTTTCCTAATTCTTTGTCATCACAATGCAGTGTCAGCAAAAACAGCACGCTCTTAAAGATTTGAGAGAAATGCACTGCCCTTCAAGAGTGAGCTAATGCTAGTATGGATTGATTTATTGTCTTGTAGATATAATATATTGTTCTGTACAGCCTGTGAACTTTAATTATTCAATTGATGAATACAGAATGTTGCTGTGTGTGTAAAGATGATGCTATGTGAAATCCTTCTACATATGTATATAGGGCTATATGTGTGGCGAAATATCATCAACATGCTTTGATGGGATAACTCATTGTAGTACCTTTACTTACTGTCAGTAATGGTAGACCTCATAATTAAAAGCTGCCTATATACAGATAGATGCAGTTGGTGAAAAATCAGCAACTTGCTTTGGCCTGACAACTTCTTGTAAGTGGAGGTATGTTTGGCAACATATCTGTAACATGATATGCTTGGTTGAAGGAGAGCATCTTGATAGTGTAGTGCCAGAGCTTGACTTTCAGGCAGTGATTGTACATCCTACCATCAGAAGCTGTCCCTGTAACAGCAGATATGCTTGGTTGATAGAGAGCATTTTGATGCAACTTGATAACTCAGTGCCAGAACTTGACTTGCAGTCAATAATTATACATCCTGCCATCATAAGCTTCTACTATAACAGCAGATATGCTCAGTTGATGGAGAGCATTTTGATTTGTTTGATAATTCAGTGTAAGAGCTGGACTTGCAGTTAATGATTGTACATCCCTATAGTATGACAACTGGATATCATACCCTGGCACATTGTTAGTGATTACATATCTTGCTGTAGGAAGCTGCCTATGTAAAGCCAGACATATTGGGTAGATAGTCAGCACCTTGCTACTGTACAATAATCTAGTATCATGTGCTGACACATTGTCAGCAATTGCAGATCCTGCCACTGGAAGCTGCCTATGTAAGAGTAGATTAATTTGATAATAACACATCAATGTGCTTAGTAGATTGTAACTTGGCACTATAGGTCTGCCAATATTATAGCATTGGGAGATCCCACCAATGTAGTCTACCTATCCATGGCTTTATCATGTGATCTGCAATTGTGATATATATTTTCAATATTGTATATTAGATAAAGCTAGCTAAATCTTTGTCATACTCAGGTCAAATGCCTGATGGAGGACTGCCTAAGGTGTCAAAGGTGCCAAGAGGTAATAAGAGTCAAAAAGGAAAAGGGAAGATGAAAGCTTACCTGGAGGCTAATCCCCTGGGTTTTGTAACATGTGGACGCAGACTTCTCTTCTTATTGCCAACACACCCCCTCACCAAGACACCAACTGCAGGCCTGGTAGTCTGTAGATGCTTTTCAAAGAGAGGGTGAGGAAGGGCCTTCATGAAAATGTCTGTGGTATTGTTGTGGGAAGGTAGCCACTTGAGTAGGAACATCCCTCTCTCAATGTGCTCCCTTATAAAATGATATTGTATGTCAATATGTTTTGAGCAAATGTGATTGCGAGCTTCAGTTGACAAAGAGATGGTGCCAGTGTTGTCCATATAGATGAGGATGGGGAAAGGAAGGTGAACGCAGAGGGTGATGATGAGCAATTTGATTCAAAGTCCTTCTTGGATGACATGAGTGACTGCCATATACTCAGCTTCGGTGGAGGAGAGGGCATGGGTCACTTGTTTCTTTGAAACATGAGCTATGACTCCCCCACCATAAAACCATACATAGCCTGAGATTGATAAATGATTGATTGGAGAGCCTGCCCAGTCAGCATCACAATACACATGCAGGCCATCGTTTATGTTGGCACCCCCATAATGAAAACGCAGGTTGATGGTGCCAGAGAGGTAGCAGAGCAGCTGCTTTGCTGCTGCATGATGAGCAGGGAGTGCTTTAGCACTGTGTTGAGCAAGTGAGTTGACAGTGAATGATATGTCGGGACAAGTGCAGACAGCAAGGTAAAGCAATTCTCTGACGAGCTTGCAATAAAGCATTGGGAGGTTGGGTAAGGTGTCATACAAGTCGCTTGGTTTTCTGAAAGGATGATGTGAGTCAAGTGGGAGACGGACAGGGTTGCAATCAAGGAGGTTGTATTCTTCGAGTAAATAGGTGATGTACTCACCTTGGTGCATCCAAAGTTTGCGGCTGCTGTGATTGCATTCAAACTGGATGCTGATGAACTTAGAGGCCGGTCCCATGTCCTTGATGCCAAACCATTGGTGGATCTTCTGCTTGACCTAGACCAGGAAAGCAGGTGTATTGGATGTCCCTAGGCCATCATCGACATGAAAGCTGATAATGCGGATCATGCGACTGCCAGAAGTGTTGCTGTTGAAAAGGAATACCATGTAGTCAACAGCACAGTGAGTAAAGCCCAACTCCTCTGTAATTTCCCGAACCTGCTCATACCACTCCATCGTGGACTGCTTCAATTCATAGATTGTGCAAAGCATTCACTAAACCTGCACTTTCCAGTCCCCTTCCTCAAATCCTTTGGGCTGACACATGTAAATCTCCTCCTTGAGCACTCCCCAAAGGAATGCATGTGTGGTGTCAAACAAGTGAAGCTCCCAATCGTTTTTGCAGGCTAGAGCAGCTATGAAGCATAGTGAGGCTGTTTTCAGTACAGGCGCAAAGGTAGCACTGAAGTCCACCCCAGGTATCTGCGAGAATCCTTGCGTGATGAGATATGCCTTATAAACCGGACCATCCTTGTTGTCCTCTTTAAACTCCAGAACCCCACGATTACTGATTGCTTTATGTCCTTCTAGGAGAGGGGAGAGTCGGTACACACACATTTCATTCATGATGTGAAGTTCTTTCTTCATGGCAGCCAGCCATTTGTTTTGATTGGTGCATAGCATTGCTTCCTCGTATGTAGCTGGAGGGATCTTCATGTTGTATCCAGAACTGTTAGGATTGTGCTCGTGGTCGCTGCAGATGGTGATGTGTGCTTGTTCCTCAATCAGGACATTTGTGAAGACTTTGGGAACATCGATGTTCAGCTCTATGACCTCCAGGTTCTCTTTGTTCTCATTCTCCTCTGCCTCCACCTCCTCTCTGTCCTCTATCACCCCCTCACTCGACAAACCAGGTCCAGTAGCTTGCTTAGCACATGATACGTGTAGCTGTTCAAGTCATTCCTTGGTGGCCACCATTTCTTCTGCATAAGCACACCCAACTGACATTAGAATCCATGTTCTACCCAAGCAATGTGGAGGAGCAGCAGGAGAAGAATGACAGGGCTGAGCAATGGAAGAAGGAGTGGGGACTTGGGAAGAAAGAGTGATTTGAGGGACAGGTGCAGGGGGTACAGTCCGAGGAAGGTCGTCTTTGGAGTCTGAGTCAGCGGAGGGACTGATACTGGGGAGGCGCTTATTGAATATGACGTCTCTTACAACAAAGAAGGTGCCATTAGCATCATGCAGCTGATAACTCTTTGTACCTTCTGGGTACCCAACGAACATGGCAGGATGTGAGTATGGACTGAGTTTTGCCTGTAGCTTGGTGGGAATCTGTGCAAAGCATCGTGAGCCGAACACTCGGACATGAGAAAGGTCTGGCTTATGGCCATTTACCATTTCATATGGCATGACATTGGGAGGTAAGGTACTGGAAGTGCTTTGGTTCCAAAGATAGCATGCCATCAGGGCAGCCTCTCCCCACAGATTCACAGGAAGTCCTGCCACTTCCAACATCACAAACAGATGCCCCTCGATAGTATGAATGGCACATTCTGCCTTTCTGTTTTGTTGATGGGTGTATGGTGCAGAAAGTTGTCATTCAATCCCAGCCTCTCTAAGTGCCTTAGAAAAGGCATTACTCAGGAACTCCCCACCATTGTCCGAATGAAAAACTCCAACCATGTGCCCTGAATGATTCTCCCATCATGCTTTGATCATGCACTAGGCTTCAAGAGCCTGATCTTTGGTCACAAGAAGCTGAATGTTCAGCAGATTTGTGTGATCATCTAGGAAGACTATAAAATGGAGCTTGCTGTGAGGCATGGCGATGGGAAAAGGACCACACAAATCTGAGTGAATGAGATCCAGCATTGGATTGGCACAAGGCTCCTCTGAAGGAGGATAGGGCTTACATGGGTGCTTCACCATGATACACGGCTCACAGCATTGAAGGGGTGCAGTGGTATCAAGCTTGATACCAGTGGCAATGCATCCTAGGTGTTGCATCTCCACCTGGATGGCCCATCCAGGCATGCCATAGGTCAAGTGATAGAGGTAGGTGCACGAATGCAGAGATCTTGCAAGGAGGCTGATGAGCACAGTTTAGCAATGCGGTATTTGGATGGATGAACTTTAGATCAACAAAGAACAAGTTCCCAGTCATTGGGATCTGCCCTAGTGTCATATCCCATATGCCAGACATAGATCCCATCATATTCCCACGCTTTCCGGACCTGTTTCCGGACCCCATATCCAACTCATTCCTGGATCCCCTATCCTGTCCACCCTACGCACATTCTGTCCAGCAAGACATCTGGACTTTACCTCCTCTTGGATTCCGGACTACATCTACCACCTCACATATCTCAGTCCTGTTTCCATCCTGCCTTCCGGATCCCCAGATCTCCGGACCTCCGGATATTAACTGTACTATCTCTGGACCTATTCCCACCCTCCATCTGAGATCCTGCGCCTATCCCCATTTAGGCATCTCCGCCTTTCCAGTTCTCGGTTATCTCTGTTTCCATCTTGCTGATTGATCCTTGTACTAGTTTCATCTCTGAGTTCATTTAGTTATGTTCCGTCTTACTTACCAATGTGTTTCCACATGCTCGTACATAGCCTTACTCCTTTGCTTACTGATCCTCTCAGAGAGCCTCTAGTATATAACCCCTGTACAACTACAGTAGAGTCCTCAGTCTGAATATCATCTTAGTTCCTGTTCATCATCTTAGATCCTGTTCTACTTGCCAATCATCTTCCAGACTTCAGTCTGTCTGAGTCTCGTCCTTTTCCATAAGGCCTAGGGAAGGATTCACTGAGCCAGAATTCCAGACCTTTGGATGTGTCCCCTATGTCTCTATCCCAAGTCTAGGGATTGCTTCCCTAGGCTGGAGTCCTGCCTTTCCAGCACTTACCCTCTTTCCGGACTTAGGTCCACTTCCTGTCCCTCCAACTCTACCTTAGGGTAGTCTACCTCTGTTTGCTTCTACATCAGACTTTGTCTGATGTAGCCCCTATTCCTTCCAGACCTCCAGACCTCCTGTCCTCTGTACCTCCAGACATCCTGTCCCTCATACCTCCGGGTATCCTGTCCTTTGGACATTCTGCCCTCCATACCTTCAGATGTTCCGCCCTCCATACCTTCGGATGTTCCATCCTCCATACCTCTGGACCTCCGGACATCCTGCCCTCCTGTCCTCTGGACCTCCTATCCTTCCATCCTGTTTTCCTGTAGAAGTATTACCTTACAGCAGGAACTCTCCTGAGCATTTCCTGCATTCCTCCGGAACTCTCCCACGCTCCTCCGGACGTTTCCCACGCTCCTCCGGAAGTCCTCCCACACTCTCCACCAGAGTAGCCAGCCTCTGGAAGTCCTCCAGACTTCCTCAGACCATCATCAGACTTCCTCTGAAATGAAGGGCACATACTTGGGTAAGAGGCACAGTGTATGAGCTGAGGCCAAGCCCCTCTGAGTCAGTCTCTCTCTCCTTTGAGCATGGTTCTTAACACCTAGGATCTCACCATGGTATTTGAGTTCACAATGTGGAGGTGAATGTTTGAAGTTGCATGACCACTTCTGCTTGAGCATGTGCCTGATGGACAGGAGGTTGATCATTGCGCTGGGCGCATGTAAGCATTCAGTGAACATAATTCTAAATGTACATCCCCCAAGAGTCAGATCTGCAACACAATTTCTGCATCCAGAAGTCACCAACCTTTCATGATTGGCAGTTTTGACCATCACTAGAGAGCTTTCTGAGTAAGTCCAGAAGTAGCTACAATCTACAATGAGGTTGGGGGTTGTACCCAAGTCCAGGATGGTGGATAGCGACTGCTGTATGATGCAAGTGATGTCATCAAAACTGGGGAGAGATTTGGGGTCAGTTTCAAGATCCTCTATCAGGGCACAAGTCAGGTTGTGAAACTCATCAGCAACAGCACTGGTGGTGTCCGGAGTAGGAGGTGCAGGCAAACTGGGAGAGGAAGCCTCACTGGAGGCTAATCCCCTGGGTTTTGTAACGTGTGGATGCAGACTTCTCTTCTTATTGCCAACAACATCAATACAAATACAAAATGATACGTCGACCTCTCAGTCATCAACCTTTCAGTCAAGTCTCAATTGATCCTGGCTGCTCTGCACTGTCTTTGAACTTTCTGTCAAGTCTCAGACACAACTTTAGATGTACTGGCTTTGTCATTAAGATGCATTCTCTTCAATTCCAGTTGCTCTGCATTGTCTTCTTCTTCAATAGGGCATTTGTAGTTAGACAGCACCCGGATCAGCCCTAGTTTGAGGATGGTTACCTTCTCTGGGGTAGCTTGGAAGCTGCCGATATCTTTAATTTGCCAGTGTTGGATGTGGAATTGTACTTCAACCATAGTGCTGTTGATAATCTCATTGGCATGTACTGGTTGCACGAGATGATTCTCATGGTAGAGAGGAAATGGATGTGCTTTGAACTTGTACTTAAGGATATCAAACTCTTTCAACAGTTCATCCGGGATTGGCCAGTCCCTGGTTTCTTCATCCATCTTAGATGCATTCTGTGTGTTTTGTCTGTGCGGTGAGTCTGGCACTGTTTCATCCTGTATTGTGTTGTGAGGTTGATGCATCAGCAGGATATTTAACACACACACGCGTTGTGAAGACATTGCTGGTGAAACATATCATTTTTCCGGTGACGTCTTCAACTATCATGTTCTTGTATTCTTTTGTCTTACCAACTTGGTTTTGCAATGTCTCCAGGTTATTAACTGCAGCTGTGAAATCAGTGCCTAGTTCTGCATTCACAGGGCGACAAATGTGGAACTGGAATTTTGCTTTTTCCAGAGGACTCATCCCTCCGCTGAAGTGATTTCCGGCTGGCCCGCATCTAAGATGATATGTGGAAGTGCAACCTACTATGGTCGTGAGAAATGGTTCTTCATCCTCATTGACCACCTCAAGGCCAGTCAAAGTGTGTTACCATGTGGTGGATGGGATAAAGTTAGGAGAAGCAGTGTAGCTCCTCACATTTGATTGCTTAATGTGATATGAGTGAGGATCAAAATGTTGGGTCATGGTCGTTGTAGTCTGACGTGTGTTTAGTCAGATGACATATGTCCAATTGTATTTGTCAGTGAATAATGATTACACTTGTTTACCTTTATCGCAGTTGAATGCCATGTCTTCAACACTCCATGCAAATGGTGCAATTTTTGATGAAGAAGGAAATTGTTACTGAGGCTGGGTCTTTTTTAACCAGTCTCAAGAAGCGTTCTCAAGCCACTCTTATTGCAGCTATCTCCCAATTGCAAGAATTACAGCTAGCTGTGAGAGACACTCACCACCAAAAACAAGACATTTAGCAGGAGGAAAAGGAACGACAATTGAAACACGCATGCTTTCATGACTCGGTGTCTTCTGGAGAAGTAGACATAGATAGTGATTTTTTGAAGAATCCTCATGATGACATCAAATGACAGGTGCTTGCAGGTTTTATTGACCAGACTGGCAACATTGCCACCATGGTTGTCATATGTATGTGTTGTGCAAGGGAGCTTGCAGTCCCAGATGTGCAGAGTTTTTTTGTTGACGAACTTCCTAATCGTCATCTTCTGATGCCTGTCATCCAGCATAGTGTTCAATTGTTGGTACATGGCATGCTCTTACACATGACATCAATCTCCAAAGAAGACAGCTGCCAGTATGGACCCATTTGTGATGAATGTTTCGAAGACCTGCACATTGGCAACATCCCTGTTCATTCATTGGTCAATGGCCTTGAAGTGGGTGCGGTACCCGACATTCTTTCCATCCTTAATCTTCCTGAGCAACTTCTTGTTGCTCTGTACTTTCCTGCTGTTTATGTTCTCAAGTTGTACCTGCAGCACAAAGGAGCTAAGCAGTGGGATTCTATGTCTCTGAATAGTGGTGTTCAGGGCAATGTTTCGACTTAGCAGTTGAATACACCTGACATTGCTAGGATGATTGAGGGCAATTTAATGCCACACAAACCTGCTATACTTGCTGTGATGATTGCAGTCACCATTATTGGTCCTACTAAACTCCTGGTCAAGTCACTACCATCATTTCTGTCAGTTAGTCAACACTGCATCAAGGCTGTGTTGTCATTTTTGAAACATGAGAACCATCTATATTGGAACATCATGATCTTGGATGCCAATTTATCACTTTTGCTGGAGGATGGTGTCCCTGAGGATCTTCTGTCAGTTGTGAAGTACTCTGATGAGCAATATCTCCTGGAACAAGAACAAGCAGGATACATAGTGGGAGATGACGATGACAACGGTTAGTCGTCCATTCAAAGTTCATTCACATCAGTTAAAGAGTCTAGATTTACATTCTACGTTCAAGATGTTAGACTCTACAAATAACACCAGAGAAGAAGATGTTGATGTTGGTGGAGACATTGGTCAGTCCCTAAAGTTTTGTCAATACTTAACTCACTTCTCTTAAGATCCACATGTTGTCCCAATTCAAGCTCATGGCATCATTGATACTGAAGCAATGCTGCTTTCAAACCAGGATGTCCTTGCTAATGCATTAGCAAACACATCTTCTGTGGAATCTTATGTGGTTGAACATGGATCTGGGTTTGTTAATGAATATGCGTGCCACAATGCAACCAGTGTGCTGTATGCTGGTACTCCAGATGATCCAAATCATCTCTTAGGTGCTTTTCCTTCCTTGTTTCCTTATGGCCTAGGCAGATTCAAAGTCTCTCGACCGCGTTCTGTCTCTTATGAAGCTCACACTAAGTAGGCTATGCAATATGGTGACAAACACTTTTGAAAAGACTTCCATTTCATGTTTCAAGTGTTTGGGGTTATCCAGAAATGTCAAGTATGCCAATCTGTGGTACTCCAAGTGCAGAAGAAGGCTTTTCAGGACAATGAGGCATCTTTCGCTCATTTGACAGTGGATGATCTTGCACTTGCTGGTTGCCAAGAAGCTAAAAAGGAAACTATATCCAATCCTGTTATCTGCTCCTTGAAAAAGCATCTCATTGCTGTTCAAGTCAATGTGGTGGGTACAGATGAATCCAGGATCAGCATCCATGCCTATACAGTGGCTCAAAAAAGTGTCTCAATGTTTGTGACTTTTTGTGTAATTGCTGTACTATGAGCTAGGGTGTGAGAGTATGACTAAGCCATAGGGAGGTGTGGGAAAGCTCTGCTTCTAAGCTTCATGTTTGATCCCTCTAGCGTGAGAAAATTATGTCATCAAGTGAAGATATGGTTAATTTAATTTGGTGACTCATTGAGACACTTTTTTGACTTTCAGTTTGACCAAAACAATCTCTATAATTCTGGTACTTGGTGTTTCCTCCTGTTGCTCTAATTACTTCTGCCACTCTTCTATGCATAATATCTATCAATTTGAGGCATTCCTCATCAACAATCTTGCCCCACTCTGCTGCAACTCTCTCCCACAGCTGAAATAGCCCCTATTGTTATTATCATCAGCTTTTCTAATCTGTATACCAGGCAGATTGCTACTAAAACTGGTCTGAGCAGGGTTACTATCATTAGGATCATAAAAAAGTCATTCCAGATAAGAAAAATATCAAATTAGATTGTCCTTTCAAGCTTACATCATATAACAAAAAATCTCTTGTTCATAATATTCCAACTAGGCAGGCTGCCAATGCTACTCAAGCCACCAAATTCATTAATGACATCATCTACACTGCTCTCTCTACTCAAATAGTCAGGGGTACTCTTAAGGCAGCCAATCTTAAAGCTGTAAACAGGCAGAAAAGCCTTTCCTGTCTTCAGCCTATATAGGAAGGAGATTGGCCTTTGCTTTAAAGCCTCAATATTGGACTGTTGAGGACTGGAATAGGGCTACCTGGTCAGATGAAACAAAAATCAAAAGGATGAAGCATACTTCAAGTTGACCATAAAATGGTTTGAAAACTATGGTATCAGTGTTCTATCATGGTAAGTCCAGTCCTCAGACCTCAACCCTATTAAACAGCCCTGGTAATTACTCAAGATATCACTTGCAGTCTATCAAGATCCTCAATAGGGGTTATTTCAGCTGTGGGAGAGAGTTGCAGCAGAGTGGGGCAAGATTGTTGATGAGGAATGCCTCAAATTGATAGATATTATGCATAGAAGAGTGGCAGAAGTAATTAGAGCAACAGGAGGAAACACCAAGTACCAGAATTATAGAGATTGTTTTGGTCAAACTGAAAGTCAAAAAAGTGTCTCAATGAGTCACCAAATTAAATTAACCATATCTTCACTTGATGACATAATTTTCTCACGCTAGAGGGATCAAACATGAAGCTTAGAAGCAGAGCTTTCCCACACCTCCCTATGGCTTAGTCATACTCTCACACCCTAGCTCATAGTACAGCAATTACACAAAAAGTCACAAACATTGAGACACTTTTTTGAGCCACTGTATCTGGGGCATGACTGTTCTCAGAAACCCTCCCTCTTTATGGGTTACAATTAATCCAACTGATACACATGATCCTATTGTCCAAGTATTCACTGGAGAGGAGATTGACCTGGATCTATTTGATCGCACAGCAGGGCCTGATTCTGCCCAGTGTGTGAAGATTGTTGCGGACGACCCTTACACTGTGGCTAAGTTCTTTCACTTCATAGTTTGAGCCATTTTTGAGGAGTTTATGGGCATTATTGTTCATAAATGTGCAGCATGAGGTGGTCAAATTGTTCGACACAAAGGTATTTTTGGAATAGTTGAGGGGTATATTGGTACCATGGAGGCTCAAGGCCAAGGAACATTGCATCCAATATATGTGCACATCATGATGCAGTGACAGAGGAAAGTTTGGCCACAGCACCTCAAGAGAAAGCAGTCTCTTACTCTTGGCCCCTGGATCCCCATTTATCCTCCTTTTCAGCCTCTCATTCTGACTTGGAAGGTCAATTGGTTTGTGCTGTTCAAGTCCATAAATGTGGTCCCAGTTATTTGAAGGTTAGTGGTGGTCGCTTGTTATGCAAGCATTGTGCACCATTTCCCTTATTGCCTGGGGCATGGATTGATTCTAATGGTGATTGGGTTCCTCAACGCACATACTGGTTCCTTAACAACTGAAATCCTACCATTTTGCTGGTGACTCGATTGAATCATGACTGCAAACTTATTACAAATGGTGAGGGAATGAAACACATCGCATGGTACATCTCATTGTATGCCACAAAACAACAGCAACACTCCTGCAATGCATCTGCCCTTTTAGCAAAAACTGTCGCATATCACCAGTGTGATGAAGCACATAATAGTGATATCTGCACCCTGAACAAATGATTGCTACAATGGTGTGCTAATGCCCTTAGTCGCAAGCAGGAGTTTAGTGCACCTGAGGTAGTGTCCTATTTAATGGGATGGGGGGATCATTATATTTCGCACCCATTCCAGACTATACATTGGAATTCAGTTACAGTGTTGTTGAAGCAAAGCTTTCCCTTTTTGAGAGATTATCAGTAAGTAATTTGAAGCTGTTAGATTATCATTAACTGACTTTCATGTAGGGTGAAGACTTGTACATCTACCCAGGATTCACATGTAACTGTGGACAAACGTAGTCCGGAGGTGCATTTATTTGTCCTTTGCAGTAGATTCCTTACTTATTCATAGACCAAGTACATTTCTGTGGAAATTCACAAAGGCAATCTACACATACATGATCAAGTTTGGGAATACGTTGATCATGGATATGAATTTGAACAACTTAGCTATTTGGAATGTTTCCTTAACACATACGATATCAGGTCTGCAGCCAACATGCCTTTAGTGCACAAGAAAGCAGGTACCAATTTCCACATTCCATACCTTGCTGGAACCTCTCATTTAGGACACATTTGTGACTTACGAGCTGAAGGACATGACACTATGCCCCACATTCCAGGTCCCTGGTTTCCATCCACAAACAACTCCAACTCACGGCCATTTTATAGCGCATCCATGCTTGCACTGTTAAAACCTTGGCAAGACATACAGATGTTGAAGAAAAACGAGGAGACATTTGAAATGGTGTTCTCTTCTTTTATGGCCAGTGCCCCACAGAAGGTACAAACTATTGTCGGCAACATTCAGTATTTTCACAATTGTGCTGACCAAGTGAAGTGCGAGGAGGAAAAGATGCAACTCACTCATAACTTCAATTATGCTCTGGTTCCACCTGGGGAGCACCTGGATGACACATGTGATGATAGTGAAGGTCCTGCTGGTCAATCTACAGAAGTAAGTGATTCTGTGGAGGACTGTGTTAGTGACAAGACCTCTTGCATGCCTGTGAAGGATCACTTACTACGTGTGAGATGGTCTACACAGAAGTTGCAATGAATATTGCAGAGGAGTACAATTTTTTCGGGATCACACAGGAATCCACTCCATGTCAACCTCTTGTGACTATTGTTACAGATGCTGATTTGCAGCATTGTTTGGAGTGGCAGCACTACATCACAGAAGCCGATTCACCCAGCAAAGAAACCCATCATACAGAAGTTAGCACAGGAGGTGTTATGAGCACACCTTCATCCTTGTCCATTCATCCATCCATGCAGTTGGAGATTTCTGCAGGAGAAAGGTCTACGGATGAGTCTAAATCATCTCCCTTTGATCCTCCAAGTCATTTGAACAAAGAACAATCTATGGCTTTCATAATCATTACAGAACATATCTATCAAATTCTTACCAGTAAAGATCCTCTGCAGCTCCTTATGGTCATCCATGGTCCAGGTGGTACAGGGAAAACCCAGTTGTTGAAAGCTATAACAAAAATGTTCTCTGATATTGGTATTGTAGATCATTTTGCTAAAACTGCTTTAACTGGCATCGCAGCCTGTCAGATTGGAGGGAAAACTTTACACTCCTGGGGTACTCTTCCTGCCAGCAAAGGAACACCATGCAGTGATATGTGGATCTATTGACCGAGTGCACAAACTGCTTGCTGATGTCATGTGAACATGCATGATACATTTCTTCTCACTGCCAATGAAATGAGCTTGTTAATGACAGATATGCTCTATTTATTATCTCAGGTGGTCACTGCATTTCATTTGGCCAATACAAGGACTATGGTTGATGCTCCATTCACTGGGCTTAGTGTCGTCTTGTTAGGTGATTTTCATCAGTTTCCTCCAGTTGCTGGCCATAATCGTGTGTTGTATTCTCAACATCCAACTACTTGCAAATGTGAGTTGGGCAGGAATCTTTACACCCAATACTGTCATCAATCTCAGTCAGGAAGTTCAAATCACAGACTCGGTATGGCTTGACATTCTAGGCCATGCCAGAGTAGGTGCATGTACTAGTGACAATCTTGCAGAAATCCAACAGTTGGTGTTAATGATGGAGGATTGTAAAGTTCCTGATTTTGCTGTGGCTCCCTGGATGCATGCAGTGCTCATTACTCCCCGAAATAGTGTGCAGATTAGGTGAAACAATTGAGTGACAGAGAAACATTCCACATTATCAGGAGAGATGATGTTTATTTGTCCAGCCAAGAACTGAGGATTCTGCACACAGGCAACCTCTGGATTCACGACAATGATTAATAGTTGTGGGGATGCCTCTAAAAGAAACAGAACAACTTCCTATGATGCTTAGATTAGTGAAGGGTATGCAGGTTATGGGAACCTGTAATCTTGCTACTACTGCTAATCTTTCTAACGGCTCTCAAGGTAGAGTGGTGGAAATAAAGTTGGATGTTAGAGAAGATCAAGTCAACAATGAAGCTGTCACTGCATGCAAAGTCTTTCTTCATTATCCTCCAGCATTAGTGATACTGGAGCTCAACTTCTGTGAACTACCCCCCTTGCATGGTCTGGCTGAATGTCAAGTACTGTTGACACCTGAGAGGTTTAAATTTACCATAGGCTCTAGTCCATCAACTACCATAACTTGACAACAACTTGCTTTATCTCCCACATATGTGTTCACTGATTTCAAGTCGCAGGGACAGACAATCGAGCATGTATTGGTTGACATTGGTTGAACCACATGCTTCAATTTGTCCCCTTTCAATGCATATGTGGCTTTGTCTAGAAGCTGTGGTCACAAAATGATTAAGCTATTGAGGGATTTTGATAATGACTTATTTCTGTGACATCCCTCTGAGGATCCCTGAGTAGAAGAAACACATATTGATGCACTGGTAAAGGAAACCACAAAAATATTTGATAGTACACATGTGTGAATATTTAGATGTATCATTTACCAGTCTCTCATAAGTGCCATCAGATCCACTATCATGTCTTCATCTTGTGAGTAGTAGATGCTGGTTTTGGTTGTATGCAACATTGTGCATAGGATATCTACTTTGAACGTTATTACACCCTCATTATGTACTTTTGGGACTCACCTATAAAGTTATCGATGCCTCAATGGTGTCCCATTTCAGTGTCGATTAGGATAATTTCTTGCTCACTTTTGGTCCACAGTTCCCCTGTAAGAAGCAACACAGTCCTTGCTTTAATGGCTGATACAGAACAATATTTGTGCGGCATAGGTTGGACTGGAAAGCAATGTGTATTTGGAGTGAAGTATATACCTGGAGCTATGCACTGAGTAAGAAGGTTCCACTTCCATCATTGTTCCTCGCTACCTCATGCAGAGAGGTGAACATTGCCATAGGTTTACAGGTGTGCTTTGTCATAAAAGTGTTGGCTAGTCATTATGATGTCATCTCGAATTGTGTTGAAACATCCACCAAACTGTAATGGAATGCGTGTTATTACCTGGAACCTTTTTTATTGGTCCATGCTCAGACTGCATGCATTGTCTGCTATTAACACATATCAGCTTTCTGCCAGGGATGAGGCACATTACATATCTTTCATTTTCCAAATTGTGATTGTCATATGGCTGAGTTAGGATCAGCTGTTGACATTTCAAATACAGTCAATGCACTTCATGGTTGACGTTTGTGAGGTATGCAATATTGAGATGAAAGGACATGTAGATCAATGAATAGCTTCAAATAGGTTTTATTGAATATCTAGTACAACAATGCGGAGTGTGGATGTTTGTTGAGGATAAAGGCTCTGCAGATGAAATCTCAGCACTGTTTGCGATGTGATTGGTTAGTCGCAATGTCTAGTACTTATGTGGATGACAACTGACCTTTTTGATACGTGTAGGAATGAGGTGGAAACATCAAGGAGTTAAAGGGAAGAAAATAATGGACCACATATCAGCACTTCAGAGCCTAGTATCTCAGATAATCCATGAGAATGGTATAATCTGGATTTCACGACGTCGGCTTTTTTCTCAGTGACAGATTGCCCTTGATACCATAACAGATCAGATTTGTTTGGTGTTGTTCTGAATCTGCACATCACACAACATTGTAGGTGACCATGCTCCACATGGTAATGGATTTCATTTCCAACATCGGGATTCTGAAGTTCACCCTTCACAATTACTGTCTAGTACATGCATTCCCTGCGCTTTTTCAATCAATACCAGAAATCTGCTCACCTGCAGACAGAGAATTATTAAGTTCATATTCATAGCAAAGAGTAAATGACTGATCTGGTGTATCTTTTGCATCATTTATCAGTGTCTGCTTGTTGTGGTGATTCTGCACTCAGGAGAGAGAGGCTGTGTACAGTGTACACTGGCAGTTGACCATGGGCAAATGCGCAAGGACAGCATGTCAGACATCCATTTTCCAGAACTGCTTCCTATCAAGAGCATGCATTTGGAATTCCAACAATGCTGTGGCAAGAGCAAGCGGTATGAAAACTGTCCTTGATCACCTGAAATTGCAGTCACAGCACTGAGATTGTTTGAAAGCACATCAGCCAAAGTGATCAAAGCACTAAAGGGACTCTAAGTGTGCATATGGCAATATCTGATGTGAATTGCTTCCATGGGATCAAACACTACTGTCTCTAATGGTACTAGTGCTAGTCAGACCTCAGGCTTGATGAAGGGAAGACTACTGTTCCTTCTTTATAGTATAGCCTGCTCCCTATAACCGAGGCTGAGGGACGACCAGAATTGACCAATTACCACCATTTCAGATGGGTCAGGAGTTGAGATGTTAACAACATCAAAGCCTCCTATCTCTCAACTAGCCTACTAGGCCCCTGAACGTAAGTTCTAGTAAGTTCTTGTGGGTACCTTCCAAATACCTTGGCAAGGTGGCTTATTCACATGAGTGGTAAGCGACTCTGCTAATGAAGTTTATAATATTGATCTACATAACGTGAACCAGGTAGATCTCAGTCAGCAACTGACTAAGTCATTCACCAGGCCACTGATTGATGAGAATTCTGTGAAGCAATACTATGACCAAGGTCACTTGTCTCATACATAAATATGAGCATTCTTTCACCTTGGATTTCATCACCCAAAATCCCATCCAATCATCATCATCATGTCCAAACAGCTGACTCTATACCTTCACAAGGTGAGGAACAATGGAGATTAAAGAGGAGGACTTGTCTGACACATGACTGTACAGCTCTCACCCTTTAGCCAAAAAGTCAAATGACTGCTGACACCATTTCACCAGTCTCTGATGTGAATCAACAGGTGCAACTAGCTCTTATTGAAGCTAATGCACCCTACAGAGGGTACCCCATTGATCTAGTCAATAGAGGTTTACCAGCAAAGTGAACACCATTGGCAAGGTATGTGTGACGATGACCTGTGTTAGACTATTGCAATTGTGATATCTCATAGGTGCCCAGTGTAACATACAGGGGACCCAGTATTGACCCCGAGGATCCTTCGTCCTTGTCCGCTAAAATCACAGAAATGAATGTCATCCTTGAGTTCTTGGTGGACCTCTATCCAGACTCTGAGCTCCTGCCAAAGGATCCTGTTTCATGTGCCAAAGTCCGTTTCTTCGTTGATGTGAGCACTAAACACATCAAGGGCCCGCTTTATGACTTCTTGGTAGTAAGTCAAAATGACTTATTGCTATACTGCATTTAGAAGGGTGTGATCACATACTTCAAGGCATTTTTGGTGCGTGTGCAGTGAATATATACCTATACTTGATAAAAGATAGTTAGTTTCATACGACAAAGCTTACTCACTGTTAGAAATTTGCAGTACATCCAGGTGAATAATAGACAAATTATACAATTAACAATCAGCAAGAAAAGCTGTGCAACAATGATGATAAAGATACATCGAAAACTTACATGACCATACAAACTACTCGTCCATCTCATCTCCACTCTCATCATTGCTGTTGCTGTCCTTGCCCTCTGCAACATCAATAGGATCCAAACTCAGATCATGATCTGTGCCAATGTATGCATTGCAGATGACATAGAGTTTCAAAGTGTGGGTGCCTTTCGGTAGTGTGAACTCCAATTTTACCAAGAGATTCTTGGTTATGGTGACATGCTTGATTGATAGCAGCTGTTTTGTGCTTGGCTCCCCAACCACAAGCCACCAGTTTGCTATCTTTTTGGTTGGGTAGAAAGGTGTGACAACAGTCTGATCATCAGGATCCTCTTCATCTCCATTGCAGGCAAGATTAACCTGCATGGTGATGGGTGCACCAGCAGTATATTCTCCCTTGTCAAGCTTGAAGGACATGTCAAGGGTCGGGTATGAGTTGATGAATGTCGCTACATCGCACCTAGAAATGTTGTTAGAAACAGTTGAAATGGATATGTACAATAGAACTTACATTTGATGACCATCCATTTGCAAAAGCTTGCTGTGTTTGTCATCTTCCATCTCCATGACATCATAAACAGACTCAATGCCAGCATCCTTGCAATGTTTGACAATCTGTTTTGAAATTTAATCAGTACTGAAGAGTGCCAAGAAGAATAAACATACCTCTGGTTCAAAGTGCAGGATCTGCTTGAGGGGTGAATCAGTCTCCCACATTGCCTGTACACACATCTGCAATAAATCCATTGCTCCCAGTGCATTCAGCCATGTATTCAAGGACATGACATCCACACATGCCGATAGCAGGTTCAAAACCTTCTCCAGAACTAAAACTTGGTCCGCTGCCAAGTCTGGTGGCAGCTGGATATGAGAGAAATGAGCCTGAAGCAGAAGGAAGGTCTTGAAGTGAGGAGCTTCGAAGTCTGCACAATCGAGCTTGATGGGAACACAGTTGTAGATGCAGTGGAGAATGGTGTCTTTGTGACACCTGATAGGAATTGACCTGAACTCTGCAGAAGAGGCAACAACTTCCAGAAGACCTTTGAGTTTCATCTGCTCCTTCAGCAACAGGGTGTACACCTCCACAGTGACATATGAGATATTATAGTACGCTGCTATCATCCTGAGGTTCAGTGCTGAAACGTCCATTTCATCCTCTATCAACATGCACTTTGAGTTAACCAGCTCTTGCAAGGTGTTCTCCACAAGTTCCGACAGGTGATCTGATAAATGCTGATGGCTGACATTGTGAAGATTGTAGTAGTTGGGGTTCTGAGTCATTCAGGGGTAGAAGTATGTCCATGTCAGGATATCCATCGCATCTTGCTTGTTTTCAATCATCTTGACAGTGATCTTGGCAAGGAAATAGTCTAGTGCTGCCACAGTCCAGTTCCAAACCTTTCCGAACTGGACTCAAGGTCCGGTCACATGTCCAGCATGACCCCTGGACTGAACCTTGAGTCCGGTTTGGGGTTCGGAGCTACCTAGAACTAGTTTGGACACGTTCGAACCCCACCAAGACAATGACCTACAGTGTTTGAAAAAGTAGTCTGCAACCAGTGCTATGTGCTGTGCATCTTCCTATATGTAAATGTTGACACTTCTAGCAAACATTTGATGGCACCTTGCACTCCCTCTTCACTCAGCACATTTCTTCCAGCCTGTGTACAAACACTAACAAGTACTTAAAGGAACATCTGGCTTTTGTCTGGACTTGCCTGCACTTGTTTGGACTCATCTAGACTCATCTGCTTGCATCTGTACTTGCCTTGGCTTGCCTTCATTCATCTGGACTTGGCTGCACTTGTTTTCACTCCCCTCGACTTGTCTGCATTCTTCTAGGCTTGCCTGTGCTTGTTTAGACTCATCTGTACTTGTCTTCACTCATCTTGGCTTGCCTTTGTTCATCTGGACTTGGCTGCACTCATTTTCACTCCCCTTGACTTGTCTGCATTCTTCTGGGCTTGCCTGCGCTCGTTTGGACTTGTCTGTACTAGTCTGCATTGTCTGTATTTGTCTTCACTTGCCTTCGTTCATCTGGACTTGCCTGGACTCATTTCTCATTTTGACTTGCCTTCATCCATGCACATTCATACTTGTTCATTCGTGCTTGTTGTTCATCCATGCTAATTTGCACTCATTTGTTTGTGCTCATTTGTCAGTGCTTGTTCATGTTTGATCATTTGCGCTCATTTGTCAGTGCTCGTTCACACTCATCCATATGTTATTATCCTCCTCTTCTTACCTCCTCCTGCTCTCATCTGTTGTCCATATTTGTCTGAGCCATGTCAGCAGTTGCTGACGTGCACTGGGCGTTTGTGCATGGCATTTGTGGTGTTGGGAATGGCATGGTGGAGCTTGGATATCGATTACACAGACACAGTCCTGAGAGACCTCTACAACACAACAGATGTCCCATCATCTGCAAGCTTATAGTTTGGTGGTCGAACCTGGTTTGAATGTGAACTGGACCTCCCAAATGCATTTGGTGACATTTGGTCCAGGGTTTGGCCAAATGGCTGAACCTGTGGTTTGGTTTGGTGTTTGGAAAATTTGCCCAAAGAACTGGACTGAACCAGACTTTGGCAGCACTAAAGTAGTCATGCAGCAGATGGGTAGGCAGGTGAGACTCGATGGGCAGACCCTCTGCAAGGAACTTCTTGTAGAAGTCCTTGCACATCTGCTGGCACATGAGGACACACTGGCTGCGTTCGTCTTCCACTAGCCTACAAGCACAACCTATCATTTGTAGGATGTCCATGACTGGATAGTCAACATATTGATGCTCTTTGCCCTCATAGTATTGCACACCCATTATGATTGCCATATAGCATGCAACGGGTAGACTCCATGCAGTGTCCTGCAGATGCTCAGTTGCTGATCAGTAGAAAGGTCATGGATTACACACCTTAGATGCCACCAAAACCTGGATTGCTCCAGACTGGAATACACATTCGACAATGTGCTTGTCTTGCTTATCAAGTGCCTCATGATAATACCCAATGCCATGTTTCAGGCATTCCACAAGACCTTTGTCACTGATGTGGTCAAGGTGGGGCTGCAAGTCAGCTTCTTCAATATTCAAGAAGTGATCAGGATTGCTATCTGCTCCACAGTGGATCAACAAGTTGTCAACTGTTAGCTGGCACTGGCATCTTGATGGAATGAATATGATGACAGGTTTGGTGGGTATTTGATAAGCAGGTGGACATCGCTGGACCAGACTTCGCACAGTACCAGCCTAGCTAGAGTGTATATGTTGAACAAAATGATGTCTTTTTATGAATGTGTCACTTACACGGAGTGCCAACTTGTTAGCCTAGCAGAGCACACTCAGTTGTAAGAAAGTATAACATAAGACATGCCCACCTTTGAATCTGACAGAAGGTCATTGAGGCCAGCTTCTTGGACAATCATAGCAACATCCCATGTGTACGCGTTTTCATCCTCACAGGCAGTTGCTAGTAGCTTTCCATCCATAGAAAATGATATGCCTCTGAGTGCTTGAGAGATGAACTGATAGGTTGTCCATTGTCAAGGCTCCACAATTGCACTATTTTGTCCAATTATGTGCTTGCAAGGATACGGTCATTTGGAGAAATTGCAATGGCATAGACAAGGGAAGTGTGCTCATCCAGAACCACGGTTTGCTTCCACGTGGGAAGGCAATTGATGAACTAGACAAACTGAAAGCAAATGGGCTGGAAGTTGACTGAAAACCTAAGATGAGTGAGGAGCCAAGCATTGCAAGCAAGCCTGACACCTTTGAAATTTAGGATTTGGATAAAATGTGTCTTGAAAAACAGAAAGTCCTCCATTAGGAAGGGGTTTGAGACATGATAAGAGAGAAATTTGGTTGCATCTGGTGCATGTGCAGATTTTGGGAATCGACGAAATGAGATGACATTGCAGTAAGCCATGTGCACTCAGAGGAGTTACATGAAGTGTTGGAGAAACTGCTCAACTGTCATATGCCATTCCAGACCCTCAACTCTAAATCTGCTTCTCTGGACATCTGGATCTGAGATCCGGATCTCCAATGATCTGATCTATCTTTATCTTCCTTCTGGAATCCAAACTCTATATCAGCACCCAACCCCATTTAGACTTCCCCTGTCTCCGGACTCTGGTTAACTATGTTTCCCTTCTGATTATTGATCCATTACATACATTTCATTTCTGATATGCATTATTGGTGATCTGTCCTACTTACTAATAGACTTTGCATATGCTTCATACATAGCCTTTGTGTTTGCTGACTGATTCCTATATGATACCTACAGTATATAAACCTCCTGTAACTCTTGGAAATACTTTAGTTTGAATATCATCTTAGTTCCTGCTCATTCCTGTGTCCTCCAGACTTGAGCCAAGTCTCTTGTCATATTCTGAGTCTTAGGATTGCATCCTAGACTACATCTCCGACTCTACCTTAGGGTAGTCTATCCTCTGTTAGTTTCTAGTCTGGACTTCATCTGGATTAGCCTTATCCACTTGTCCAAGTAACATCCAGACATCCATCGGATTTATCTCATGTTTCAGATCCGGACATCTGTTATCTGCCCTAGTCAAATCCCGGAAACTCCGGATGACTATTCTAGCCCCCAGAAATTAAGGGCACATACTCGGGAAAGGGGCACAGCATACAAGCTGAGGCCAAGCCCTTGTGATCCAACCCCCTTGAGCATACGACCTTAACATCAACATGAAAAACAATCATATGCATGTGGCAATGTAGGATAGATCGTTTTCAACCAAATTTGAGGGCTGGGAAGTAGAAACTGCACTATTGCAATCGAATGTGAGGTGATACATTCTGGAAGCTGTGGAGTTGGACGCATGTACAGAGTGCTGTTGAGGAAGGTGGTTATGGCACGTAGGAATTATTCTTGTTGGAATGGTGATGAAGTGTGGAGGCAAACTACCTCGTGTCTTGGGTGTCTATGGAAACAAGGTAGGTTATAGCTTGGTGAAGTAACATAAAAACACACAATACACACACCTCTGCAGCTTAGAGAAAGACATCCACAATCCCTCACCATGCTCAATACCATCAACCCCCAGCAAAATGTCACAGCTCACTCCAAGAACCACACCCCTGATAAGACTTCTCAAGGGGTAGTAGGCATACTCCTCAAGCAAATAGACCAACTCTGATCATCAGTAGTGTGTACAGTCCAGCTATACAATGGTCCATCACCTAATGTCATCGCTCCTGATTGGGTATCAATGAAGAAGACAGTTGTGTGTGAGTGCTATATGGATTGTAGAACAATGTATATGCAGTTTGGGCAGCACAGAAATGGGCTTGAAGGCATGTTGTACTCTGTGTAGAGACCTGGAAAGTCGTTTGATGGGGTGGGTTTGAATACAGTGTTTATGAGGATGGTGTTAATGCCTGTGCAGAGATTGCCTTTTTGACATTTACACTAGATGAGTAGAAATGTTGGAAAGAGTGGAACGAGACACACCACTATGCATCAAACTTGTTGAAAGAAGTGATAAGCTCATCCTCAAGATGGTTGTCTTCATCTAGAGTCTGGCTCATCTTTATGCCCACCATCAGCAAACACAATCCCACTCTCCTCTTTGTCGTTGTCAGAATCCTCTGGGGAGCTGAAAGTACGAGAAGAACCTGTGAGTGGGGAGCTAGAAGCTCAGCTGATGTCACTAGATAGGTGGTGAGGGAGGGCTCAGCACTGAGAGTTTGGATCTATTGCTGGCTGTGTCATCATTGGCTGCTGGGGGTTTGCAGCAGACAGTGAATGACAGTTTGGACATCATCGTGCAAGATACAGCAACTGTTGACCTTGAATTGTGAGACCATTTAAAGGTCATGTAGAGTATATCAATTGCATTAAGATGTTTCTGTGGACAGTACTCCTTGCCAGTGAGTGGGGCAGGATGTTCAAGATCTTGAAGCTTGGACACCAGCAAACTCATATTTGAAATAGTAGGCTTGGCAGGTCCAGGGTGCCACATTAGCTTATGTAAAAATCAAACTTTATATTGTTGACGTCCAGCAGCTAGCTGCAGTGGCTAGTTCCTAGATTTATTGATACATCTTTGCATTGTGATTAATAGTCCAGGAGACACCAGGCACCTTTCAACACATGCTCTACTTCCACATAAAAAACGATGATGGACTAATCAGACTATCTTTCAATCGCAGAGAGCCATTCTATCCAATACATGAATGCATGACATGTGATGCACTGATCCTACACTATGCTTGTGCAGTGATGAATGTCAAGTGCTGACATATGACTGGTACCAACTGATCCCATTCTTCCCAGCTTAAATCCTTGGAGCACACCAAGTCGACCACAATGAGCACTGAACACCTCAACTTCCACAAAATTGACGTCTGCTTATTTGACATATTGGGTACCATCCTTAACTGGCACAGCACAGTCACTCGCCAAGTCACCTGCCTTAGCAAGAGACTGCTTCTTGAAGGTAAGTAATGGATCCCACATTCCTGTAAAATGATCTTGCACTGATCTCATCTATCAGGCTCACAAGATGCAGTCAATTTTGCAGAAGAATGGAGAGCCGGATATTGTGATCATGTGTAAGTCTATCACTCTTCAATCTTTACTTCTAAAACATGACGTGTGTGTTCATACAGCAAAAGAGTATTACAGGATGGGGAGGGTACTTTCAATGCAGACATCATTCACCAACAAATAATGCATTCTCCATGTGTATGACCTGTGTCTGACCATATCGCAGATACTGGACAATATAGTCACTACCTCACACTGATCTCATCTTGTAGATGTCTGGGGCGAATTCAATAGAACTGACCATTATCTAGCACAACTTGGATGGTACGAACATTCAATAAATTGCAGAGACAAACCTGACCAATCACCCCTTAATCTTAATAGCATATCAGGACACCATCCCCAGCCTGACAGAACTCAAACACCACATCAACATCCTCACTCTATCTAATGGAAACTTCAGATTACTTCTCGATCTGGTCACTGAGTCACCACATTACGCACCAGACCTTTCCCCTGATCAGTGCTACAGGCAAAGAACCAAGGTGTTCCCTGGGATGGTATCTTTACATCCAAACTGTCCAGATCTTACAAACTGTGCATCTTGATCACTTTTAGATGTGTGTATCATCCCCCCGCCTGATGTCTGCACAGGAACAAAAAGGTCTACCAATCCACAGCATACCACCTTTATTTACCTCCTCACAAGATAGCAATGGTCACTGTGCACAGGTTTGACCTCATCACTGCCTCTAGCATAGGCTTCAAGACAATGTATGTACCATGCCCTACTGAAGATTTGCATGAGGTAAGGGAGAGCATGCATAGCAAGAAGGACGGTGGTGAGGTGGATCTTCTTGTTAAAGATTTTGAGCAGCTGGTGAGGTTGATATGTGAAGCTCAATGAAGTTGAAGCTCGCAGTTGGTACATACTTTGTAAGTCCTTGAGGTATTGCAGAATTTTCACTTGCCCATTTGTATCCCAACATTATAGAGCAAGCGAAGTAAGGTAACTTAATTGACAATGATTTTCAGGGCAGCAATGCAAATGAGCAGATCATATTATATTGCACAAATGCAATTGACAGTCATTGGGAGGACTCTATGCATGAGCTCTCTTTGAGAGTCTTCAGAGATCCTAGACCAAATCCAAACAGCTACAGTATATTCAGGCATGACCTAGACTACTTCTAACCACTAGCTTGCTTCAATGCATGTTTACGCTAGATCAATGCTTTCCAAATGCTCATAACTCATTTGGCAGTGCATCAATCATGCTCATGGCCAGTGTGCTTCATTTTATGCAAGGGATCACCATTTGGTCTTGAGGACCCACTTTCCAAGTGCTTTTTCCTCTGCAATATCTTCGCTTCCTGTAAAGCTCACCTCCATTTCATGCTGCTGCAACTGCGGCATGCTGATAGGTTTTGTGGAGATGTGAGCATCTCCTCAATTGTATGCACTGCATTTTGTCTGGACAGTGTTATGATCAGATTCATATATCAGAGCCTTGTTCGTTGTTCCTTCACAATCATGCAGCACAGCCAGCTTCACCTTGAAACTAATCTGAACTGTGCTTGCATCTTTGATTGGCAATTCTAGCAAGAGGCTGCAAGTTCATATCATGATCACAATGTACATAAGTAAAAGGAAACTACAAATGTGGAATAAACTTGGTCCAGGCTACTGTATCATATACCCCAGGAGGTAGCAATTAAAAGCCCATCAATATAAGTACAATCAGTATAACACATACAACAATATATATGAAAAAGCTGGCATATGAAGCAACAATTGCGAATCTCCAGGTGTCCCTGTCATATTGATGCAAGAATCAGTTGTAGTTGTAAGGTATGGAGTGATGCAACACTGTTACAATTCATAGGCAGGTAAACATGGTGCATCATAATGCATCAGTGATGCAGCAGGATGCAACAGCATTAATGCCATATGATGTATTGATGCACAAGAGTGATGCTTGCTATGATGCATCATTTCTTTCCTCACACCTGCTTCATTTGATGCAGCGTTGTCCATTTATGGAATGTAGTGGCTTTGGTGGGTTCTAAATGATGCATGACAATTCCTTCTGCCTGCCTGCCTCATTTGATGCACCATTGTCCAATTATGGGATGTAGCACCTTTAGTGGGCCCTGGCAATACAGCGGGTATGGGTAGTGGTGCACCAGTGGTGTTCCACCTACTACTAGTACTAGTATCAGCCTGCCCTATCCTCCACACTCAGCGCTCAGTAGTAGTACACTAGCCCTACAACTCATCAACCCACCCCTCTTATTATTAATGATATCAATGTTGTAGTACTTATTGCTAAAATTTGACGAAGTTCATGGTGCTCATAGTGACACTGGGTGCCAGTACTATCAATGCTGTAGAATTGATGAAGTTCATGATGCTCATTATGCATACTACAGAAGTACATAGCGAGTGATGCATCACTCTCCTACAACAAAATTTTTATGAAGTCCATAGTGCTACACCAACTTCGGTGATGCATCAATATTAATGTTAGCAGTTTAAACTTTCAATGTTTCTTTCTCTCACACCTCTTAGTCAAACATTAGCATTTGAGTCATGCGCACAAAATGATAGGTTATATTTCTAGCCTGGTACAAGATAACTATTAGATTAAGTAGGGACATTATATCAAGAGATTAGCAAGAATGCAATAGTGGCAGCATTATTTAAGCTATGGATTGGATGAATGAGTGTACTAGGCCTTCACCTGCTTTTTCCTAAGAGCTCTTAGCAGGAATTGAAAAAAACAAGCAGGATAACATACTGTTGAGCACCTGCAGGCCCATTTTGCGCAGGCTGTTTCAGGGAAGCCTCTGTACCAATCACATCTGCCAGTTCATTATGCCTGGACTTGATTGGCATGTGCTTGGATGTATGTGTGCTTGTAGAGTCATTGGTACTTCCACCAGGAGCTGCATGCCCTGATGAACTAGACTCAACTCTGGGTGGGTTAGTGGTTGGGATATTTGACGACTTGGCCAAATCACCAGGTAGCTGGGAGGCAGCATGATTGTTAGTGGGCTTGGGGGCGGCCTTGGGTTTGGGGGCAGCCTTAGGTTTGGGAGTGGCCTTGGGCTTGGGAACAGCATTGTGCTCGAGTTGGGTAGAGTCAGTGATTGGCTTCATGATGACATGGGGAAGAGAATTATTAGGTATACCCTGAGGTGGGTCGGGATGAGGCTCTGGGAGGTTGGGTAGGTTTGGATAAGGCAGCAAGACTGGGAGCTGGGGTGGTTTTGGATAAGGTAAGACTGGTAGCAAGTCAGCAATGGACTGATACAGACTAGTGTGCTCAGCAGAAACTGGAGATAAATTTGGATGTAGCCAAGCGGTGGAAGGGGCTGGAGACATCTGCAACAGTGGAACATTCCAATTGAAATCTTGCCACGTGTTGGGGAATGGGAAGCTGGAGGTCGACACAGAGGGGTCATAGACCGGTGTAAATCCATCAGTGGACATGAGAGGTGCAGTATAGGATGTAAAAGAATTAGGAACCAAACTGGTGGACATTGGGGGTACATAGAATGGTCTGATTGAATTTGCTAAATTGGTGAGGGGTATGTATGGGGAATATGAATATTGAGGAATTGGTGCAGAGACACCGTTATAGTTAGTCATTTGTGAGTATGATGATGCATCAGACTGCAGGGGTGCATCAACCTGTGAATAGAATACACATAGCAAATGAAAGGACATACCATTGCACCCATTGATGCATCAGATGCATCACCCACTGAAGCATCTGCGTCAGGCAGTGTCAAGGAGCCTGGTGATGCATGAGCCAAATGCATCAGTTGATGCTGTAAAAGTATAAAGACTGACCAATCTACTCACCTTCGCAATCATCTTGTTCCTCTTCCCCTTGACTATCCTTGTCCTCTTCAGCATTGTCATCGCCATTGGGCTCCTCTTCACTATACATCTTGAATTCCTCACTGCACTCAATGTCCTCATTCCCTACAGCAATGTTCAACTTGCACTTGCACTTGTCAGATGCTGCATAGTATAAATTAAGTGAGTCAACCAGTGACTTGTAGATTAAAAATGCATGGAAGATTATTTCAGCATATTTCTGAAATGCATCCAGGAAATCTTTATTGGCCACCTGATATAACTGGGTGAAGGTCTTGCCTTGTGGAGTTTCAGAGGGATGGCATCTTGAAAACATGACCCAGCATGAGTCCCAAAACAGGATATTTCATACATAAATTGTAACTCAGATAGTGAGGTCATATCCCAGTCATTTCTTGGATCTGGACCAGCAAACATGAAGGAAACAATGAAATCAGTCTTCCTCTTGACCAATTGCGGGAATCACTGGCAGATAATTGGTAAGTCATCCATACCCCTGCTTGAATGTTAACTGTTGAACTCCATTCATAGAAACAACTTCTTACTGTGCAATTCCCTGCGCATCAAGTGCACAGTCTTCCTCAGCATCATTGTCTAACATGTTCTTGCCAGACTTCTGGTGAGTTTCCCACTGCTTCTCGTACATGTCACAAATCTGAGCCTTTACTTCCTCATCCTCATCATCCAGCAATTCTTTAGAAAATTTATGACCCAGCATGATTCGTCTACCTGAAGACACTTTCCCAGCCTCTTCCTCAGCCTTCACCAGCAGCTTGATGCGCTCCTGGTAAAACATGTCAGAGTATAACTCAGCCTCAGACTTGGCACATCATTTTGGCTGCAGCATGTCATCAAAGACAGTTGATTCCTTCTTTAGGCCCCAATGTCTCTTGGATGCATTTGCATGCCAACGAAACCAAGTCCGGAGTTGCTGAATCAGTTGTAGGTCAGTTTATAGTGATATGTTCATTATCACAGATAGGCTTACTGTTTTGCGCTTGTCCTCAGCTTCTCCTAACTCTTTATGTTGCTCTGGCAAATGAGTGGTAGTGGGAATGTTGGGAAATAATACCACTTCCTCTGGGAACTTTTTAAACCAGTCCCCAATCAAGGTTGGCCAAAATGTGAATAATCTTTCTCTTTCAGGTGCTCTTTGAGATAATGGGGCAGATGCTCTTGAAGCCATTCCATTTGCTTGTTTGAGGTCCAGCATGCTGCAGGCATATCAAGATCTTGTGTGTTGAATGAGGTCACTGCAAGATTAAATGTGTGCGCTTGTGCCAAAAAATAAGAATCGCATCCAAGGGTATAAATTTATGTATGCTATACTATTGGATTCTGTCTCTCTCATGCACAGGCCTAACTCTTGGACAGTACAATCAACAACCTGAAGGAGCAGTATATATGGTAGATCTGTCTGATACTTTGTCCATAGCTAACTTGAAACACATAAATAGACAAGTGCATGGTTCCAAGCAGTTTTAATTGTATCTAGGCACCTTCAGATCTGATCAATCTAAGTCTAAGTCCATCCCATCCCCCTAAGCCTCAGTGATAGTACTCCCACTATCCTCAACATCGACATCGCGAGCCTCATCACCTGAATACTCCAAGCTCACTCCCATTCAGCCTGTAACATTACTGTCTTATCATTCACTGACACTATTGTGAACGGAATGAATCCCACTAAGGCTGTTTGGCATTCAAACCAAGACCTGATGTGCTATTGAATGGTCAGCTTTCAGCTTGTGCAAGGATTGCAGCACCCACCTTTTTCCTCCATTCTACGGCTTGATTCACCTGACAGTGCTGCTCTTCAGAGAGAGGCACAGTTTTGTGTAAGTCAACAAACAAACAATCACACTCTGGCCAACAATCAAAAAAAACTTCATACACTGATATCCAGAACTCAGTGAGGTCTTCGTACTCATGGCAGTAGTGGTAGTTATCTAGCTGGTTTTTTAGCCAGTAGTCCTGATCAGCTGAGAAATAGGGTGCCGACATGCTGGTTGAGAGTTTGGGTTGATGGGTGGACTTGAATGTAGATTAGAGCTCTGAAATAGTATTGTTTTGTGCTCTGAATAGTGGAGTGCACGATTGTTGCCACAACATGTTGAATTAAGTTCTGCTAAAGAAGAGAGATGGGTGTAATAATGCATACCAGAGTATGGAAGGATTCAGCTAAAGTTTGAGCCTTGCAAGATAACAATGTTAGCATCAAGTCAATGTCTGCTGTCAGCAGTACATGTCTGACGCAGTCCTAGTCAGTATTGAACATTCTGAACGTTGAATATTGAACTCACTGTCAAACATTCGATACAGGCTCAGAGCAGTTGGAATGCAACTCCATCAATGTGCAGCTGGCGCATGTCCGACCCTATCAGTCTGTGAGTCAACTTCAAGTTAGTTCATCGCATACATACAATTTCATAAAACTCCCATAAAACAACCACAATGTTGAGCAACTCAAACATTTAATACAGGCTCAGAGCAGTTAGAATGCAACACTGTCGATGTGCATGCAACATGGTGTATCAGTCTGTGAGTATCATTAGTACTTACTTTTGAGTTCAGGATTCAGCTAAAGCTTGAGTGTCACAAGAATATCCTAACTGTGGTATTGAATTGATGTCTGCTGTCAGTACTACAGTGGCTCAAAAAACTGTCCACATGTTTTTGCATTTTTTACTATTTACAATATTGTGTGAGAATACATAAAGACCTCAGTAATATGCTGATACCATATTGTAGTGCTGCTTCAGGGCTTTGGATTGAGCACCACATCATGAGAATCAGAGGAGATATGGTGGAGATACAAGGCTTACAAAATCATGACTCATGCAGACAGTTTTTTGAGCACATATTAAAACTATATAAATCATCATTTATGACACCATAACAATCATGCCACCATTAAATAAATTATAAAGTGGTGTCATTATGTCATTTTAAAACCATATCTAACTATACAAACCAAAAATTTCCATATGTCATGGTTATATTCACCATGAAAGCCACCCCCCCTGCTCAAAGGGATAATATCCTCTCTCTTTCCTATTCTGGCCTCTCTGCTTGTCAAATTTCCTCTAGAACTGGAGTATCCAAGTCCACTGTGGCCAAGTTCATCAAAGAAAGTCACACAGACAAGGAAAAATTCTGTGAAGGGTGTCCATCCAAGCTCACCTCTACTGATAGGAGGGCTATTATTCAACATATCACTACAGGAAAGGCTGATAATGCTGTCCAGGTCACCTATTACATCAATTCCACCATCACATTCCCTGTCTCTTCACACACTGTGAGAAACATTCTCAAGACAGCTCATCTCAGGTCAGTAACAAGGAAGAAAAGGCTCTCCTCTCTATCACACATATGCAGAGAGGACTAGCACCCTTCTTGTTTCACATATATACCTTGCCATCTGACCCAATCCTATTTATTGTGGTCTTATATGATCATATAACATGCTTCCAGTCCATGTAATCCAATTCTGATGGGCTAAGGCAAAGGTTAGTCATCTCTGTTTATGTGTGATAGAGAGGAGAGCCTTTTCTTCCTTGTTACCGACCTGAGATGAGCTGTCTTGAGAATGTTTCTCACAATGTGTGAAGAGACAGGGAATGTGATGGTGGAATTGATGTAATAGGTGACCTGGACAGCATTATCAGCCTTTCCTGTAGTGATATGTTGAATAATAGCCCTCCTATCAGTAGAGGTGAGCTTGGATGGACACCCTTCACAGAATTTTTCCTTGTCTGTGTGACTTTCTTTGATGAACTTGGCCACAGTGGACTTGGATACTCCAGTTCTAGAGGAAATTTGACAAGCAGAGAGGCCAGAATAGGAAAGAGAGAGGATATTATCCCTTTGAGCAGGGGGGGTGGCTTTCATGGTGAATATAACCATGACATATGGAAATTTTTGGTTTGTATAGTTAGATATGGTTTTAAAATGACATAATGACACCACTTCTCACACAATATTGTAAATAGTAAAAAATGCAAAAACATATGGACAGTTTTTTGAGCCACTGTATATGTCAGTCCTAGTTAGCATTGAACATTGAACATCCAACTCAAACACTTAATACAGGCTCAGAGCAGTTGGAAAGCAACACCATCAATGTGCAGCTGCATGTCCTATTAGTCTGTGAGTCAACTTAGTTTGTCAGATGCATACAATTTAGTAAAACTCCCATAAAACATCCAAATGCCAGCTCATTAATTAGACTCTGCACTGTTGAACCAAGCACACCAGCAGTTCAACATGCCTCTGCAGGCATCTATTCATCCTGTGGTGCAATTGGTATGTACAGGTGTCATCTCGAAAGGAACTCTGATTAACTGTGTATTCTCCACATGCATAGTTGTTCTCTACTGAACTTTCTTAGTTTCGATCATTTTGGACGCATGTCAACCACCAAACACACTGAGTCAGTGCAACAATACAGTCTCATTACCACTCATTAACACTGAAACACAGGATATGCCAATTGATTTACCTCAATCTCGGCCAACAATGATATCTAGAAAAGCAGATCAAAGATCAGACATATTGTGAAGGCTGCAAAAAGTGAGTTTTACTCGAGGCTCATAACACAATTCTAATATCTGCCCTAGGTTTGTGGCTGATTGCTATGTAGAGGGTATTTGTCCTCACTGCAGCTATGTCATATGTCATACAGCTGTTAATACTGCATATTCTCACTATCTGTCTAGGATGCTCATGGTGATCAATGTGATGGATGCAGTCACACTGTGACACTAGATGCCATCAACCTCATCAAGCCTTGATGCCTGATCGATAAAGCACACAATATTGTTGTGTGTTCTTCTTTGCATATGTATTTACTCATATATCTAACTGAAACATAGATACTTCACAGCTTTGGGGCCAACGTCAGTCATCCTCCATTCCATTCATTCTCCCTTGTGCTCATCAACTCTATTCCTCCGTCTGCACACTCCCTTCAGCTCCGTCGGTCTTCATCAACTCAGACAACTCAGATGACAACAAAGGAAATAGGGAATGCGAATCACTTCTAGTATTGGCTACAATTGGTACATAGATGTGTCCATACAATATATACAAATATATTCAGTATTTGAGAGTCACATACTGTCCACTTAAGGTAGCAACTGCACTTCTCCAAGATCAATGGATTTGAGCATGCAAATCAGACTGTCTTCGAGGGACTTGGAGCAGCTGAATGACATGCAGCTGACACCAAGGACATGCAGAGATGTGCACTGCCTGGGAGAGAATCAGTGGTAAGAATGTGCAACCAATCAAGATACACATCAAGTTTCAAAGACACCTACCCAGTGACCGCAGGTAACAAGGTAGAATGGACTAAGGGCCTCAGCATGTGGAACATCGAAGCTGAAATCATGATATTTCTGCTGGCCCCTTGCCTCACCATTGACGATGACAACTGTCATTGGAAGATGTGGGAAACTGAGATAACCTAAGTGCATAGTAGGGGTGGGTACTGTCTGCACACATGGGGTGACTAGGGAAGTGATGATGGTCACTGAGTGCATGGCAGGGGTAGGTGCTGTCTGCACACATGCAGTGACTGGGGTAATAACTGCTGGGGTGATGATGGTTGCTGTAGGTGTCATGACAGCTGCAGACGATTTGGCAGGAGAGCTTGAGCTGCCATCAGAAATCACCTGGATGAGGATTTGCACATCATCATGCGATAGCATCAATGAGGACAGTAGTTGCAATACAGCATCTGAAACATATGTGTTAGCAGACATCAACCAGTCACAAGCCAAAAATGCACCAAGGCTACTTTGGTCATCTGAGTCAGTATTTGCAGTGGTAGTCATTGTTAGAAAGTCAGATGAGACATAGACAATCAGAGAATCAAAGCTAAATACTCACCAAACTCAACACCTAGCTAAAGAACATATATCAACTGAAGGGGGCCAGTGAAGCAGTTCGGTTGCAATTGAGAATGTCTGTTTGACATTGTTTATTGATTCTCACAGAAGCCACCTCAAGGTAGAGATTCACCATATGATTCGATTCCTGTGATTCCATGCTGGTCATCAAAACACTATACTTCACAAATGGCAAGTCTATTGCTGATGATGGCCAAGATTACATGTAAGTCAGTCTTGCTATCATTGTCATTTTCTAACAATCAGTGCAGTCAATACTTTGTCATGGAGTCTGCTCCATCCCCAATTGCTGGTCCATCTTCAATGATTGTATGTACAGAGGAGTTGCATTGGGAGTTGGTACAAATAACAAGAGCCAAGAAGCAGCAGAAATGAGTTGCCCTCAATTCTTACTCGCGTCCAAAGACCTTGTCTGTCAAGCAGCGAAAACATATCCAGTACCAATATTGCGCAAATGGCTCTATCTCATATACCCTGCAATGTGTTGATCCTCCCAAAAATGCACAGCCAACCAAGAACTGTCAACCACCCATGTATATGCAGCCTGTTGTGAGCCTGCCACCTGCCATGATGCCAGATGATGAATTTTCAGCTGATATGTCATGGGGCACTGACAATGATGTTCAATCTCCCAGGAGACGACATACTATGGGAGTAAGTTTCCAGACTAATCTAACCATACTTCATGCTCATTGCTTTCATGCAGGATAATCCACTGCTAATGTGGCTCAAGGATCACTCCCTATTCCTCCAGGAGATGCTATGACTCGAAGGCTGAGGAGAACTAAGTGCAGAGTTGTGTTCTGGTTGTGGTAATACACATCCAGAATATCGCTGTCAAGACTGCTTTGGGGTCAATCTGTGTTGTGCCTCCTGCACAGTGATGGCCCACATGCATCACCCACTCCATTGGCTTCACATAAGTGCTGATTAAACTATCTTGCAGGATATGAACTCACTAGATGTAGAAATGGAATGGCAAATACTTTGAATTTGCAAACCTGAAGAGCCTTGGTCTCCAGATCCAGCTTGGACATGTGGCTGGTCAAACTTGTTCCAGGCCTCATCGTGCATTCAATGACAACTTCGTCATCATGGATTCTCACAGTGTTCATGAGGTAGCTTTGGATTTTTGTGATTGCACCATGGCCACCACCCACATACAACAGCTCCTTTGCAAGTCATTATTTCTGTCAACAACATCCGACCCCAAGACTGTGGTGACATTTCACCTTCTCAAAGAATTCTATCTGTTGTCATTTGAATCAAAGGTGTCTGCATATGTGTTTTTTCAATGCACTGATGCAGAGGTCTGACAATACAGGGCTAAGTCCTGTGAAAGTAAGTACTGTTTGGGCTCCATGACAACCATTGCCTTACATTTCTTCAGGAGCAATATGACCAATTCACACAGATGATTTGTGAATGGCATCATCTAAAGATGCTCAAATGATCTGGATGACCTTATGATCCCAATGGGATTGATTCGACTTCTGAGGGTGGATGCACTGTTTTATGCCCAGCCTGTCTGCAGCCTGGGAAGAACTTACCCTCTGACTGGAGAGAGGCTTCCCCTACTAACTGGTAAGATGCTACTGTAATAGTATAGGTATTGCAGTCACTGATTCATAGAAGTGCCTAGCTGTATGCATTGTTTGTGGCCATTGACGCCAATTTCCAGCTGAAATGGAAAGTTGTTTCAAAGGATAGTGTAGACCCCAGCCTGAGTCGTGGCTGGGGATATTTTGTTGAAGAAAGCGCATACAAGGCTTTTCTAAATGATAACTCCAATATTGGACAAGAGGTAAGTTCTAGTTGTCTTTGTATATTTTCCTTGATACCAATGTGGGCTTGCAGAATAGAAGTCTACATGTTCAAGCCATAATGCGGTAAATATGGCCGATACTAAATCCAGTCATGGGCTTGCAGCTACAGGGCTGGGTACCATTGATTGCGCTCACCACAACATGAAGTTACTGACCGCAGTTGGAGATCTTCAAAAAGGAGAGAAGTAAGTTATGCTATGCCTCAGGCACCTGAAAATATTGACGTGCTACCATCTAGATACATCAATATGGATTACCTCTTCTTCTCAACCCTTTGGCATACTAATGTGGATATCCTAAATGTTTCGTATGATATAGCATGCCAGTGGAATAAGAATTTATGGCAACACATGGCCTCATCCCCTCCCTCCCTGCAACTGGACTACAGTGCTAAGAAAGTCACCTTCTTTGTTCCCAAATTTCACCTCCCAGCTCACATTGAATCATGTCAAACAAAATTCTCATTCAATTTTGCGCGTGGCATTGGATGAACAGATGGAGAAGCCCCTGAGTGAGGATGGGCGAATATCAACCCTGTTGCATCAAGTACTAAGGAGATGGGCCCAGGCGCAAGACGAGACACCCTTGATGATTTTTTGGGGATTGGAATTGGAAGAAAGTCACAGGTCTACATAAGGAATTTTTACAGCAATGTACCTGATTGCTGATGCATTACTGATGCATCATTAGGTTGCACCATGTTGCACAAAGTGAAAGAAGCCATTCAAACAATCAGAACATGAAGCAGCTCTGGATAACCTCAAAGAAGGACTGAAAGTGGAATATGGGGAAGCATTGAGCAGATGGAAAGAGCAGGTTGAGGCTTTGGAAAATGATCCCTCCCAGCTGAATCCATATGAATGAAGTGCTGAAAGTGAGTACATTGTGTTTTGTGATTGATGTCTTGACACTGATGTCATTTTATGCAGAGATCATGCTTGCATCTGTGCACCTTGAACTTGCAAAAGAAGATGCATCAGAAATAGAGCTAGGGAGGTTCCACAAATTGCATGAAAATTGTACACCTAGCATGCTGATTACCAGCAGCCTAGAACTCGAAGAGCAACAGTAAGTGTTATTGACATGACTTGTTATATGCATACTAACACAACACTTCAGACGACGTCTTCAAGCCGACAAGGTGGGTCTAGGTATTCATGCCACTGACATTCAAGAAGGGAAGGTCATTCAACATAGTAACAGTCTCCAGCATCAGATCAAGGCTTAGGTCAAAGTGCAGGAATTATACATGCCAATGGTCGCAGCCCTACGACTGAGAGACAAGTCTAGTGGTATCATCATCACTCCTGAGTCATTTGAGCTCTTACTTCCTTCTCAAGCTGGCAGAACAGATCCTTGCAACCTTAAATTCCAGAAAATTGAATGGAGACTTCAATATGCACAAGCTCATGACACCCTACACTCACTATGCTCTAACCTACACGCACAGACTGCTATTCTCAGGTACAAGGACTGCAACCTCCATGGTCAAGGCTCAAATACCTGAGCTCATAACACACTCAAAGGCATTGACACAAGAATTGAGGCAGCATTGACCCGATATCAGGATGTGCACAGAGCACTGGTGATTCTGGCTCCCTTCATCAAGGAGACAGGTTGGCAGTCCTCCCTACATCCACTTGATCGTCAAGATATCTGAGGGATGTCTGATCTCCTATGGGGCGAGACTGAGGGAAGGTGAAAGCTTTCATGGATATGGAATATGCACAGTGCTCATGGAGATGAGCTGGACAATGATGGATCTATGGAAGGTATGTAGGCTTACCAGTTTGTTCATGCACCCTATCTCATTGGCACTCCATCCAGATATGCGAATAGAATGGTGCAAAGCCAGGGCATGTGCTATGCAATGGAAGGAGGAGCTTGAGCTGTTACAAGAGGAGATGCGGAGGATTCTGGCATTCTTTGACTGGCAAGCCATGTTTTGGGATGAGCATGCAGATCAGAACTTGCCTGGTAGTCTCACTGAGAGAGAGGGTCATATTGCATATGCTCGACATCAAGCAGCCCTGCGTCGGGCATTGTCGGACATGTGTCATTCTAGTTGGGCAGATACTTGCGTGTTCATGGACCATTGCATGTAATGTACCATTATGTAGCTATGTAATCGATACAGGTGACAACAAGTGTGGGCAGGATTACCAATGTATGGGAGAAGGGCAGGGGATGCAGCAAGCAGGATTACTAATGCATGGGAGAAGGGTGGGAGGATGATGCATCAAATAAATGGCAGGAGGATAATGCATCAAATAAAGGGCAGGGATGCATCACACACACTGGCAGCTTATACACTGTACAGGGTATTGTAGGGAGGGGGACATGCATCACTCATGCATCAACAGGCCTTAGTATTGTAACATTGTTGCATCAAAACAATGCTATAGTTATAACAATTAATGCATAAATATGACAGCAACCTGTGGAATCTCATGCTAACTTCCCTGATTGTCCCAACTTGGACCCAATCAGTCAACCAAGTCAGATAGCCAGACAGCAGAAGAATAAATACCGGTGCTGATAGAATTGCAAGGGAAGCTGCACACCATAGTACATCAGGGAAAACCTCCCCCCTGGAATTGAGGTAATTCCAAGTAATTCCTCTGTTTTCAGATGATTTCAAGTGATTTCAGGTGAATTCAGGTTTTGCAGAATTATTTAAGTCCGGTAGCTCATTTAATGAATTCCTTTGAATTCTGAGTAGTTTCTTTTGAATTCCCTCAAATTCACTTGTCACTCAAAGGATTATTCTGAATATCATCCAATTCACTTGATGATCAGTCAATGTCAAATTACACGAAAATCCACATTATATTGCATTAAAATAGCTTATAACAATGTATGGAGTTCAGTCAGGAAAGAATATACATGAACATGTGTATCAACAGCACACAAAGATGCTAGTGCTTGAATTAGATGTAACTATAATCAAGTTGGATTAGTGATAGACACAACAGCCTTCAATCCTCAGACATTGCATCAACATTGAGGTAGTCAAAGTTGCTCCCCAAACTAGCCAGCAGTAACATGTTCTGCAACATGCTAACAGAGAATGTGTGAATGACAGGTGCAATCTAAGGAACATGAAATACACCTGACAGCCTTGTAAAGCCATGCCATAAGTGTGTGATACTTTTTTTTCCCGCATTTGGAAATCTGAGTGAGGGTTGCTTTGTGGGCTTTGTAGAGTCCTAGTGCTGCCATGGTCCAGTTTGGTCCAGTTCAGAGGGTCCTCAATGAGAACCGAGAACTGAACCATGGTCCAGTTCTACAAAATCATCAAACCCAGAACTGGACCGTCGAGAACCATTCTCAATGGTCTGGTTTGGTTTTGTTCTGGTCCAAATGCAAACCAAACTGTAAATTTTTCAAGCATACCCACAGACAGTTGGGTGCTTGATGATTTAATTAGTGAAGGAGAACACTCAATGCAAGAAAGAGGCTGGCAGGTGCAGGAGAGTTGTAGCAGGCATGAGAAGGTAGTAGGAGGCATTCAGGAGGGTGCAGTGGACTATCCACTGAATGCCATTAATGCAACAAAACAGCAGAAGAAACAAATAGATGTAACTTACAAGTTGCAAGTAGGCAGCGTGAGGCAGGTACAGCCTGAGATTTTGAGAAGCTTCTTGATAATTCTTGAAGTGTTTGGATACACTACAGTGCACATATGCAGCAGACTCAAAATGTCATCTGGATGAACAGACAGACTTACCCCATCAAAAACTACAACCACTATGACAGATCAATAGAGGGGACCATATTTCAGACATGCGTGCCTCTTTGTTCTGAAAGGATATGTGATTCCGAGCGACTCATGAGCAGAATGTGGTCACGGGCAGATCAGGCTCATGAAAGCCTGTGCAATTGTCTCTTCTATCACTTTTAGACATCATCCTCTCAGCTACTGTGAATGCAACAGCAGACTTTCCAATGCCAGCTGTGCCATGCAGCCAAATGAGCTGATTCTTCTGTGTTGTCCAGGAATATGTGGATGTATTCGAGGAGATCCACACGGGTCCTTTGCAGACATTTTGGGTGGGTGGTCAAAATGAGAGGAGAGTTGAGTCAGACTCACACACACAGACAAGCAGAGACAAGTGCAGAGGTGGGGTCCAAGACATCTAGCATTTGCCTATTGGATGTTATCTACAGTAGCAGGGAAGTCAAGCATCATCAACAGGCAGCTATACTGTCAAGTATTGTGGTGATCTGACTGCAGTCCAGCAATCACAGGTCACCCATTGGATATTTGATAACATCGAAGAGGCGCAAGAGACTGTGGTGCAATAGTTAGGCTGCGTGGCATTTGCTCACACACTCAGTATTATGCTCACATGCAACAAGTGCAGCATATTGGAGGCAGATCCAGACTACCCCAGAGATGGCACCACAGACATGCAGGAAGAATTCATTCTTGAAGCCACATGGTCAACCCTTTTAAACCAGACTGGCAAAAGCACAGACATGATCCACACAGATGTTAACCTGGAATGTCTGTCAGTCTTCAAACAGCACCTGTTCGAGAAGTTGGCTCAGTCAGGCTCTGCAAGAAACTATCAGTGAGGCCTGGATGCTGGGACCCATATGCTGGGCTCCCATCCCACTGGAACCATGAGGATCATAATGAAGGAGATCCCGGTTATGATGAAGACGAGCTTGAGGTACTATGCTTTCCAACTTTTGAAATGGTCCTAGTAAACAATCAACTTAGTGTGGGCCAGGTTTCAGTGACAGCAACAATATTGAGCAACATACATCATGACCTCAGAAACAAAATCCCATGGAGGACCAAGAAAGTGAAGAAAGGTAGCACTGACCGCATCTTGAGATGATGCCTGCAACTGCACAGTCACTCACTTAGAAGCATTGTATACACAGGAATAAGACTACAATGCAATATGAAAGATTGTTTGGTGACAAGGAAGATAGTTGTTGAAATGATATATGGGAGAACTGACTTGCAGACCAGAAGTACTTGTGATGATACTGTCTGACCGTGACTTTGTGAGTGTGATTATAATAATGAGTGGGCGCATGCTCGACTTGGCCATGGTTCATTTGCAGGACAAGGATTGGGAGGTTCCAGTGACTAGCAGTAAGTGTAATTGATGCGCACTCACTATTTGGGAGCAGCGCAGCAGTGGTCGCAGCAGTGGCGCACGATGCCCCATACCATCGGTTCGGGGTTCGGAACGGTTCGGGACCCGTCCGAACCAAAGTCGAACCGTTCGCCCAACGCCAAAACCGAGAACCGTACTATGGTCCAGTTCTGGCTGACACCTGGACCGTGGACCGAACCACAGGGGAACCGGACCAAAAGTCCGGTTCGAACCATGGTTCAGGACCGGACCACGGCAGCACTAGTTGCGCCCGTCGTCTGCATCGTCATCAATCGCTCAAGCGACTCTTTTTCAATCATTCCTAAATGCCTTGTGTAAAATCATATCTAGTGACTCTGCTATGACAAGCACAACAAGATAAATACGTTATATATTCACTTTAACAACAACCAATTGGTCATTGGGATCGTTGCCAGCAGTGGAAGTGAACCCAGTGCTGCGAGCCTTCTTGCTCGGGTGAACTGGGGTGGTTGCTAGAATGTTATATCAAATAGATATTCACACAGATGGACAAGTGGTAAATTACCTGTAGGAGCGCTTGGACGCTTTAAAGAAGCCCCGGCAGTCTGCGCGATGTACTTGGGAGCTGATCGACTAGTAGTCGTTGTATCTTGCGCTTGAAGGGCAAATTGTATTCGAGCTGCGGAATGATGGTTAGCCTTAGTAAACGCTTCTCGCAGTCAATTAACGCACTACTTCGGTCAGTGTGATTGATGGATTGGACGTTCGCTGTACCCACGAAAGGAACAATGACGTTGGTATCGATATTTCGACGAGGTTCTTGCCGTGCTGCGACCCGGAACATTCTATTCGCCTCATCCCCACTGGCTGCGTTGCCCCCATCCTCGCCTTTCTCGCCTTGTGTAGTCAGGCATGCTACCGTTTCACTGGGGGAAAAACTGTCACCTGAATTGTCGTCTAACGCATGTTCGCCGATTTGGGACTCGCGCCTCGCAGGCGCCCCTACTTCAGTGTGATCAGCAGATATATTGCCCTCCCCCAACGCTTGAAAGCGATCATCATTAGCTGGAGATGCGCGAGCTACAGACTTGACGGTGTCTGTGGCGGATGCTTACGGAGTGTTATCGCTCTTTCTTTTCCCTTGCTTTGTGAGCGCGGGGATGAGAAGGCATCAGCGATCATATCGTGTGAGTCAGTACGCGTGGTCGTGTTATCATTATTCTTGCGATGCGCTATGGGACGAGGTTTCGGCCGCCCAGATCCCGAAGATGTGGCTTGGCTCCCGGGGTGTCCGGCATCATCTTCGATCGCGGCTGCTGTCGACTTCTGGGGTTGTCCATCGCGCCTCGGTCCAGCCACAGGTGATTCGTCTTCCTGTTCACTAGCATGATCCCCCTTCAGTACGCATGTTATTAGTCACCTGGTGATGAAACAGTCATACGTATACTTGCATTGGTGTTCTCGTCCTCCAAACCTTGCATAAGAGTTATCTTGAGATTGACTGTATCCATGATGTCATAAGCGAGCCTATCGTCATTCTTTAGTGCTCGCATGCGGAGACGTGTAGAATTGATCTCCAGTGCCTATAACAGGTAGATCGTTAGTCATCCAGCTCTTCTATAGGCGAAAAGATTAGTACGTACATGTATGAGCTTCTTGAGCTCTCGAACGACGTTCGCTGCCACCGGACTGTGGGTCGACGACGTCGCCTTTGCAACTAGCATGCGTTCGACATACCCGACTAGCTTCATGATAGCAGCGCGATCATTCCCCTCCATGTCCTGGCGACTCTGCATGTGTGCATTTATCGTGTGACAGTCCTCAGTGAGCACAGTCTCCAATGCAGGAGTAACGTCTGGCGGAATCTTGGCTCCGTCGTACCATAACCACCTCTTACGCTTGACGGTCTGTCCGTTCTCCCCAGACGTATTAACTGCTCTCGTGTGCTTAGCGATGACCTCCTCCAGGATCGTGCGAAGACCTGCAACCATTGGATCTTTGAATAGACCCTCGCGTCTTTTGCGAATTTTGACAAGATCAAGCAATACTGCCTTGATCAGTGGCTCTCTGTCCCGCTTGCCATTTTTTGATATGCGAGTATGCCAGTCCCAGTTCGTGACATGCATGGCAAGAATTCCAGGGACATCCTGCTGCTCAGAAGTTAGATCCCGTCCTCGCCCCTTCCTTGCCAACATCAACGCATGCAACTTCTGCAGATTGTCCTGCGCATCGGACTCTAGCTGTGCGAACGCTTCGTTGACCTCCTTTCTGTCTTTGAACGGCTCGCTCTTCCTCTTGCGAGCTGACATCGTCGTCAAATTGTTCTGCAGGCGCAAGACCAGCGTCCCGCGGAGTGCCCACAAGCAAGTGAATACCTGTCCTGTCAATATCGGTGTGATACACAGCATGATACTCAATCGCACATACCGCCTCTTCGATTGTCTCGTGCTCGTTTATCCTGCATTCGTTGCGAAGGTTCGTGAACATTACCTGGGTTTTGTCATCCATTGCATGGCTGTTGCGATGGAGCGTGCGATAGTGCAGCAGCAGAGGCTCAAACCATCCGCTGACCTGACACAGAGAGTGAGTAGAACGTCATGTATTGCGTGTGGTTCAAATTATTACCTCCTCAAACGCAGCGATGTTTGACATCAAACTAGTCCACGCAATATCGAGAAGATGACCGCACAACAATGGTAACGGAGCCTCTTGCACGCAATCCTCAGGCGTCAGCCACACGGCGATCCTCGCCACAACCCTATCGTGAAACCGGGTAATGTCGTTCCATTGCGAGGGCTTTGTTGTCGCAAGGTGCCACTTTGAGCGCAACTTGCTTACTAGGTAGTGCAAGTAATTGTCCAGGCTGTTGATGTACTGGGGGTCCTTGGTCCCGACATTCTTTGAAGGAATGTTACGGAACTCCTCTTGAACGAGAATGGACACATCCTCGAACACATCGTTGAAAATGGTAACTTCAGTATTGGCCTTGCTGTTGCATATCTGAGCGCGCCACACTGCCAGTTGCTCGACTGAAGCGTTGCGGTCTGCCCCATCGCTGAATGCCACTAAAATCACATTACTCACTGTTGCGTAGTCCGGGAAGTCATCGCTCGATGCGAGCAAATTCAGAATGTGACTGTGGAACATAATAAATTGAATAAACATCTGTAACAGCACATAAGGACCATGTGAGCGAATATAAATGTCGTTGCTTACCCCCATAATCACATCGATCGAGTTGGCGAGCCAGGTAATCTGGAACTCCTTTCGGCGGCGAAAGTGTGATCCCAACGGCAGAAGATGCAGTGCGAGCGCTAAAATTAGCAGGTCGTAGCTCAGGACTTTCGTCAACCGTGCATTCTTTTGCCGCTCGGGATTATCGCGCTGGATCCACAGCTCACGCAGTGCTGCCGCGACTCGCTCATGCTCAGAAGCATTGTTGTAAGCTTTTTTCACTAATCGCAAGATCTGGCTCAACACTTCTTCGGCAGTTTCCTTGTACTCGTGCAAGGATCTGTTCCGACATAAGTGGTGTGCCAACATGTCACCATCCGCTAACACACTGTCTGTAGGTGCATACTAATCAGCGCTGGATGCTCATACCCCCACTGGACCCGTTGCAACGACAATTGATCCCAACTCATACCATAGCTAAAACACGCCAAAACACGCGGTCCCTTGAATGATACATCAAATGCACGACTTGTGTTACCCAGCCGCCGCAACAGTTCCGGTAGCACAGTAGAGACAGCGGTAGAACTCACCTTCATCATACACGATGACGCCCCATTTTCCCATCAGAATTATTGTCCCCTGCAGGTCATCCAGTTGGTCGCGAAGCCTGTTGAATTCAGTGAGGTGGTCTGGACTCAGATTCTTCCGAGCGGTTATATCGTCGCAGCGTTGCTCCATACGCGCCATCTCTTCAGTGACGATTTCGGAATATTTCTTCAGCGCAGCAACTCGGTGTCGTCCTGACGACACTACAATATTGTCGACGTCCTTCAATTGTAACTGTGGTACAGCATCTGGGATGTCGAAGTTGACCACGAGGCTTGACCCAGTCTTCACGCGGGCGCCTGATAGCATGATCGGTATCGCTGTCGCTTCTCGCATCGCCAGGATCCCCTTCTTCTTAAACGATGCAACAAGCTTATTCACCTCTCTGGCCTCCTGGGGCTGATCGTTATATTTGCCAAATAACAACGAGTTCTTGATTTTGAGTATATCGATGTAAGCCACACCAATCCTGCACTTCGCGAGCGCCGCGTCCATCCTCTGAGTGTTTTGTGCCGGGTCAGTCGTTCGCTCCTTCGCTTGAACAGGGCGCTTGTTCATCATTCCGCGCAACTCATCCACCTGGAATCCGTGACTCCTTAGCTGCCAGTGTGTCAAGTTGATCATGTATACGTACGGTGAGTGTCTCCTCATCTCCAGATGTGTCGCGATTGCGACGTGCCATGTCGATTACAGTTGCGGGCTGTTGTAGGGAGCAGTGTTGTTCCTGACCCAGGATATAACTGATGATGATGATGCGTCCTGCTTCGAATCAACTGCGAAATAGCTGGTTAGATGATAGAACGCGGTGGGCAGCGCTCACATGAGCAGCTGCTACTCGTAAACATACATAGACAGTATTTAGGTAGATATCAATACAACAAGAAAAGACGCGCCTCTCTGTCGGCTTTAGAGAGTCCATTCCCTCCCATCCCAGTAAGATGCGAAGACGGTTCCTGCTTCCTTTTTTTGTTCTTATCTTTGTTGCCCCCGTCGTCATGGCTCCTGGTTCGTTAATCAAAGTGTGTCTCGCCTAGTGTAGGGGGAGTCTCATGGAATAAGGGAATGCCCATAGCGTTACCGGATGTGTCTTTGTGGACAAACCCCGGCCTTCTTCCAATGACACACTATATATGTTCATTAAGGCGGTTCAGGAAATGAGCTTCCATCCCTTACCGAACATACGTTGGTGACGAAATGCATTTCATTCACGACCCATATTAATATTCTGACACCCGGCGCCGCCTAGCCCCATACAGGACTGTGCAAGATGCCGGGAAAAGTACAATCTATGGGCGTTTCAAATCAGTGCGTTTTGTGCCTTTGCGAAGAAGAGCTATAGTCATAGTGCAACATTTGCACAGCGGGATTAAGCATATTTGGAAGGTGCGAAGCGAGTGAGACCAGCTGAACAGGAAAGGGGCGACAATGGGCCTGGTCCTGCGACATTGCCAAACTCATTGAGCATTTGAGTCAGATAGCATGAGTGACGCAGAATATGAAGCACTTATTCAGAGTCACCAGGAGGATGCAAGAGCGACAACAATACCCAGCGGAGGACAAGGAGGGCGTCGATACAGATATATTGTCCATCTAAGAGCTAGATTCGTACCAGCCCAAGATAATGTTGCGCGAGAAATACGTCACGTCTCTTCGAGGATCGAGCTCGTGTCTCTGTTCGACGGGGAGTGCCAGAATTTTGGAAAGTGCGGCATCAACTAGACAATCGTCTTCGGTGAGTATCCCTATTCCAGCTGGAGTATCGATCGCCGTCAAATTTTCTGGATCGGAGATGATAGCAAAACGATAGATTAGTTGACTGGAAATCATCGACGTTTCATTCTGACCAATCAAGTAACAAGCCTTTCACAGACTCATGGAACTCGGGCGTCCTAATCGCTCACATAGTCTGTGCCAGCAGAACAGTAACCTGTCCTCGAAGAACGCAATCGTCAGCGGTGCTTTCCAAAGCGGCTTGGAATGACGTGGTAGCGGCTTGAAGATCGTCCATCCTGAAAGACGCTGACCCAGACCCGTATTGAGCTTGCACATGTATAATCTGTGACACCCGCTCTGCATCTTTGAGAAGTAGACCTAGAGCTGCCAACGATCTTTCATGGTCCTGCAATCCGAGACGGAGCCTTGCGATGTTTCACCGTCTATAGTACGCCGAGCCACCACCTCGACCAGATCCTATCCACGCTCGTCGCCGAACCCTTCTACGGGGCACCTTGCAACCTCTGCTTCACAGGCATCAACTTTGAATGCTTTCTGGAAACACTTTGAAGCCCGCGTAGGGACGGGTGGTGACGCGTGTTTTGAGTAGTATACGCCTAGCGAAGTGTATGCCGGCGCATACTCGCGATTGTGTTTGAGCGATGTGATGAAGGATTTGAAGGCTTCCTCGCGGGACTCTCCTGCAATAGGAATCAGTAATGTGATGCAAAAGGCGTGGATCGTTTCACCTCCTAAATCCCAGTAGCATCTCCCAATCCGCCACAGGCGCCGAGCTTTATCAATGTCACCGCGATCCTCGATATCCTTCAAGGTCTCAAAGACCTCTTTCAAAGCATCTACGCCAGGATCTGCATGCATCCGACTGAGGCACTACGCACTCTCCCCTTTTGCTCCCACGCCTTTATCCATAATATCATCAGGTAGCTACTTCCCCGCTTGCGCAAATAGCTTTTCCGCCTCTTCCCATTTTTCAGCATATTGTAAGACATACGCCTTCCCCATCAATTCGTCCACGTCGGTGGGATCCTGTCGCAGGACGTCGTTCAAGAAATAAAGAGCACGAGGGTGGTGCTTAGGAGGAAATAGATGAACGAAGGATGTGGCCAGAACAATGTGAAAGGCCTTACGCACTCTAAATGGACGACAAATTGTCACTGCAGTTTCGAGGTTCTAATTATTTCCACCTACTCTCGCGGTTCACGGTCCGTGTTTGGCTCATACCTGCGTATCAATTCCAGTCCGCTTTCAACGACTTTGATGGCATCTGTGTATTCGAGTTCCTGTAGTTGAACTCGAGCTGTGATCATGTTCGCCGGGTCACAATGAGTCCAGGAGTACTGAAAAGGCATCCTGAATAGAGATGTCAATGATATCTTCTGGAGCGTGATTCACGAACACTTGGGATTACGCAAGGCCAAGACCCTCTGCTAGGGAGCCCAATTCAGTAATGGTAGACAAATTTATGACGCGCCCAGTACCAACTGTATCAGAATCTCTTCCTTCAAACCACATGCACCAAGCAGCCTCATCCAGAATGCCAATCGTCACAATATCGTGAACCATCTCATCCAGCAGCATGCCAACCTGTGGGTTGGTAGAGGAGAGTGCCAGGAACGATTGTTGTTTATATCGAATGAGTTTCGATTATGTGGCGCGCCGCGGTTCGTCCGAGGTGTACTGGGGTGATTAGGAATATCATTGTATAAGGTTGGAAGCTGCAAGGCGAAGATTAACTCGACGACCGGAGTATTCGCAAGGCTGCTTTACCTTCGATGAGTGCCAAACCTCAATGCCAATATCTTTTTTGAGTTGCTCGGGCTTAGGAGAACGTCGAGCCACTCCTCACATTCGCAGGCTTAGTGATTGCCACATGGGTCTTGTCCCAACACAAAAGTGGGACGAGGAAACTGTTTTCGATTTACGGTCCAGCTATCTTGACTAACCATGGTCTTGAGTAGATATCGATATCCTCCCACACGAAGCTGTCGCCCAGACAGGTCAGATGGCTCGAAGCCTTGAGTGAATTCGACTTCGACGTGATCTACGTACCTGGTGCTGAGAACACCCTCGCGGACGTATAGTAACGAGCCTAAACGCACAGTTAGATCCGCGAGTGAATATGTAAGTGCAGAGGATGACGACTCACCTCACGGCCTCCTGCTGAATTTCGTATCAGCTCCCGTGTATAGCGGGACTCCTTTGTTCCTGGGCGCGACTAAAGCACGACGTTCTGCGCAGATCGCCACTCGGCGTGTAATTGGTCAACAATCACCTACCCACAGGACTGGTGCATCAGAGGCTGCAGGTTATACCATGGGGACGGATGGACGTGGCACTCGTCAGGCAACGCCAAACGAAGCGCCATGTACCTTAGGGGGCCACGAGGGTCCAACGTCTCAGAGCCTGACAGAAGATGTGCCTGTGACTCCCGGAGATCAGCCAGAATCGGACTCGACAGCACTCACCATGGACATGCCAAGCTCTGCTGGTGCAGCGTCACCTAAGGGCCAATCCAACAATAAACGGGTTATCCTGAAATTAGGGAAGCGCATCAGCCTCCCTGGAGGGCGGAAATAGTGAGAAAACAAAAGACTCACCAAGAACACCTAGTCCTACCCCATGATGTTGGCCCCAAGTCAAAGGCCACAACCACGCTAAACGACAAGAGCAGTGAGAATGCTGAAAGTGATAAGTCCTGGGCAGCTGCGCCATGGGAAGGGGAGGCTTACAAATGGTCTGACCGTTTTTCAAAGACCGACAGAGAGTCAGAGACCGTTTCGACCGTTTCAAAAAGCACGTGAGTTTGAGATCACTCACGTGACCACTTCAACAATTTTGCCCCAGGCGACGATGGCAAATGGCGACGACTTAGCGGGACGACCGAGCAACGAGTCAATGAAACAGGAACATACCTACCCCTTTCTTTCTTATTCTTAAGATAAGAGCCTCTTTTGAATTAGCCCAATAAAACAAGAACTGTGTGAATTGACTGGGGGGGGGGGGGGAAAGACTGCATTGGAGTGGATGTGAAACAAGTAAACTATTAGTGGGAAGGAGAAGGGGAAAAATTAGACAGCAAGGCAAACATGAATCTCGACTCTCTACAGCTGCTGCTGCTGCTGGAGAAAGTTGATCCTGAGCCACTGCTTGTTGTTGTGGGTGACGATTAGTGATGCACAGGGCCAGGCCTCAGGCCCTATGTAGGCCAGGCCAGGCCGGGCCCACATGCCAGGCTTACTAGGGCCTAGGGCCTGGCCTGTAGTTTGACTGGGCCCAAGCCCTGGCTTTTCCCTTTGTAAAAAGTCTGTGGCTGTCAGCCAATGTTAAATATTTAAACTATACAGTTTTAAATTTTCTTGAAAAGGCAATACTGTATGTACCCATACCATAAGTTAGGCACATTCAATAATCATGCCCATTGTCATGTCTGACGATGAGTCCATGTCAGGACATGTTGTGTCTCAACCACAACAAACTGTGATGCTTTTGTCACAACTCACTGATGCCAACAACAATGCAACTCCAGAGCTCTCAGCCCATAGGAACAAGCCTCCTGTGCCTGCCATCAGTGCCCCAAAACCAGTACCAACCAGCAGCAAACAAGGAGCAAAGGATGCAGTAGATGAAAGTGCATCTGATGAGGGTGCTATGGAAAATGGACCTCATACAAGTAAGTTGTCTTGTACGTCTCATCTCAGGACCACTCAGTTCGAATGTTGCAGGCAAATGACTGCACTGCATTGCAAGCACTGATGGTGAGGCGTCGTTTACAGATGCTTCCAGCCCATCTGTAATTGATACTGCAGGTATGTAATGATGTTGTCTGGTTCTATAACTACTTGTCAATGCTTCTGATCAACAGAAGAGACTCCAATCACGTGCAATGCAACACCTATGGACACCAAAGGTTTTTTATCCAACGTCAATGTACAAGATCTATCTGCAACCCCGACTGTTCAATGTGAGGAAAAGGGCCGCGATGTCAGTGCATTTTTTGGCAAGCCATATGCACACAAGGCCAAAGATGGGAAGACTCATACAGTTCGAGACTGCAAGCCATGCAAGTAAGTAATATCTTTGATTTGCTACCTCCCAACTAACAAATTCATAGAAAAAACCATTACCCATGCCAGATTGTTAGCAACACTTCAATGTGTTGACACCACATTGCCTTTCAGCATCCAGTAAGTTTAGTATTTCAATCTTGACGCTTCATTCATGTATTAATGTTTATAGGATGCCTATCAACAATGGTGCAAGACCAACAACTTCAAGTCAATGCTACCTCAAGATGTCAAGGAATGCAAAATGGCAGCTGCAGTGGTGAACATGCAGCAAACAAGTCTCAATGGACACCTCCAAGAGATTCCTCCCAACAAGGTAGTCATACCTTATACTGATTCACTCTTCTGTGAGGCTGCCATTGAATGGCTGATATCTACTAGCCAGGTAAGTATTCATTACTTGCATTTGATATGATGTTTAACATGATTTTACAGCCAATCCAAGCTGTAGATCATCCAAGCTTCAAGAACATGATCAACATAGCAGCCCATGCTACAAATGGCATGGTCCTACCAAATCGTAACACTACACACCACAACATCATGGACTTGTTCAAGACACAGATGATGAAGTTAAAGGACCGGCTCAATGTAAGTTTTTGTTTTGTCTGATTATCATCAACTGACGTTGCAAATAGAGCAAGCTTGTATCTGGCACTGTCAACTTAACATGTGATGTGTGGCAGGCAAGTAATGCAGACAGTTATTTTGCTACCACTGGCCACTGGATCAAGGAAACATCACCCAGTGTTTGGCAGCTTGAATGTGCTGTCCTGGGGTTCGCACAACTCAACAACTCACACAATGGACAACACCTTGGTCAAGCACTGTTTAAGATTGTGGACCGAGTGGGTATTGCTCATAAGGTAAGGTACTTTGGAATGCCTGGTTATGTTGTACTCATGTGAGATTAGATTGGCCATATTACATTGACAATGCTTCAAATAATGATACAATGCTCAATGAACTGGCACTTCGGATAAAGCAAGGGACAGGTATGATGTGGATCCCAAAAAAGCGACACATTAGGTATAGTTAACTAACTATTTGTTTCACCCTTGTACTAATGTAAACCTTGCAGGTGTTTAGCTCACATCATTCATCTTGTGACACAAGCTATCATTGCCTCATATAGCAGTGCCCTGTACTATAACCCCAAGCTCCCAGACCTGTCTATCCCCCAAGCACATGGCCACTGTGATGAAGTTGGCCTTGCACGAGCAATTGCAGTCAAGGTATGTCATTTTCAAAACATTTCAATGTCATTTGACTAATGATACAAGGCACAGTCCTCTGCCCAATGAAAACAACTTTGGAAGGATATCCAGACCTGTCAGCCTAACCCAAGCCCAGTTGTCTCACAACTACTACTCGACATGCCCATTTGGTGGTCCTCAACTTATGTTATGCTTGACCGTGCTGAGAAGAAGTGAGCCATTAGTATGATAATATAACTAACAAGTCGAAACTAACTGTTCTTTAGTATGTTGATACATTTGTCTATGAGCTCAGCCTTCGTGAGACTAACCTTACAAAATGTGTCAAAATTGATCAGTTGAAGTTGCATGAAGATGAATGGGCTCGCATTGCATTATTCATGTCTCTTCTTGCTGTGAGTCTTAGGTTGTCTTTTTATCATCATTGAAACTGATTATCACTTCAGCATGCTGACAAAGCTCAGCAAAGCTTTTTGTCTGACAAAGGAGCATCCCTTTACCTTGCTTTGCCAGCTCTCGAGGCCCTACATAAGGCATGGTTGACTCATTCTGAGAATCCCAAGTATGAGGCATTTTGGGAAGCCTTACAACAAGGTGTTGCAAAGATCCACAAGTATTACAACCGAAGTTTGGAGTGTGATGCATACATCATCGCAATGTGTAGGTGACATGGCTTGTCATATGATTAATACTAACTCCTGGGCCTGTTGTATCTAGTGCTCAACCCATCACAGAAGGACTCCCACATCAAACACTTTTGGAGTAAGGTCACACATGCTGAGGCTCTCAAGGAAGCCAAATGAATTGTGGGTCTTCTGTTTTCAAGCAAAAGTACAAGCTTACATCTAGACTAGTTTAAGGAAGAGCATATTAAGTTGTATGGTGAGCATGGTGTTCCATCATCACTGAAGAAGAAGTCAGGTAAGGTATATGGACTTCTCTGAGAGCTTTCCAGTGATGATGAGAGTGGTGATGATGAGCCAGAGGAGTTGGAGGTGGATCCACAGTTGCCATGGTTAAGGGAGTTCCACCTCTATCTTGACTCACCCACTTCAGTTCCCGATAACATGTCTATGTCATATCACACAATCCGGACCCACATTCCATCATATTCCCACGCCTTCCGAGCCTATGTCTGGACCACACTTTATATCCAACTCATTCCCAGATCCCCTTCTGCTGTGTGCTCCACACCTCAGCAGGATCAACTATGCTCTGGATTTACCCCTGAGCTCTGGACCATCAGATCTCCACTGCTAGCCTGAACCATAACCCCCTGTCCCATCCACCCTATGTACACTCCATCCAGCAAGACATCCAGACTTCACCTCATCTCAGATTCTGGACTCTATCCACCATCTCATATCCTGGTCCTGTATCCACCTTGTCTTCTGGATCCCCAGATCTCCAGACCTCCAGATATTAACTCCAGACCTATTCCCACCCTCTGTCCAATATCCTGCACCTATCTCCATTTAGGCATTCTCTGCCTTCTGGCTTTTGGTTACCTCTTGTTCCATCTTGCTTATTGATCCTTGTACGAGTCTTCATCTCTGAGTTCATTTACTTATGTTCCATCTTACTTACTAATGTGTTTCCACATGCTCGTACATAGCCTTGCTCCTTTGCTTACTGATCCCCTCAGATATTGTTCAGTATATAACCCCTGTAGATACTCCTGTAGTTCCTTAGTTTGAATATCAACTTAGACTTGCCCAATCCTCTCTCAGACTTTGGTCCACCTAAGTCTGTCCTACCCATCAGGCCTAGGGATTGATTCCCTAGGCTGGAGCTCCACCTTTCCGGCACTTTCCCTCTTTCTGGACTTAGGTCCAATCCCTGTCCCTCCAACTCTACCTTAGGGTAGTCTACCTCTGTTTGTTTCTACATCAGACGAAGTCTGATGTAGCCCCTATTCCTTCCGGACCTCCTGTCCCTTGTACCTCCAGGCATCCTGTCCTTTGGACATTCTGCCCTCTGTACCTTTGGGCATTCCATCCTCCTAACCCTCAGATGTCCTATCCTCCTGCCCTCCATACCTTCATACCTCTGGACATCCTGTCCTTTGTACCTTGCAGCGGGAACTCTCCTGAGCACTTCCTGCATTCCTCCGGAACTCTCCTGCGCTCCTCCATATGTTTCCTGCACTCCTCTGGAAGTCCTCTAGCACTCTCCACCAGAGTAGCCAGCCTCCAGAAGTCCTCCGGACTTTGTCGAACCATCATTGGACCTCATCTGAAATGAAGGGCCCATACTCGGGTAAGGGGCACAGAGTATGAGCTGAGGCCAAGCCCCTCTGAGTCAGTCTATCCCTCCCTTGAGCAACACGGTTCTTAACAGTCTATCATCCAATGGTGGGGGGTAAGATCATTTCATGTGAACTGTGTTATTACTGATGTAGCTTAATATTGTAGGTGAATGGTCAGCAGTACCCTGTTTGGGCCTCTCTTGCTTGTGATCACTTGTCCATCATGGCCACTTCTGTTTCAAGTGAGCAAGCTTTTGCTGCTGCTGCTCTGACTGTCATGAAGCATTGCAACTGCTTGAAGGGTGATATAGTCAAAGCAATTCAAGTACTTCATATGATGTATCAACATGATCTAATCTTTCGAGAGGCCCCTCCTTCTTCAGCTTTAGAATTAGCATTGGAGGAACTGGATGATAGAGAGGAGGGTGGCTGTGATGACAACATCATACTGTCAGGTGAATCAGATGTCAAGGATTAGGTCTCTAATTGATTAGGGTAGTGAAATAAAACCTTCATCTTACCTTGGAAGCCCTGGCCCAGGCCCTCCACAAGGGCCTGGCCTGAGTTTCTTCCAGGCCTGAGCCCTCTAAAGCCAGGTCCAAGCCCTGGCTTTCAGGCCAGGCCAGGCCCAAAGCATCACTAGTGACGATGCAGTTGTGGGGGGTCAATGGGTCAATGACGAAGTCTGCAAACAGCTGGAAAAGCACTGCACCATCCTCACAGATCTCAGTGCATGAGGCAAGCAGCTTTGCAAAGGCCTCAGTTTCAAGCAAGTCCATCTCTCCTGGTCCCTGCATGATGAAGACGCACTTATAGATGTGCTGAACAGCCAACAAAAACATGTGCAGGTGAAATGTGCGGCCTTTGGAGAACAAGCCTTGAGGCTGAGGCCAGGGAGGGGGATCCTTGCCACTCTTTGATACCTGCTTGACACCATTAGCGCAGTAGCCCTGCTTGTGGTTGAGTGGCGAGTTTTCAGGGCCAGGGTACATGATTGTTTGGCAGTGTGAGCATGTCTGCACTTTTCGGGGCTAAATAAGCAAGTTCAGCAGCATTGTGAACACACTGCGAAAGGGCTTGGACTGGGACTGACCTTTTTCCCTCACTCTTCCTTGATGAGGGGCACAACAGAATAATGATGGCGCCAAAATGTCTCATTGTTCCTCTTTGCTGTAATCTAGATGTCAGAAAACAGAGTGAATGCAAGGACTCAGTAACTCACAGGTATACTCGTCTTTGATAATACAGTTCATCAGTTTGGGCTCAATGTCACCCAGTGCATGCAGGAGGGCCTGTGGGTTCTTCTGGATGACCAACTGGCCCATTTTCTCGACAAGATGGCGATTGTACTCCTCCATTGCCAGCACCCAGCACTTCAAAGTCATTTGGTATGACAGCCACTTGAACTTGGCCTGCATGTTCATAAACAGGTAGAACTTGTTTGAATTTTGGAAGGTGAGCAAGCAAGGATCAATACCTGTGGAGATGGAGAACAAGTGCTGGGACCGGGTCTGGCCTGCTTTTTTAATACCCATATATCATTGATCAGGGGTGATTGGCGAGTTGTTGAAGCCAACACTGGCAGCCTGCAAGAATTCAGGATGTATATCATTGATTGGGGGTGAGAATGACATACCTTCATGTGTGTATCATTGATTGTGGGTGAGAACTTTGGCAAGTTGTCAAAGCCAATGCTGGCAGCCTGCGAGAATTCAGGATGTATATCATTGATCGGGGGTGAGAACTGACATACCTCTGTGGCAGTACTGCTAGTGGGAGCCCGAGGCTCTCCATGCCATGTTAGAAGACGGCCTGAAGCAAAGTAGCCATTGTAGGGAATGAGATTCCTCCAGGCTTATATTGTGCATATCACGACTCATGACAATTGGTATAGTGTGCAACTCACTATCTACAACTTTCCCACGAAATGCGCCAGAGGCGCGACACTTTCCTGCACTATGCAACACATTCCTGTGCACGCACTTAGCGCGCTCTTCCCACGCTCAGTTGCCTTATATCACGCAGCATCTGGGAGCATCCATCCATCATCCAACCAGTCCCCTAGTGAGTCCCTTTTCGCTTATTTCCCATATCAGACCATTTCTGGTATTGTACAATATATTATTCCATCATGGACCCTTATTTACATCATTTACATACTTAGAGCGCTCCCTATTCGCTTCTGAGCCCTGGGAGCACACCTAGGCACAGCTTACCTGTGGCCTAGGAAAAGTTTTCATATACCTACCACCATCCAGTAGTCGTCTAGAGTCAGAATCCATTATCATGAGTTAGCATCCATCAGAGTCATTGCCCTAGTCCTCAGTCCATTATCACCATCAGTCACCATTCAGCAGTCTCAGCACACGTCCTCACACCATCCTTCAGTCTTTACATGTCTGCACACCACACGCACTCTATTCCCATGCTTTGCGCTCCTACGCACTCAACATTCCTGCATGTGCGCTTTCAGCGTGCTTCACCAGAGTTGACCTGGTGTCACTTTGTGGATCCTTGCTTTCCATGCTTCCCTTAAGGGTCAAACATATCGCTCAGCACATTTCAACCAACACACATAGAGAGTTAGTAGCTTTCCTCTCACCACCAGAGTGAGAGTGCCTTCTTTCTTTCTTTAGCTCTGCAGCCTAGCAGAGTTGTTGAACCTTCACCGTCAAGCATCTTGGTGCTGGCTGGACCCAGACCCCAAGGTCATTTTGTAGTAGTGGACCCACTGTTGGACTTTTCATTGGAGTTAGGTGAGATGCAAATGGCCTTGCATTTGATTGGAGAGGGAGGTGTGACTTTGGCAGTGAGAACGCTATTGTTGGAAGCTGTCTAGAAAAGTTCATCAGTTAAACAAATGAAAAATGGGTGGATGCCCCACTCACCATACCGTTCATTGAGGGCTTGGTACTGGAGCCATTGGCAGTGTGCAGCAGCTGTGCAGCAGGTTGATCAAGGAGCACTGGATCAATCTGCCAGTCCTCAATCATGATGCTGCTGCTGGCTTCAGTCGCAAAATCTACAGTCCCACCAGTGAAGCTATCTGTGTGAACCTCAAAGTTGTGTGTGAGTTTGGCGTCCAGAGTCTCTTCCTTGATGAGCAAACTACCAAATGTGGTTGCATTATCCGATATGACCAGTCCAAAGGTCCCGCCAGAGTCAACATCTGGAAGTTCTGGTAGAGGAAGCAGCTGTGTGTCCTTCTTGCATAGTCCATTGTAGAGTTTTGCGATGTGGTTAGAGAGCTGGATGTGGTGGGAGCTGTGGGTGAATTTGATGAAGGGTGTCATTTGACACCTACTGGAAGCGACCCAAATGTTTCAACGGAGGACAAAGTTATGACCGAGTGCAGACAACATCACAATCCCACTTGGTTGGGCATGCTGCAATGAGTTCCAGCCTTGGTGTGTGCCCTTGACATGGCTGCTGTCAGACCTGAGGTCTTGATCTGAGTGCTCGAGACACCCTTTTTGGACATGTTTGAGTTGCTCTTGATGTACCTAGCAGAATATGATGGTGTGAGACTTACTTTCTGAGCCGCTGCTGACCACACACCTTTCTCGGCCCATTTATCAAAAGCTGCAAGAAGGTGCTGCTCTTGTTCACCACGATCCCAATACTCTGTTCTGCATCCATGTTCTGCATGTTTCTTGAGGATCACACCCAAAATATTTGCAGCGATGGCACTATGGAATGGGTTTTTGCTTGTGTTCAAGATCACAGCAATGTATCTGCATTTGGTGAGGGTTCCTGTTAGCCAGGAGAGTAGTATCACTTGTGCCGAAGTTACATACCTTGCACTGAAATGCCAGACATCCAGCTTGGCCTCTGTCTCGGGCATGGCAGAAGCCACTGCACTGTGAATATGACAACAGTTGTCGGCAACCATCATCTTTGGTTGTGGGAGGTTGAGGACATCGTGGCGCCACTTGAGGCCATGCAGTAGCTCTGTGATCTCAGCATTTGCACATGTCTGACAGAACCACTTTCAAACAGGGTGATACTATCTATCAGCCTCCAGCTTTTCAAAGTCAGATGGAAGCACTCACCCAAGCAATGATCTCATTGCTTTCATTCAACACAGTGAGTATCCCACCCTTGATCTCCCTTGCCTTTTGCCCATCCTTGTTTGTCAGTGTTGCCTTGTTTGCTGCCTTGAAGGTGTTATTGAGAGAACCACATATTGCTGACAAAGAAACAGTGAGTAAGTCTATGTAAGTACTATTTGGCCTTGTAGTACTTACCAGATAGTGACTTTAAGTATAGCACACTCTCGTTCTGCCTGGTGCAAGTCGTGAAATCAAGAAAGACCTCAGTGATGATCTCATGTGAGATTGACTTGTTATCGTAGCTGAGCTGGTCGTCCAGTTCTGAGAATACTTGAAGCCCCAATTGTCTTCCTGCAGTCATGCCACCAGCAGCACCATTGAAGTAATGTCCAAGTGTGAGTGAGTTCGAGCTGTTCAATGACTTGTAAGTGCTGAATGCCTCGAGATATTCCAGCATTTGGCACTTATACTCAAACAGATGCAGCTCTGATTGTAGGTGCATTTAGTTAACACATCAATGACAGCACATGGATACTTACATTGGATACATTCTTCAAGACTGGCAGATGTTGAAGATGGCTGCAACTCAATGAGGAGATCAAACAAGTCCTGCATCAATGCACACTGGTAGAAAAAGATTGGTATGCCCCCTGCCATGAGGCCTGAATATGTCAGTTCAATTACTTTTGCAGTGCACACAAGACTCATGCAGTATTCTCCAGTGCTCCCAGGACTTCCAATACATTGTGCTCATCGTGGTGAAGCAATAGCCCTTGATGCTGGATTCTGAGTCCAAACTGTGAGTGGTCCCATTCCTGGCTTTTGGCTTCAACTTTGACGTCTCCTTGCAGCGGTTGCAACACAGTTGAGTGCCAAGAGCCATCTCTTTGCAGAAGATACCATGCAGCTCTCAAGGTCCTTTGCTTGTCCATCCTTCCCAAGTTGTGTCCTTGTCAGACCTGCATCTTGGACACTGTGTAAGCTGCAGGTAGTAGAATGGGTGCACAATATTGAGTGGCTTGAGGTACTGTATCTTCGGCTCAACAGCTCCACCACCTGACTGCTTTTGGATGTGCAGGTACGATGGAGGCATAAACTGAGGCCCAAGCAATGGGACATTCACTCCTAGCTTGCCAGGCTCACCTCTCTTTGACCATGTTCTTGTCTTCTCCCACAGGAACTGGACATACTCAATGATCTTGGATTCCCACTGTAGCTGAAACTGTGGACATGGGTTGTTCATATGGTTGTGTGCCTTGTTCCATGTGCTGACTCATTTTTCGACCTTTTTTTTGGTTAGTTGAGGGATTAAATGTATGTACCAAGTGTGCTTCAAGCCACTTGAGAAACTCATGCTAGCCCTCCAATTTTTCTCAAAGGTGTTTTTCTCAAGAGGGGAGACAGCTGTCAAGTGCTTGAGAAGAGTGAGGACTGTCTTCAGTTTGAAGACTGACATGAGTGTGATGGTGAAATTGTGCATGTACTTGGGTGGTGGGAGATGGAACAAAAACATGTTTTAGGGGTCAGGACTGTTTTGATTTTGACTACTACAACCACCACACTAGCATTATTCAATTTTTGGTTTAACTGCCACACCAAGTTGCTGTTGATTTTATTTCTGATTGGTGGGTTGAGAACATTTAAATTTCCTAGCTATATTCATTCAGGGAAGCAAATTCAAGCTAACAGGAGCTACAGTACACAGTAATATACTCAATGACTCCACACTTGCACACTTCCAAGTCTGCTTTCACGGAAACAGGCGCCAGCAATGGCCAGACAAACAAGATTGAAAATACCAAGAGAGCTGTCACCACCAATGGCAGCCCAGAGGCCAATGCCAGGGTCCCTCCTCACATAGACCCTCAAATCCACACCACAGATATCACACAGTTCATGCAGTTTGGGTATGAAGAGAAAGTGGGGAGACTCGCAAACCACTCAGGCTTCCAGCCAAGCATGATATGAGATGTGTACAAACACTCGAGCACCTTCAAGCAGGCAGAAAATATTGCCAAGGCCATGCAGGTCGCTGCTGTGAGGTGTGTGGTGTCAAAAATAAACAGGCAGGTGATGCCAAATGGTGATGGTGAGGATGAAGACGACAAAGAAGATGAGGAGGAGGAGGAGGAGGAGAAAAAAGAAAACAACAAGGGCAAGAATGAGGACAAGAATGAGAAAAAGAACAAGGACAAGGATGTCAAAGATGAGGATGAGTGAAATATTGAATGACACATCATATTGTAATGAGCTGTAAGGAAGATAGAATGATGTTGGTAATCCAGCACAAGAAAGTAGTAAAGCTGAGTGCAAGCAGATGTGTGAGGTAAATAAGGAAGATAGAATGATGTTGGTATCCAGTGCAAGAGTAGGGAAGCTGAGTGCGAGTGGATGTGTGAGGTGAATGGGGAGTAGGAAGACAGTCCTAAGGAAGATAGAATGATGTTGGTATCCAGCACAAGCGCAAGAAGTAGTGAAGCTGAGTGTGAGCAGATGTGTGAGGTGAATGGGAGTAAGGAAGATGGTCCTAAGGAAGATAGAATGATGTTGGTAATCCAGTGCAAGAAAGTAGTGAAGCTGAGTGCGAGCAGATGTGTGAAGTGAATGGGAGTAGGAAGACAGTCCTAAGGAAGATAGAATGATGTTGGTATCCAGCACAAGAATTAGTGTACTAGTAACCTTACTGTGATGTTAAAGAGAAGAGAAATATAATCCAGGGTGTAACCAACCTGCAGGAAAGTGTACTAGAGAAATATAATCCGGGGTGTAACCAACCTGCAGGAAAGTGTACTAGTAGCCTTACTGCAATGTTAAAGAGAAATATAATCTGGGGTGTAACCAAGCCTGCAAGGAAGAAGTGTTCTCACCATTAAAATTAGGATGGGCTAAGGGTTAAATTAGATGTCACACTAGCTAGGGTCTGAGTCAAGGAACATGAACTGTTATGAATTCTGTTGGAACTGTGAACTGTGTAGTAATAAAGTGTGGGTGTGGGTGGGTGTTCAATGTCAACTGTGCCAGTAAGTAATATCAAACACTGGCATCTGAATCTGACATCAAAAATAAGCTATCTCATTGGGACTTTGTCTTCACTTGTCTTCACCTTATGTATTAAATCATTTGGCTGAAAGCCAATGGATGCAGTAGTGAGGTTTCGGTACTCCCAGAGACTTCCCCCTGGGATGGTTTTCTGACTTCTGAGCGCTGACCCCTTCCAAGTTCCTCGGCTCGCCTGCGGCGAGCCTCCCCTTCCCATGACCAATTTTTCAAGTCCTGACAGTCGAGGTAAAATCACGTGACGAATGACATAAATGCGGTCCCGAAGAAATCGCTACTTGGTACTTACTACTACTACTACTACTTAGGTAGTACTAGGCCTCCTCACCTCACTGAAATCATCTCTTAACGGGCAGGATAATTGGACGAGCATACTCGAGGTTCAGCAGTCTTGTCCTTCCGGCCTGCCCGAAACCTGTTTGTTTAGGTCCCTTTGCCACCTGTGGCTGATGCACACGGCATGACTAATATTATGCCTCACGCTATTCTTATTGCCACCTCAGGCTTTAGTGGAGTCAACGGTCTATGTCTAGCGAGACTTGGTGAGATAGGTCTTTTACCTCTTCTCACTCAACGTTCAACGTCCGAGTCTGCGTCCTCTGATTCAAGACGTAAAATGCCTAGAATTTGTTCCACATTCGGAGGCGAATGACTCACCGATTCATCGACGCCCGGATCAGCCGCGTACTGTGGTTTTTGCTGATACATTAATTCGTCACTATCAACGCACTAATAAACATGTGTAGTGTCACTACTACTAGTAGAAGAAGGCCGGGGATTATCCAGAAAGACACATCTGGTAATGCTCTGGGTATTCCCTTATTCTATGAGATATTGAATGTCCTCGACGTCTGATCAGCTGTTGACCTCACTTTGTGTCATCTGCCCTCATCGCTAACCTAATCGCATGTTGTATTGTGTTCGTACCCGCTGAACCGGATGCGGAGTCCGTTACCTTCGACTGTCCTTATAAACGGTACCACCACTCGGTCTGTCTCTCAGGTCACCTCCCACTCAGCCTCAACGCTCGTCCTTATGGCTCAATACGCTGCTGACAGGTAAGCTGTTGAGTGCGAGTATACGTGGCATTTTCTGATGTCCGAGCGCTCCGGCGCATCAGTAGCACCGACGACGATTCTGATATTCTAGATGACGGATTGCTGTCTAACGCGATAGACGAAAGCAGTCCGTTTAATCTTGATGATGTCCCTTCGGCTGTGGAATCCGACGATCCTGTACCGCAGGAGGAGGTGTTTCACAGCATGTTTATTGCCCGCGAAGGCCAGGAGACAACCGGCCGTACTTGGGAACAGACTCCTGTTTGTACCTTACCTCTGTCAGCCTTCGAGAAAGTCTTTCGCAAGAAGGACAAGGCAACTGCAGCAAATTTATTACTGCGTCGCACTAATCTCCGCGTTGATCCTCATCTCACATTTGCCCCCGATCATCCCAGTTTGTTGTGGGACGCGTCGAAACATTTCCTTGACTTTGTCCTTGTTGTATCAGGTGCAATTGGCTTGCATGTATTCCTCCCGAACACTATTTCCGACCACACCTTTTCCGTCTCTCTGGATTTCCACCTCAATAACAAACGTTCAAACCCAAGTTTGGAAAGCTTGGTTTTGACCCTACAGGCTCAATGATGGCAATTGGGACCAGCATTTCTTGCAAGCTGGTGGTTGGGATTTGTCCCTTGACACACATTGAGGATATTTCTCTTGCAGATGAGGCTCCTTTGCTAAACAAAAGAAATGCAGTGAGACCCATCTGTCATCCCATCACTATTGCATGGCTGTGATGTTTATTGCCTCAGCATTGGCACAAATATCATCCCCACCTATCCATATCATGCATACATACAGAACTGATGAGGATTTTATGCAGTGGAGAGTTAAGGAGGTGACGAACCTGTAGTAAGTCTCCAGTGTGACACAACCCCTGCCACGAGTTTCAGTGGCTAATCAAAGGTTTCCCTTCAGTGATCAGCCGACCATCAACCTCCATTTGGAGGACTTGAAGGCCCTCCACAGATACATCATATCAGATTGGGATGAATGGGTTCACAAAGCAGCCAGCATCTTGGAAGGATGACGGTTGGCTCAATCCCAGTGCACCTTTATCCATAGCGTGCAGGTATGGGCAAAACCAAGCAATCGCAAGCTTGGACCTGGCTGCTCGAGGCGTCAAAGAGGCAAACTGGCAAGCGGAAGCAGCAAATATTCCGACATTCACTATATGTCCATGGCTATTGCCACGGATCTCACGTGCGTACCTGTTCGTCCTTTACCGATGACCCGCTCTCTGATTTGATAACTACTGCCATTGTCACCCTCACGTGTCTCGGTGGGTGCAAATACCTGAGGATGAGTTGTTGGGAGCCCACGACATCATATACGATTCCCCAAACTCATCCTTCCAGGCAGCCGGTGAATTTGGAGGACTCCCCGCCCTGAGATCCTGACACAAAGAAAGAAAATAACATCTACGACGAAGATGGTCGTCGAATTCCCCGCTTTGATGGTCTCTGCAGCCATAAACAGTGAAATCTTGCAGTGTTCTCATCAACCTCAAGACTATCGCAGAGTTGTTTTCTGCAATGATTACCAATGATGACATGGCCATTGATCCTGATATTCATCATGGACAACGACAATCTCCATATTCCTCAGCATCAATGTCTATCCTCAAGCTTTCCTGAGGAAGTATGGTCATATCCAATGCAACTGCAGTTTTACCCCATTTCAGCTCCATTCATATCAAAAATTCGTAAAGCCGTTTCTCGCGACACAGTTGGTCAAGATGAATTTGATGACTACGCTTTGGACGACAACCTTGACTATTTGAACAATTTTCCAAATGGGCTCATGCCACCTGTACTCTTGGCTAGCAGGTTGCCAGTTCTACAATGAGATCTCGCATCGCATCAGGCCGTCCTGCCGCCTTACACAATGTTCAGCAAGGTCGCATCACTTCTGCCCTCTCAGGTGCTTATGCCACTACATGCAACTGCTCAGACCGCGCATAAGATGGTTCTTAGAGAGTGTAGTCTGCTCTTGCCTCACCAACTGTTATAATAACAAAATCGATGTAAATGACTGTTCCCCGCGCGTTGCAGTCTGGAGAACATATATATCTTCCAGTTAGACTCCTTGAAGTTGGCGAAGCGAATGGATTGTGAGTCGTTCATGTCTAGGTCTTTCGATTCGACTGACATAATGCGTCTTGCCCAAGATCAATATATCGAGACATGGTTGTGCCCTTGGCGAGTTACTGGTCGCATCCCACCATCTTCGAGGCCATTCGCCCACACCTGTTTGTGTTGACCAGCTGAAGTACTGCCGCCGTCATACATCATATGAATGAAGTCTCACCATCCTCCTTTGCAGGCATTTCCCCATGTTTATCAATGGACCACCTATCCAATCACGTCCCTGCTCGAACGTATATGGGAACATTTCCTGCCCTGTCCTCACCAAAGGTGGTAAACCTGCCCCTCAAGTCGTTGAATTATGCTCCGTCCTCGAACGCGCGTTGGCGTATGCTCATACTGGAAACTCAAAAGTAATCGCTACAAGTCTCATGAGGCCTTTGTGGTTGGTAAAGAGTCTCTTGGAACAAGGTCTTCCGACCTTTGCCCCCTCAGTGCGATTTTCCCACACTCCCTGCGTTCCCGTCGCCATCAGTCCTTCAGAGTGGCCCACCCTCACCAACATGAATGTCCTGGCCATCGCATCCAGCGCTCACAAATATTGACAGTATGGGAATGATCATTTTGAGGCATGCATCGTCTCATTCCGTCTCTGTCCTGTCGTTAATTGAGTTCCTCTCCTAGGCATATAAGGCAGATTTCATATACAGCTCTTGGTCAATCAGCTGGCGCCCAATACCTTCAAGTCATACACTAGCAATGTCTGTCATGCAGCCATCATTGCAGTGGTCAGCCCTTCAAGTGTACATAGCTGATGTCAAAACACTTGTTGTGGGGGCTGTCACCACTGCATGCAATGCCATGGAGGCAGAAGATGCCATCAATGGGGAACTCCATGCATCGCAGCAGGCACAGAGGACTTCACAAATGGCTTGCAACCACTCATCCTCTTGGTTATGTTGATAAGGCATACAAACATTTAGTGTCCTGCGTGCTTCCCAAATCCACTGCCCACCATGAGGGATTGCCAAATCCAGCCAAGGACAAACTCTCCATCCAAGACTTCACTCGCCTCATTTGTGAGATGTCTCAAGGGACTGACCCTGTCACCATCACTGCTCCTCTCATCTTCAATGGGGGTTCAACTCCTGTCTTTTGCGTCACTCTAACATATATGTGCAAATATGCCCTGCAGGATTCTACATGGTCTTCGGAGAGGTTCTTGCAGGAAGCATTCATCATTGCCACCAATCATCTTCATATCAACAATATCCCCTGGCATGGTGCAGCAGGACTGTGTGGCAGACAGCATCAGAAGCCTGTCTTTGATTCCTGGGTCAATCTAGGGAAGGCCATTGACTCACAAGCTATTGAGCATCATCATACCCAGTTGAGCAATGCTGCGGCTAATGCATCTCAACACGCCCAGGTCGCAGATACCAGGGCAGCTTGGTCTGCTGAGTTGATCACCTTGCAGTCATTGGCCGATTACATCCTTCGCTCTCGTCTCCCTGACGAATTCGCGATTGAGAGACAAGGGAATGTGACTAATCCTGTCATGCTCACGAAGGCAATACGTGCTCTCCCATGGAAGCCACACCGCGCGGTCGCAGAGGGTGCAAACTGCCAAGCCAATTCATCGCCATGGTGCCCGCCTATATCATCGCAGTGTACGCCCCAACAAGCCCCTTGCGCATTCATTTGAAAAGTGGTAATAGCTTCCCCACCATCTGGAATTCGAAGAACATTGTGAAAGGGATCAGGCCACTCCTTCTTGTGCGACTAGGCCTTGCAAGTGCCCTATTGCACAGAATTTGGAAAGGTGGGCTGCCTTTGGTGCATTGGATGTTGCTCTCTCCAGAGGATATAACTGTCAAACATTGGGAGATCAGTGCGTGTTTGGCTGATTGCCAGTATGGTCCCTTCCACATTGCAGTTATGTTGTTTGGCATTGATAAAGCTGTCAACCTTGGGCACACATCTCAGACATACACCATCAATCCTGCTATTGCATCCATCAGGGCCAAAAAGAACATGTTGATGGTTGATTCTGATGACGATGAGGTTGAGATTGTGTAGGTGAAGATGGTGAAATTTGATCATTTTCACTGATGCTGTAATAATCATGTATGCTACACCATGAATTCAAACAACTGTCTGAGACTCTGAGGCCTCATAGTCAAGAGACAATCACATTGAACACACTCAAATGTCGAATCTCACCATGTGAAGCATAGAGTGGTTATTTGAGCCAACTAGTGCCAATGCAATGTGCATGACATCAGATCCACAAATGTGTGATGGCACAGGCCGGGGCTGGGCTAGTGCTGCCATGGTCCGGTCCAGAACCCAGGGCTATACTGTCATATTTATGCATACTAACCATGGCTGGTAAGAGACACCATGGTTATGCATGGTTGTCACTAATCACTTAGAAACATTATCAAAGGATGGAAGTGCATCAGGAAAACCCTCCAATATAGTATTGCCATAGCTCAGCTCAGGTTCAGTCCAGTTCAGCCAGATTCGGCTTTTGCTGGTTGTGCCTTTTGGTTCAAATATCCCAGTAAGCTGAACTGCTATTTCCAGCTTGGTCTGGCTTGAACATTGGCTTGAGCTGGCTCAAGCCCAAACTGATCACAAATTTGAACCTTTCTATTTCCTACACCATAGTTTTTGTTGTATCAACCACTGTGATATTTCCTCAAGGCTCCATACATATCATAGCCTGTGTTGGAGTGGGGGGCCCCTAGGCAGGGGGGTCAGGCAGTAGGTGAGGTTTGCCGGTGTTTGGCTGTGTTTGTAGTGTAGGTATAGAGCTTGGATGTAGTAGAGTAGCTCAGCACATCTTCCTGTCCATCCCATAGAGAGAGTGGTTTAGGCCACTCCAACTGGTGAACAGAGCAAGATTGTTTCAACCAAGGCTTACCTTGGTTCCCTGTAGAGCACAGAGCACAGCATTTAGAGCAGAGTCCAGAGCAGAGCCCAGAGCAGAAACTGAAGCTTCTAGAAGTTGAAGTTGAAATCTAGAATAATGTCGAGTCTTGTGTCAGAACATGAGGAGAGAGCACCAAGCATAGCATTTAATCAGTATCATAACAAATCTTTCACTAAAACCCACAGGATAGCCAAACTGCCTCCTTGAAAAAAACTCTCACCTAGAGACAAGAAAGGTTGATTTCTGAAGAAAAAGCATGGCAATGGTGAACTTTCTGACACCACAGTACCTTCCTCAGATTCATCACCCCTAGATACACCAGAGATCAATCAGCAAGCATCAGAGCAAGAGCAGGAAGAGTCAGAGCATGAAGTAATATGACAATTAGCAGATGACAAAGAATCATTAACAGGCACACCAGATCCATCAGCAATCACTCTTCCAAACTTCAACAATGATAGCGAGGAAAAAGAGAACAGTGAAGAAACAGAGAACCTTCAATTTCCCCTGGCAGATCCACCAAGCCTACCAAGAGAACCCCCTCTACCACCAGCATTAACACCAGTAAAGCCAAGGGCAACACAAGCCATAGTACCATCACATAAACTCACCTCATTGCACCCAGTACCCATCATTACACCACAAATGTCGAACACTACAGGCCCACCAGCATTATTCCACAGCCAAAATGATGAAAATGCACAGAACTTCCTGCAAGGTACAGAGATGTACATCCTAATCAATGGAATCAAGGATGAAGCAGTGAAAGTGGTGCTATTCAGCACCCTTATCTCTGTGGGATCTCAGGCAAATCTATGGTGGACAAACCTTGATGCAGCACACAAGGTCAATTGTTCAGCCATCAGGACAGCATTTATTGCCAAATGGCTGGCAATAGTTGTAGCAGACAAGACCAAACTGGAATACCAGAAAGAGTTGTTAGTGATACACATGAAAGAGGAAGAAATAGGGGAACACATCACAGTTGCAGGAATCGAGACATGGTTGCATGTACACTTCCACGGCACATTGAGGAAACTGGTACAGGATGCAGGAGTAGACAATGCACCTATTCTGATTCAACCAGTTCAGGATGCACTTCCATGAACATTGAGGGACTTAACATCCCCAGCACCACTGGACTGGAATACATTCCTAAACAAGATCAAAGACACCAACAGTGACACCCTACTAGAGAAGGTGAAATGAGCTAGAGAGAGAAAGGAAGTAGAGAAGGCACAAAATGACCTGGTAGAGATCCTTCATCTGCAGATGCAGAGGATGGCCATAGGAACACCTGTTAACCAAACAGTACCATACAGCATGCCACAGCAACAGACCCCACAAAACAACACTGCATTCAACAATGCAGCTTGCCACCAGATATACTATGTAACTGGGAATAAGCCAGGGACAATTCAACAGCCTCAAGGCCAGCCTCCAACCCAAGAAGAAAGAGATGTGATGCGCACCAGGATCAATGAGTTGCCCCATCAGATGGTACAATATATTCAAAGAAAACCCAAACTTTGATTATTGATGAACATTGTATCAGAGCAATGATGTGCTTGAGCATTGTTTGCAACACCTGTCTTCTGAAGTGGCAGCTCAAGCTGTTGTTCTTATGCATGCTGATGTTGAGTGAAGGCACTTGTGTGCCCTGACAACTGCTTGGGAAATCCATGCACATGAACAGCACCTGAAATTTCTTCACATGGTTCTGGAGGATGAGGGTGAAACATATGCCAATGCTAGCTTGGAGTCATTATGCACCTTGGTGACAAAGCTCACAAGATCCTCCAAGAAGGAGGTAGAAGATAGCATTGGTTTTGGTGTTACTGCATACAGTCACAATGTGACATCATTTGCTGTTGGAGACGCACAGCTAGGTTGCCTTGAGAATGCTGCTCATATGTGTTTGCCTACTTGTGAACAATGTCACTACTGACATGATCACCTATACAAGTCACATACTTGGACTCCTCAGACAATGTGAGCTCAGGGGACTCCTCGGAAGATAGCAATGGTGGTCAAGATCCAAAATCTTGGGGATTTCTGCAGCAGGTGTAAACCTGTCAGGCTGTCAATGTCCTGCAAGTACTTACATGATGCATTTTTTTATTTGTAGAATTGGAACAAAGTTTCCCCTGTAGTGCTTTAGCAAATTGTGCTACAGGCATGTACAGTGGCTCAAAAAAGTGTCTGAATGTTTATGCATTTTCAAGTAATTGGATAATAGCAAGCCAGCACCTGAGTACAATATAAAGGCATAGGGACATGTCTGAAAGCTTAACATCATAGCTATAATTCGAGATATATATCTCAAATTATAGCTATGATGTGGTCTGATTTCCACGATATATATCTTGAATTATAGCTATGATGTTAAGCTTTCAGACATGTCCCTATGCCTTTATATTGTACTCAGGTGCTGGCTTGCTATTATCCAATTACTTGAAAATGCATAAACATTCAGACACTTTTCTGAGCCACTGTATCTTATTCAGGTTTTCATACTACTTTTGTAGCAGTTGAGTCTCAGATACCTGTGGTTACTAGTAGTTGTCCACTTGAGAATATATGACTTCTGTTGAGATCAATGCTTTTGCCGCCATCAGAAATTTCTTAATTGGTAGCATGCCCAAAAAGGTATTGGAATGTTGTGTCATTGTGCAACTTGAATTTTGAATGTTGATTCATTATCCAGGGCTCATGAGAATTTAAGAATTCTAGTGAGTCCAGCTGACATGACACCATCACAGTATATCTGTGCCCTGATTTCATGATGACTGAGTAAAGAGGCTTGAGGTTCAATGCTGCAGTTGGATCTAAGAATTCAGGCCCAATTGACTCATGATTGGCGATTGGGAAGGAAGACTACTAGTACTCATACAGCTGTAATACTCCATGCGGCAGCACCCCAAACCCTAACTGGCAGTAATAATCTAGAGTAACATGTGTTAAAATGGTAAGTGGGTCCTGGAGCTGTACTTCACTTCTCCATAGCCTAACTACAGGGGTCAGAATTGAAGATCTCAAAGCAGATTAAGATAGTAAGTCAAAAGTGAGTCTGTATCTAACATAATGAGGACGTATCTAATACAGTTCAATAGAGTCACAGCTATTATTGGCTGGCACATGCCAGTGCAGATGGCATGCAATGTTGCAGTGATTCTAAACCTCTTGGCAAGAACACAAACAAATACTGCGACTATGACAACTTCAAGTTGGTATTTGGTACTATGCAGTACTACAGCCACCACTACCATTTAAGTATGATCATCACCTTCAAGCACCATTACTATTACTCAGTACTCATCCCACAGCCTGAGGAAGCCTGTCCAACTTGGAGTGCAAGTCACAGTCGCCTACTGTACACCACCATGACAATGTCAGACTCTTTGCAAACTGACTCAGAGTTGTGAAAAAATCAGTATTGTGGCAGTGACTATAATCAGATTGGTAAGTTTTTGAGGCAATCAGTGTATTTCTTGTGCTCCAATTGTTCGCAGATCTTGAGTGCATGATCCCCCCTGGATTGAACCAATTAACCGTGACTTGGACATTCATGACAATCTCATCACAGGTCATACTGTGACAGATCTTCAAGTCAATTATTATGGTCACAGTGACTGTGCGACCTGGAATGATGGCAGCCAAGGCAGCATAGGGCTCTATTATCCCACCCTAAGTCAAACTGACCCAGAGCCATTATCTATGGGCTAATTGTTCACATCACACAACCCCAGGGGACTTTTTCAAGATCCTTCTACAGGTCACAGTCACAGTAGCTTTTGGAATCTCACTCATTTTTATCGTCTTATGTCTTTACTCAGGGTATACTGATCATCACCTTCAACAAGCTCATCACTCAAACTACTTTGGGTTGATCAGCACACAAGACCATGATGGGCCATTCCTGGGGCAACTCAATCCTCCCAGTCAATATGGCAGCCATGGTACTGATGACAGTAAGTTTTGAATTCTCACTTGTTTTTGCCAGCTCAAATTCACAAATTTCTTCACGTAGGATATAACCATCACCTTCAAGTCTATACTAACACTGACAACTCAAACATCCAACTTGAACATGGGCAATATGTCTCTCAGCTCGAACAGACACCTGCTGCAGCCTAGGTTCAGTCATTGCCATCTGACAGTCTGGGGAATCATAATCATTATACAATTGCAGGCAACCAGCACATTGCTGCCAGCAGTTACAATGGTAGATTTTCTTCCTTTTTCATCATCCTAAGTTCACAAGTATCAGCTTCAGAATATCTGTGTTTCATGCATATGGTCACTAGTGGCCTTGCCAAATCATCTACCACCCTTGAAAGTGTGCTGGGTTTGGGCTATCTGATGGAGAGGGCTGTGAGCATCTATGGAGTGCCTTGAAACACCTCATTCCAGTGCTTCAAGTTTCTGGTATACATTACACACTACTCTATGTTTCATGCTGGCTGGTACTGACTGTCTTCTCTTTAGTATCACCAGTGGTTATTCATACTGGATGTACAAGTGCACTACTTGGCTCTCAAGTCTTTTGATGCATTGGGGCAATGGCTAGTGCAGAAATGGATGCTTTGCCAGAAGAAGAAACAGGTGGCTCTCAATGGCCTCAGGAATCTTAGGTCTGATGAGGACATCCTCCGAGAGGAGTGGGCAGCCCAGGTAGCTCATCAGACTAAGCTGATAGCTTGTAAGTAATTTTCTGGATTTAATTCAACCAGCTGTCATGTTTATTTTTGTGGACAGGCAGATCTAAACATAAAGGCACAGAGGCTATTGTGGGTGTTCTTGCATTAGAAAAGACCCCCAAAAGCCACCAGAGCATCATTCATGAACATGAACATCAGCTCATTAGCAACAATGTTGATGACATCATGACTTTCAATCTTCAGCTTCATGATGCACGTGCCCAATGTGCTAAGGTTGTCAAGACCCTTGGGCAGAGATGTGCTGTATTAGGTGTTTTGGAGTATGCCAATCTGCAAAAGTTGAAGAAGAATGTTTATCTTCAAGTTCATATGAATGCCTGTGCTCTGAAAATGTGACTTCAAGAGCGACTTCAACAATGAAAATTCAAGCTTGAAAAATTGGAATGGTCCTATGGAAACACAGTCAACAGTATATTTTATTATCTTTATTCATTGATCTTATTGATTCACATTGAGTTATAGAACTGAACATGCGCAATCACACAGAGGCCTCCATCAAGTGCTGAGAACTAACAATCCTCAAGATCGTCTCAACATACAACACCTTGTGTGACCAACTACACATGCTAATACATCAATGCAAGGCCCCTGCTAATGCCATTCCACCCATACCTATCTCACATGATGGGATCTTTTGGCTGGATGTCAATGACAACATATGGCAAGATGTAGGTCTGGAGGATGAGACTGTGGACCCACCTCGATGGCTTGCCAATGACAATGTTCATCAGGGTATTCGTCTCTTACTTGATCTTGACCGCTGTTTGGAAGAAGAAGACAGGTTAAGATGCAAACACTGTGTAATGCAAGAGTGTATGATCTTGGAGTGGACTGCACTTCAGGAGGCTCAAGAAGTCACAGGTGAGTTGCCTACTCAATCTTTATCTCAGTTATGTCCTAAAATATGGAATTAGATGTTGATGTAGCATGGCACCTTGAGAAATGTGCTGCACAGCTATCCCTCATGTGCTTTGAGTGGCAATTGAGAGTATGTCCCATACCCACTGCATGGGAAATGCCTGATAGCTGGGGACTGTCCTCCACTAATATTGCCCATGCTGGGCATTCACTTTACCACATGAAAATTGCACAGGCTGCACATGCTGACTCGTGGAAATTGTCAGAGGATGAGAACAATGACAATGACATAGATGAGGGAGGAGTTGATGATGAGTTGATGGCAGCAATGGAGGAAGTTGTTTATGCAAATGAATATTGGATTGTGGATTCTGATTCTGAAGTAGAGGACTGGGATGAAGTACATGTGTCATCTTCTCCGACCTTGTATTAATTTGTCATCTAGTATGGTGTGAATAAATTTCATTAGTACTACACACTCTGATGTGAGGACAGTAACAAATATTCAGCATAACTTGTCAAATGTAAGCATTGGGAATTCTATTGCACTTGACTTTGCAGGTTACTATTGCACACTGGGAATTCCCAACTTCAGAATATGGGGGGCCTGGGATTCCCCAACTTCAGAATATGGAGGTCTGAGAATCACTGACAGCAGAATATGTGGTCTGGGAATCTCTGTCAGTAGAATATATATGGTTGGGGAATCCCCAACAGCAGAATAGGGGGGTCTGGGAATCTCCAACAGTAGAATATATGTGGTCTGGGAATCTCCAACAGCAGAATAGGGGAGTCTGGATATTTCCAAACAAAGAATATATGTGGTCTGGGAATCTCTGACATGACAATATTGGGGTCTGGATATTCCTGACCAATTAATATGTGTGGTCTGGGAATCCCAAATACATCAATATATGTGGATGGGAAGTCCCCACTGGAGCATATATGTGGCTTGGAAATCATCACTTGAGCATATACTCATGGTCCCCATACCACCCTCCCATGATCCCTATACCACCTTCTGATAGTTCCCATATCACCCTTTCATGATGCCTATAACCACCCTCTGGTGGTCCCCATATCACACTCTCATGACCACCATGCCACCCTCCAATAGTCTCTGTACCACACCTTCATGATCCCTATACTACCTTCTGATAGTTCCCATATTACCCCTTCATGATGCCTATAACCACCCTCTGGTGGTCTCCATACCACACCTTCATGACCCCTATACCACCCTCCCATGGTCTCCATACCACACCTTCATGACCCCTATACCACCCTCCCATGGTCTCCATACCACACCTTCATGACCCCTATACCACCCTCCCATGGTCCCCATACCACACCTTCATGACCCCTATACCACCCCCTGATGGTCCCCATACCACACCTTCATGACCCCTATACCACCCTCTGATGGTCCCCATACCACCCCTTCATGATACCTATACCACCCTCTGATGGTCCCCATACCACCCCCTAATGATCCCTATACTACCCCCTAATATGGTACAAAAATTGGCACAAAGGACCCCTGACACCACCCACAATACAGGGAAAGCCCATGAGAATTGTCACACAAGTATGTCCCAGGTGGGCTAGGAAAGCATTAGTGTTATCCCACAGGACTTATCCCACACCTACAGTATAATGGGAAAACTGTTACAAACTAGGATAGTTCTAACAACAGACAACTCAATAAGAGTTAAGACTTCTGCTGAGATTCTACACAAGATGATAAGTCAAGCATTTGATATAAGCTAAGACAGAAGGAGTGCTTCTATCTTAAAGTATGGTTCAGATGACAAGAGATTGGAGGTCTCAAGTGAAGGAGATTTCAGGTAAAACCTAGTAAGATTAAAGTGCAGAATTAAAGTGTACAAGAGAACTATTTATAGTGAACTACAAGTGCTTTAGGGCAGATGTGAGAACGGATGTGAGTCAGAGATAAAGGACGCATAAGTGATAGCAAGAATAGGTCATCTGGCAATGGCAATGGCAGTTGTGATGTAATACAAGGTATGAGTCAAAGATAAGTCTAGTGGCAGCATCATGCGGCTCATGACATAATACACAGTAAGAGAGAGAAAATGAATAGGGGCATACATGGTTGTAACAAAAACTAGAGGAATCACACCTCTTAGGTTGATACTTGTGTAGAGGACTATCAACCTAATAGGTATCTTTTTGGGGCTGACTGAAGTGGGATCAGGTGCCAATGGACAACATGTGAAAAATTCTTCTTGGGTAGGCAATTTCCCAAGTGAAGCAGAATCCACTTGAGTCCATCCCATATATTACATGATGGGGCAGGATGATATAGGATTTTCACCGTAATTACATATGTCTCCCGATTCAATCATATTTAAAATAGTTAAATGAATGGGATGTATTGTGACAACAGTGGTGTGGGTCTGATTTTTGTTGTCATTTACATATTTCACCTGATTTAAGCATATTTATAGTAGTCAAGCAAATAAAATTTATTGTGACAACAGCGGACAGGATAGGATGACATAGGATATAACAGTGCAGTCAGGAATTACTGTAAATAGCAGGGTGGGGGCAAAAACACACAAAAACAGGGGGAAACATGCAGGCAGGCAATGAAAAAAACATATAATGGAAGGAAAAACATACTAGTATAGTACACCATTGCAAACAACACAGTCAGAACTCTTGGTCCATGCCCCTGCACTCTGCAATCACTCTGCGTCGGCCTTGTACTCATCTTGCTGTGCGGTTGCAAGCACTGCCCAATACATACAGAATTCTTTGGTTGTTCCACTCGTATCATTGACCTGCTTCAGCCAATGCCACATGCATAAGCTTCTGCATGACAAAGGTTAGTGCAAAACATTAAGAGATAGGCAAACTAATACTTACCGAGCATTCTTTGCGGCACCTGGTTGCATCTTACTCTTTCCCTCAGTTTTTACAACTGACTTGGCATTGGATATACTTGGTTCATGTCATATCCACATATCCGGATCTCAGATCTGACCCTTATCTCAGATCCACATCTTATCTCCAATGCTATCCACATCTTATCCCCCTCCAACATCTTGTCATTCAATCTGTCCACTCGTCCAGTCCGTTCCACAACTCATCCGAATCCACAACCAGTGCTCGTCTCTTTTTGGTAACCCCCTAACTCCGGTATTTCGGTTATCTGTATATCTGTCCTGCTCCCTTATCCGCTACCTATGTTTCATTTCCGTTTCATGATTTGTGATCTGTTTCTACTTACCAATAGACTATCCACATGCTTCATACATAGCCTTGGACTCTGCTGATTGATCATTCCATTAGATACCTATAGTATATAACCTCCTGTAACTTTCTGTAGTACCTCAGTTTGAATATCATCTTAGTTCTGCTCATTCCTGTCCTCCAGACTTGAGTACCTCTACTCTTGTCACCCTCCGAGACTTAGGATTGATTCCTATAGTCTATCCGTATCCGCCTCTGTCCCTGACAGTCCACTACCGTTAGTTTCTAGTCTGGACTCGTCCGGATTAGCCATACAATACTTATCCCTCATCTGGAAGTCATCCGGATCCGTTACGCTACTCGTCTGACCTTCCGGACACACTAGGCTTGCCTTCCTGAAATAAGGGGCAATACTCGGGTAAGGGGCACAGCATATGAGCTGAGGCCAAAGCCCTTCAGGTCCAGTTACCCTTTGAGTATGACCTTAACAGTTCATTGTCATTTGTCTGCCTGATGGGGCTAAGTGCTGGGGCAGGAATTGTCTTGGCAATTCTGTTAGGTCCGAAAATATTGGCACTTCATAGCAGTGTAGTTAGCAAGGACGAGTATGCAGTATGAGGTACTTACAGTGGATCCTGCAATATAATCACATTCTCTTTGTTGGCACGTTGTATGTCATGAGATGTTCCTGGCATGTGGTGAGTTGGTGAGGTCTGATTTTCAGAAGTATACACAGTTTGTGTTAAGGTCGTACTCAAGGGCTAACTGGATCTGAAGGGCTTCAGCCTCAGCTTGTGCACTGTGCCCCTTACTCAAGTATTGCCCCTTATTTCAGGAAGGCAAGACTAATGTGTCCAGAGGATTGGACAGGTAGCGTAGTGGATCCGAATGACTTCCAGATGTGGGATAAGTATCGTAAGGCTAATCCAGATGAGTCCAGACTAGAAACTAGCAGTAGTGGCTGTTGTAGACAGAGGTGGATGCAGATAGACTATAGGAATCAATCCTAAGTCTCAGAGGGTGACAAGAGTAGAGATACTCAGGTCCAGAGGACAGGAATGAGCAGAACTAAGTTGATATTCAAACTGAAGTGTTACAGAGATTTACAGGAGGTTATATACTATAGGTATATAATGGAATGATCAATCAGCAGGGTCTGAGGCTATGTATGAAGCATATGGATAGTCTATTGGTAAGTAGAAACAGATCACAAATAATGAAACAGAAATAAAGCATAGGTAACAGATCAGGGAGCAGGACAGATATACAGATAACCAAAATACTGGAGTTAGGGGATTACCAAAAGGAGATGAGCACTGGTTGTGGATTCAGATGAATTGTGGACCAGACTGGACAAGTGGACAGATTGGATGACGAGATGTTGGAGGGGGATAAGATGTGGATTGGATCTGAGAGGAGATAAGGATTGGATCTGAGATCCAGATATGTGGATATGACAGTTTGGTGCAAAGGTGATTGGGGAAGAGATGGGCCTTGTGGAGTGGGCTGCGGTAAGTAAACTCCAAATGGTGGGGCAGATGCATCATGTGGGTAGGTTGGTGTGATGCAAGTATTTTTGAGGGCAAGAGAATCATTGATGGGCAAAGAGATACCATTGTTGGCGCTAGTTCCAGGCTCAGAGTCTTGATCTGGATGCAGGGGCATATTATGTTAAATATAACAAAAGAAAGAACAATACATACCTTTCAGTTTGATGCGAAGCAGCGGAGATGGTGCTGAGTCAACTAATTGCACTAACATGAACCCATCAGAATTACAAGAGAAAAAACACATACATTTAGGTTTCTTCAAATGGTCTTGGTGGACTAGGCTTTCACTATTGTCAGACAGGTGCCACTTGTTGTTTCCTTTAGCCTGGGGGCCATTGTGTTTTGATTCCAATATCTCCACATCAAGTTCATCCAAGTCGTTGATATGCTCTTCCTTGACTGAGAGCTTGCCTGGTAGGTCCTTCCAGTTTCTGTTGTTCCCAAGGTTGTTCTTATGCCAGGATGGGTAATTGGTAATGCAAAGCAGCTTGAGTTTCCAGCCACAGTGGTCGAATAGGAATAGCAGGAACTGTTTCACCATGATGTTGAATATGAGCTTCTTTCTGGTAGCACAGATCCTTGACCAGGTGGGTGGAGCTAATTTCTGAACAACCAATTCAGCCCAGGCTGTGCGCAGTGCCTTACAAATTGATTTGAGTTGCTCGACCATGACAGATTTACCATCCTTGAGCTCTAGCCATGGGGCTTTACCCCAAGTTCCAGTCCTAGACTCAGTGTTCTCAATGTATTTGTCATAATCTGCTTGACTCCAGAAACAGATTTTCAGGTGAGAGTCTTGCAAAGGACAGACTCCATCATGTTCCATTAGCAAGTCATTTGTGAGACTGAAGTTCAGCAGGTCAGTACAATCTGGGAGTTGCAGCACACTAATCAGTTTGGTAAAAGACACCCTAAAACAAACAACTTTGATCTAAGTATCACGATAGGAGAAAAAGACCAACTTGATAGTGTCACACTTGGTTATGGTCTTGCTTAACTTGAGTTGAGTCTCTGTGAGCTGTGCTTGATATATAGTGAGTTGTTCTTGTAGGGCATGAGCCTGCTGTGCCACAATAAAATTTGGTGTGGGCTGGTGCATATATGCGCCCTAGATCACAATGTGGGAGCCAACAGTATGAAAAATATGAGCAACTCACACAAGAGAATCCAGAATTCAGAGTAGAGCCTGCAAATGAGTGCAGATTGTCAAATAAATCCAGTGAAGCTTGAGGTAGTGACGACAATAGGGGCCCAGGAGCTTGTAGTCTGAGTCTACCCAAAGATTGTTCATTGGCATGAAGAGATGGTATTGTAAAATCATGTGAGTATTGAGGGGAGGGTCCAGAAGAAAATTCTATGTTGCCAGTGGACATGGTGGTAGCAGAGAGGTATGTGTTTGCTGTGAGGGAGTTGTTCACATGAGCAAAGGACTTCAATGAAAATCACACAAATTACAATGTCTACTCCAGTACCATCATGAGCCTACCTTTATTGTGCTTTTTGCAGATGAATTGCAAAGATATTGACTTTGACAATGTTTTCCTCAGTAATCCAAGTGCGACAGAGAGCAGCAGCAGTCCTTATCTCACAGCATCTGATAACATGCTTCTCAATCCTGCATACTGGATTCAATATCCTCCTTGATTCTGTTATCTGATTCAACAGATTTCTACTCTACTAATAGGGAATGATGTAGATGTCAATTTCATGGTGTTGCAGTAACCAAGGGCTTGACAGAAGCTGAGAGCATCATGGCTGCAAACTAGATGTAACAAAGTTTTTCTTTTGCCAATCACTTGTCATATAGGTATACTTCAAGATAGTTTCTCTGAAGGATGATCAATCCTACAAGGGTGTGAACATATGTCAGAGTCGCAGCAGAATTACTAACTGGTTGTGTTAAACTCTTCACCACCATAATTTACTTGCACAATTGTTTCTTTGCCTTCCGATTCCATGTCAAGGACCATAATAAGTCTCTCTGCTAAGCACCTCCATCATCTTCACCAGCCTCTGCTTCTTGTTTGTCCAGCTGATTGTCTTGAGCTGCAGGTCCTTTGTATGGGACACCAAATGTCACAATATCAAGGCCTGGCTTTTCAATCATGAAATAACGATCCTCGGTAACACCAGATGAAAGAGTTGGTTTATGTGGGACCATACCAACCACACCAAGAATAGACTTGATATCAATGACATGAACGTCATTGTCTTCAAGTCAACATGAGCTGACAGTATGACATGATAATTCAAGGAGGTCATTGTCAGGGAGTGAGAACATCGAGATGACAGTGACATCCTTCCAGACCCAAATTTGGTTGTCATCATTGTCAATACCAGCTTCAACAGGTAATTGCGTGAAGTATAGGACTTCAGCAACTTGGGTTTCACCTTCAATAATGATCTTCAATGATATTAGTGAGACATGGACAACAATGGTATGGATACTAACTACCTTGACGTGTCATGCAGGATGCACTTTTTCAGGTGGGCATTTGGTTTCCCTCCATGCAGTGCACACTATCTGTCTGTTCAGAAGACATGTATGAGCCCACTGGCGGATTTTGAAGTTATGACACTGGTGACCAAGATATTGAAAAATTGCTTCAGCACCTGGTTCTTGAGGAACCATTGGCCATGAATCTCACTTATGCAAGAGAATATATCCATCTCCAAGATCAATAGCTGTTGTTGGAAAGGGGGGCTTGTCGGGGGAAAAATCAGGCATCATTGCCTTTAGAGCATTGACTTGACATCATCAGATGCCCTCCCATGATAAGTTGGCATAGGGCTTGGAAGGTTGGCGAATTTCTTGCCTGAGGTTGCCAATGGTATGTTCCATGGTCCATTGAGAATAGCAGATGGGAGGCCCTTTCTTGACAGTCTCATGTACAAGGTGGCTGACTTGGTGCATGCAGGGTTGAATGAAATGCAAACATTCCATGCAGTGCTGATAGTGGAGTGTCTCGAATTCAAGTTCCCACTGAGTAAACAAGGCTTGAGCAGTATGAGCATCTTCATGGCTGATAGAATGCTGGTTAATCAACTGAAATCCACATATGAGCCTGCAATAGTTTAACCAATATGGTCAGGGAAGGATATCGAATAGTAGTGCCAGGCCAAAACTGAATATGTAGACTTGATACTCCCACATTTTGTAACCTGAATTCATTTTTTCGGTGGGATTTCTTGGTTTTCAGTTGAAGGATGCTGTGCTGCATTAGAAATGGCCTCTCCATGGGTTTCCCAGGTCTTGGTATCATGAAAGATTGTCCAGGGCCATGTTGAGACATGATCCAGAAGGGTGTGGTCCATTGTACCATGCCATAATGACAACAAGAGGTCAGAGAGTAGTTATGCAATGTGCATGATATCAGGAGTAAGACAATTTGGAATTCCAAGGGTGTATGATGGGTGTAAGCCAAGTAGAAGGGAGGGTTTTGTGATGCCGGTTTGAGTTCACAGCTTGCAATACTGGTGGGTGTTTGGTGTGGCAACAAGTTTCAGAAGGTTGTCAAAATATTCAGTGAGGTCAGGATCATGTAACTCATAGATGCTGATGTCAGGGTGGTTACTGCCAGCGACAGCATAATGATGGGGAATTAGCAATGCAGGGTAGTAATAGGTTCCTTTCTGATGACCAAGTAATCCACAGTACAATCAACAGCCATTCTTTCCACTGTGCCTCACCATACCATCAAAATACACAAGCCCAGGTCCATCTGCAGTAATGAAGATAAGAAATGAGTTGGAAATAAATACAATGTTGTGCCATGCATCCCAGATACAAAGGCCTTCATTCTGCAAGGCAGCTAGGTGGTGCAGACCAGGAAATAGGAATGAGTCCATGTTTTTCAGCTTGTTGGGTCCTGGAATGAAACCTCCAGGAAGCACATATTGTTTCTTGTATCACCGGTCAGGAGCATGGTTCATAATGACCCAAATGTAGGTCCAACAATCTGATAATTTGGACTCATACAACTGTGCACCATTGAGTGAGATCATCAATACAATATCATCGGGCTTGATATCACCCCATTGAACAGCCTGTAGAAATTCACAGCCCTTGCAGAAGTCATCAAAAACATCGAAAACACCACCATTGGCTCAAAGTGTTTCAAACAAGTGTTGAGTTCCCTCCCACAGATAGCCCATTGCTTGAGCTTGGTCTTGATCACGCCATAGTGCTTGTAGTTGTGCACTGAGGGGAATGGTTATGAACTTCTGATGTGCAATGTGCATTTGACCACCACTTGTATGAAGTTTGATGGGGTTGTAGTGGTCTGTATTGCAGATAGGATAGTGTGTGAGATCAGCAAAGGGACCCATGAATGCAACACAGGTACCTGGACACATATCATGTTCAATTGATTCTACACCAGTATACTCCATGACAAGTCACTCAACATTATAGTAACTAGGTATTTGAGTAGCCTCACCTTCAAGGCAGTGCATAGCAGATTGTTGAATAGACTCATATGTGTTGACTGATGAGTGTTCTACTGTAAAGTATGTTGCAATCCCATGTTGGACAGCACTACTGTTAATTTCAAGACCAGTCTGGTATGGATTACGCAAATGGCTCAGCACAGCATCATCCAATTTAGCCACAGGATCATCCAGTGATACTACCTGCAGTAACTTGATGAAAGCTATAGCATCTGCCTGCTTCAGCAAGACAGCCTCCTCCTCAAGCTGATCAATATTAAAGATGTTGTGAAGGGGCTGAGGGAGATACTGGGGTTCATTTGGCAGGGGCACATTGTGTTCATCAGGTAGGGGTACATTGGGTTTGTCAGGTGGGGGCACATTCAGCAGATGCCCAGTGGATTGGGGCTCATGGTGGTCTGAGTCCCCAAGCTCATACTCAGTATCTTCAAGCTTGTAGTCATGATGATCAACATCAAGCTGGTCCTGCACTGCACCTGGTCCTGGGTATGGTGCAGACTACATACATAGTCAGTAAAATACAACAATCACAAAAATCAGGCTTATATACCTCAACTGGTGGATGAGCATGCTTTCTCCATCCAACCCATGAACTTTCTGCTTGACCAGACCCACTTTTCATGAGCATGCAGTGGGCTTGAAGCCGATGCCTACTTGCTGGCAGTTGGTTGACTGTGTCACTGTGAAGATCCCTACAGTTAGTGAAGAAATTTGTAAAGTGTTTTAGCGTACTCTTGCATTGGGACAATGCTAATGAAAACGATATGATGCACAATGAGAATGACAACAACAATGACAAAAACGATGTGATGCACAATGCAAATGATATGATGAACAACACAAACAATACGGTGCAATGCATGTTCATTAGAAATCTCAGAGCTTATCATTTTTACTATTATGTAATTGCAAAATTATCATATGTCCCTTGTTCTCATCATGTTGGGTTTTCACTGGGTCTCAGGTGTCATATCTGCATCTGATATGTGTGATACATTGTGATTGAATTGTGTAGTGCGCAAAATTGCGCTATGCGCCATCCACAGTATTTGGCAATAGCAAATATTGCCACATGTACACAAGTAGAACATACAATCTGAGTGATGCACATGACTATATAGATTCAAATAGTAGTGGTGCAACAGTGGTGACAAACTTGCAAGTAAAGAAGTGAGTTGTTGAAATTCAAGGAGTGAATTGTTGATCTCATTGAGTGGTCCTCAAGGTCCCACATGCAGACAGCAAGCAGCTCATCAGACATCATGTCTTATCTTACCTCCATTCAAAGCATGACATTGATCCATCATGCAGAGGTTAATGTATTCGACATCGTGAATATTCCTGACTCACACTGTTGACGCCAACTACATACATTAGCTTACATGCACCATATAACTAATAAATACCACAAATGAAACTTGAAATCAAGCGAAAATAAAATTCTCCTGCTCCCTCCAGAGCACCAGACAACTGTCAACTCCATCGAGCATCCCCCATGCTACACACCATTGCTAGTCAATATATGCACACGCTCCTGGAAAGCAATTGAGGTCATGCCCATTGCTGCATTGGAGTTGGCCACAAGCTTAGCATGATATTCTTGAACTCCAAGGATCAGGCATGGGCCAAATATGAACACCTGCACGGCCTGTAAAAGTTGAAGAAACCAACCCAGGAAAGAATTGTTCTATAGAAATGATGAACCATGGTCACATACAGGTGTCAGTGAAAAACTGGCATACCACTGAGATCGTCGGAGTCAGATTATATACAAGACTGAGACAAGAAACAGCAACAAAGCTAGCATGTCCAATCCTTCAGCAGAAAAAGAGAACCATATTCACAATATGAGCTCACCTTGAAAAGTAAAACATGTGAGTTTTCATCAACACCTTGAAACAGTCCCCAACAATTCCTCCTGCCAAATGTTGTTGCAGTTCCTTGAAGTGTTTTACAGCAACCCAGACTGCGAGACACAGTGCAAAGACCTCCCACACAGTGCCAACCATCCAAGTAATGGCACCCAGAAGTGAGGTATCTCCTGCAGAGACAACCATGCACTGATAGGTGCCAAAGAGGATCAGTTCCTCTGGTATACATCAATGAGCTCCATGCATGTTTTTTTCATCCACAATTAAGCATACCCCCTGAAGTATGCATCATGATCATCACAACGATCACCATCCCAAAAATATTGCTAACCAGGAAGGTGATGACGAGACATATCAGGATCTTTCTGGATCATTGATACATGGTATGTAACCGAGCAATCATGATGACTTGCAAGATGTTTCAGTCAATTTAATATCACTAAGGTCTTGCAACTGCAATGCTCACCCACCAGCATTGCAGTTGCCCCAACATATGTCAAATCCCATATGATGTACACAATCAAGCCTGATGAATCCAGTCAGTGACAAGCCTTGGGTAGTACACACTCCACACAGACTCACATCTGTGGCAGTATAGCGTGGCAGACATTAGTGAACCAGAAAGTTAGTAAAGAAACATGCTCACTCCTACAAGGCACCACGGTTAATTGGAGGGTAATAGCTGGCCTCTGTGCAGAAGACTCACTGTATCTGTCAACAAGATTGTCGGAAGACTGTCTGTATGTCACATGTTAGAAGAGACAAAGATCATGAATGCAAGAAGACATACACAGTATGTTCAAGCTGATTATGAAATATGGTTCATCAGTACAACAACAATGCTGAATGTTCAAAACATACACCATAAATAACATTCCAAGATAGCGCACCTAGGATATTTTCAAGAGTCAGCATGAGTTGCCAGCCACACCTATAATGCAAGCTACATACACTCAGATACAAAATGGTTATAAGTGACCAATGTTGCCTCTGTCACAAATCAATTTTGTTCCTCTGATGTCGGGCTCTGCTCACCCAGATCAGCTCAACCTAAAATCATTCTTAGCAAGATGGCTGCTCCAGTAATACATCAATGTACCTCCTGTCCGAATGTAAGTGCTGTATATAGTTGTAAGAAGTCAGCGGTTCTTTAATACTATCATCCTCACCCCAATCATATGTCATTACAGCGACAGCAGAAACTGCGAAACCATATTCAAGGTTAGATCAAGCCATCAGCAGCAGCAACAGTCTCCAACTGCTCTCCATGAACCTAGAAAATAACTGCCAACACAATATGAATTAATTGATGGCCACCAACCATGGTCATCTGAGACCAGGGTCATACTAGTACTGTTAGAGGATGTATGAGTGTCAGAGGATCAGTGCAAGGGAGCAGGGAACCTGGTGGACATACGACAAGGGAGTTGGTGCTAGATATACAACCATCCAGTGCTTGTGAGGTTGAAATGAGCAAAATCAAATGCATTATGCCTACTCCTGTCTTGATTGACCTAGTATCTGAAGACAGTTAACAAGGAGAAATGACCATATAGTTTGAAATGTTGTGACATGAACATCCTAATTTTAGCAACTGAGTGATTCCTGGTGTGCATTTAGTTACCACCGAGACTTCATTCACATAAAATAAAGCCACTTCTTCTTGCATCTACCACAGGTGAAAATTTAGCCTCAATAATGAGTGAGCATTTGTTTCCATCATAACAGCCACTGACAATCCAGCTGTGGAATGGTGGGACACTGTCACAGAAATATGTACTATCAAGTCCACAAGAGTACCATCATGGGAAGAATCATCTTGGGAATGATAGAAGTGGGAAGGATTACAGCAAGTCAGTGAGTTTGGGGCATTACTGACACAGCTGATGTGATGGGCTCCAGCCATGTGGTCCATGGCTATCATATCATTTATGTACTTCAAATGAACTTGAATCAAAGTCTGACTACAGCCCTGAGCCTCACAGCTGAGAAGCAATGTATACCTGTGGCATGCTAGTATTACAGTTAAATGAGTTATCTCTGTGCAAGGGAAAAAATGGGTTGTACATACCTTCCTTGCATTACTATGAGCAGCACAGAATGCCTGGCCAAATATGTGCTCAAAAAACTGTCTGCATGAGTCATGATTTTGTAAGCCTTGTATCTCCACCATATTGTTAAGGTCATACTCAAGGGATAACTGGATCCGAAGGGCTTCGGCCTCAGCTCGTGCACTGTGCCCCTTACCCGAGTATTGCCCCTTATTTCAGGAAGGCAAGACTAACGTGTCCAGAAGGTCGGACGAGTATCATAATGGATCCAGATGACTTCTGGATGCGGGATAGGTATCATAGGGCTAATCTGGATGAGTCCAGACTAGAAACTAATGGTATAGACTGTCAGAGACAGAGGTGGATACAGATAAACTATAGGAATCAATCCTAAGTCTCGGAGGGTGACAAGAGTGGGGATACTCAAGTCTGGAGGACAGGAATGAGTAGAACTAAGATGATATTCGAACTGAGGTACTACAGAAAGTTACAGGAGGTTATATACTATAGGTATCTAATGGAATGATCAATCAGCAGAGTCCAAGGCTATGTATGAAGCATGTGGATAGTCTATTGGTAAGTAGAAACAGATCACAAATCATGAAACGGAAATGAAACATAGGTAGCAGATCAGGGAGCAGGACGGATATACAGATAACTGAAATACCAGAGTTAGGGGGTTACCAAAAGGAGATGAGCGCTGGTTGTGGATTTGGATGAGTTGTGGACCGGACCGGACGAGTGGACAGATTGAATGACGAGATGTTGGAGGGAGATAAGATGTGGATCTGAGATGAGATAAGGGTCGGATCTGAGATCCAGATACGCGGATATGACACATATCTCCTCTGATTCTCACGATGTGGTGCTCAATCCAAAGCCCTGAGGCAGCACTACAATATGGTATCAGCATGTCACTGAGGTCTTTATGTATTCTCACACAATATTGTAAATAGTAAAAAATGCAAAAACATGTGGACAGTTTTTTGAGCCACTGTATATACATGAAAATACAAAATATGTTCCCATGTGTTTATTTCTAGGTGGATATACTTGAAAGCTTTATCCCCAGCATCTATTAAACAGTGGTAACAATTTATCAGTAGTCCAGGACTATAGGACAAGACCCTGTGATGCAGTATACCTACCCTCTCCTGATGGTTTACCCCCTGTGAAATTTTTTCCTGTAGGACCGGACCTCAAGGATGGTATGGGATCTATTCCTATGCATATTTAAAGTATATCTATCATCTAGCTACCACAGAAAACCTATAGGATCCTTCAACAGGCACAAAAATATGGAAAATCGCATTTTTGACATTCTTGATGTTTTTAAGTATCTCACCATTGTACATATGATCCAGCCTGCTCATATATCATCAGTTATACGTATATATATGCTTTGTATACCAAAGATCAGTTCAAAATAGGCCAGAGATTTGAGCTGGTGTGTATACTTGCTATTTCTACTGATAAGGGGCCCATACCTTCAAAACATCGAAATTTATTCATCAGACACCTGGAATACACTTCAAATGTATTAAGTATCATAGATCTCAATTTTCTAAACGATCAAACAAGAACTGAGTGCTGAGGAAGTGAAATAGATAAGAAATTGAGTGTGGGAAACTCAAAGACCCAAAACATCGTCAGTTCAGTTAGTTATAGGACTTTAATGCTGCATCAACTTACTTTACCACCACATCCCTTCCACATATCTGCCACCCTCAGGGCAAAGTGTAGTATAGGTTCCTTGTGTAGTCTAACATATATCCTATTAAAATTTAATGAAATCTTTGACCTACAACATATGTAAATGTGACTTTGTGTGAAATGTGTCAATTGTCACTTTTCACACATATGTTCCTTTGCTCCCCTTTCAATCAATACTGAATGGATCTTTCTTAAACTTTAGATCCATGATACTTAATACATTCGAAGTGTATTCCAGGTGTCTGATTATCAAATTTCGATGTTTTGAAGGTATGAGCCCCTTATCAGTAGAAATAGCAAGTATGCACACTAGCTCAGATCACTGGCCTATTTTGAACTGATCTTTGGTATAAAAAGCATATATATATGCACAACTGATGATATATAAGCAGGTTGGATTATATGTGCAATGGTAAAGTACTAAAAAACATCCAAAAAGCCAAAAATGCGATTTTCCATATTTTTGTTCCTGTTGAAGGACCCTATAGGTTTCCTGTGGTAGCTAGGTGAGAGATATACTCTAAATATGCATAGAAATAGACCCCCTACCATCCTTGAGGTCCGGTCCTACAGGAAAATTTGTCACAGGGGGTGAACCACCAGGAGAGGGTGGGTATACTGTATCACAGGGTCTTGTCCTATGGTCCTGGACTCTTGATACATTGTTCCTACTGATGAATAGATGTTGTGGATACATTTTACAAGCATATCCACTCAGAAATAAATAAATGGGAACATATTTTGTGTTTTCCAATATATAGGCTATATCTATTGATGTAGGGTGCTTCAGGGGGTCAAGCAAGCGAGGGAATCTATACATATGCACTACTAAATATGTCTTGAATACCATAGAACATCTCCTCATCAAAGGGGCAAAAGTGCGAAAATGTTCTGTACTCTAGGCTATGTTAGAAGGGCCCTGGAGGAGGAGCAGGCACACAAATAATCAAAAAAGTGGTCTATTATATTATACACATATATACCAAACTACTACTTATATATGAAGGGGAAGCTATTGTGGTGTGGTGGTGAAGCTGCAGTGAGGTGGGGAGGGTGTGGGAATAATTGAAATTGTGGGGTATACCATATTGGGTGATGTTTTGGGTGTTGTGGTGTAATTCCCACACTGTGTGGCTGAAAAATGCGAAAGTGCGGAGTGTGGGAATAATGTGGGGAAGCCCCGATATGAGGAAGTGACCAAAATAGGATAGTCTCATCACCAGCCACCTTGTCTTGCGTGAGAGTTATGGTGGAATGTAGCTCAGACAAGGTGTCTGGTAGCACTTCCTGCAGAGCCAATAGAGAAGGCGTTCAAACTCTGACTACAACCAAATTAGGCAACTGTAGTATTGGTGAGGCAGCGACTCCAAAGTATCAAATGAAGAAAATGCTACAAAAGAACAGATTCTGCAGTTGAGATACATGAGCAAAATACATTCTGATATGGAGTGAGATACAGTGAAGTGGTGCATAAAGCCTTGGTATATGAAGATGTGATCCTGGCATGATGGAGGACATTGAACATGGACCGAGATGCCCCACATGCTAGCAAGTACACACACATTGTGGTCTGAAACTCATTGCTTTGCTCATTATGAGCTTGTGCAAGCATACAAACAACAGTAACCAATATCTGTGTAGGTGATCAGATTCAAGGTTGGTTGCAGGTTACATTGTGATTGACATACTAAATCGCAGTCATGTCGCTCTGATGAGTGGCATTGATCAAAACTGATACACCTGAGAAGTGTACAGAGAACAGGTGCAAGGTGCTCCACTTCTTGAAAAATTCTCTCGAGAGACCACTTTCCCAAAATGTCTGACACCTGACGTGAAGCAGGGTGTAGAAACTCGGCAAGCTTTTGTCCTTCACTTGCAAGCAATTCAGCTGTAAGTGACACAGCCCAAGGGTCAACGATATCAGGATGTTGTATTTGTATGTTCTCAAGGAGCAGGTGTCTGTGAGTGCCCAAGGTCCATGACATATGAGCAGAGTGCTGTTGATCATTTGTGTTCATCAACTCTAACATAAATTCAGCCAAAGTACTGAAGCCCACTCCCTTGATAGCTTGCAAAGCATTTCCGAGGCACTGCACACAATCATCTTGTACCTTTTTGGCTGCAGCTTCACAATGTGCTACTTCTCTTGTTTGCCTTTTGGCAGTGAAACTTGCTCGCTCTGCTGCAACCTCAGTGTCAGTAAGTTGATGGACTATGTGCCTAACACATTTGGTCAGAGGTTGGTTTGGAGTAGAGATGTAGAACATGAAATTTTCATTTGTCACCTTGCGTTTGAGAGAGGTCATGATGCAGTTATCAATATGAAGATGATAGAGATGTGTCATGTATATGAGGTACACATCAATCATTTACATACTAAAATAGGAAAGATCGGACATTGAAAATGTACTGTATTATGTTTGAGGAAAGTGCTCCCAGTCGCCTTACACTGTATTACCCAGTACATCTCCTCATCACTGCTGTGTAAGGCAACTGGTCACAAGTCTAAAAATAGGATGTATTTTGCGAATTTCCGCTTTTGGAAGCCAAAATTGCGGTCATACCATAGGAATATATCCCCTACCAAATCTGGAATGTATCCTGATATTTCAAAAATAGCTGAGTTTCAAAAATGCGGCTGTGATATCTGGTGAGAACAGATATATCCCAGCTGGGTGGATAACTAGACTTAAAGATGTATCAGACTTTTAGGGCTATAGTCCATTTAGATATATCCTTCTACCTGTATCCTGTGGAGGAGCAAATGAGCAACTCAGCTTAATTATGACCTAGCAGATGGTCTGGATGTTGGACTCCACATACCCCATGGTTATTCTCTTGGACCATGAACTATCCTCGAGGTGATTGCTGTGTGCTGCAGTTCAAGAGTACCATGACATTGACTGGCTTGTACATAAAGGCTTGAAGCTTCAAGAGCACTGGCAGAGTGGTGGTTGAGAAATGGGGGTACTATGAATAGAGATGGCCCAGATAAGATGTGATATGATGGAAGATGTCAGGGAAGGGAGGCCTCATCTGTGGATGCCAATTGCTCATCATCTCCAGTAACTCAAGAACAGTATCACTCTTCCTCAACTTGCCACCATCTATCAATCTCTATCATGTTTCCACACACTTTCATCCCATGAGTTTAGTCCAGTGGTCTTCTTTGCGCACCAGGTGGCTAAAAACATACCTTTATCCAGCATTGATAGGTTTCATGTGTTGGCTGCTTTTGCAATAGGTTGGCTTTGTCCTTACATGGTTTGATGAGTCATGGACTGGCTGCAGGCACTGTTTGCATATCCAGATTCTTCAAGTTTTCCTCAATGATTAGTAGGGTACCAAATATTGAAGTCGCTTCTTCCATTATCTGTTTTCAACCTGCTCTGGCATTCAGCCACTTGCCTTTGACATAATAGCCAGCTGCCCTGCATCATCCACCACATGCTTTTCCAGCCTCAGCAGCAAAGGAAGAATCCTCTGTTCAGAGCGTGGCCCAGCGCCTGGGTGCTTAAGTCACACTTGGTACAAAGAAGTATAAAAACACATTAGATCTGAACTGCTCCATGCATGAACTAATTTAAACTATGAATGTCGTGATAGAGGGTATCGGGGCACAAGACGGTTGCAACATTGAGACATGGGTGCACAAGAGTGCAGATCATCACAAGGGTGGCAGTATGGTGGTGGTAGGTATAAGGTATGGGAGGGCTCATGTGAGACTGTACAAGGGCATGTGAGAGGAGGTGCTCGATGGTTCCATTAGGTATAAGGAGAAAAACAAGCTTCAATGCAAGTGAGAGGACAGGAGGTGCAGGAAAGCAGTAAGTGTCAGAAAGCAAATGTGCAGAAGGCTGTCCACCGAAATACTAGCCCCACTCAATTCTTATTTTATTCTGCCATTTTATTTCTCCAATTTACAAGCCATCACCCAACTGTCACTTGTACAGAGTCCAAGAAATAAACTGGAATAAACTGTGCTCAAGTATCCAAAAATAACACCATGTCGGAGGTTCAACTTACCAACACTGCAGGCATATCTGACACTGGACATCATCAACTTGCCAAAGTTCAATGGCACAGCTTCATCATATGGGCAGATGGAGTCATTCATTTCATGCAAAACTAGCTGCAGAACTTGAAGCTCTTGCTATTTGCCAACTTGCATCTGCTGAAGATGAGGACGACAGATTTATTGGCCTTGCCATTGCTGTCCTTGCTGTAGTGGAGAAAAAATGTGCACAAAGCAACAGGTATGGTCTGCATGGGTCTTATAGCCAGCCAAAATCGGAGGATTTCCTGGATATCTTGGTATTTCACAGAAGTGAACGTCACTTCCAGGCTTGGTTCAGAATGACTTGTGCAGCCTTCTGGCATGTCCATGACTTGATAGCTGGTGACCTGATTTTTATCAGCCAAGGCAGATGCCCACAGTGCCCTGCCTTCTACCAACTGGTGACCTTTCTCTGCCATTTAGGTGGAGAGTCAGGCCTCAAGACTGCTGGGGTAATGTCTGTTGCTGAGGGTACAGTCTACCTATATTTGAGTCATGTATGCCAAGCACTCCATAATATTCATGATGACCACCTAGCCTGGCCAGGGGAGAGGTGGCACGATTTTCTCTTGTCCAAAATGGCTGAATGGGGGTTTCCTGGCTGCATAGGTATTGCAGATGGGAGCTATATCCCTCTCATGTACAAACCAACTGAGAATGGGTATGCGTACTGGTGCCACAAAAAACACTATGCAGTGAGTGCCTTCAATTTTCATAAGTAAAAAAATCATTTGATGTGTGTAGTTGATTGTGCAGGCCACCTGTGATCATTGTGCGATCTTCACATCCTATGATTTTGGCTGGCCAGGGTTGGTTCAAGATAGCCATGTTTTCAAGAACTCTCATCTGTGGTGTAAGAAGGAGCAATATTTCTGCTCACATGAGTATATTCTTGTTGACAAGGGTATCTTTGGATTTTTTTAACAAAGTCTCACCTCACATCTACAATAGGTTATCCACTCATGAAATACTCTATTCACCTATTTAATGAATTTGACCGAATGAACGATCCTGAGCAGGTCATCTTGCATTGGAAATGGAACAAACAACTGTCCTCACTTCAGATTTATGTTGAACATGCTTTTGGGCATTTAAAAGGTCGCTTCCCCTTACTCCGCTGCTTGATTGGCTTTGATATGCATGATATGTTCTTGGTGATCAAGGCAGCCATGATCTTACACAACATACTTGAAGAGTATGGCAACAACCCAATGACCATCAGAGGGTTCAATGGGCGAGACAATGAAGATGTTCCTGACATTAGGGGAGAGGGTCCAGCTCATATGTGAAATCTTTCATTGGATGCAGATGACTTATATTGAGGAGGGATTTTACAGTGCAAAAATTTAGTAGACTACTATCAACTTAATGTGAACTAGGCCAAAAGTCTTTTGTCCTCCTCTTCAAGCTGTTCCAACCTTCTTGCCAGTCTCTCACCTTGCCTCTGTATAACTGGGCTAGAATGCTTTAACATCTCACTTGCCTGAAGCCACTGCTCTGCATGTTCCTTATGTGCCTGCTGAATTCCTCATTGGCGAAGTTCTTCCTGTTGTTCTTCATATTCAGCCTGCTCTCACTTCTCCTGCTTTTGTGCAAGCTCCATATTAAGCCGACCAAGTCGCTCCTGCCATTCATAGCATTGGCTCATGGATCCCATCATGTTGCGAAGGAGTGAGGTTGTCTCGCCATAGCTATCGGAGTTGAGAGATGCTGACTTATGAGCTCATTTCTTTAGAGGAGTGGTTTCATCATCTGAAATTGAAATTGAATCTGAGGAGTTGATGTCATGGGTATGAATGACAGTGGCATCATTCCATGCCCTATCATACAGTAAGATCATCAATTGTAGTTTCACACATTGAAAGAACTCACACTTCATCAATCAGCCTGAACATCTCTGTTTCCTTGAGGGCTTCTAGCATGTGATGTGCAAACTTGGCCTTTGTTGTACTCTTCCTGTGCTTCATTCCATCAAGGGCCATTGTGTTGTCCTTTGTTTCCAAGTTGAGAACTTCAGCTTCTTCTTCATCTCCCGATTCAGTGGCAATCCGATCATCATCTCCATCTCCTCCACCAGTATGTTCTTCCATCTCCTTTACCTGTTTGTATTTCTCCCAGGCCTGATCCCACCAAAAATTGCGGACCTGGGCATAGGTTACATGGTTCTCGAGTGTCTTGTGTGCGAGCTGAATGGCCCTGAGGTAAGTGCAAGTCAACTTAACTTGAAATATGACTTGCTGTTGTAAAAACCATGCCCTGGTTCAACCAAAATTTGTACCAGACCTTGACGGAGGTGATGTACTTGACAGCAGTCACTTTTTCTTCATCTGTCAGTCCATGCTTACTCTCTGGCTTCACAGCAGCATCACCTGACACAGCAGTCTCAAGCTTTAAGTCAGCTTCACCTAACATGGTCTCTGTCAACTTCAACACCTTGTCATCTGATGTGCCAGTGATGCAATGGCTACCCTCCCCTGATTTACTGCCTTTTCCACCTCTCTTTGCCTTTGTCTCACTTGCCATCTTCCCTCGTGCTTGTTTTGTAGTTTTGGATGGCACAGGTGAGTCTGTTGACATCACACTGTGATCCTGTGATTTTTGTGCAGGGGTCATGTTTGGTGTTACTTCTGCACCAAAAATTGTGCCTGGACTGAAAGTTGCTGGGGGAGTGACATGGTGAGTACCTATTGAGGGTACTGGTGTGCTGACAAGTTTGTCCTGCAGGTTCCAGGGGACTGGCTGTGCAGTAGGTTGGATGTATGCAGGGGGGTGAGCTTTTCAAGGTGAGCAGCACAGCCCAGATGATGGATCCACAGCATAGTGAGGACCACTGTGGCCCACATCTTCTGTCACATACTGCAGATGCATCTGGGATGTGTTGTGTGCTGCCAGATTTCCAAACTGCAGTTATGGCATACCATACCCAAATGGCAGAGATGGTGCAGGCTGCATGGTATCACACAAGCAAGATTTTTGAGGTGTTTGACTAGCTTGCCATTCTTCTGCATCATTAGGAGTGACACAGTGGTTGTAGGTGTCGTGGTCAGGAAAGATCCAGTTTGGTGTGTCCATTGTGCACACTCATTCACACTGCCAGTGAGATCAACTGACTTACACAAAATGTTTTGTTACTTTGAGCCGTTCGGCATATTACAAGCTCAGCGATGCCTGCATCAAATAAACTGGAAGAATAAACTGAGGCACTCAATTCTACATCATTTTATTTCCCATGCGATCAAGATTTATATTACAAGCCACAAAATAAAATGGTAGAATAAAATAAGAATTGAGTGGGGCTACTAGTACAACGAAACAACAAAAGAAACAAAAATACAGAGGGTGGACGGGAGGTGCGACACATCAATATTTCAACTCCGAAACGCAGCCGCCAAAACCCTTGAGTCTTGACAGCGGGCACCAGATCCAGCGCTGCAGGGACCTAGTCGGTGGACAATAGACAAATGAAGTCTATAGTCGTGGTGCAGGCCGAAACTCGAGTATACAAGCGCCGGGTACCCATTGGACAGCTCGGTATATACCAGCAAATTGGCTATCCAGCACACCTCCGGGTCGGAATTTATTTTTCAGGATCTCTTGGGCGTCACCGGGCACTGTGGCAGCACAACCTCACGAATGAGGCCTGTTGTCAACGGGGCAAACGTGGACATGATCTCTGGCGTCAAGGATACCTGTGAGACAATCATTTCAATGTGATCATGGTTGTCGGACATGGGGGCGCTGCCAGACAGACTCTTCAGAGAATGGACAGAGCAGACGGGACGGACGGGCCGGATGGAACTTTCGAACTTCTAGTATCGAGGCTCCTGAGTCCTGGCCGAGCTCATGGCCGAGCCCGAAGAATGCCAAGGTTCTTCTCTGATGATGGGTCCCTACTACCAAGGCCCCGATCGAGTGCGTCAAAATACTGTATTTTTTATCGGGCGTTGAAGTTCCGATCGGTTAATTATGAAGTGTTGTCTAATCAAAAGGATCCCGAACACTTAGACTGACTAGGAACACAACATCATTCATAGGACGATGTCACCGTGATCGGTGATGTCCTAGATGACTCGGCGCTCAGGAGATCGTGATCATGTCCTCATGTCCGCTCACGCCAGACGCCGCACCCGATATACGTGATCGAATTGCGTAGTGCACAAAACTGGACCACAGTATTTGGCAGTAGCAAATATTGCAACATGTACACGAGTAGAACGTACAATCTGAGTGATGCGCATAACTATATAGATTCAAATGGTAGCGGTGCGACAACGGTGACAAGCTTGCAAGTAAAGAAGTGAGTTGTCGAAATTCAAGGAGTGACATGACGAGGTCATCGAGTGATGTCGCGAAACCTTTTAGAGGTCTACCAGAGGTCCTCAAGGTCCCGCGTGCTGACAGCAAGCAACTCGTCATCCTGGTCAGCGTATAGAGCCTTGACGATCTCCTGCTCTTTCCAACCTCCACTCTGGGCAGGCTCCAACGTGTACTCGATTGATAGTGCCGATAAGGGGCCGCCATAAGCATGCGAAATACCTTTAATATTAATACTGATATTGAGAACACTCCGCAATATTTTGGTCTGACAAAGCTTACCAGTGTCGATGATGAGCACCTTCCCGTGGCACCTGGCTGCAATGCCGTCAAATTGTGGAGTGTGACCCATCACCATACGGCGAGTGCCCGTCTTTTCGAGAACATCATCAACCATCCGACACACCTTCTTTTCATCTTCATCGGCCCAGCCACGGTACCACAACGGCCCGTCGCCACCGTACAGACGGGCTTCCTCGCGAGTCGTGCCTGCAGGAAGACCAGGGTACGAACTGGGTGGGTGTGGCTGAGGCTGAGGCTTGCGCTCTCTCAACCTGTGTAAAAGCGATGATCCAAGGTTATTAATAGCACTTGGGAATGGCTGAAGATTGGGATATGTAGGAGCCAAACCACCGTGAACAAATGAGAAAGCAGCATGCGAAAGAGGTCCTGCATTGGCACGTGCAAATGCGCTTCCTTCTGGTGCTGGATAATCGGTGTTGGGAGGGCCAAGTAAACCGTGAAGAGGAAGTCGTGCAGCGGTAGTGTAATTCTCCGCCCATGCATCCGCAAGCCAACCAGTTGTAACAGCTTGCAGGCGACTCTCGCGAGGCTCAAAAGTCTTCTTCTCCGACTCCAAAACGTAACTGTGATCAACCTCAACGACAACGCATGCTCCGTAGGTGACACCACTTACCGCCAATCACCTGTCGGAGAATTGACTCAGTCAAGTACTCCACTTTATGAAATTTATTGCACACCTATCGCATTCATATACTCATGATTTCCGAGGATCGACAACACAATGCCGTTGACGGCCAAGGCTTGCTCTCGAAGGTCTTCCATCCAATTAAACAACTCGATCGTATCATCACCCCTGCCAAAATACTGAGCGTGATTGGAGCACCAGTCAGAAACCCTTACCTGTCAATAATATCACCAGTCTGCACCAAAACATCCACTTTGCCGCTCCAATTATTGTTCTCGTCCACGACACTGGCCATTTGTAAAATACGCTCTGCGTTCCCGATGTCACCATGTATATCGCCTACAGCAATAATTTTGCGCGAGAAACGTGGACGAGGCTCGAGTGTATATTCGTACTCATCAGTATCGATGACTGCTTGCACGGGCTGTTCTACAGTTTTGAAGCCGAAAGGTGCCTGCACGGCGGCTTGGGCGTATCCGATGAGACCTGACAGAGCTAGTGAAAACTGTAGTCCAGTTCCGAGGTGAGGTGCAGGTCCGAGAAGCGAGGAAGAGGATTGTGCATAATACGCGAGTGATAGCGCAAGTAAAGGGAGAGCTATGAAAGCCAAAGTTGTTCCACGAGGCATCACTGTAAGATGTTGTGCACCTGTTCGATACCACGGAGTAATCAGTGAAGAGGTATACTAAGTGGAGCGTACTATATAGCTCACTATTGGAACCACAACAGTATGGAGCGCTTTAGCGAAAACCGCACCCGAGATCAATAGGATGTCTGCTACTCGGAATCACTCCTGGGGAGAAGGAGAAGTCTCAAGCTGTGCTGCAGGGTTGCGGCGTGGCCTAGTATTTGAAGTTCGAACAAACACTCAACACCTCAATCGATTCAGCCTCAAGGCCGCAGTGGAATGAAGAGAGCAGGGTCACCAACGTGGCTGGCGGCGTGTACTCGTGCTGCAGTTGTGACTGTAACTGAATGTGCCCAAATCGGGCATGATGCAGAACGGTACTTGTCCGGAAATAACATTGCGTGCATGCATGCACGTACGATACTGACCTGGCGCGGTGGGACACCAAACCCACCCAAGCCCGCCAATGTGTAGGCAGTACGAAAACCATAAATATGTAATCATGCCAACATGTTCACCATTTCAAAAATCTAACGCAGAAACCCTTCAAGACCCTCCTTCACCACCTGCTTAAACCGGTGCCCCAGCAGTTTGTTACAACTCGAACTGGAGTGACTTTAGCGGAAGCGAACCGTCGTAAACAGGTTTCTTCGACAACACGGTGTAGAACACATGTGTCCCCAGCCTGGGGACGTCGACAACGAGAACGACGAAGTACAACACCGAGGTCAATGCTCACCATAACACAACATTTCTCCTGATCGCAAACTCCTCCGCTCTCACGCGCAACCTTATTGCAATTGCGGTATAGGTATATCTGATAACCTGTTTGATAACATCCGTTTTCGGTAAGCAACATGAACCTAAGGTTACCAACACAGACCAGTCAAAGTCGAAGACGAACCTTCTCGATCTCTTGAAAAGTCTTCTCAGTTAATCGGTCTATCAGGGGTGCACAGAGGATTTCTCAGTCGTCTTGCCGGAAATAAAGAATGTGCTTCCGAGATGCGAATGACTCCGCGATGTAGAATGTTGTCTGGAAACATTTGTGTTGATAAAAGGTCTCCATCTTACACGAACTCTGAGCAGTGGAAGAAGGAAGGAGTCAATGTACCAGAAGAGGAATTCTTCAAGAATTTCGCGACGTTTGAGAGAATCCATCAGACACCCTATGCTGCTTCCGGGCACCCTCTCCGGGAAGCATCAACCAGTCGCACCCCGATGTACTGAAACCTTGAAGTACGTGATGTGACGTGGACGTCTCATATTTCCGATGTACAATGAGTTCATTGACATCTGGTAAGTAACTATAAGCATATGAGAGATAAATACGCATACGACCTTGAACAACCTTAAAGTTCCTCTCGCATCCCCAGAAAAATTTGGGCGATAAATGCCGCTGAAACGCCCATATGCGCTAGAGAACGACGCGTCTATGGCCGCTTGATGATCCTCGGAGCCGGGTTTGCCAGCGAGTTTGTGCTTCCCCAACATCTCTGCAAAGCAAGCCCTTTTCTCCGAGTCTGTCTTGGATTGCATTGAGTCAAGTTTACCCTGGATACCACCAGTACGTTGGGGCTGGCCTGAGGAATTCTGGTCACGGAGCGACATATCAAAAGGGTGTTCAGTGTCTACACGGGTGGAAGCACGAGACGCTGAACGAGGAACAAACGATTGGCGGGCGCTCATGCATCATCGTATCGCTGTTAGGTGTGACCTAGAAGTGAATTTTAACATTGAAAATGAGAGATCTGATATTATGATGTGTCGGTGTGATAGCTATGTAAGTTGGGGATTTGGCGTTGTTTGGATTGAAAGCTTTTGCCAAAAAAACCCGCAATAATCAACGAATAATATCAATTTAGAATTGTAATTCCAAGAACGATCATGGTCCTTGTCGGTGCTGTCTTGGCCCGCCTCGCTAGCTGATCTTCTACCAGGTGCGAGGGCGACTATATGCTGTTTGGTCCAGGCACGGAGGATGCTCGTACATGCGTGGCCTGATAATGTGGGGTCTAGGATAAAGGAGGAGGTGCAGAGCTTGATTTTGAATATATTGAGGGTACAGCCGAAGAGCAACGAACTGCTAGACTTCGTGAAGCACCTTCCGAAGGTAAGTACGTCGAGTGTTGGTACCGTGGTATTCAAGTTAATTCATCGTGGTCATCGTGCAATTAAAATCACCTATATTTGAAGTTTTGGGCATCTAGCAGATCTCATCTCAATCATTAAACACGCTGCTCACTGCCACCTACCTCGCCGCAGAGCTTCATCAATTCACTTCCCACGCACAGCATAAGTATCATCGGATTTGCCCCTCCAGAATGCACATCATGACGGCTCAGTTTATCTGTGAAAGAGTTGGAGATGGATCTCGAAGAGTTTCGGGGTGTTGGTTTAGTTTTGGGTGAGTCAGTGTAGTTCCAGGGTGTCGTTGTACTACTGACTTATACAAGATATTTGCATATACACATATATCGTGTTCATTCCTGGTCCCTATCCTGCAAGTTAAGAATGATGTCATAATACCCACGGCATGACGATAAGACTATGTGCTACAAGTCTCTGGCACCTATCCTACCAGTAGCAGTATCATCAAAACACCAAGGTGTCAACTTCATGATAGATGTAGTTCAATATTTACGTTTTACCGATCTGTTTGCATCAGATTCGCATCACCCTCACCATAGGCTTCACATCCTTGTAATATGATAACCAGGATAACTCAGACGAAGAGGGAGGAGGTACGCATGAGGTTTTATTGTGATTGACTTGATGGTAGGCTTTTTCGATGTCATGTCACGTCTACGTGCTACTAGGCCCGTGTTGGACGGATGAACACCACTGATGAAATAGTACGACTTAACCGATGCATCCAATTCCCATACTTTTATTTAATCGAGGGCCCCTGGATTCATTCACCTTCATATTTAACGTCATGCGACAATACTCACTTTGGTCAATCTAACAGATCCGCTGTAAAGCTCCTCGGGACATAAAAGTGCTGGATGGTAGAATTTCTAGCACAACCGTCCCTTCATACGTCCGTTAAGTTCACTGCTCGCTTACGCCCGCCCTAGACCAGAATGACCCAAGTCTCGAATGATCCCAGTCGGTGGCATGGCATCGATGCTAATCGTATTGGTAGCTATGTTGTAGGTTCGTGGAGTGCCAGGATGACGACGGTGATGTCTCGATCCTAACCTTGGCTACGGTTTCACAAGTTGCCGCCTCTGTTGGAGTGTTTTATGATTCGGGTGAGGAGGGTAGTCTTCAAGAACCACTGATTTGAGTTTCTTATAGTATTTCCAGCATTGACATTTGCACAAGAGGTAGGTCGATCCCATCGGAGTAGCCATCTCGCTAAGAATGCTTTTATAGGTTGAACTCGTCTGGGTGAGCGGACTCGCACTTCAAAAGAACGACTTAATTAATTCGTAGCAGAAACAACGCTGGTCGTTGATGACCGTTCTGTACCTCAGTGTAAGAGGCTCATGTATAAGTGTGATCGGCAAGTCTTGCTGATTTGAGATCCTAGCTGCGCTATATTGGAATATTATACGCTATGTATGTGTGGAAGATCAAACGGTTGGCGTTGTGCTAATCAGCCATCTCTCACATCAGCATTAGTATCCTGAGTATGTTTCCCCATACGCTGTATTTGTTTCTTCTGATCGGCGGTATATAGCAAGTCTTCCGACATTTCCGACGACAGATATAGTGAGTATTCTACACTAATGCATGACATTCCCTCCTAATTCACTGTACTCCCACGTAGGGGTGAGTGACATTGTTGACCGGCTCCCTAGTTCAATTTGATGACTGTCACAGTTGTGAGTGTCTTCGGAGGGTGTGGTCCTCCAAGGCCGATCACTAACTGAATCATTCAGGTTATATTATGTACTCCACGCTAAAGTGGATCATTGTGGTTGTGCCTGTGATACTTGGTGGTGAGCTACGCATTCGATGATATTGACCCGACTGAACATCATGCCAGTCATCATGATTGCGCGACTATATGCTATGTATCAGCGGTCCAGAAACGTGCTGATATTTCTCGTCACCTACCTTCCTGGTTGTCAACATCTATGGCGCGGTAGTCACCGTCATAATCTTGAGGCATATCTCAGTGGGTAAGCTTTAATTTATGAATGAAAGGCTTTATTTTATCAGGTTCATTGACAAAATACAGAGGAGGTTATTCTATCCGGCACATACCAGTGTACTATTAAGTACGAGGGAGATGATGTACTTCTGGATGCCATGTATTCGATGCTCCTCACTATATGGGAGATCCTCGCAATGTGTCTTGCAGGTTGGATCACTGTAAAACACTTACGTGAAATGCAGTCGATATTCAGCAGGAGGGATAATCGGCGATTGTTTCAGAATCTTGATGAAATCTCACATGGTTTACTTTGCGAGGTGAGTTCATGATCACAAGGCGAATGAAATTTTCTTTTCCCGCTGAAGTTTCGCACACGCTAGCTTTATTGTTTTTTCTTGCCTCTTGGTCGGTTATTTGTCTCTGACGGTCTCAACAGTATGCCGATCTCATTGATCTCTACGTGCGAGCATGGCTAATATTTCCATAGATCCCATATTCCCTGGGAGCTCAAATTTATTCGGGCGTTTTTCAAATTTCTATATTTGTGCAATTTTTTGTGCTGGGACCACACCTGATCCTTAGCGTGCGAGAATATCAGGCCAAGTTCGTGGTCGATCCCGATGAAGGAACCGGCATGGTTTCGATTGCCTTCCAGGAGCGCGTGCATATAACAACCAGTAGTAGTGTGTAGCAAGGGAAGACATGTCAGGTACCCTACAGGGGGCATCAGAATATGAATTTGTACGTTTCATTGTGATACCTATGTAATTTGGTGTTTCAAAGTAGCATGCCAGTGATTCGAACTTTGCGGGACAGTGATGATATGATAATGCCATGTTACGATGTACCCAGTAAACAAGCTGATGTACCTGACTCCGTCACGAAGGTCTGCGAGCATCCTTCTCAGATTTCCACACTGCACTGATCGGGTCTTTGCTATCCTTAAACAATGCCTCTTCCCCGTGAGTGATGCAACGGCATCGAAAAAGGTGGCTTGCAGCTGTCTTGGGGCAGCATGAGAGAAAAAATGGAAGTTATTCTCCACTGTTTCGCTCACTTCTTGCATCCCCCGGAAAAAATTGGGTCCCGCATCATAGCCATTCTGATCTTGCCCGGGGATCTCCGCCTGCATACAGGTCAGTAACGAAAGAATCGAGGAAGGAGATATATACCCCAAGAACACTGTCGTCGTAGTACATCAGGAAAACGCGAAATTCCTGTAGGCAGCTGTTTCCTACGTAGATCACACGCTCCTAGGTAGGTCTATGATAGGTTCTGTAGGCTCTTTAGAACACTCAACTCATGTGTCGACTCTGTAGGCCGCGTAGGCAATCAAAATTTCTTTCTCTCAGTATGCGTGTTCAATGTTCATTCACACTTGTTCTCGTTTGACCACACTACTAACTTCTATGGAAGGAAAATCACTCAAGCGGTACAAATTTGTTGTATTTCTCGAGTTGTTGAATAACTAACAACTCCGACAGCTTATGTCCCACCATACACCAGACTGCCAACTCGGAGACCACCAGTAGCAATGCCGACGTCGTCGTACCAGGCACACCCTCCGAGTCTGCCACTGAACTTGATGCTGCCATGCCTCAGGACGAGCAGAAGCCCAAATGGTAAGAAATTCCGATCCACTGTATATCTATGCTGACATATGATCATTTCCAGTCCTCGTCTTCGCCGGTGGGCTAGCCTCCAATTAGAAAAGCTCAAGAAGGAAGAAGCACTAGCTCTGCAATGGGCCCAGGAAAAGGTGGAGGTGGAAGAGGAACAACGTCAACAGGATAGTGGTGAGTATATCATTGCCACTGGGCTAGCGCATACTAATGGTCCATCTATGCTAGAGATCATTGAGGTTACGGTCGGATACCTGCACGAACTCATCAACAATCGATGGGATACCGAGAAATCGCTGACCAAAGCCAACTGCCGAGCTTAATTGCTCGAAATTAACATGTTCCGCTGCCACTCACAGACTTTGAAAGATTCATGTGTCAAGTATGATGCTTACTGTGGTGATTCAACCATTTGCACAGAAGTTTGTTAGACTTTCAATGGATTGTGGGTTTTATAAAAGTATACATGTCTATCCAGGAATTTAGGTAGAATGTCTTACAACTATCCAATACATGTCCTGCAGACCAACTCCTATCCACTCGAGTACCGAATTTTGGAATGAGGTGACAACTGTGAACAATGCTTGACACTGGGATGACAGCAGAGTGGGGCACCCGACCAGCATAAGAACAAGTCACAGCATGCATTTGAAACACTTCATCCCAAGCACGAAAAGGCTGGAACCATTCAACATAAGCCAGTTGATTGGGTTTACCGACAATTGTGAGGTGACGTGGCAGCTCGAAAATGAACTGCAGTTGTGCGACTTGAAGACCTAGGTGTGAGTGCAACTCAAAATCTTGTAGACAACTCAATGAAACAAGACACCGACCTTCTAATGCAGTCCCTTGGGTGTGCATGTTAGCATCTCCTGCAACTTGCACAAGTACAGTATCAAATTTGCCAATAGCACCAGATGAACAGCCAGCTGGTGCAGTTGGGGGAGTCGCATGAATGCGATTGAGACCATTTGTTATGTGAATGGCAGGTAGCTTCTCATATGGGATGGAGAGACGCCAATAAGCATGAAACCAATCCCATTCGCTGACAATAGGTCTGTTCGCAGGTACTATGTCGAGGTGAAGAAACTGAGTCAATGCAGGCAAAAAATTCATAGTGCTGAACATGTGCATGATAGTAGTGATGGTCAATGCCTTGAATGAAGGATGGGATGGGAGGATGTGTGTTGATACTGGAATGGGCTGGGTGCTTGATCCTTCATCACTGTTCATAGGTGCAGTGGTTGGCATCTCTTCATTGTCATCATTGTCCTCATCTCCACCAGTTGCTGGCTCCAAGTCCTCACCAAATCTCTGCAACTGCCAGTCAAGGTAAGCTGTGAACTGATCAACCATCTCCTGTCGCATCAACCACTTCGTCATCTGTGCTACATAGTCTTGTTTGTTAGTTGCACAGTATGCATTTTTGGCGAAATCTATGTGCAAACATTCTGGGAACTCTGTGTTGAAGCTGTCAGCAGAACCTTGGGACTTGATTGAGTCGATGTAGTGCATCATCGAGTGAAGCTTGGGGGTATTGAAGTCATCGCGCACCCCAAGATCTGTGAATATGTGCTTGTGTGTGTGGAATTCATCCAGTGTGTTTTGGAGGGCATCAAGTGTCTGTGAGGTGTGAGCATGATATTGAGCATAATAAATAAAATCTAGCACAGCTCGTGCAGCATGGAATACAGTTGGTTGAACTGCACCTGTGAGTACACCCAAAAAAACCCATTGCATTTTGCGGTGCTCTGTCCCTGTCCACTGCAACATGAGGGAAATGCCTTTGGAGAAATATTGAAAGCTGGGATAGTTCATCATCATGTGAAATTGCTCATCAATCTGATCTTCCCCTGCTATCTTGGTACACCATTTCAGAAGATGGTTGTGGAAGACTCCTTTGTGGAGTTGATGTAGTATGTCCAGTGTGAGACTCACAAAGATGTTGGCATGGGGCAGATCTGCCCAGAAAGGATGGTAGACAGGACATAGGCCTTCTCAAGTGTAAGCTGCAACTCTCTGGCCTGATTGCTTGTGTGCCAGGATTGTGATTGTTTGGTCAGGGTCACGTAGAAGGGACGTGAGTAGTTCTCCTTGATTGTCACAATGAACACAGCACTTGGGGCAAAAGCTCTCCTTCATGCATGCAACAAGGCACTGCTCAGGATGGTCCATGACATAAGCTGCTAGTATAGGATGCACTTGCTGCACCCTCCTGTCAGCACAGACCATCTCAACCCCCTCACAACCCACTGCGATCAAGGGTTGCAAAAGACGCCGCATACACTCATGAAAAAGTTGATACCCTGCAACTGACCATGTGGCTTTGCTACTGGCAAGTATCCAATCAAGATGGTGGCATGCATGCGTGGTTTTCAACATGTTGACTTCTCAATGTTGCTGATGGTCATATAGATGGGCCATGCTGACTTGTCTCTGTGAAATTGAGACAGACTGGTTTTATCAGAGGCAAGGATGAGAGGTGCTATTGTTGCACCTGGTATTAATTTACCCTGTTCAATTCATTGATTAGTATGCTTCAAGTTTCCTTGTCTAACTACTTATGGCTCACCTGTGTCTCCCACCACCAGTCGCAGGTCCACATATTGTCATATATCTGACTCTTGCCCTGGGTGTCTTCATAAGCTCATTCAGGTGCATAGGCCATAAACTCCTTGAAGGCCAGGTTTCCAATGAGCTTGCAAACACATTCCACTGGATCCCACTGCCACAACTCTAACTCTGTCATCAACATCTCACTGTCTCCATCAACTAGATCTCCAGTGACTTTTACGATATCGCAGTGCCAGGCTGGAGTTTTTGTGGGAAGGCCATCAATCTTTTTCAAGAATGCCTTGGCGGTGGTATATGAAAGGCTGGTCTGGTCTTTGATCTTGGTAAGGAATTCATTTTAGAAAAGAAATACGGTCCAGTTAGGCGACTCACAATTGGAAGCTTGAGGAATTTGTTGGTCTGATTCTGCCCTACATTCTGAATGAGCCACTTCACAAGCTCCCACTCGTCTTCATTGTGAAATAGCCCCCACATCCCTTCATCACTGTTCTCCAACTCATCCTGGATCCTATAGAACTTTGTGGGTATGTTCTTCTGTTCTGTCGTAAGTACACCTGCTAATGCCTCTGCAGGATAGGATTCAATCCAATGCACATTATCTTGGGCAGGGCTTGTCTCTGAGTTGTCTGGTACCTCTTCTACTTCAACTCATCCTTGTCATTCCGAGTGTTGAGGTAAGTCTGGCCTGGGCTCTGGGGTAGCTTCATATTCATTGGTGAAATTAATGTCTGCTGAGTCCAGTTCATCCTTGCTGCCATCACCAAAATCTGCTGGCTGAGGCTCAGCAAACCATCCACCAAGATTGAAGATGTTGATGCTGAAGTTTTGCAGCCATTTGATCCACTTTGTGTGGCAACTTTGAGACTTGCTGATGTGCTTGTTGAGTCCAGAGGCAGTAGGGACCCAATGGCCACAATCCTTGCAAGTAGGCATGTTGAATGGTCAGTTTCTATTGAGCTTAGAGCTGATGGCAGATATTAACTGTGTATTGGTTGCCTCACAGACAATTAAGGTTTGAACCTGTCTCACATCTTGCCACACTGGGCTATCTAGCTAATCTTGATTTTTTTCCTGGTGCAACATTGTCCCATCACCACTGATCAGCATCTCAACAAGTCAGATGGCTGCACAAAGACACAAGAAAAAAGAGCTGAGTGCACCAACCCCGATCAATTGATGGATTCAACACAGATGAATGGCACCCTCAAAACTGCATGAGTGTGCTGCAAGACCTCAAAAAAACAAGCACTTGGTATGTGCTGGGCACACACAACACTCCAATGCTTATTGACTTACTACAGAGGAAGCCTCAAATGAAAAAGAGGCAAGAAAATTTGATCAGTATGCTCATCAAGCTCTGAGAGGCCAACAGGCACTTGAAGAGATCAATGTATTTCATCATTTGGACCCAGAGTCTGAAGAGCATGATTCAGACACTGAATTGGATCAAGATGTGGTGCATGCCAATATTAATAGATGGTCCTGTCCTCATTTTTTTTTTAGTTCACATTTAAAGCTGTGCAACTTGAATCCAGTGTAACACATCAATGAGCTCCAACCCAAACACCTTGACTCACTCAGTGGTCAACTCATGTTCCATCTGCACCACTGAGCCATGTACCACCATCTGATGATGTCATTGATCCAATGCTCTTACAGCATTGTGGGCCACAGGAACATGTCTTTTCACAGCCAGTGAGTGTTTTTTGTTCACTGAAGCTTGATTATGTGTTTGACTTAAGTTGGCATGGGATGTACTAGGCTACTCCACAGCAGTATGCAACACCTGTCATCTCCCCACCTGAACTTGAGTGTTGCTTGGTGGCATGAGAATTGGTGCTAATGAGTGGTGCCTGTGGACCTACTGACACAACAAGTTATGGTGATAGATGGGCAGGAGCATATGGGCCTGCCACATCATCCCCATTGGCATCATTATTGACACAACCAGTGGATGCAGACACTGCTGAGTTGTCACTGTTTAGCTCCCCAGTGCCACAACACCCTTTTGTTAGTGCACTCATGTCTTCTGGACTTGGAATTAAATGTGCTGGTTATCCATTACTGGCAACAACCAAAGGCCTTCAGGTGGTCAAGAAAGTGAAGGTGGGTGAGGGTGGTACCTGCAGGTGCCTTCATTCAGCCGACTTTGACAAACTTTGTGCTGCAATGGTCCATCTGGCCATCAGTCACTACCAGTCAATTCTCGCTAACTTGACCATTTATCCAAACAACATTCAAGTGCAAGACTGGTCTGGCCAAGCATGGGCAGCCACTTGCCACTCTCAAGGCATTCAAATCGATTTTGATGAAGATGTGTATAAATTGGTGAGTATCTCACCATTACTATTAGTGTTCACAAGTCTGACTGGGAGCACACTGTGTACTCGTTATTAGATCACTGAACGTGGCTCTAATCTATGCAGCAACCTCAAGACTATTCTACACCCACTTGTTGAGACCGAGTTTGGATTCAGTAACGAAAAAAACCCCAAGGCCATCAAATCTAATGCAGCATGTGCAGCTCCTGTCCTTGCAAATCATAAGCTCTCATGTGCAAGGTGATTACATTTTACATTCACCATGTTTGATGGCATGCACTGACTGTAAACTGGCAGGATCATGAAGCAGGAAAAGGACTATTTGAGACTGACATTATTGTCAATGGAGTCATTAAGTGGTGCTACAATAAGAAAAACTCATTGGGCACTACTCCACCAAGCTACTTCAAGGATTCTACTACTGGTGGGGTGAGCTGGGGTATCATTGCAGTGGTTCTCACTGGGGTGAGTATTTTTGCTCTACCATTGATCTCATGGCTGATTGCTTCTCATAGATTGAGGCTTGCATTGTGGAGTGGACCAGTGGCACAAAAAGCAAGACACGCTTCTACAAAGAGTGCTATGCAACCATCTTCAACATTTACTTCAACATGCTGGTCAAGTTTCACGAGGGCACAAAGCATGTCAGTGTTTTGCTGAAGATCTGCAAGAGGGTTCTAAGACATACTTGGTATGTGGGCCAACACACTTGTGTGGTAGTCTTGAAGCTGATTGATGTGGACACTGGACAGTTGACACACAAGTGTTCTGGAGGATCCATTCAGCATGGGAGGCAGTACAGAGAACTTCTCGACAGACAAATTCACTGTGGCAGCTGCAGAATGGGATGGTCGTGTAGAGTCAGACAAGGAGTATTACTAGTATCATGTTATTAGTGTACTCATTGCAAATTCAGAATCATACTACCAGCACCACAGACCCTAAGCTCGTACTGAGCCTATCATAGCCTTCATGCCTATGGACAATACAGTACCTATGAATGTCTACCATATGTAGCTGTGCTTATGTGGTGCCTATGGAGGTGGGGGAAACCTAATGACCTAGACGATCTACATAGGCCATATAGGCTCACATAGGTATTGCACAATTCCCTGATGTATTCAAACTGAGCATGAGAGAGAATTACAAGGGGTGTCATAAAATCAAGAAAACCAGAACCTGAAACAAAGCAGTATCAGCTTGTTAAGTAAGTGAATTGAAGATTATTACATATAAAAATGCATACCTTTGCAAATTTCTGCCCTTTGGATAAAATATCAAGGCAAGATCGCAGACCCTTCAAACACCACTCTGTTTCCAGCCAGGAGATAATATGATCATTCAAAGAATATGTGACCAAGCGTGTCATTTCATGGATGGGGAGCATGCGAAAGATGTACAGCCCAGTTGTGATAGGCATCAGAAGCTGTTCAACTGCATTCCAGTGCTTCATTTGTGAACCTCTTAAAGGTATTCATAGCATGAATGATCTCCCTGTCTGGTAGAAAAAGACTTTTCAGTAATGCAGAGGTGGAATTATGGTGGTGTCTTAATGCTAGGAACACTGGAAACATCAAGAAATCTGGCAAGGCCTTAAACTGCTAGATTACTTGTAGAGCTGGCAGTAAAGGCACATCACTGATAATGATTTACTTGTTGATTGCTTCCGATGTCCTCAAGTATTCCCAGATGGAGACCACAGGAGTGGACTGCCACAGTTGATTGTGGGGGCTCTGCAGCCAGTCTCATCCTCCCTGGGGCTGCAGCAAGTATTGTCCTTCCTCAGTCTGCAGCCAGTCTTCCCCTCCCTGGGTCTGCATCCAGTATCGTCCTGCCTGGATCTGCAGCCAGTCTCATCCTTCCTTGGTCTGCAGCCAGTCCTGTCCTGCCTGGATCTGTAGCCAGTCTCATCCTGCCTGAGTCCGCAGCTAGTCTCATCCTTCCTCTGTCTGTAGCCATTCCTGTCCTCCCTGGGTCTGCAGCCAGGCACACCCATCCAGTGTGAAGAAGAAATTGGTACTAGGTGGTTAGCAACTAGCACTACTTATCCTAAGAGGCACGAGTTAATTGATCGGCCTGAGAGGACTGCTATTGAAGCACTTCCTTCAATTATGTGCAAGGGAAGTAAGTGAGCGAAGGAGTTATAACCTATGTCGGCCTAAGAAACTTGAGCACGGACCATATGTATACCTTTGAATTTCTATGCCAAAGAATCGACCATGAGCGCAGGCAAAAATCAACCGATGTTAGTATCACAAGAGCAGGATGAACCATTGGAAGATATGAGCAAGTGTATTGGATGTCAGATGCCAGTGCAGCAGATGTAATGTGCACAAAATCGACCACGCTCTATGGAGCAGCCGGTCGCAAGAGATATAGCGCGAATGAAGAACTATGCTAAACTACTGGTCATGGGTCGGGTATTCTTGCAAGAGCTTAAGGGTAAGATCCTAGTGGTACAGAACTTCAGAGTGGTCAAAATGTGCAGGATTGCCAAGAAAGAGCAAAATAGATGGATAGTGCAAGGTCTACAAAAATAACACAAGAATGACTCTCCTATAGAGCTGAGTCCAGGGGGAAGGAAACTACTCAATCATATGTACTGTGGTTGTTTATATCATAGCATGTGAATGTCCGGAATGCATAGGCAAGAATTGTAGTGTAGTTAGCAAGCACACAATGAGTCTATAGGTAATAAGACATCATGCGCTGCAGATCATGAGTAGTTGTGTAATAAGACCTGCAGCTTGTTTAGCAATGACATTTGGGAAAAATAATGCACCAGCGGAGATAGGTGGACATGGATAGGACATGGGAGGGCAGATTCCTAGGACTGGACCGGAGTAAGAGCAGATGGGTCGATATATATGGATTTAATGATCCGCACTTTATCTCCTTTTCTGAAGGTGAGAAGAACTGTACTATTGATCATATGCACCTAGCACCAGTATGATTGTCACACCAGTTGATGATCCTTGGAGCTGGGTTTGCCAGTGAGTTTGTGCTTCCCCAACATCTCTGCAAAGCAAGCCCTCTTCTCTGAGTATGTCTTGGATTGCATTGAGTCAAGTTCATCCTGGATACCACCAGTACGTTGGGGCTGGTCTGAGGAATTCTGGTTACAGAGCAACATATCAAAAGGGTGTTCAGTGTCTACACAGGTGGAAGCATGAGATGCTGAATGAGGAACAAACAATTGGCAGGTGCTCATGCATCATGCATATTGCTGTTAGGTGTGACCTAGAAAAGAATTTTAATGTTGAAAATGAGAGATCTGATATTATGATGTGTTGGTGTAATAGCTTTGGTGGTGGGCAATGCCCACCAACAAAGTGTGACGCTTATATAAGCCAAAAACCCCTAAATGGTCCATTTTCTTGAAACCGAGTGCGTACTCAACAGCAAAGCAGTTATTGTGCATTATATTGTGGTGGAAACTAGTGTAGATTATGCTAAAGTATCCTATGTGCAGCACTGAATTATGTGATCAAGTAAGTATAGGTTATATGCAATATTTGCAAGGGAGCATATTGGTATCCACCTAAGTGTCATCATTTGTGTTGTTGAGATCATTGTCATGAGTCACCAATTCACCTTGTAAACATGCTGAGTGATGACCCAAAAGCTTCTTGAGCAACTCAAGGTGCTGTGACTTGCTCTTGAGGTGTGATTTGAGTGGAATATGCTTCTCTGCTCCTAGACAGCAATAAACCTCAATCTGATCCTTGAGAGCTGGACCAAGCAAGCATACGAGTTGGTTTTGATCGAGCACCAGCACAACACCTGCAAAACAAGTTTCCTTGGCAGAATCAGATGCCTGCTTCCCTGTAGCCTTCTTCTTGGCAGCAGTGGCAGAATCAAGCTTATGCTGAATCAATGCCTCCCACTGCTGCCTCTCAACTTCACTCGTATCAATTTTCCATGCTCAATGTTGTAAGTGAGCATGATCTTCATCAGTAAACATGGCATTCATGAATTCTTGAGTGTCATTGTGTATTCATGCAGGCACATCAAAGTTGTTCATTCTTGGCTTTAGAGCACCTTTTTTTGGAAGGGCCAGGCTGTACTTGACATGCCATTTGATGGTGAAGATTATGGTGAGACTTAAAATATCATAACATCTTTAAAAATAAGAGTTGACTCCACATAGTACGTAAAACTTCGAAGGAACGCGAGCACATCACATACCTGCACTGAAGCTGTAAGTCCCGTTTTTGGAAAATCACGAATTGTGGCTGACCTTTTACTGTTTACAGGGGCTGTTTTCATCCGAGACCTCTATGTACCACACCTGTTGTCGTTCGCATTCATGCACAGCAAGGAATATTTTCATTTCCCCCCAGCCAACAATAATTTCAGAATAGATTTTTTGTTGTATGCTCTTAGGGCCTAAAACCAACCATTACTGAGGCTAAAATATGCTCACAAACGTGAAATTGCAAAATGTATTCTGATACTCTTGTTTATAACATCAATCCGTCACATTTCACCTGCAAACACTTAACACAAAAGTCTTTCCTTTGGTACATAGCGTCAAGTTTCACTTCTCTGTGTGTTTATAGCGTGGGATAGCTTATATAAGTGTCATGCTTTGCTGGCGGGCGTTGCCCACCACCAATAGCTTGATGTAAGTTGGGGATTTGGCGTTGTTTGGATTGAAAGCAAAATAATCAACGAAATAATATCAATTTAGAATTGTAATTCCAAGAATGATCATGGTCCTTGTTGGTGCTGTCCTGGCCCGCCTCACTAGCTGATCTTTTACCAGGTGCGAGGGCGACTATATGCTGTTTGGTCCAGGCACGGAGGACGCTCGTACATGCGTGGCCTGATAATGCGGGGTCTAGGAAACGCAGAGCTTGATTTTGAATATATTGAGGGTGCGGCTGTAGAGCAACAAACTGTTAGCTTGAGGCACCTTCCAAAGGTAAGTACGTCGAGTGTTGGTGCCGTGGTATTCAAGTTCATTCATCGTGGTCATCATCGTGCAATTAAAATCACTTATACTTGGCGTTTACGGTTTTGGGCATCTAGCAGATCTCATCCCAATCATTAAACACGCTGCTCACTGCCATCTACCTCGCCGCAGAGCTTCATCAATTCACTTCCCACGCACAGCATAAGTATCATCGGATTTGCCCCTCCAGAATGCACATCATGACGGCTCAGTTTATCTGTGAAAGAGTTGGAGATGGATCTCGAAGAGTTTCGGGGTGTTGGTTTAGTTTTGGGTGAGTCAGTGTAGTTCCAGGGTGTCGTTGTACTACTGACTTATACAAGATATTTGCATATACACATATATCGTGTTCATTCCTGGTCCCTATCCTGCAAGTTAAGAATGATGTCATAATACCCACGGCATGACGATAAGACTATGTGCTACAAGTCTCTGGCACCTATCCTACCAGTAGCAGTATCATCAAAACACCAAGGTGTCAACTTCATGATAGACGTAGTTCAATACGTTTCACCGATCTGTTTGCATCAGAGTCGCATAGCCTTCACCATAGGCTTGACATCCTTGTAATATGATAACCAGGATAACTCAGACGAAGAGGGAGGAGGTACGCATGAGGTGTTATTGTGACTGACTTCAAGTTGATGGTAGGCTCTTTCGATGGTCACTTCTCGCCTACGTACTACTACGCCCGTGTTCGGATGAACACCACTGATGGAACTACTTGATCAATGCACATCCAACTCGCATACTTGTATTTGATCAAGGGCCCCGGATTCATTCACCTTCGTATTTGACATCATACAACAATACTCATTTTGGTCAATCTAACAGATCCGCTCCTTGGGACATAAAAGCGCTGAATGGTGGAATTTCTAGCACAACCGTCCCCTCATACGTCCGTCAAGCTCACTGCTCGCTTACACCCGCCCTAGACCAGAATGACCCAAGTCTCGAATGATCCCAGTCGGTGGCATGACATCGATGCTAATCATATTAGCAGCTATTTTATAGGTTCGTGGAGTGCCAGGATATGACGGCAATGTCTCAATCTTAACCTTGGTTACGGTTTCACAGTTGCCGCCTCTGTTGGGGTGTTCTACGATTCGGGTGAGCAGGGTAGTCTTCAAGAACCACTCAGTTTAGTTTCTTAAAGTGTTTCCAGTATTGATATTTGCACGAGAGGTAGGTGTAGGTTGATCCCATTGGAGTACCCATTTCAAGGATGCTTTTATAGGTAGAACTGGTCTGGGTGAGCGGATTCTCACTTCAAGAAACCGGCGTAATTAATTCGTGGCAGAAACAACGCTGGTCGTTGATGACCGTTATGTACCTCAGTGTAAGAAACTTATGTTATGGCGTGATTGGCAATTCTTGCTGATTTAAAATCCTAGCTACGCTATATTGGAATAGTATGCGCTGTGTATGTGTGGAAGACTAAATAATTGGCGCTGTGCTAATCAACCATCTCTCAAATCAGCATTTGTATTCTGAGTATGTTTCCCCATATGTCGTGTTTGTTTCTTCTGATCGGCGGTATGTAGTAAATCTTCCGACATTTCCGATGACAGATACAGTGAGTATTCTACATCATTCCCCGTATCGATCAACTGTACCCCCACGCAGGGGTGGGTGATATTATTGACCAACTCCCTAATTCAACTTGATGACTGCCACAGTTGTGAGTAACTTTTGCAGCGTGGTCTTCAGAGGCCTATCGCTAAATGCACCATTCAGGTTATATTATGTGCTCCGCGCTAAGCTGGATAAATGTAGTCGTACCTGCAATGCTTGGTGGTGAGCTATGCATTTGATGATGCTGACTTGACTGAAACGTCATGCAAGTCATCATGATCGCTCGGCTACATGCCATGTATCAGCGGTCCAGAAAGGTGCTAATATTTCTCGTCGTCATCTTCCTGGTTGTCAACATCTCTGGCGCGGTAGTCACCGCCATAATGTTGAGGCATATCTCAGTGGGTAAGCTTTAATTTATGAATGAAAGGTTTAATTGTATCAGGCTCATTGACCAACTCCAGAGGAGGTTGTTCTATCTGGCACATACCAGTGCACTGTTGCGGTCAAAGGAGATGATGTACTTCTGTGTGTCGTGCACTCAATGCTCCTCACTATATGGGAGATCCTCGCACTATGTCTCGCAGGTTGGATTGCTGCAAAACACCTCCGTGAACTGCGACAATATTCAGCAGGAGGGATAATCGGAGATTGTTTCGTAGTCTTAATGAAATCTCACTGTGTTTACTTTGCGAGGTGAGTTCATGATCTTAAGGTTCTCTTTTCCCGCTGAAGTTTCGCACACGCTAGCTTTGTCGTTGTTTATTGCCTCTCGCTCGGTTGTTTGTCTCCGATGGTCTCAACAGTATGCCGATCTCATTGATCTCTACGTGCGAGCATGGTTCATTATTTTCATAGGTCCCATATTCTCTGAGAGCTCCGATTTATTTTGGCATTTTTCAAATTCTTATGCTTGTGCAATTATTTGTGCTGGGACCACGCTTGATCCTTAGCATTCGAGAATATCACGCCAAGTTCGTGGTCGGCTCTGATGCAGGAACCGGCATGACTTCGATTGCCTTCCAGGAGCGAGTGCATATAACAACCAGCAGTAGTGTGTAGCAAGGGAAGACATGTCGGGTACCCTACAGGGGGCATCAGAATATGAATTTGTACGTTTCGTTGTAATACCTATGCAATTTGGTGTTTCGAAGTAGCATGCCAGCGATTCGAACTTTGCGGGATAGTGATGATATAATAATGCCAGGTTACGATCTACCCGATAAGCAAGCTGATGTACCTGACCCCGTCACGAAGGTCCGTGAGCATCCTTCTCAGATCTCCACACTGCGTTGATCGGGTCTTTGCAATTTCAAACAATACCTCTTCCCCGTGAGTGATGCAACGGCATCGAAAAAGACGGCTTGCAGCTGTCTTGGATAGTCTGGCCGATTCTACATAGGAAATTAATGTCACAATCACAAACACACGCGCTCCAGCACCCTCTGTAAATCCGTGATATTCATATTGTTTCCCCTACAGGTGCAGACGAAGGTTTCAAGCCATTGGCCCAGAGACTATATCAAATTCATCATGGGCACGAACCGGTGTTGATGTCTGGGGTCACTGGTAGCCAGTACTATGATGATCAAGAGCAGAGGATACAACGGAAGCGTACTTTTCACTTGAGCATGATTGTCAACTGATTACGATGTAGGTGTAGCATCTTGCACCTCGGTCATTTTTAATCTAAACTCTTCAACGTTGAAGTCACGGCCTTTCTTCTTCCAAAACAACCAATCGTCAATTTTGAGATGTCATTGTAAGGCTGGTTCGACCGGACTGTAGCTCTCACCCTGGTTGACAGGATCGTCTGCGTGTGAAGAACAGTGGCATGTCCTCAGTTAAATAGAGGAGGGGACAGATAGTGAGATCACGACGTGGGCGTGGACAGAAGGTTTCACAGATAAAAGAGCCACCTTGCAAAACGCGCGGACATCAATCAGATGATAGTGTAGAGAAATGCGAATTAATAATCGACAAGGACAAGCTACAGATACAGGCCTTCGGGAGTGCCTTCGTTCTTCCTGTACAAAACCTACAATGGCTCAGCAACGTCACCCGCAGTTCAAACGTCCAACTTACCTTTTCCCTCGCAGCAGTGAAGTCTGCTTTTGTCACCCGCATCCGACGTTCTCGCAAAGCCAACATACCAGCCTCTGTACAGACGGCCTTGATATCAGCACCGGAAAGATCATCCTTGGCCATGATGAACTCTTCTAGATCGACATCTTCGCTCAGGCTCATGCGTGACGTATGTAATCTGTATTTATTCAGTCGTTGTTAAATTTGTAAAGGAAGAGGAAAGGCTTACCGGAAGATATGCCGCTTGGTCTTCACATCAGGCAATGGGAATTCAATCTTTCGGTCTATACGACCTGGTCGGATAAGTGCGGGATCTAGCGTCTCAATCTTATTTGTGGCCATGATAACTTTGACGTCGCCACGAGTATCGAAGCCATCAAGCTGGTTAAGTAGTTCCAACATCGTTCTTTGAATTTCACGCTCGCCACCTGATGTTGAATCATACCTTCAAAAGTGTCAGCGTCAATATTTGTAAATGAAAAGAAAACCGCATCGTTTACCGTTTGGTACCTATAGCATCAATTTCATCAATGAAGACAATACTTGGGGCATGTTCTTCGGCTACACGGAAGAGTTCGCGAACAAGCTTCGGACCGTCACCAAGATACTTCTGGATAAGCTCAGAACCGACCACGCGCAAGAATGTTGCGGACGTTTGGTTTGCGACTGCCTTGGCAAGGAGGGTCTTTCCTGTTCCGGGAACTCCGTAAAGGATGACGCCCTTCGGCGGCTTGATCCCCATCTCCTCGTATAACTCCGGATGTGTTAGTGGGAGTTCGACGGATTCCTGGGTTAAGGAAGGGAAACGTCATAAGACAACTCCGATGATAAAGGAGGAAAACTACCTTGATTTCTTGGATCTGGTTCTCGAGACCACCGATATCGGCGTAGCTTTCCGTGGGAGCCTTGTCTAACTTCATGACACTAACTAGAGGATCGGTATCGTCCTCCAGTACGCCGACTACCGCCTGGTTCTTGTGGTTTAGTAGGACTGAACACCCAGGCTCGATCCTGTCCTTGTCCACGAAACTCATGATCGAAACGTAGGACTCCGGGCCACTTGCAGTACTGATGATAGCGTGATCATCATCAACAATCTCCTCTAGCGTGCCCACCATCATCGGCGTCCCCCTAATATCATCCACCTTAGACCTTTCATCCTGATTCTTCTCCTCACGAGATGATTCGGGCTTCATACGCTCTTGGTTGTGAATGAATTCCTCTTCTAGGAGCAGGTAGTCTTTAATGCGGTCCATCTTAAGTAGACGAAGCCTGCACCGTGTAGCAGGGAAGACGGGGGGTAGTTTAGAGGCGGTAGCTGGTCCACGTCTTTTCTTCTTGCCAACACGCGTCGGCAGAGGCGGCTCCCACTTCTTCTTTGGCGGCTCGGCTTTTTTGTCTTTATTATCCTTATTATCCTGTCCCTGAGGTTGGCTAGGAGGCATGCCGGATGGTGCGTTCCCCTGTAAGACAGTCAGATAAAAGTGAAGAACCGCAGCTGGCCACGAACCATGTTAGCTGAAGTACGGTGCAGGTGTGTAATACGTTACAAACTGCTCGACGCGTCAGTCCATCCAAAATAGGCGCGGGAAATTAATTCCCTATATGGATTGCCGTGCCAACATCTGCCATAACATATTCATGCCACCACTGCCCAGTGCCCATACTTACAGTTGCAACATAAACTAACCATGAGCCATCCTCCCTTGACTTCTACTTCGCGATTTATAGAACCAGGTGGGTTTTATATCTGTACGACGTTTGTAATCATTCGAACAGGAAGTCATACAGACGACGACGACGATGACGACCTAGACGAGCAAGACATCCCCGGGTTCTCAGCACCGTCACCAGCCGTAGACAAGGGAAAATCAAGGGAACCAGAACAATTAGCCAAGCCTTCGACAGCTCCCGCTTCGAATCAGAACGTGTCTGGCAACATTGGTTCCAATGGCTCGTCTAGTAGTTCCAACAGGCAAACCGTCGGCGGCATCCGAGTCGAGACTCGGTAAGCCTTGCATGTAATATTTGCATCGAATCCTGTGCAAACATTCTTTAGGTATTCTGGAACGGACACTCTTGATGAGCCTGTCACCACCACAATTGTCAGTGCAGCCACCCTTACTTCGTACGAGCTGACCCCAGGCTCAGGCACGCGACTTGCTTTCGATATACTCGAAGTTGGTGCATGTTCTTTACCCTCGTAAGTCCAGCGGACGCGAAGTTCTCAGGTTTGTGGCGTCTGGGACTCCAGTCGGGCCCGTTTGTTGACATCGTCTTTGCAGAGACTGGGATCTTTGGGGTCCGCTGTTGCTTTGTCTATGCCTAGGCATCATCTTGAGCGTGAATGTACGTCCCTGATTTGTTGTACGTACAAGGAGCTACATGCTTTCCATGATCACAGGCACCATCCAACCAATCGTTAGGTGTATTCACTTCTGTAGTTGTGATCGTGTCCGTTGGCTCCCTTGTCGTGACCGTCCAGGCTAAGGTGGGACAGGCTCGTCGCCGCTTATGCAATGACACTAATCTTGCTTTTCACATGGTTCTAGCTTCTTGGTGGCAGAGTGTAAGCAACACATCTTGGTCTTCCTTATTTCATTTCCAGCTGTAATATTCACGCTCTAATGACTAGGTCCTTCTTTCAAGGGCTCTGTGCACTTGGCTACTGCATAGCGCCATTAGATATCGCTGCACTTATCTCATGCTTCGTGCGTGTCATCTGGGTGCGTGTGCCCGTGGCCCTGGCTGCCTGGGCTTGGTGCATATGGGGTATGCTCGGCCCACTTCACCTCATCTAATCACTGACTCTGAATTTTGGCTCTAGCATCGGTAAACTTCTTGGACGGCACAAAAATCGAATCACAGCGCATCTTGCTTGCTGTATACCCACTCCTGTGAGTCATATCTGAAGTCTATTGAGCTACGGGAATAATGGTATTCTCGTGTTGTAGACTTTTCTACTTTGTCCTGGCGTGGATGATACTTATCCAATGATTCAAAGAGCTGCTTCTGTGGTAGCACTGCTTGTACCAAATTTCTTGGCTCAATGACATGATACTTGCATGCGCCCCGATGTAACAAGAGCGAATACACACCAACTTTGCAAGGGGACGAGGTTCGAAAGATAGGACAAGATGTAAATAATGACATGGTGCATCGTCTACTCAACACTTTCCAAAACTGACTCGTCCAACACACATACCAGAACATGTCTGTCCCCCGTCCTTGAATCAGAAAATATAGCTCTCGACTCCCAAGACATGCAAGACTACTTGATCTTCCGTCGCACAAACGGCAAGACTGAGACCACATTGTGCGCATGCACGAACTTTTCTATGCGTGACGTTACGACTGGACATCCAGTGGCTGCATGTTTGGCGAGTCATATCGGTATTACATATTTCACTAATCGAAGTCATGATATCAAGATTATGATGTAATGAGAACAAATTTGTCACAATTTTTGGTCTCCTACAGTGTGTTGCAAATGACTTTAGAGTCCTCTTCCGTCACACTTGGCGTCAGGCCGCAGCGCTGCGAGCACAATTTGATGGGTTGCAAATAGCCCGATCTCTGATCACTCCTTTCAGAAATTCAGGAAATGTGCAAGAATATCATGGTGTGGTAGTCAACTTGGAGTGAACGATTATTTCAGAAGTGGTTCTGCATGTGATGACGAGATTCGAATCTCGAAAATCGCATGAAATCGCCATCCACTTCGAACACCCTGCTAGCGAGAACGGATTCTCAATAGGTATGTATGCTAAAACTGACAGTTCCTCAGGCCTCAGGTCCTTAGCCTGACTAGGAAGGTGACTCTGCATATATCTGTTTTATCTATTTTCTGGTACATTTTACGCACTCAGGGGTACAGCTGGAATCCGATTCAGAATCACGTGAAGCGCCTCGGTGTATGACAAGTGCCAGTCATAAAGTGCAGTGAGTTGTACTAACTCGTTGTGCGCAAGGCCTACTAGTATCGACATAGAGAGTGCCCTGAAGAAATTGATGCAGCCTGCGTGAGGTGAACCATTGATGTGACCGAAAGTTACGCATTTGGAATTGGCTATTACAAATTATTATACAAACACCGAACTTGCAAAAAAAAAATCTCATGCACCTCTAGAGTCATTTGTAAAGTCTTCGTCTTCTAGAACCACGACTATGGCGAACGTTGGGTTCTTGTCGCTTCCTACAGAGCTGATATGTTACATCTTGTTTTTTCTCACTCCAAGGGACCTTTGTCGTTGTGCAATAGCAGTCCGCTATTTCTCGTGGTTCCACGTTCCCCCTAGGCTAACTTCCATTGATGCTAGACCTGCAAAACCTTTAGGGATGCGGCCCGACATTCTGTGCAAATTCAACACAAGCTTGAGCTTTTTGCTCAGGGCTTTACTGAGACCATTACCCGGGACTCGATCGACTTTTTTAAAAAGAACAGTTCATTAAAGAAATCAGCATTCATGTCGCAGTCTGATTTCCATGTGAACACTGTTTTTCAAGAAGCAGTGCCTACTGCGCATGCCGCTACCCAAGAGACACAATCTATGAAGTCTAGGCTTTGGTGGATGTCCAGAGACAACGATCTCTTAATTCAGGAGTGCAGCACAAATGCTACCCGGACATGGCCCAACTACACCTTATCCCCCATACCGCAGCATGACTTGGTGTCAGTCATCGTCGACCCTCTGCAGGATCTTGTGGTCACAATTTCATCGCCTTATTCCATCGACGTGCACAATTTCGCTCAGGCTCAGCACGCTTTTTGGCTAGAGATCTACATGCTTTCGTCGCAGGCTCCGCATCCGGATTCAGCGTGCACTTCCTTGGACTACAGACATCATTTTAATGCACGTGGTATTCACCATGTTGTGTTCATGAAAGAACCTGCAATCTGTGGAGATCGTATAGTTGTCCCCTATTGTACACACACAGACAATACATGGGCGAAGCTGATGTACATACAAGTGGTGGATTGGAAGAAAGGACAGGTAGAATGTGTAAGTCCCGTCATTGAAAATTTTTACCACTCTTAGCATCAGCAGCATCCTATAGACCACCAGGTTCAAAGGCATCATCAGTACAATTTCCATTTCATAGACCAGCAGACATTTGTTGTCATCGACTTGGAAGCTTCTATAAGCTTGTATACGTTACAAGAATTCGGCAGGCCGCCTCGGCGCCGAATCATCTACTGCTTTCCGGTGTACCACTCTGCACGTTGCCCATCGTGCGTTGTTCACGCCACTCCATTGCTCCAAGGCGCAACAGTTCGCCCAGACCTTATGCCCAGCTACGTGCCCTCCCGGAGTCCCAAATTATGGTCTTGGAGATGCTCCTTCCCATATTGCCCGTTATTTTGGTCATCGATATGGCCATTTTCTCTGAAAAAGCCCTGCATTCAGAGGCGCTTAACGCGATGCCCTGGTCGGACTGGGGACCACAGCATACGTGCTGCTTTCCGCATGACCCAAGCCACCGAATCAGTGTTTTCGGTAGCAGAATGGCCTATGCTCTTCCTCGATATCGGACCCCCACTCCTGGGCATAGACTGGAGGCGCTATCTGCCGACGGTCGCTTCCACGTGCACATGTGGGACTTCAATCAAAAAGTCATTGCCCGTTCCAAAAGTATCTCCGATTCCGACTTACCAGGCCATCTGATCTGCAAGCCTGCTTGCCTAGGTCACACGTGTTACAATAGTGACTTCAGCTCGAACCGTTCTTACACTGCTACCGTCTGCCATGAATCTTTCCCGACGCGTGACTTTGAGAGGTTATTCTTGGAACAGGATAGGTTTACTTTAACATGGGTGAGACGCTCTTAGTTGTGACATACAACGTTTAACGCGGATCTACTTAGGTTCGACCTGACGCGGTTGATATCAAGGTCGTTTCCCCCATACTAGAGACGAAGGTTTTTAGCTGTTGGCTCAGAGACCATATTCAACTCATCGTGGATTTTTGGGATCGGTGGCCATTGTGGTATCATCCCTTACTCCTGATGATCATGATGAGACGTTGCGCCTACGCCCTCACCGACTCCTAGTACATGGTTTAGGCGTTCGTAGTACTTCGTGAATGCAGTGATGGCCAGGTTTAATTCACATTCAAGTTGGTTGCAATCACAAACTGATTTTCATGCTCGTCGTTCCCGGGCCTATACAGACGGCTGCACACGGAGGTTGCCCGTTAGCTCAACCTTATACCGGAAAAATCTATCCTGGTCCAACTGCAATGCATGACGCATTACACGTTACTGCCCACCACCTGCGACAAGACAATTTGTCATCAACGTACGTGATGGATTTTACTGCAAGCCTGCAAGCAGCAAGTCCGAGCTACTCAAGCTTTCAATTGCTTTTTACTGTCAATTTCCAGAGTTTCGAAGTCGCTTGTTCGCCTTTTCATTCTGCCGTCAATTTCCCCGCGCTCAGACGCTTTATTTCTTATAAAACTATGATGATGGCTGTTGGATCCATGTCGCTGCCGCTTTCTACAGAACTGATCCATCGCATCCTAACCCTCCTGAGTCCTCACGCCAGAGGACATTCGCCATTGATGTCGGTCGCTTCTACGTACACATGTGAGACTTTATTGCTCCATCTGAAAATATCCACGACCCCGACTCATCAGACATTCTCGTCCGCACGCCTGGTCAGCTATCCGTGGTGGCTGTGTCCGGGTGGAGTATCATCCCGAATCATCCTTACACTGCAATCGTCTGCCTTGTGCTCTTTTCCATGCACCACGAGTGGTTTCAAACGTGCTTTTGGAACAGGACCGGGCCACCGTAATGTCATGGGCAGATGTTCTTAATTTGTATTAGCTGTGAATACAGCAATGTAATGTCACAGGTCGCAGCCTGACGCTGCTGATATTTAGGTCATTTATTCTACACATACGGAGGTTGGCTTTGGACTAGAAGGGATTTCGGCTTCGGCGCCGATAATTGCGAGGACACAACCAATCATACCCCTAGTCTTGTGTCAATCAGTCTGAAACCATCGCAGACAACTCGTATTTTGAGTAATGTGAGTTGCTAGATGGTCTGCATCCAGTCCTGCATCAAACTGTACACACGAATGCTGACGATGTTTCTCCGGAGGTTGGCTCGGACCTCACGTCTAGAAGGAATCTCGGCTTCGGGGGCGATGATTGTCAGGAACACGGCCAACTATGCCCCTGGCCGCCAGTGTCGTGTCAAAAGTCTGAAATTATCGCAGACAGTTCAGTGTTTTGGCCGATGCGAATTGCCCATGTTGTCCGGAAATAGGACCAACACGGACGTGTTACAACCGTTTGCAGAACACTGGGCCAATCATCAGAAATAAAACAGGACGGCGTTGTTTGAATTGCTATGTTTGGTCAGGTACCATGAATTTCTGGATAGTATGTAACATCTTATGTATGAATGAGATTGATTGTGGAAAGTTGACAGTTCATCATGATGGTTTGACTAGGACCAGGACCTGATTCCCATTAAGGACTGCCCTTACACTGCCAGCTGGTACCTAGTTTTCGCCATGGCTTAGCAACCGAATGGTGGCGAGTGGTAACAAGGCATCGCACATTCGTTTGACTTCTTGCCGACTTGTTTTCTTTTTTGCAATTGGGACCGGCCTAGCGTTTTACAAAGTTCAAACGGCTGTAATTACGGGGATCGTAATAGGCCGATGATAATCAGCTCTCGGGTCGTGGTCCATCAGTCCCAGCGCCAATTCTTTCTCCCGTGACTAACGCGCGAAACTCAAGGGCATGTCATTGATGAGTCTGCCGTGAGCTCACCTTTTCGAGTCAGTAACTTCAGCGACCCTCTTTCTGTGGTTCGGTCTCTTGTACATCCACATTCTGCTAGTGACAGGTAGTAACACGTAGCTAGTTCGTGGTTTACATTTATATACACTCTAAGGTGCCGATACGGATCAATCAGGTGCTATATTTTCAAAGTTTAGAATACAAAAATACTCGAATCAACACCGCCAACATGCAGTGCTCATGCACGAGTGGCCATTTTCCTAGAAAGGGTCCTCAACCGCTCAGCATTAACTTTCCTGCGCACAGTATCAGTATCCACACTCGGGTTACCCTTCATCACGCTCGCACTGGTCCTCGGTGCGACCGTGTACGTGCCAATGTCCTTCTGCGGGATCATAACGGCGTTCTTCCGGATGCGGTTCTTTTCTCCCTCCTTTGCACGTGCTAAAATAGCGTTGAGACGTTCGTTTGTGCGCTCTGTGCCGTCCTCCTCTGCGATCGGAACGACACGATCACGGTATGAGGCGCTGCGCTTGATGATGGGGCGTGACCAGGTAGATACGAGTTCGTTGGCAAGGCGCTGTACATCGGATGTAACGCGTTTGCATTTGGTGTAAAATAACACGACGCGTCCCAGGCCGGATTCTTTGAGTACGGCACTGTCGATAAATTCCATGCGTTTTAAAATTGGAAAAAAGTCACGCTGGATATTAAGGGCTGGGAGAGAGCGGTCTGGGAGTGGTTCCAGCCAGCGACGGACACCTTCCAAAAGGTTGTTGTCCATTATAGATTGTGAGAGTGATTGCCTGGGGGATATTATTAGCGCTCAGATGAAACAAGAAAAAAGGGCGACTGCGCACTTGCGAAGGACCTCCATTACTTGAGGAAGAAGTTTCAATTTGTTGGTAGCGGGGAGCTTATCGCGATTAGCTTGTTCGTCATCAGCTGCGGCACCAAGCATGGCCTCCCTGAGACGAGATACTTCCTCATCCGCGAACCGGTCTAGAATCTCTTCGTCATCTTTTTTTGGCTTCTTCTGCCGATTTGCCTTTTTGGGCTTGAGAATAGCATCGAACTGCATGTCTAGCCGAAGTTTATTTGCTAGAGAAACGGTTTGTCAGGGCCGGTAAATTCAATTCTAAGACAAACCTTTCTCAGGGGGAAGATCGTTAAGGTCTTCCTCGGTGAGCGGTTGTTTTCGTTTGCGCTTTTTCTGTACCCTACGAGGTTCGTCGTCCTCGCGACGTTTGACGCGACGTTTGGGTTTGACCTGGCGCTCCTGCACGTAAGCATCGCTAGATTCTCCAGATGAGCCAAAGGTATCTTCTTCGACGGGACGGCGTTGCTGCTGTCTCTGGCGCTGCTGTGGGACATCTGTGAGAGAAACAAGTGCGGTGAGTTGGAGATAATGTGAGAAGGGAGAGAAGAACGTGCCATCTTCCTCTGAAGATAGTTCAGAACCGTCACCAAAGATATCGCGCTCGAGATTTTCGCCTTCCTGATTTTAGTTAGCAGCGGTAGTGTATGATTTGTTTGAAATAAAAGCCTACTCCTGCTGGTGGTGGTGGTGGTGGTGGCATTAGAGACAATGATGAGCGTAAGGCGGTGAGTGGAGCAAACAAGGGTAAAGTGGAGCTACAGGATTACATAATATGACAGGGAGGGACCCTGAGTTGAGGGACACGCCTAATTTGTTTGTACCCCTTCCAATTGCCAACTTAAAGTGACCATGAATCATCACCACTGAAATTTAGCAACCGTCGATCCCCCCTACCACTCAACCAAAAAATTCATTAATGACCCATGCTCCTTCCCTTCCTTGCCATGGATCCATACGCTGAGCGCACTCCATCACTCACTAGCTCTGATTCTTCAAGATCTAGCACTTCAAGTGATCCCATTTCCATGGATCCACCAGTCCTCTCAAACAGAGACAGGGCTCTTCCTTCAATACCCCGTGAATTGTCTCAAAAATCATACCACATGCCTCCAAGGGAAAGTCTTATACACCAGAATGACTCACTGAGGTCGGCCAGAAGGCCGACCCTCGTTCATCGTCCACCGCAGCCTGCTTCATCCTTGGCCAAATCGTTGGCATGGAAGAGAATGCACCGTGCGGCCGTCCGTTCCCTCAAGCAGCCACATGTTCTCGCGCGCTTATTACAATTCATACAATGGGCTGATTTTTACGTCCTGTTATCAACTTGCGCTGATATGAGGCATCTCTGGGATAATCATGATTTTAGAGATGTCATACTATCCCATTTTGTCCCGGGCTACAACTACGCTCTTAGGCATCGCGACCTCTCCAAGTATCAAGACTTGGACATATCCCTTCAAGACCTTGACCTCTTGCGTTAGTTCTCGTTTTGTTCGGTTTACATTCCGACGTTAACGTCACTGCACACCTGGTTAATTTTAGTTATCTCGCAGCGCGTTCCCCCCCATCAATACCCTGTTCACGCACTCAGGAGCATATCGAGCCTACCACCCAGCCGAGATTATGATGCAACTGCCGCAAAATTAACCCATAAACTCGCCATTCTCTGTCTCACACACTCGCGATTCGTACTGCTTCTTCAGTCCTTTGTCCATAGTTCTCCTCTCCCCCTACCTATCGATGATGACTCCCATTTTCAACCCCCACGGTTTCCTTCAGTATCCCCCACACTGCCTCATGGCCTCCGCGAGCTCACATTTCCTGCCCCTCTGTCATTCATATCTGGCGCATCCGAAAAGGCTCCGCCTAGCGCTTATTCTTCAGGTACTGGATCAGATTGGAGGCGGTCCGCCAGTCATCCCCGTGACCGAGTAATTAACAAACAGCTATCGCACGATCCCATGCCAAGGAACCGAGACCCTTCAAAACCCAGGACTTCTGTTGACTTTGATCCTTCAATCAGTCAAAGAAGACAGAGGAAGCTTTCCATATTTGGCGCGAGAAACCCTCCGCCCCCTCCACTCTCGGAGCCCCGGTCTCTCAAATACTACGACGCCAGATGGCGGCGCACTATCACTGGCATGCCATCCCAAGCGCCTGCGCCGCTGGGCGCGTATGCGAATAATCGGAATTTTATGTCAGAAGATGACATCAGAAAGACTGTAATGCGTACCCACCGACGTACAGGATCCAGTGGGATGTCCAGTGCTTCATCTTCGGCTAGTGGCAGTCCATCCCCACCATTCTCTCGCAGAGGGGCACACGACGCTTTTGGCCTTTCCACTGGCTCTCCACACGAGCTTCACACGGCAACTTCACGAACTAGGGCGCCCGTGCTGCGCGTATTCGTACCTTGCACAGACCTCATCCCCGCAGCAATCTCATCATGCGAACAACAGCTAATCGACAACGGCCTCTGGGAACACCTCTCAACTGGGGATATCGTCTGCAACTTCGGCTACGTCCCTGCGGCTCCTGAATCGGACGAGATGTCGTCATCACAAGAATCCGACAGAAGCGCACCACGCAAGTCATGGCTGCTTTACAACGGCTACTCGCTTATTCCCTTCGTCCCTCCTGCGCCCCCGCCCGTTGATGACCCACTCAGCCTTCCATCACCGCTGTACTATTCACATATCATGCCCTCGCACGTTCACCCCCTATTTGCGTTTGCACCTCCAGGTGGCGGTGGCGTCCCTGAGCTCAATCTAGTACAAACAACAGAACGCGTCCGGTCGCCACAGTCCCGCGGAGGATGGGCCTCAGCGAAGAAGTACATGTGGGTCGCGCGTGCACGTGTAGGGATGGGCTTCGTCGATATTGACGATGGACTTGGCGAAGGGTGGCGAGGTGAATGGGTCCTCGAGACGGAGGGCACGCGCGAGGGGCGGCAAACGCTTGTAGATTGTCTCTCAGGGGATGCAGGCGAGGTTTTCGTGTGGGAGTTTGTGAGGGAAAAGAGCGGCGGTGGGCGAATATGGCTAAAGCGAGTGTCCTTCTATTGTTTGGATGGATAGGAGTACTAACCTCACTGTTCTAGGCTTGTAAGACCACTACAACCTCCTTCGGACTCGTTAATGGACCTTCATATGTTACGATCTTGAGGACTTCATTGCTGTTTAGAGAACAGTTTTACTTCTACTGCATTTGCCATTTACATCATTACTACGCCGGACCCTGCATTAATATTGACTCTACTTCTGTACTGACTTTTTTCACGGCGCTCATTGGTTGGATATTTATCGACTATATGTAACTGTCATGGATCAGCTGTCACACCTACTCCTGCTTATCTGGGTACCATACCGACCACACTTTCAAATTTTCAATGCTGCGGAACGTTTTTCAATCAAGACTCGGACCGTGTTTGCATACATGTGTTGTAATTACCGCTCATCTGGAATTTGAACTTCATCAGGTATTTCAATCATTGCCGAATTCTTCTCTACAGACACGATAACGTTATATTGACGAATAACCGATAAAGATAGGAGTAAAGATTGTTCACGTGTCAAACGAGCGTCACAACGTCCAGATTTACAAATTGGTCCCGCTTAACGGCTCCTTCAGATGGGGCCACCACGCCGGCTTGTTGGAGGACACTAAACGCTGTTTAGCACGAGAGATAAACTGGAACGCAGGGAAATGGCGCGTACCCCAACGTGTCGGTGATGACGTTCCACGGTATCGTTGAGCAGTCTTCAGGGTACTCCACAGCATCGAGCCACTCCTTTACACATAAACACACCGTCAGCACTTCGATCGCCCGAAGAAGTACGTGATAAGATGTCACCTTGACGTCTGTTTCAGGATACCCAAACGTGTCCATCACAAACTTCACGCTCGGTCCTGCTCGGGCCTCTGCAGACGCGAACGCACGAACGTGACGCGAGAGATTGTTGAGGAACGTGCGTACTGCGGCTGGTTCTCCACGTGTCGGGTGCGCTGCGATGAGCCAGGAGGGCCACGGCGTTGGGACTTGACCGATCTAAATCCGAGGAATCGAAGTGGGCCTGTTCAGTATTGTATTTTAATACCACAAGTGCCATACAACGCACGAAGCGACACTCCCCCGCATCGGCAAATGGCTTCGTGGTGAACCATTCCCACATAAATGCGCTCGTCGTTCCGTCGTTCACGGAATTAATGAGGCCGCGGATGTCGTTATTGACTGCGCGTCGGCTTTTGCGTTAGCCATGCCGAAGAAGGATGGGGGATGGATCGGACACGTACCTTGGAACTTGAGCTCACTCGTGGGCCAGCGCTTCTGCAACGCCATGACGTACGCCATCGTCTGACTCCCGCTACGTCACCAATCCCAAGGCATGAATCACGACTCGGGGTGGAAGCGTGTAATTTTGGTGCGAGAGGCTCACCTGCCATTTCTTGAAATACCGATCGTGCTGCCTTGGAGATCGGAGATTTGATTGTATGCTGAGGGTTTGTGTCCTGTGATAACCGCCCTACGATAATGATAATGATGCGTTGAGTCATTTATAAGTCAATCAGTGTACGTGAGACATGGGCTTGGGCGCACCAGCGGAGGGGCGACGTGACGTAACTCCCTACGAGCTTGTATGCCTCGGAGCCCTTTGCGATCCCTGCAATCAAGGGATCTGTGAGAGCTCTGTTTCGGTATTGGACGATAAGAAATGTTATTTTAAAGATCGGCAGAGACATACATTGCGATATCGATTTCATCCCTCGTGAGTCGGGAGATCAGTTGGCCTGTACCACCTGTGTTGGATGTTTGCTTCAGTATCGTAGGAGAAGAGTGAATTGAGGGACGTACTGGGGCACTCGACGAGAGTAAATGTCGAGCCTTGTCTTCTGCTTCGAACTGCAGAAGAGGAGAACAGAAGTGTTCTCGAACTAGTTAGTTAGCTGTCAGATGTCATGTTCTTTGAGCGGTTTGAGTAGACAGCACCGTATCCGATCCTTAGAACCATGATAAGTATTAAGAGTACAAGAGACACTGAGAAAGTTGATTCTGAGTCTTCTGACGAAACTTGGGAACTCGATCGGACTTCTAATTTGGGATATTGGCCCCTGTCAATGCTATCTTGGAACCCGGCGGTGCTGTGCTATATAACAGGCGTTATGCCGCGACTCATTGAAACAAGATCCTTGCTATCTTCCATAAAGTGCAGACATGCCCAATGATTTGAAACAAATGCACGAGAAGCTAGTCACTGCCCACTTTGACATCGTCACACATCTGTATGTGACCTGCACGCTGACAGGCAGATTCAATTAGCTAGATGGACTCTTCGAGACAGGTGTTATACTTTTGCTGAGCATGCTTTGTGGATTCAGATGAGCCAATGTATAATGCAGTGGCACATATACTAAGTGAGTAGTGTAAAACGTACTGCACGAATGGGATCAAGGATGCACGTATGTAGCGGGGGAAGGAGAGATGGATTCGGAGCAAGCGGCTACATAATATCACGTCAAAGTCGTGAGAGGGAAGGTCGGTCTCGGCAAGAATGTGCACACGTGTCTTTACCTTGCACGTACATGAGCAAACATTGATCAAGATCTGGCATGGCTGACACATTAATTAATCATCGGGGCAATGTGTACTAGAACTGAACGCACGATATAGTAGAAGAACAGAAAGGGCACGAATATTGTGATGACATAAAGGACTTTTATTTTTGTCCAGTGCGATTGAAAGAACGTCCACTTTGAACAGTGTGTTATCATCAATGTCAACATGAGGCATATCATAGGCAAGTGCATTACCTCTTCGTAAGGCAAAGTTAATCATAGGTCTGTATATGCCAGTTTAACATCCGGCGGGAATAAATCAGGAAAAGCCCACCTAGAATGAAGCCATTGATGGCCTGAGCTGCGAATCGGATCAACAGTACGTACTGTTATGTACTGGTGGCACATAGATCATGCATTATTATCAACGACCCTCCTATCGCGTACAAGAAAGAGACGCATTGCATAAGTCTGCAGACCGCTCGCCGCCGCGATATCGTCAGCTGAATAGTCCATCTGCATCGGGTTGGGGAAAAAAAAGAGTTTCACGCTCTAGGGATCCACGCACCTTCTTATCTCCAGCTGGGAACCGGTCAAGGTCGGGGAAGGTGGGCACCGAAGCTGAGGCGCTCAAGCCCCCAGACTTGTCCTGTTTCACGACAGGAGTGACGAAATAGTTAATCGTGTTATTCTGAATGTGCGCCGCCAGTTGTCACGGTATGCTTGTAAGATGCATAACTTCAGTAGCAAGTGCTGTACTGATTGTTGAACACTTTGGGAGTTGTACAGAGGTGGTATCGAGACGTGTCCCTGATGTCACTGATATGGATCAATAGGTGTTGTGGGGCATGCCAGTACAAATCTGCTGTTTGGATGATGAAACGCTGGCGTGGATATCGGGAGGAATGATCAAATTTACGCATGCGAATAGCAGTTAGTTCAAGTGTTCGCCGGACTTGATGCTTTTTGCATGAGCAAGGTCCTTGGTGAAATTTTAAAAGCTGGTCCAACGTATCGTACGTAGTGATTTGACTGGTCTGCAAGATTCGGTGCCACGGTAGAGGCATAGTATCACCCGTGGGAATTGTGCTGTCCTCGCCAAACATCGACTCCCTCATCCCCAGTTCGCTCGCTCAGAAACGCCACTGGTCCCGGTCTTTCCATCTGAACTGCCGGCACCATATTCTAAACTATTCACAGAGCAGAAATACACCCATTCACTTTGTGTGCAATTCGTCAAGAGCACTGCCGTGATGGTATAAGTGTCTTGCGATTCTTTGGGAGTAAAGGTTGAATGATAGACCTTAAATTCTGCATGCATGCTTTCTACTACTAAGGGTGATCAAGTCCGGCATGCCACTATGATGATTTTACCTTGCGTGAAGAGCTGTCTTCGTGCTGATTTGTCAAAGGAAGATCAATGTTAACCCTCCCGTGCAGATAATTTATCCGCTTTGGTTACCCAACCATCTCTGCGACCCCAGCGAGGAGACGAGAAATCGACAGGAAACAGAGGGACAGCCCATTGTTTGACTGCAGTCCAGAAACATCACTCGCGTGCCACAACCTCATATTTCACTCAAACAATAGCCCACCATCCGACAGATCCATATCCATACCCTGCTCTCACTCACCTTTGCCATCATAAGTCCTGTCGGCGTCCACCTCAAATGCGGATGAAAAGGCTCGCTCTCCTCCGCAGTCGCTTCCACGCCATGGTTGTCAGTAGTGATGCAATAAGAACGAAACTTGGCATAGATATAATTAAATTCTCTTGTTCCCTGCAGAGGCCCGACGAGTGTAAGTCGTATTGAACATCATCTCTCGTATTACACACTGTTGCTAGTTGATACATGCACACGCTCTTGGAAAGAAATTGAAAGCATGCTAAGTCCTACATCAGAATCGATCACGAGCCTAGCATGATATTCTCGAACACCGAGGATCAGACGTGGTCCCAGCACAACTGACTGCACAATGTTGAATATTTGGATAAAACCAAAATAAAACAGCTTTGCCGAGGAATATGGGTCCTGTGGAAAATGATGAAGCGTGGTTGTATGCAGAGGTCAGTGACACATTGGCGTACGTTTGACATCGTTGGTGAATAACAACCAAGTAAGAAGCAAACACCCACACCAAAGCTAGCATGTGTAGAACTTCAACGAAAAAGAGAACCACATTCACGTTTTGGGCTCACCTCGCAAAGTAACTCATATGAGTTGTCATTAACACCGTAAAACAGTCCCCAATAATACCTCTCGCCGATTGTCGTCGCAATTCACGGAAGTGCTTTAGAGCAATCCGGACTGCAAGACACAGTGCAAAGACCTCCCACACAACAGCGAGTATCCAAGGGATGGCCTCCCAATGTTGGGGATTATCAATAACGCACTGATAGGTGCCAGAGAGAACAACTTGCTCTGGTATTTGTCAATGAACTTGAGGCACTCAAAGTCTTTCATCCAATTGAAGCTCACCCGCTGAAATATACCTCATGTTTATTGTGAGCACCACTAGTGTTGGTAATATTGATGGCCATGAAAACAACAACGAGGAGTACCAGCACCTTTCTGGATCGTTGGTACATGGCATATAACCGAGTAATCATGATGACTTTGCACGATATTTCAGTCAAGTCAAATATCACTGAGGTATCGCAGCTGCATCGCTCACCACCGAATATTACAATTAGGACCCACGTCATCCAATACATCGCGAAGTACACGATAAGACCTGATACATCTGGTCAGTGATCAGCCTCAGAGGATTGCGCACTCCTAAGAAACTCACAACTTCAGCAATCAATATAATAGATCAGCAAGCTGTCCAAGAATGCCACTCACTCCTACATGATAGTTGATTAGACGGGTATGGAAGGGAAGGTATCGGTTCGGAACACTCACTGCGTCTTTCAGTGGAATTATCTGAACAGCCACTGTTGTGCTGCTGGTCAGAAGCAACAAACAATGTATGTGAACAGACACACTCTGTATATTCATGCTGATTGTGAGGAGATAAACTATTAGCACGATACCAATTTTAGCCTTCCAAACATACCCAGCAAATATTATTCCAATGTAGCGCACCTAAGAAATTATCGCATCAGCTCAACTTGCTAAGCACACGTATACACAAGCTACATACAACGAGATACAGGAAAGTCATCAGGGACCAGCGTTGCTTCTGTCGCGAATTAATGGTATTTTGATGTTGTTCTTCGGACATGAGACTCTGCTCACCCAGATTAATTCGACCTATGAAACCATTATTAAAGATATGGGTGCTCTGGTAATGGCACCAACCTACCTCTTGTCCGAATGCAAGCACTAGAGAAACCACTGTCGGAAAATCAATAGTTATTTCATACCATCTTGCTCACCCCAATCGTATATGACCCCAATGGAGGCAGCAACTGCAAAAACGCAGTAAAAGTTAGATCAGCACATTACCGTTATCATCCGACTGGGTTTCCACAGACCTATGAAATAGCTGAAAATAAGATGTGAGTTGATGAGCGGCCACCAACTGGGATCATTTGAGATTATGGTCATAGTATTAGAGGATATGGGCGAATGAGAGGCAAACTTGGTGGACGTATGAAGATGACATTTGAGCCATATATACCACCTTTTATCGCCAAAGTGAGTACCATAGGGATAATATTTGTCCGTCCGTTGATTGCACAGAAATAAGAAATTTTGGCAGGATGATAAGGTGAAAAGCAACAACTTACACAGCCACGCACCACAAGTTGGAAGTTTGAAGCACAAAAATGAACATGTTGCCGATTTCGGCGACTGACTTGTTTCCATCCCGGCTCGTCTGTGCATCACTGGATCTTCGATCGTGTCAGTGAAAAGCCATACCTTCCCGTCTACTGCGGGTTACGACGAGGGGCCGGGCCCGGCTTTAGGCCGTGGGCCGGGCTGAGCCTTGAGGATGCATGAAGGCTTATGGCAGCCGCTTGCAAGGCTAGTCCAAAAAAAGAGAACATAAGTCGGAAAGAAGTCAAACCACGAACTTTAAACTCACGATAGCATTACTACCACTATAGGACGTTACGGTCGTTTGCAGAACGCTGGGCCAATCTCCCAAAAGAAAAAGATAAATCGGCAAGAAGTTAAACCGACGAACTTTCAACTTCGGACAATCGTGTTCCGGAACTTCCTCCCATGGGATACACCCAGAAATTCGTGGTATCCGACCGGACATCGTAATTCAAAAATGCTGTCCTGTTTATTTTTGACGATTGGCCTTAGTAAGTGCAGGACGTTCGCCACGTTACACACGTAGCATCTAATCAGACATTACAAATTCAAACAAGGCAGTCGTTCCGAGTCCTGTTTTATTTTTGATGAGTGGCCTAGCACTCTGCAAACGGCTATAAGGCGAAATATCTGCAAGCCTGAGCCGAGCTCTGAAGTTGTCCTCGTCAGGAATCCCAATCGAGTGT